CCTCGATAAACTTCTTGCAGGCAGCAGCACCGATGATGGATGGGAATTCGATACAAGGGCCACGGGTCATGCCGTCGGCAGTAATAATCGTCGTAGCTCCCCCACCAGCATTAATGGCCTTACAGCCTCTGGCAGCAGACGCAATCAGGCAGCCTTCTGTAGTAGCCATGGGGATATGAATAGAGTCTCCATCAATGTTCATAGGACCAGCAACACCTACAGGAATAGGCATGTAACCAATGACGTTCTCACAACAAGCACCCATCACCTTGTCATAGTGGTAGTTGTGGAGAGGCAATAAACTGGATTCCAAGGTCTTTGTGATGGAAGCACGAGAGACCAATGCACGGCGAATGCTGACAGCACGTTCCAAATCACCCAATACCTTTTCCAGGGCATAGGAAGCCATTTTGCCCTTTTGAACCAACATGATGACTTCTTCATCCGACAGGGATTCGGGTGTCTGTGTGAGTTGCATGCATTCTTCCAAAGAGCGAATCACGCCTTGAACGGCAAAAGTAGATTGGTGTTTGTTGCTGTGCTTGTGATGGTGTTGCTGATGTAGGTGCGTCTTTCTCTCAGCAGCTGCTACAGTGGTGCTGGTGGGAGCTGTGGTAGCAATAGCAGCAGCAGCCTTTGCAGGTTGCTTGGCAACCTTGAAAAGGTAAGTATTCAGGAACAAGGATACAAACAGAGCGAGTGTGATCCACTTTGAGATGACGGGATGTTGAATGTAGACGGTATAAGTCTCTAATAGATAGTCTAATGGCTGGCGGATGCTGTCAGGTACAATGGTCTTGTAGGACGACGATGCAATGTGGAAAGGCAAAGGAGGAAACACTTCTACCAGCAGAGGCAAGCGTCCCATGTCAGATGCACGATGCTGTTCAAGGAGCTTCTGGAGCACATTATTCACACCAGGTTCAACGACACTAACCTGAGGACCTGGCGATCCTTGAAACGTAGTGCAGACCTTGAATAGCTGCATGGCCACAAATCCAACAATCTATAATCAGCCCCATAAAACAAAAAAAAAAAAAAAAAAAAAAGGTGTTTAGCTTGGAACCAATACAAGTAAAACTTGATTTTCACATACCATCAATAGCTTGACTCTACCAATGATAGGTTCATCCGCCTTGATACTCGAGTTATTGTTTGTTGTTGTGCTATCACTAAATGCCTTGACGACGGTACTACGGATGTATTCTGTGCCAGTGGCCTTTGCAGACTTGTTGCTTGTACCGTTGATTTCGCGGATTCTCAACAACTCCAATTTCAGTGCCAAGACTGCTGTATACCAAGTGAACATAATGATGAAATCATAGGCCAACAAGATGGCGCTCAGCAAGCAGAATTCACGCAAACCAGAGATGCCAGACTTGGCACCCAATGCAAGCACAGTGATCTCCATGATACAGTCTCTGGCGATGGGCAAGGCCACTGAGTCGACTGCACGCACAATAGTCTTTCTAATCTCTTGCTTGGTCAATGGCGTCTCTTTGCTGAATTCAAAGACTCTTTTGGTAAGCTTGAAATGACGCTCAAACCCGATGGTAACAGCTAAAAAGGGGATAGCCTCACTAAACAACCGAGATTAGTGGTTGAACTATACTATATCCAGACAAGAGAGTACTCACGCCAACACAACAGGATAGACATCAACGCCTAAAGCATTGACTGTCAACAGAGCAAACATAAAGGAAAAGAAGCCGTTTACAACGACAGCCGTGGCGAGCGTATAGCGTGATCCCATGGAGCGCATGTTCATGTACAAGGACACGAATGTTGTCAGCATCATCACATAACCGCCCAAAATGACAATAATGTCAATGTTATCTGCCATGTCGATCAGCTCCTTGATGCGATACACAATGTTTCTAGAGATGATGAAGGCCCAGATGAAGATGTCTTCTTGATGTCCAGCGTTGGAGAGTGACACAAGATCGCCAGAGGACAGCGTAGACACCTTTTGCTCCCAAGCATACGATAGTTGCTGACGGTAATCAGTGGAGGCATTGAAGGCAAATGAGAGCAAGATGGAAGAAGCTGTGGAGGCGTTCAAATCCAGCTCACCAAAGATGGAGGCAGCCAGTTTGGGATGTTGGTTGATGGATCGTCTCAAATCATCCGAATCAATGGTGTCCTTGTCAAAGATGTTTGTCAACGATTGAGAGAAGCATTCGCCCTGCGCATTCTTAAAGCACAAGGCACTATAGCCAAATTGTCCAACATGATCGTCCAGCAGCGTGTGTTCAATGGTGTTTTGAAAGCGAAGAATAGTAGCCAGTGTGTTTCTGTCAATTACGTTCTTTTCCTGATCCACGATGGAGATTTGTTTAAGTTGAATTTTCACTGCTTCAATCGTGTTGTCCAAGGTTACGTCGTTGCGAGAGAGCTGCTGGAAGCCATTGAGCGTGTTGTTATCAGCATACACAAATGTTGGATACAGGCGGGTGACCGTACCAGAGAAGATGTCAGAGGCACGAGCCAGATTAAACAGGTAAAAGTAGCTGAAGGACGACAAAATCAAGATACCAGCAATCATCTCGATGGGATTGCGAGACGACAGTTTGGCAGCACGATGAATGCCTTTGCCAAAGACACTGGAAATAGACCGAAAGGCGCTGGTTCCAGAGTGATGAGGGAGAATAGATGCCATTTTCTCTCTTGTTTTATGTGTTGTTGAAACAATAAATAAATGAAAACAATAAAGAAAAAGTCTGTTGTTTCTGTTTTATTGTGGGGCAATCCATTAGGCATATAAGCGGAAGGGGTTATTGTGCACATAAGCGGAGCCCTTGCCAGAAAGTGAACACCGATCTTATGGAGAAACAACAAAACCAATTTCGTTTGTAGCACCATGGATTTATACATTTGGATGATGGGGAGCTGTTGACTGAGCTCTCATTATGACTTGCGTAGTCAGCATATGGCAACTACCAGCAGAAACCGCCATGGAAGAATGAGGGAGCCAGTCAGTAAGATGTTTCTCAATCCATGTTATTCATTGTGCGTTGCGTTTATTTAAACTGACAAATCTGATATCATCATCATAACATAATAAGTTTATTATTCCTACACACTTTCAAAACCTCAAAAAGGAAAGAAGTTGACATTACAAGTATTTCGTGGACTGGCAATATTAGATGCAAGGCTTCAAAAGAAAATAGCATGGCTGAGGATAATGCCGTGTAATTTCGCCATCTATTTTCCTTTGGCTTCAAAAGCATCTGGTATTGCGTTGAGTTTGCCAGCCGGCCTCACCAGCCAAAATTAATTCAAAACCAGACTTATAGTCTGTTCCAGATTGGCCAAATCTTAATGATTTTCTACTCGATTGAACTATTTTGGCAGATTCGACTATATAAAATATGATGATCATCCTATGCGTCTTTAAGCTTTCTTGGTGTGCTTTTCAAGGCGCATCCAATGGTACCAAGTAAGGTAAATGTTTTGAATAAACTTTTTGAGCAATCTAAAAAAATATGAAAAGAGGTGTCTGGCCAAAAAGTCGAGATTTTCCATATCAAGGTCCCACAAAGATGATTTCAGAGGTTGCTTTGGATCGATAGAAACATTTTGATTCAAGATATACCATAGTAAAAGTCTTCATTTTCAAGGTCAAAAACGCGATCATTTGATTTTTAATGAAAACCATGAGGGGGTACCTCATGCTTTTTGGTCGATTTTTGGCCATGTTTTTTTGGTCCCCAAAAAGTTGAGCAAAGGTATCATCAAATAACTGCCAGGTGAGATCAATTGTTTGATGCTATTTTGTTGGTCTAAAACGGCGTCTAACGCGAGAAATCACGACTCAAATGTGCCCATATTTTGCTGTATTGAGCACACTTTTGATTAGAAAGGGAGGGAATACAGTATGCTGCCTACTGGTATATAAAGTATCTACATGTATTCGGTTGTGCAACACCGCATAAGAGTCAGATCCATAGATAATATGAAGGGTTTTTCATGTGTAAGTAGAGGGTCAAAATAAAAGTAGCAGTATTTCGATATGACACGCAAGAGCGATCGGTGGCGCGAGCTGCTGCTGCGTAGATTAGTTCATATCGAAGCGAAGCGAAGATAGAGAGCCACCCGAAGCGTAGACATATTCATCATCAAATAGTAAGACTATTAATAAGCTCGAAAGAGGCATAGTTGACAAAACTTTCGAATAGACACTGCTAAAGCCATGCAGATATTAATTGGGCCTATCAAGAAAAGTATGAGCCCAAGACAGGATCCTGTGCTTGATTTGTTTAACTAGGTAAGGGTATACTCTGTTGCGCATGAAAGGCCTTGAAATTGAGCTTGATAGATGCAGATACAAGCATTTCTAAACAGAGAATTTAGATCTGTATGCTCATTCACATATCATCAATGTGATATCTCAACCACAACTGATGGCTAGACTCTTGGATTACTCACAGGAAGCATGGATTACTTGAGTTGTCATTAACAGACGAGATTGAGAACTACTTGTTAATCAAGATTGTGCTCCTATGTAAATTGCTCCCTTCCATTATGGATTTAATCAATCGGTCAGAGACGATTGATAAAGATCCAACCAACCAACATTGGTCTTTTGGGTTGGGGATGCCATTAATGGATTCAAAAAAGCGTAAAGAGAGCAGGTGTAGCACGAAAACACTGATTCTCTCTCTCTCTCTCTCTCTCTCTCCATAGAACACAACAAATCACACAAGGGCAATGTTTTTGCATCTATGGGTCAAGATGCTCAAATTTTATGCTGTACAATGGACCGGATGAATTTTTAAGCTGTAAAATAGACCAGTTGGATTCTTTAAATTTCAAGCTGTGAAATGGCAGGTCTAAAATTTTTTTGCTTCTTCTTCTTTCATGCTTTGTCTTTTTAGACACTAGTGTACCAACTTTTGTATAAACACTCCCATTTTATGTATATAACCTAGATCTACATTCTCTCTATATATTAGCATATACCTTGTCCATCTACTCCATTTACTCTCTTTCTTTCAAAGATGAGTATGAATGCTTCAGCACCCAGTTTTGTACCATCAACAGCAGCAGCCTCAGGAGGCGTATCCAGCACTAACGACAATACCAAGCCATCTCGAAACAAGGACAACAATCCCAAGAACCAGAATGGAAAAAAGCGCCCAAGTAAGTGAATTAGAGATACTACGCACGCGGCTCTTAACTCTCGCATCTACTAGATAAGAAACGCTCTACCTCCAATAATGCGAATCGAGATTACAATCAAGTTGTGTCTAATTTGGATGATTTGAATCTTGTTCAAGTAGCTCAACGCACAGGTGGATCAACAGACAAAAAGGGACGAGTTTCCTTGAACCATTTGCTTAGCTTTTCTTTTCCAGAGAGACAGGAAGCTCCAGCAACCTCACATCGAAAGCCAAAAGTAACGTCTTATCAGCCCTTCAACAAGGAGAGATTTATCAATGCAAAGTAAGTTGGAAACATCGCTATGTTGAATTGGAGGCTTACCTTCATTCGACTGTATATAGCTTTCGGTTCATGCTGAATCCTACTGGAAATTACATTTACCAGTTGGCAGATCCAGACATTAACTTTGACTGGGATACCATTGAACAAGTGGTAAAGTATACATTTGTAGTGTGTATGTGTAAATGAGTTGCTAATCATGTACAATAGCTCATCTCTTCAGCAGAAGCCCAATCATGTCCCATTTGTCTGTCGCCTCCTACAGCTGCTCGAGTGACCAAATGTGGCCACATTTACTGCCTGCCCTGCATTCTGCACTATCTTGAATTGCGTGAATCCAAGAAGAATTGGCGCAAATGTCCCATCTGCTGGGACTCCATCTATGAAGCTGATCTCAAGCCAGTTCGCATCATGAAGCCCTATGCTGTATCTGACCATGCATCAAATGTGACAACATCAATGACAGCAGCATCAACATCAACCACACTGAGCTGTGGTGTCACTGACGGTGATCGAGTCGACATGTTATTGATGCAGCGATCCAATGACTCTACGCTGGCATTCCCACTTTCGGATACATGGCCATTACCGTCCAATGTCACTTGCAACTACATGAAGCCAGACACGCCATTGATACCTTGGCATTTTACGCCTGGAGCCATGACATTTGCTCGATTCATGCTGGCCAGTCCAGACTATTTGCAAAGAGAATACAACAGAGATTGCGTTGAATTGAATGATGCCATGAGTGATGCAAAGGGGTGGGGTTCTGCGGAAGAAATGCCGTTCATTGAAAAGAGTTTGGATCAGATACTGGCAAAAATGAAGCAATTGAAGCAACAAGAGACCAAAGAGCTGGAGCTGGCTATTCAGACATCGGATATGATGTTTGAAGCTGTTGCAAAGTATGCAAAGAAGCATGGAAAAACACCATCCACGCATCAACCTCCTGCACAGACAGCAGATCTAGCAGACAAGGCAAAACAAGTGCCTGAAGCCTATCGTCAATACCAGCTCTCGCATCAAGCCGGTGAGGACATCAATCTGGATCAAGCTGCATCTACCTCCAACATCACCTCAACACCCATTGCATCTCATCAGCGTCATAACAACAATAACAGCAACAACACGCCTGCTACCGATTTCTACTTTTACCAAGCCGTGGATGGACAGCACGTTTACTTGCATCCTCTTGACATCCGCATCCTGAAGCATGAATTTGGGGAGTATGACCAATTCCCTCGTCAACTTCAAGTGCAAGCTACCAGCGTGCAAGAATCGACATTGACAGAAGATTTGCGCAAGAAATGCAAGTATCTTGGTCATTTACCACTTGCTTGTGATGTCACATTCATGGAGATCAATGTCAAGGATATCGTGTCTCCCGAGACGATACAAGTCTATAACCGTATGTACCTCATAGATATGTGAAATGATAGTGTTCTGATGTGTATGTGTTTTTGTAGAGGAATTGGTGGCTCGAGTAAAGAAGAGAAAGGACAAGGAACGCAAGGAGGATCAGAGAAGAAAGCAAGCAGAAAGCAAGCAGAAACTGTTGGTCGTGAAAGAGCAAGAAGCTGAGCGCCACATGCTGGAAAATGACCCATTTTTCTCCATGTACCGACCTGCCATGACAGCTGAAGAGAGCGAAGAGCAACTGTCACAAGCATTGAGCGAGTCTGCTGCCTCTTCAGCACTTGAAGAGGACCCCGTCATTCCGTCTGCACATGCAGGTGGAGGGCCACGCACTGTATGGGGGACACGCCAAGTGATGTCCAGAGAAGAGGAGCTGATGATGAACCAGACGCATGATTGGGCGGATCACATTGTCATCAACAAGAGCCATAGAAAACGAAGAGGCAGAAAGCATTGAGTCATTTGCATTTTTTAGACTGATGAGGTGGTGCAATAAACCGTGCAATCATTTGAAGTACCATTCAACATTATTCGCGAATGTGAGCTTCATCAATACATGTAAAAAGTGTATTTGATTTTATTAAATTGTGTGAGGAGGGGGAGGGGAGTGGCCTATAATATACTGTATATATGGTGATTTTTTAAAGATGGATAGCATATGCAGCCATGGCCATGGCCACAAATGAAAACAAGGTGAGCGTCGTGGTCTTGGCTGCGTCAGATGCATTATTGGATTTATCCAAACCAGTAGCTCTGACCTTGCCTCCCACACTGTCTTCATGCACACCCTCTTCATCTTGGTTTTCGTTGACATCGATACCCAATGCCTTTAAATCCGCCAACGTTTTTCCTTCAAGGGCAGCAGCTTTCACCATGCCTTGACCTGGATAAAGCACATCCAACAGCTTATGTATCTGATCCTGGGGTTCTGTCAGCAGTTTCCAAGTGAAAGAAGAGTTCATTTGACCACGTGGGCAACCGGTATTGCATGTATGGTAGCAATCATCCTCTGGCCAAGCAGGAGGCTCTGAAGCATTGGGATGAGACCAACCCAAATCCAAATCACAGTCAGTATAAGGTTCAAACTTATCAGAGCCGTAGAAATCGATTAAACCAGCAATGGCACCAGTCCAAGCAGCATTGTAATCCTGAGTCACCTCGGAGTATTCATAGTTGGAACGATCATCGTACCAGGTATCATCGATGTTGGGTCCACCTTCCACAGCGCCGTACAGAATGAAGCGTTGCTCGGTTTTGGAATCCGAAAAGTCGCCTTCGACCTTGTCTTGGAAATCACCACGCATAGGATAGTCAATGTATGAGTTGTAAGAGGACTTGTGGTAGGGCTTGGAAGGATAGTTGTCACCGAAACCAACAACCCAACTATAGCCGTAATCACCCAATGCATAGTTGATCTGTTGAGTAGCAAACGTGGCCATGGCTTTGGCTTCGTCTGTTTCATAGCCAATGGATTTAGCAAACGCCAGCATCAAGAAGGCGACATTGCCCGAATAACCAACAGAACCCCAATGCTCAATGTAAGCAAGGCCACGTGGCGTGAATTTGACAATTTGGGTAGGGCTTCCAGGCAAGAACTGGTTAAAGTAGTCCATCGCGTTCTTGTAAAATTGACCTTCCTTGGTAATAACGTAAAGCAGGACGTGAAGAGCGCCACCCTTTTCATCCCAGGAGTACTCGGGCCAGGATTCTGAGGATTGAGTATACCATTTCTTGGCCTCTTCCAAGTAGAAGTCTTCTTTGGTAGCAGCATACAACCAGGCAGCACTCCAAGCCAACTCATCTTCATAGCGAGTAGAGGGATACCAGAAAGCAGCCCATTGGAAAGCGTTTTGACGGGAAGTGACATAACTACCAGGATGATCAGTAGCAAACTTGTACAGACGTTTGGCGTGGTCCACAAGTTTATCAGCATAGGCAGCATTGTGCTTTCTCCAAGGAATTGAAATAGCAGCCAAAGCAGCACTGTATTCACCAATAATTTCGGATGATGGGTTATCAGGAGAAATGTAGTATGCCTTGTGAGGAAGGCCGGTAGGCACCCATTGCTCGTATTCTTCAGGAGGACCCCAATAGTTGAAATCAACATCCAGCTCGACTTGCTTGGAGATGGGCCCAATAGCAGATGTACCCAACTGACCCACAATGTAGGTGTCATTGTAATGTGCATTGGTGATAAAATCTAGATATAAATTTCCGCATTACTACACTTGACAGTCTCGACGACATACGGATATATATTTACCTGCTCCCCACTTGAGTAGTTCAAGGCCTTCAGCCAATTCGTCCACTGAATTCATTGCATCTTCAAACATCATGATATTGAATGCTAATTGAGTGACAGTCCAGCCCAAAGGTAAACCCCATTTCATGGTGTTGGCAGCCTCGTACCAACCGCGAGACAGATCTTCACCAAAATCACCAACACAGACTTTGCACGAATCTGATCTCCAGGCCATACGTTGGTATGGGAGCACACCTGACTTTTGAGCATGATAGAACAAGTAACTCTTGTGCAGTACCTCGGCATAATTATACTTTGGCTCTGTCGGAGCGACATAGGGTCCATCCAGAGGATCGCCAGGTGGGTGCATTAAGGGACTATCAGCTAATGGATTTGCAGCTTGTACATTTGAGGCAAGTAATACCACGGCAAATGAAAGCCATGACGCATGATAAATCTTCATTCTTTGAGACTATAATGTGAAATCTACTGTTTGATTTCGATGTGGATTTAAAGGAAAAAAAAAAAAAAGATGAAAGAAAAATACAACAAATCGATGAAATCAACATTCTTATTAGAAATGTGTTTTTTTTTCGGAAACATATACAACATCAACATGCACATTTCAAACCATGAAACAATGAGACTGAACGGAAACTTTACAATGGATACCGGGATTTTATTATTTATATGTACATTTTTATTTTGTTTTTATATAGTAGACTTGTTAATGAGCTACGCTAACTTGACGTACAACACATCTGGAAATGTCCATCAGAATTCTTGCTGCCTATTAAAAAAAAAAAAAAAAAAAAAAAAAAAAAAAAAAGTTTAATTTTTTTTTTAGCCCTAAAAACTCAAATGAAAATTTTTTTTATTTACCTCCAATACTTGATTTTCCTGTTGCTTGGATGACAATGCGTCTTCTTTTGAGGTGTATTTCTTGTTGTATTGTCTCTTCTTTCTGGGCTGTTGTCGTTGCTCTAGGCGAGCCTCTTCTTCATCATCTTCATCGTTGGAAGAGGCAAATGAAGCCAATGTAGCGGCGGCAACTGAAATGTCGTCCGTCGTAGCAGCAGCAGCAGCAGCAGCAGCAGCGGATTTCTTGGTTCTCTTTTTGTTAGGGGTAGAAGGAGAGGGATAGCTGGATTCTCTCTTGATACCAGAGTTAGTAGACGTAGGGCTTGGGTAATAGTATTGGGGATGATATTCGGCTTGATGAGGATGAGGTTGTGGAGGATGTTGCTGATAGTAGCTAATGTTGCTATTGCCATTACTACTGCTATTGCTAGGAGCAGCAGTAGTGGGAGGAGGAGGGAGATGGAAGCCAGGCAATGAGGAAGGAGGAGGAAGGATATAGACTTGTCTGGGATTGGGAGAAGCAGGCTCGTTCATTTTAGGGCTATTATAAAAGTCAAATAGAGCAGAAGGTGGAGGCAATTTGTTTGCTGCTGATTCAATTTGTTGCTTATGATCTGATTTAAGTGTATTTGAAGCTGTCAAATTAGAAGACATTGATATCTCTGGTTTCCTTTCGTTTTGTTTAATTGATAGATAACGCTCTTGTTTATAGTGATTCCTTTTCTCTATTTATTTTTCTTTTACAGAAAAAAAAAAAGGAAAATGGAAGAAAGAACAAAGAAAAAGAGGTTAATCGTTTGCTGCCAATTATTTGAAATTATATAAACAGAAAAAAAAAAAAAAAAAAAAAAAAAAAAAAAAAAAACTTTATTATGATGGAATTCGCCGTTTCAATTGAATAGGTTCAGTTTAAGGGATGCTTCCACCTTTAGCGAACCCTGCGCATTTTGTTGTGTGTCGAATTGCTGGCTGTAGCAAACATCTGACTACGGAGCACCTCAATTTGATCAAGTGGAAGGGTGTGGCATTTGTTGGCACAAGCATGCTGGGATGAGTAACCTCCACAGCGATAGCAGCTACGTAATGATTTAATAAAACAATTATATCATATTAGACGTTAAAACAAACTACTCACAATTCAGTACCACACTTGCACCAAATGGTAAGACATCCGGCCTTAAAAGAGGGCACAGTCAACATGAGAACGAATACAGCATTGGATCCTCTACCTACTTTTCTTTCAACAAGGTACTGACACTTTGGACATCGCGTCCAAGATTTCTCCTTGGCCGTGCGCAATGTCTGCTTCAATTCCTCTTCATCATCCACAATCTTGATGACTCCTATAGAAAAGGGAAAAAAATTTGTTTGGTTATACATCATAATGGTGTTGCACAAAAATAAAAAATACCTGGATGCCAGGGACTTTGACAGGCAGTGCATACACCTCTGCGGCACTCATAGCATTCAGCAAAAGTGCATTTTTTTGTCAACTCGATATCTGCATCAAAGACAGCTTTGCAATCCCCAAAAGGACATTCCACCTGCATTTGATCGTTAGATATCATGTGTTCAATTCATCATACTGATATACAACAAACCTTGTTTTTAATAAATGTCTTTATCGTAGCAGTTGTCCACCAGTCATTTCGCTGCTTTGCGGTAAAGATGTTCCGGATAGCCTTTTCAGATACAAAGAGAGCTTCACAATCAGTGCTAGGACATTGAATGTACTCGAATGAATGATAGCGGGTGTCGTTCAAGGCGGTTTGATAGTAAGCACGAAGGCAGATATCACATACAGCATGATCGCAGCCATCAGGTTTCATGAGACTTGGAGAGGGACAGATCTCAAAGCAAATGACGCACGATTCCAGTTTTCGTTTGCTTCCAATGGGTTCGCTCGATGAGCGAGTTCTTGGTATAGATATACCAAGTCTTCTTTGAGGTTTAGCAGCACGAGTATGAGGTGTGGTGTTATTACCACCAGCTTCAGTGATGTTCATGTTGTTAAAAAAGTCCACCAGAGAAGACATAAAAAAGCAGGTTGTAGTATTTCAATCAAAAGATAGACAATGGACAGAGAAAGCAAAAAGAAGGGTGAGCTATCACTGATTTTGCCTTCTTTTTATTCCTCTTCTATGAAGGTGTGATTCTCACAATAATTAATCATTCGAGCCATTGTCTGTAGTGCTGAACGTTTGCTTCGCAGGATCTCGTATTGACAACATAAAGCTTAATCTATCCTATCTATCCGTGTAGCTGCAACACTACCATATGCTGTTGGCTTAGTACAAACAACCCATTTCTAGTCAAATAGAACTCTTGTAACCTCATGTTTCATGTTATGAGAGAATACACTTGCAAAAATGATGCCATTCAAAATAAAGGTTCTGGCTCAGGAGGCCAACATGTTTTTGCCACTGTAGACTCCAAAAGGGGGGGTAGAAACCCCGATTTTTCAAAGAAGTATCGTAGCTGCCCAGTTGAGGTCTTATTCTGTAAAACAAACACAGGGAAGCAAAACTTATTTAATAGAAAAACAGGTTGAGTTGGCAGATGAACGAAAAATAGCGTCCAAACACTGTTCTTTTCAAATCGCTGTCGTTACACTTTCCTCGATTAATTTCTGACAATTAACGTAGCAACTGAATATGTTTAGCAACCCCTCCCCCGCAGTAAACGTATAATTTTCCTGAAATGAAGTTTCTCTCATTAACAGAAGGCCTGAAAAAGCTGAGAACCTGTACTGATAGGATGCGCAGCACAACTGCAAATTTTAGTCGAACGACAACGGAGCAATGAGCTGGAGGTCGGCTTTCAAACTTCCTATGAATACGTAGCACTATACAAGTATTGCCCATGGCAGAGCTCATACATGGTCTAAAAGGAGCATTTTCTACTAATATGTGCTAAAATTCACTCGTTAAGCTTCAATTATCGCCTGCGAAACACTCACAAATGACCTGTAACTGTGAATCTAGCTCTTCTATGACGCTCTACAACTGTATCAAAGAGAGCAACTCATATACGGGCAGACAGCGTACCTGTACTGCCTCTCACTGCTCGAGACTATGCAAAACGCAGCTACTTTGAAAGAATGGAGCAGCGATCTCTCGTGTTAGAGGCCGTTTTAGGCGACCAGACTAGCACTAAGCAATCTCTCTCGACTAGCAGTAGCTGTCTGACACCTTTGCTGATTGATGTAAAATCACTAATCATATGAAAGTTTATGCTTCGGATGATTCTTTACCTTCGCTTTGCTTCGGTGAAAACCAATCTGCACAGCGGCAGCTCGCTCTACCGATTGCCCTTGCGTACCTTATCATAATACTGCTACTTTCATGTTGACCCTCCACTCACACATGAAAACCCTTTATATTATATGTGAATCTGATTCTTAAGTGGTGCTCTACATCCATATACACGTAGCTACTTCATATACAGGCAAACAGCAGACTGGTATTTCCCCTTTTTGGTCTTTAGTGTCGCTGATACAGCAAAATCTTGGTGCATTTGAGCTGCGTTTTCTTGCGTTCAAGGCCGTTTTAGGCTGTTAGAATAGCACCAAACAATTGCTCTCATCTGGCAGTTACTTGCTAACGCTTTTGCTCAACTTTTTGAGGACTAAAAAAAACATGGCCAAAAAGCATGAGGTACCCCTCATGGTTTTCATCGAAAATTGCCTTTCGTTGAATCCATGATCTACCAACAGCACCCAATCTTCAAACTGCCGAATAGAGAGCTCCGTTTCGTCATGCTAGACATGGCTAACCTCGATGTCGGTAGACATTACAGTAACCAACTCAGCAAACAGCAATGGAAGGCATTCTACAAGAACACGATGCACTACTCAGCTCGCAACCTTTGGTACAGAATGATCCACAAACAAAGCTCAAATCAACTGGCAATGGCCCAACGCAATCTTAAACATGCCGCATCAGACCGCTGTACCCTTTGCAATGAAGTGGAAGACGCTCAACACCTGCTCATCAGTTGCGTCCATAAACTTGATGTCTGGGACTCCTCCTTCAACGAGTTCCTTAGCTACCCCAAAACCGCCGATCCACAACTTATCTACAACTCAATTATGCACTTCAAACTGAAGCATTATTATATCTACAATTATGACTTACACATTATCATATATGACCTCTTTGCCACCATTATGCGTACTATCTGGAGACACCATTATCAACAGTTTTACAACCTCATCCCCTTTAATGCCATCCAAGTCTGTCGCCACATCCGCACAGAACTGTTAAGATTGTCAAATCTTAGGCAACTCTCCCATTAGTCTATTATTCAAGATTTATATATGGCAAGTCACTTTGTCTCCATACACTTGTCCATCTCTTTGATGCATTTGTTTTATTTCTAATTACTATCCTAATAAAATAATATCATCCAAAAAAAAAAAAAAAAAAAAAAGTTTTCATCGAAAATTTAGACGTTGGCCGCCACTTCAACAACAACATCTCCAAAAAGCAATGGACAGCCTTCTATAAAAACGACATGCACTACTCGGCTCGTAATCTGTGGTACCGGATGCTCCATCAGCAATCCCCTAATAAGCTCGCCCTCTTCCAAAGACACTTGCCCAACTTAGAGTCTGATCACTGCGATCTATGCAACGAAGTAGAAGATGCCAAACATCTTCTAATTAGCTGTGCTCACAAGATCGATGTATGGAACTCCACCTTCAATGAGTTCCTCAGCTATCCCAAAAATGCTGACCCTCGCCTCGTCTACAACAACATTATGCTCCTCAGACTAGACCGCTATCTCATACACAGCTACGATATGCAGTTCACTATATACGACTTCTTCGCCACTATTATGCGTATGATTTGGAGAAATCACTTCCAACAGCTCTACAATTATATACCTTTTGATCCCTCCGTAGTATGCCGCCAAATCCGCGCCGAATTGATAAGATTGTCAAATCTTAGGAAACTCTAAATAGCTTATATATGGCACGTCACTTTGTTTACATACACTTGTCCATCCCTTGATGCGTTTAATTTATTTCTAATAAATCAAATATCATCCAAAAAAAAAAAAAAAAAAGTTTTCATCGAAAATCAAACGATCGCGTTTTTCACCTTGAAAATGAAGACTTTTACTATGGTGTATATTGAATCAAAATGTTTCTATAGATCCAACGTAGTCCCTGAAATCATCTTTGTGGGACTTTAATATAGAAAATCTCGACTTTTTGGCCAGAAACCTCTTTTCATATTTCGCAAATTACCCAATGAGTTTATTCAAAACATTCATCTTACTTGGGGCCATTGGATGCACCTTGAAAAGCACTCAAAGGAAGCTTAATAAAGCATTGAATGGTTATTGCAGTTTACATAGTCGAATCTTCCAAAAGAGTATAATCGAGTCGCTTTTGTTTGAAATTTGGCCAATCTGGAGCAGAAGTGTGGCGGAGTTTCAGCTGATTTTGGCTGCTCAGAACAGCAATATTGCTTGCCAACAATAATGATGATAATCAATGCTGTTGAATGCTCATAAGAAGAAGGGCATTACTATTTGAAAAGGTGCAATAGCTTGACTCGAATACCTTGATTCACTTTTTTCTCTCGTTTTTATAACTGTCAAAATTGCCGTAAAGCATGCGATCGCATTGGGAGATACCAAATTGTCATCCTATTCAAATTTACTAATGGTTTTTTGATTGTACATGATACTTTATTTTTTAATGAATTGTTGGGGTTTACTCGATGCACATGCATTATGCCTACATGAAAAGATTTCCGAGGTTTAGAAGAAATTCAAAAAGTATATGTTTGCAAGGTGGGATGATGTTTTTCAGATTTGTCAATGTATTCCAAATCGATTCATTTGGCGTTTCGTTTATCCCTCGAAATGGGAATGCATATTTTGGTTGTGTTGTTTTCTATACTAAATACTAACAGAGTGATGTGAAACTACGGCTCAATGTTTCTTTATGGTAAAGTGCTCCTTATTATGCTCTCAAATGTAGAAGCCCCTGGGTGAACAAACATGAGAAGGCAAGAACCCGCCCCTGGGTTTCTGTCAAATAATCTTTATACAATCTTATTTCATTCTAAACGTACACATTATGCTAGTGTGAATGGTGAATAGTACCTTTAGTAACAGACAATACGACGATGCGATTCCGCCCATGCCACAGGATTTTGATGTGATGCCGGACTTTGTTCGTATTTATGGTGTTGCCATCGAGACGGCATTTACCAAACTAGATGTGTAAAGATGTCTCACTGTCAAAGTTCGACTAGATGCACAGGAAAGCATCAAGTATAAATAAACGAACCTCACTGAGCAATTATAGCATTACATGAGATGACGAATTAATTATCAGAAGCAGTCAGTGTGCTTCACATGAAGCTTGTCGATGTTTCGATCGGTTGGCGTACAAAATGTATAGATATGGTGGTATGTAGCCAGTGCAACGTCCTTATGATTCATTGGGTTGTACAGAATAACCATTCATATTTGATTGGCCCCAAGACTATCTACATGGATATAAAAGTTCCAACTTGTATGACTAGACTGCAAGCCGCTTATAATATTGTAAATGTCCCTTGCATTTTAATTCTAATTTACCAATGTGAGGATGCATAACATATAGGAACCACCCTAAAAAGTAAATTGCGCTTAAAATGATATGCTTCATGCCAAGAAAGACCTTTTTACTTTTAGCATTGAATGTAGTAGTAGTTGTGAAATATTTTAGTGCATGTGGTACAATTTATCCACAGCAATGTTTCCTAGTGTTCAACAGTACTGTAATTTATAACATTTATTCTCTAGAATATTAATATAAAAGCAACCGAAAATAGCGCATAAATAAGAGCGATGTTCTAGACTTTTTATTGGGAAAAAAGCTTAAACTTTTTTTTTTATGGCCGTACGCTTGAAAAGAAAAAAAAAAAAAAAAAAAAAAAAAAAAAAAAAAAAAAAAAAAAGATCTACAAATGATTTTTCTGCTGATTACCCATCGCCTCCAGATGTCATACTCCGCACATGAAATAGCAAATGGAAGCGATACATGTTGCACAGAACATGGACGGTTGAATCAGTAGATGAATGTTTTACTGCGATGTCTAGTCGAGATTGAATCAAACATTCGTATGAAACATGTCAACGCCATCCAAGATTCAGCCAAATCAACCTTTTTTTTTTCCAACATGTCGAAAAAAGAAAATGAAAGGAACCAATAATGTCACTGGCAGAAAGGCCGATCATTTTTTGTTAAGGGCAGAAATAGCCTTTTTTAAACAGAAAAAAAATTTACATCTTGTAATGAAAAAGATCGACGGTTGATTGGTTTTTGTGCCTTTAATGAATAAAAATAAAATATTTTCTCGCATTTCCCAATTTCCGTCTTCCTTTTCTTCTTTCTCTTTCTTTAACTATTTCCCAACTCTCTTGTACTATCCTCCTCCTCCCCCCCCCCTTGATTTCCACTGTAAAATATACAACAACATTAAATAAAACAGAATTAAATATATACTAAACCAGATATAAATGATCGTGATGGCACCCTACACATCTACTACATCAAAAGGAAAGAAGCCATACAAAAGTTGGTTGAAAGATGGTGTCAATGGCGGTCCTTCTTCTATGGATGTCCTTGTAAACTGGTTGTCAAAGAAAGCCAATTACGCTAAATGGAAAGGAGATGATTGCGAAAGAATCCCCAAGAAATCTCTGCTGGAAAGCATCATCGATCAAATGAGAGAAGTCGGCATTTATCATCGATTAGCAAAAGATGTCGCATCAAAAATCTCAACATTGCAAAGTAATTACCGCTTAGCTCGTGAATGGAAGGAGGTCGATGGCAAGAAACTGCTCGAAACTGGTGCTAGCGAAGAAGGCATTCATGAAGAACTGCTCAAGAGGTTCCCCTACTGGGATGCTTTGAACGAGGTGTTCAATAGCAATCGTACCTCTGCCTGGCCCATGTCTATTAGCAGCATCATGCATGCTTCAGAAGAAGAAGAGCTGTTTCATGTCAAGCAAGAGGAATACGGTTTCGACGAAGACGATGAATCACTTACATCTCCAGTAAAAAGAAGACGCCGCTTAAGTGACAGTACACTGCAACCTACAACGAGATCATCTGTCGACAACACATCTGATTCAGCTAGTACTACACATTCAACCCAATCTCTACCTGCTTCAAATATACAATATCATCACCAACAGCTTCTATCACACCACCAACCTCTTCATCACCTACATCAACCACCACCACAGCCACCACAACATCAGCAACCAACGATTATCCGTCCTCTACCCCGAGTCTTGCCCTCTCCTATCATTCATCCCACTTCCACCTCATCATCCTCATTATCTAATACTTTACCTGCACCATCACAACATCAACAACATCATCATCATCAACAACAACAACAACAACAACAACAACAACAACAAACACCACCATCTTTTGGGCGTGATCATATCCTTGCCGAGTCTTTATTACAAGTAACACGTGAAAAAGAAGCTGGCCGAATGAAGCGATCTCAAGATATGTTACAGTTCTTGAGAGAGAAACGAATGGAGCGAGATCAACTGTTGATTGAAAAAGAATTGACCAAGCGAGTGAAAGCCAAAGCAGAACTTGTGAAGAATCTCATGGAAGCCGGCTTTGACAAAGCTGCTATTGCTGAGCAACTTAACATGTTGTAAACCAATATTCCTGATCTATAATTACATTTCGCCTTGCTGTTTTATTTACTACCACTACTCTCCTTTTAACCTTCAAAATCAGTCAAATCACACATACAAACAGACTCTCTCACTCTATCCTTTCATTCAGTCAACCTAATATATATATATATATATATATATATTCACAGTTATTCGACCAAAATATGCAGAAATCAACAAAAAGAACCCCTTCTAGAGCAAAAAGCAAAAACAAAAAAGAAATACCCTTTTTTTTATCCATTTTTTTTTTCTCTTGCTCTACCTTTTCTCGCCCAATGTCCAGATATATGCAAATGCTTTATCTTCTCTTTTTTTTTTTTCTTCTTTACTATATTCTTATATTCCCTAGTTTTTTAGTATGTACTTTTTCTCTCTTTTTTTCCAATAAAAAAATATCTATACAAATCATTCTTAAACGTATTGGGGGAGTACACGGATTGCAAACAAGACAAATTGCTTAAAAAGGGTTTATCCAGCTTTGCCACACCTTACAAAGGTTGACGGAACCACCTAAATATGAATAAATAAATTGACTCGGGAATCTTGTCGTGATTGGCAATATTTAGGAAGGAGATCCCATTACACAAATTATTCAAGATTTGGGTATACGAGGTGGGACACACTGAAAATTTTTGGATAATAGGCAAATCCAACAGAACAACCACCTCATTCGAGATGAAGGACATTTTACTGCTATTAATAGCCTAAAACCTTGAAATATACAAACGTGACCAATAGTTATCCAAGTGCAAACTACAGAATGCAATTAAAACAGAAATTTGTAGATGTTCTGCTTAGCATGTGTCCAGCATTTGGTATTGATGAACCTCATTCAAGGTATCTCAAGCTGAATGTCCACTTTTTAGACGGCCCAAATAGTATGAGGAGTGTGGACTCAAAGACTTTTATTAACGTCAATGTGCGACAGCCATCCCATAACGAGCATTTTTTCATTGGATTGATACTACACAATACTTTTTCTGCTGATAAATATCTTTGTTTATTTCTAGAAATTGGTCGCACACACAAAAAATGATTGTTCAAAATTGAGTTTTGATTGCACTAAATAATAATAAACCAAAGGTCGCCTTTTTCATAAAACGAAGATCGTATACTGGACATACTTTGATAGATACTGGCTGTACCTTTACAAATACTGGTGATACTATTCTGAAAAAAAAAAAAAAAAAAAAAAAAAAAAAGAGAAAGAAAAGCTGCACTTTATGCTTGCCTGATTGGTGAAAATCAACAATGATCCATGAACAGCATCCTGAATGCAATCACCATTGCCAGGTCGAAGGGATCAACTAAGCTGTTGTTAAATGATGGTCTTAGCATCTGCAGTACAGTATAAAGATTTTATAATTTTCTTGGTATTCCTTCAACCCATATCTGAAAATAGCAAATATCTCTAGCCTCATTGCCATATGAATATTTCCTATTGATAAAAGTAGAATTAATATAATACGAGTGTTTATGCTTCGGATGGCTCTCTGCCTTCGCTCTGCTTCGGTGAAAACCAACCTGCACAGCGGCAGCTAGCGCTACTGATTGCCCTTGCGTACCTTATCATAATACTGCTACTTTCATGTTGACCCTCCACTCACACATGAAAACCCTTTATATTATATGTGAATCTGATTCTTATGTGATGCTCTATATCCATATAAACGTAGCTACTTCATGTACGGGCAAGCAGCATATTGGTATTTCCCCTTTTTAGTCCTTCGTGTCCCTGATACAACAAAATCCAAGTACATTTGAGTTGCGTTTTTTTTGTGTTCAAGGCCGTTTTAGATGGCCAGAATAGCACCAAACAATTGCTATCATCTGGCAGTTACTTGCTGACACCTTCGTTCAACTTTTTGGGGATAAAAAAAAAACATGAATGATATTCGACCAAAAAGCATGAGGTAACCCTCATGGTTTTCATCGAAAATCAAACGATCGCATTTTTCACCTTGACAATGAAGACTTTTACTATGGTATATCTTAAATCAAAATGTTTCTCTCGATCTAACGTAACCTCTGAAATCATCTGTGTGAGACTTTGATATGTAAAATTTCGACTATTTGGCCAGAAACCTCTTTTCATATTTTTACAAATCATTCAGTAAGTGTATTCAAAACATCTATATAACTTGGTATCATTGGGTGCGCCTTGAAAAGCATTCCAAGAAAGCTTAAAGACGCAGGGGATGATCATCATATTTTATATAGTCGAATCAGCAAAAATAGTTTTATCGAGTCGAAAATCATTAAGATTTGGCCAATCTAGAACAGACAATTATGAGTCTGTGTTTGAATTAGTTTTGGAGGCTGGTAGGGTTGGCAGGCAAACTCAATGCCCTTTTTATCATGAAGGCGATACAGTAACAGATGCTTTTGAAGCGTATGGAAAGTAGATGACATAGTAAAGCACTATCAATGGACTTGGCATTTTCCTTGCATTCTATATTTAATAACGTCATTCTGGACATTGACGCTTCATGGGCTGCAGAGCATGTTTGCAGTAAGTAAGGGAATATAGATCACAATCAACATTTCTCTCAAAGAGATGATCAGTTTGGTTAAACCGAACGTTATCAGTAATATCAAATTTGGAACAAAATAAACATCAATTCCATTTTTTTTTAGTATTTCAAACAATATGTTATCTAGGTTTCTACTATGACGTGGTCTTCTCAATGGTCGAGTATGTTCGTTTTGTTGTCTCGATCGCAGCCGTTGACTAAATCTCTGAGGCTCCTGATCTTCGTTCAAAGAAAATGTTGAAAGCATTGAGCAGAGGAAAGGTGACAAGAATAAAAGTGGTTGCTAATTGATTGTAATTTAATTTATATAAAATCATTAATCATATATGAGCCTGACCTGACAGATGCCTGGCAACTCAGTTTCCATATTAGAGTTGTAAAAGTGTCTAAGGACTGAACATTTATTATGCTATGGTAGAATCCAAGAAAATAGCATGGCTAAAGATAACGCTATGTAATTTACTGCCTACTTTCCATACGCTTCAAAAGCATCTGTTACTGTATCGCCTTCATGATAAAAAGGGCATTGAGTTTGCCTGCCAACCCTACCAGCCTCCAAAACTAATTCAAACACAGACTCATAATTGTCTGTTCTAGATTGGCCAAATCTTAATGATTTTCGACTCGATAAAACTATTTTTGCTGATTCGACTATATAAAATATGATGATCATCCCCTGCGTCTTTAAGCTTTCTTGGAATGCTTTTCAAGGCGCACCCAATGATACCAAGTTATATAGATGTTTTGAATACACTTACTGAATGATTTGTAAAAATATGAAAAGAGGTTTCTGGCCAAATAGTCGAAATTTTACATATCAAAGTCTCACACAGATGATTTCAGAGGTTACGTTAGATCGAGAGAAACATTTTGATTTAAGATATACCATAGTAAAAGTCTTCATTGTCAAGGTGAAAAATGCGATCGTTTGATTTTCGATGAAAACCATGAGGGTTACCTCATGCTTTTTGGTCGAATATCATTCATGTTTTTTTTTTATCCCCAAAAAGTTGAACGAAGGTGTCAGCAAGTAACTGCCAGATGATAGCAATTGTTTGGTGCTATTCTGGCCATCTAAAACGGCCTTGAACACAAAAAAAACGCAACTCAAATGTACTTGGATTTTGTTGTATCAGGGACACGAAGGACTAAAAAGGGGAAATACCAATATGCTGCTTGCCCGTACATGAAGTAGCTACGTTTATATGGATATAGAGCATCACATAAGAATCAGATTCACATATAATATAAAGGGTTTTCATGTGTGAGTGGAGGGTCAACATGAAAGTAGCAGTATTATGATAAGGTACGCAAGGGCAATCAGTAGCGCTAGCTGCCGCTGTGCAGGTTGGTTTTCACCGAAGCAGAGCGAAGGCAGAGAGCCATCCGAAGCATAAACACTCGTATTATATTAATTCTACTTTTATCAATAGGAAATATTCATATGGCAATGAGGCTAGAGATATTTGCTATTTTCAGATATGGGTTGAAGGAATACCAAGAAAATTATAAAATCTTTATACTGTACTGCAGATGCTAAGACCATCATTTAACAACAGCTTAGTTGATCCCTTCGACCTGGCAATGGTGATTGCATTCAGGATGCTGTTCATGGATCATTGTTGATTTTCACCAATCAGGCAAGCATAAAGTGCAGCTTTTCTTTCTCTTTTTTTTTTTTTTTTTTTTTTTTTTTTTCAGAATAGTATCACCAGTATTTGTAAAGGTACAGCCAGTATCTATCAAAGTATGTCCAGTATACGATCTTCGTTTTATGAAAAAGGCGACCTTTGGTTTATTATTATTTAGTGCAATCAAAACTCAATTTTGAACGACCAATTTCTAAAAATATTTATCAGTTTCGTTGTATAGAAACATGGACTCGTCATCCCAGCCTTTCACCTTTACAAGTAGATCCTCGCTACCCAATCATGGACAATGCACATGCCTTTGTGGCTGATTGGAATCAACTTTCAAGTGATTTTGATCTTTCTGGGAAGCCAGATACGTGACTAGATGGGCAAGGCGCGTAAATAAATACACCTTTAAAGCTTTTTATACATTGCAAACTTTATCACAATCTTTCATTCATTTTATATCAAAGCAACAATTTTCTGTTCACATCTACTACTTGATTCCATCTTAAATCAAGAACAAAAAGAATACAAAACTCTTATTTAAACATCTCCTCAATATGGGAATCCAAGGATTGTTGCAATCACTTCGCCCTATTCAAAGAACCATCAATATCTCAGAATACCAAGGCAAAACTGTCGCTATCGATGGTCATTGTATCCTTCATCGTGGCGGTTTCGGTGCTGCAACAAAGATTGCATTGAACCAACCTACCGATTCGTAAGTATCGATGTCTATTCAATGGGTCTGTATTGACATGAATCTTTTGTAGATATGTAAACTATTTCATGCAATTCATGGGCTTGCTTGAGTATCATGGTGTCACACCTATCGTGGTTTTTGACGGCCTCCCTCTCCCTTTAAAGCAAATCACCACGGATGAACGTCGCAAGTAAGTCTTCAAAGTGCAATCAAGCGCCTCATCATTGTCATTGACATGCACTTGGATCTAGAAACCGTCAAGCTGCATTGAAACAGGGCCTGAAGCTGCATGAACAAGGCAAAACTGCCGCAGCTGAGAAATACTTTCAACAATCAGTGTCTATTTCGAATGACATGATTATTACTGTCATTAGAGTAAGTATCTCTCTTTGTTTGAACAGTTTGTACCTTTTGTTAACTACTTTCTACAGAGACTGATGGAAAAGAAGATCCAGTGCATTGTAGCACCCAACGAAGCTGATGCTCAACTTACTCACTTGGTGAATACAGGAAAAGTGGATGCTGTTGTCACTGAGGATTCCGATCTCTTGGCTTTTGGATGTGCGAAGATCATCTACAAGATTGATAGATACGGTGATGGTATCGAAATCTGCATGGATAAAGTCATGAATGACCACAGAAGCACCCTTCACGAATATGACGCTGAAACCATTCGACATATCTGTATTTTATCCGGTTGTGATTACCTGCCTTCCATCAAGGGCGTTGGCCTCAAAACAATACTGAAAAGATACGAAATCAACAGAAACACGGATCAAGCATTGTACAACTTGCAGCACCAATTCAAGAAAGACTTCCCTGCTGATTATATTGAGAAGTTTTACTTTGCAAATCTTGGGTTCTTGCACCAGTGGGTCTACGACATTGATGAAAAGAACTACAAGCGTTTAAACCCACTGCCAAGCGAATGCTCTGAAGACGATATCAAGTTGCTAGGTAGAATTCCAACCGTGCAAGACTCCACCATGTTCCGCGTCAATAAGATCATCCCCAAGCCTAAGCCCCAGGATAATCCATTAAAAGAGTGCATTGTAAAAGAGTTTCTTGCTTATACCGAGTCATCCAAAGAGAATATCATGGTTAGTAGCACCTACAAAATGCTTGAAGATACACTTCAAACTAATGACATCCATCTTTCATAGCCTTCACACTTGGGAGTACCATTTTCAGCAACATCACCAAAGTCGCCCAAATCACCCAAATCACCTTCATCGTCGTTTGGAATAAGGTCAAGACAAGTGTTGTCTGTATCTAAATTACCTCAACACAACAGTAATATTATTACAGCGGCAGATTCATGGACTACAACATCTGATGAGCCTTCTTCATACTTGTCTATGCCAAGAGTGGTAACACAAGGCGAAAGACTTGAAGCTCTGTACAAAAGATTCGGTGTGTTACCAAGAAAGCCTCGACAGGTTACCAGTAAATCAACTGCTGCTTCAAGGAGCCTAACCGATACATCGCCATCCACCAGCTTACCAACTAATAGCAACAAGCCACCATCATCTGAATCTGAGAGTACCTCATCTCGTGGCATTGGAAAGATTTTCCGTGGAACCAATATTAAATCAGCAGCTAATCTTCCTACTTTCTACTCGCGAGATCGTGATTCATGGATGTCTTACATCAAGCACAAACATAGTCCTCATCCATTAGCATTGGGTTCCACAGTAAAACGTCTCTATCAGCGCATGAAGAGCAAGAAAGATGCATCTGAAACACCTTTATCATCGTCTCCAAGTTCTCCAACTTCACCATCTCCAGTTGAACAACCTTTGGTGCCTTTGACTGAAACAAGCACAGCTTCAATAACAATCCAAAAAGACGCTGTTGAACCAACCCAATCAAACACCGTTAAACCAACTCAAGCAGACGCTGTTGATGCAACTCACGACTACCCCATCTCTCCTCCTCATACCTCATTAATGGAATATGAGATGTCTAGCAACACCACTGTGAACGCGTCTGATACCACAGCATCTAATGGCAACATTAGCACAGACAAAGTAGCACATGAGATGGATCAAACATCAAGTGGCCAAGCCTGGGAGATGAACAGCCGATCTTCACCTTTATCGTCGCTTACAGCTACATCTAGCGAACAGATCAAAGTTCCATATAATCGCCATACCCAAGCCAGTAAATGGACTCAAATTCTAAATTCAACGCCATCATCTGGTTACATACCATCCAACGCACGTACCAACTATTTAAGAAGCAACACAACTACATGCAGCAACCATAATACGATTCTATATAATCGACATACCCAAGCCAAGCCCATGTACAGCGATTCGGCTCCACCTGTAAATAAAACACCATCATCTGATTACATACCGACCATTGCACATATCAAACAGACTTCAATCCAACATCATCAAAACACTCAAGCTATGGCTAGTGAACTAGCTCAGCCTATTGGCTTGGCGGCTGGATCTGATGCCACATTACCTAACGAATATATCAGTCATTCAGCAAGCAATACGACTATATCCATCAAACACAATACAACTCTACATAATCAACATACCCAATCCAGGCCCAAGGCCAGTGAATTAGCTCAACCTGTGGATATGGCGCCAGCATCTGAACACACACCTTACAACGCTCACAACAACCATTTAACAGGCAATGCAACTAAAGCGACAGCTACAACGGTCATCGAGCCACCTCAAAATATATCAAATGATGGTGAAAAGGAGAACAGTAACGCCAGTAGCAGCAAATACCATAGTAATGACCGCCATATGAGCTTCTTAACCCCAACATATGATATATCGAGGTTTAATGACGAGAAATTCAAGAAAAGATCGTTGCACAGTGCTTCCACAACGCAAAGGAGTAGTTCTGACAAGCACATCACCGCTCGTCCACCCGCACTCAATGTTCACGTCAACTATCCAACGAGCACTACAGCTACATCCATAAATGAGGGTACAATTCCACATCATCAGGAAGCTCAAGCCAAATCCATGGTCAATGATCCAACTCAACCCGTAAATATGGTACCATTGTCTGTGCCTCCCAATGCCCACAACAACCTCCCAAAAGCCAATGCAGTTAAAACAACAACAGCGGCTACAACGACTGTCAACACGCCTCAGCATGCACCAAAGAGTGATGAAAAGGAGAACCCCAACGCTAGCAGCAATAAATACCACTACTGTAATCCCCTTATGAGCCATTCAAACATGTCAAATACAACACATGTGCTGCCTGATTTTAACAGTGCGCAATCCAGAAAAAGATTCTTCGACCAGACAGAGCACAGCCCATCCACTATTCAAGGCAATAGTCGCAAGAAATGCTTCCCAGCTCTTCCACCCTTACCAAAGCGCAGATACCGCCGTCATTAAAGATATTATTCAAACTTATAAGTAAAATAAAAGAGTTTTTATAGTTTTTCTTTTGCTATTGTTACCTATTTTTGCAATAATTCGAGGATCAAGGTATATTCCAGACCAAGAAAATTTTTTTGAAAGGTTCATTCGAAACCATCAGCTGCAATTTCGGAACAGTATTAAGAAAGCATTGTCATGGTAAGATTTGGCTGCTCATCATGCTAATGCTCTGGATTGACATTGCTGAATCCCACTTGTATCCATTGTCGAAATACAATAAAAGCTCGAATGCAAAAGGGATATACTGCTTATATATATACGTCCAATACTCATTATGCGTCAATATCATAGTAAAGCCTACAAAATGTAGAGAAGTAGAACTCACACCTAAATCAAAAATATGGGCTATAGTAAGGTTTGTGATTTGCAATTTTGAGTAAGCCGAGGTTTTGCATTTTGCATAGATTTATAAATTGCAACGAGTGATTTTTACGAGAAATTTCTTTCGACCTAGAATGGGTGCTTCGAGTGAAATATATGAAAAAAGCCCACCAAAAGTAAACAACAATCAAGTAGAATAAACCACAGTATCTTTCAAATCGTAAGTCTCTTTATTTAGCTTCAAAAGCATCGAATACATTGATAGCAAAGGCATCCAAAAATGGTTAAAATTTCGCTCGATATCTGCTCTAGATTGGCCAGATTTTAATTAAAAACGACTTAATTCCACTATTTTTGTGGATTTGACTATACAAACTGTGATGATAATTTCATGCTTCCTTAAACTTTTTAAGAGTACTATTCAAGGCGCATCTAACAGTGCTAGTTATAATATGTGTTTTAAATAAGCTCATTGAGTATTTTTTTTTTTTTTTTTTTTTTTAGAAAATATGAAATTGGGTTTTTGACCAAAACGTCAAAGTTTTACATACCAAGGTCCGTCCCACAAAAATGATTTAAGGGGTTGCTTTGGGTAGACACAATCATTCTGATCTAATATATGTCATAGTAAAAGTCTTCATTTTTGAGGTCAAAAACGCGATCGTTTGATTTTTGATGAAATCGATAAGGGATACCTCATGGTTTTTGATCATGTTTTTGAGGTCTCCAAAAAGTTGGATAAAGGTTGAAGACTCTAAAATAGCAACCGAAAAGTAACCTTATTAAAAACCGGGATCCATCAAATATCACTCATTCAAATTCATGCTATTCGAATTTATTAATAAAGCGCTCAAATGTACTTCAACAATCACTTAAACATACTAAAGTAAAGATGCGCTCTTATCTCGCACATCGTGTAAATAAATCACTCCTGACCACAGTGTATTCAATCACACCCATGATGGTCGTAATGAGCGATGTTATCTTTATTCAAATAAAATCAAATCAATAACAAGCATATTCAAATATGACAACTATACCCTAATGCCATAGTGGCACAGTACTGCAGATAAAGGGCTCTACACTTCAATAACAAATATCATACTTTAAACTATCAAGGCTACATTAAATCAAACAATGGCAATAGCTCTTCCAAGCCCATCAAGATTACTCAAATCGACCCTTATGGCCAGTGCTCTTGCATTGATTACCACTTTAAATCAAACATCAACAACATTTGCCAGATATCGCAATAGCAGCACCTATTGCTCTCTATCATCATCACCACTAGTCGTCCTACTACAAGCTAGTTGCAAATGTATATATACTCTTCTTTTTTTTTTTTTTACTCAATTCCAGGGTCTTCAATTTATTTTACACACAAATAAAATACAGGTTGATTTCTATTGTATTTTACTATCGATTTATTTTTTTTTGAAATCCATTAAACTTGATTTCACTGCATTGCTGATGTATTTATAATATAATAACTTTCATCAAATAATATATTAAAAGGGCATCCTTCGCATGAATCCGTTAAATGGATGCTAGGTCAAATTATTGTACCTCATTATACTTTTGAATAAAGAACTTAAATTGTATCTATTTAGATACCCCTTTTATTACAAACACAAAAGCTATTATATATGAGAGAGCAGTAAGAAATCAACTAGTTGTAACCCTTTGCTACTTCAACCTCTGAGCCAACCAGATTGCTTGAAAACTCCGCTGACCTAAAAAAAAATTTGCGAGGGTTTCCCCCTGTTTTGATGTGAGGCAAAATTTTAAGCGCCGCTATAATAGCAGTATAGCCGCTGCTATCATCAAACTTCCCCCAGGTACTAGAGCATGCCTTACTTACACCACCTAGCTTTAGATTCTGGCGTTGAGACTCTCAATCATCACTAAAGTAAGTAGTGACAACCAAGTGGAGGCAGCCTATCCACCTCCTAGCCTCGGATAAAGTCTTGTTGAGCTTCAGGGATAGGCACATCCACACAACGTAAAAAAGGTATGCTTCAAAGAAACATAAAAATAATAAAAGAATGAAGAAAAGAACATACTACTACTACTATAAGAGTATAGTGGTATGTAGGCAAAAAAAAAAGAGGCACTCACACGAAGCGAGTCAAAGAAAAGCGTAACGAATACAACACCAAAGATGTTCCAAAAAGCTCGTTGCTGTTGCAAGAAAAATGCATGCATGAGCAACGCGCATGGTAGTAATAGTCGGATGTAAAGCAAAATGATACAAATACGCACAACTGCAAAAGCAACAGTGGTATTATAAGTTTGCGATACAATATAATGACTAATATTGTTTCATGTGAAGCCACAGAGGAAGCATCACCAGCAAAAGAAAAAAGAAGAAAAAAGCGCAACAAGGCAAACATCATGAATGCATTATCACGAGAAAGGAAACAACAATAATATAAGCGCTCAAAGAAGTCTTATATCATTGCGACCAGAAGAAAAAAGATACTTACCACTTACCACAGATACAGATACACCAGAAGAATATAGGCAATCACCGGAGACAGACCAGGGAACGAGCATGCACCAAATACAGTGGACCAGAAAAGACCAAATTAGCAGCAGCAGCAGCAGCAACGCCAGCACAAAAGAAAAACTAAAGAACGAATACCATCAGCAGAGACCAGACAAAGGCCAAAGAAGTTACTTATCGCTTATCACCACCACAGATAGACCAGATATTACGCAATCATCGGATATAAATCAGAGAACGAGTATGCATCAAAGGCAGTACACCAGGAAATACCATATTATCAGCAGCAGCAGCAACAGCAGCAGCAACGCCAGTAGCAATGACAGCAGTTTAGAAAAACCGAACAACGAGCGACACCAGAGACCAGCCAAAGATTAAAGAAGCAACCGCCAGAGATATAGACCAAAGAAGCAGCTACCGGACATAATAAACCAAAGAAGCAGACGGCAGAAATAGCCGAGAAGTAATGGAATCAGCATCCACATCAAACAATCAAAAAAATTATTGAAACCTAATATACAAATCCGATTAGTGTTAATTCCACGCCTTCCAGTGCTCGTTATCGAATGGTACCTAGTATATTCCACTTCAAAGAAGCAGTATCAAGTTCTTCCAGCGGTATAAGGCAGTGTTATCAGAAGCTAGAGTGTTATTATCAATCAAACGGTTTCCAAAACGACCATGATTTGATGCTAAACGCGTTTTGCGAAAAGGAAAAAAAAAACGGAGGCATGGAGAAATGAGAGGGCACTCTATCCGACGTCATAGCCAGTAAATTTAGTCTCAGCCTTGTACCATAGCAGTAGTAATTGCGGCCGTTTAATTTGAAATTGTGCAGTGGTATTTTTGTGTTCAAACTTGACTTGATTTGACATTCTTTGAATGTTTTTGCCAAGTTTAACAATGAAAACTGTCGTTGTTACATCCAACCTTCTAATACATTTTTGGAGATCTAAAAAAGCCGCATCGAATGATGCTAATTTCATTCAGCATTTACATTGAAAATGACGAGAAAATTGCAAAAATAGGAAAACACGTTTTCTGTAAATATATCAAATTCTAGCATATGAAAGTCTCAAAAAAGTAGTTTGCAATGTTGCATATAATCTTTACGGTCAATTTGGTCTGATATGTATTATAAAAAAAGTCGTCATTTTTGAGGTGAAAAACGCAATCGTTTGATTTTTAGGAGTTTTCCCTTACCAGTACACACAAAAAAATGAGGATTTTTATGAATCTGCAATGACCCAAAAAAAATTGAGATAAAGCATCAGTAAGTAAAGCGCAGCCAAGAGGAGCCGTTTGGTGCTACTCCTAGCACTTAAAACGCTTTGTGGCATGAGCTATTTGTGTTTGAAAATGGTTAGATTTGGACAGAGTTTGATCTATAGGTAAGACGTTGTAGGTTGTGATTTATCAGAAGTAAATCATTTTGAAAAAAGAGTATGAAATCAATCAGCTAAAGAATATCGTTTATTACATTGGAGATAAGAGAGTTTATATACTATTCGAACTGAGGGATTTGATGTGAGGATAAGGCGTTGGAGGGGTTGATTTGGGTGATAAGATAATGGATCGAATCCAATTTATTATACTGAACATGCCATAATTAGGATTGTAAATGAACCCTGCTTTATATCAAAGTTTACGATATGATATGGTCCGTGCTTGAGCTGATTGTTTCTATGCATTTAGAGATCCGGTTTAGAAATGATACATTAGTATGTTGTTCCAATATAGGAAACATTTAAGAGTTGAATGTCAACTTGTAGTAACAGAAGTAGGATCCAATATAGTAAGCAGTGAAGCGTGGTTTATTCGATAGTGTAGGCAATTTACAGCAAAAAGAGAGATTCAGCTACAAAACCAAAGTCGATTTGCAACAATATACATTTATCTAGGTCTACTTTAAACTACATCTATACACACGACAAGAGTGTCGTTAATAGAGATACGGTTATTGAGTAGACCTTGGCAAATGTATATAAAAGAATAGAATTGAGATAAAAGATGATCTTTATTGTTTTGCAAACTGATTTGATATTTATACTAAATTAAAAGGTTACACACAAAGACTATGTGTACCTGACAAGAGTGTCGAAAAAAAAAACTATAAAACAAAATAAAAAAGATCAGAGGTATCATTATTCAATGACAAATCTGTTCGTAATGGGATTGCCTGCTAACAGAATCGAACTGTTGACCTTCTGCTTACTAGGCAGACGCTCTGCCAACTGAGCCAAGAAGGCAATTTGATGAAAATATCAGAAAAAAATTAATGAAGACTAAACAAAAGTAACTTTTTCTTTTTTATAATTTATTTTATTACTACTGTTAATTTTATACGAGTGTTTATGCTTTAGATGGCTTTCTATCTTGGCTTCGCTTCGGTAAGAACCAACCTGTGCAACGTCAGCTCGCGTTACCACTTATCCTTGCGTATCTTAGCAAAATATTGTTACTTTCCTCTTGACTGTGGAATACATCCACTATGATCTGCATTCCAACAGTTCATCCAGTTACCAGATTTAGATATAAACTGTATGTACACTGGATTAGATGTACGATATCGATTTATACTACTATAAGAAGATATGGACTTCAGATATGCTAGTACTATAAGATTCATACTATATAAGCGCAAGATATAGGCTATAGATGGCACCACGGGCATGAATGGCGCTATAGACTCATACTTGTATTCCGACATTGACTACGGATGTTTACCATATCATCTGGATAGGCACCAAGATTAATGCAATTTGAGCCTGTTGCTTCAGATGTGCACTTCATGATCCACGCTATAAGACACATGCTTATATCCGTGATACTAGATACAGATACTTTATGTACTACAGACTTGTACTATATATGAGACATGCTATAGATGTATGCTTAGCGATATACACTCAGATATGTACTATTGATATAGACTAAGGAGACTGTACCTATCGGATACATGCTACTAGATCGATATTAATTATCCTTACAAAAAGGATAGATCAGGGTACTTCGGATGAGAGTCTAATTATTCATCCAGACAGAGCTAAATCATGATTAGCTTGCTGGAGTTGTCTTTTAGCATGATTAGACATTAGTTGATGATCTGAGTTGACTTATTTGTTAATCTAATTAATAGAACTTTTATCCATTGTTATAGTATATAAGAAGGATCATCTACCTGGCCAGTAGAGAGACTTCAGTTTACTTTACACTTGTCAGTTTGATAATAAAACATACCTTTATCAAGTTGACATTACTGTTTTTTTATTCTTTTTTTTCCGTGAATTTTAGTCTATAAAGCCTCAAATTCCACATTGACCCTCAACTTACACATGAAAGCCCTTGATATTATCTGCGAAACTGATTCTTATATGGTGCTCTACGTTCATATACACGTAGTTACTTCATATACGGACAAGTAGCAAATTAATAATCCCCTTTTTAGTCAAAAGTGGGCCCAATACAGCAAAATCTACGTGCATTTGAGCTGCGTTTTCTTGCGTTCAAGGCTGTTTTAGATTGTCAGAATAGTACCAAACAATTGCTATCATCTGGCAGCTACTTACTGACACATTTGCTCAACTTTTTGGGGATCAAAAAAACATGGACAAAATTCGACCAAAAAGCATGAGGTAACCCTCATGGTTTTCATTAAAAATCAAACGATCGCGTTTTTGACCTTGATAATGAAGACTTTTACTATGGTGTATATTAAACCAAAAAGCTTCTATCGATCTAACGTAACCTCTGAAATCATCTGTGTGAGCTTTTGACATGTAAAATCTCAACTTTTTGGCCATAAACCTCTTTTCATATTTTCATAAATTGCTCAATAAGTATATTCAAAACATCTATATTACTTGGTACCATTGGATGCGCCTTGAAAAGTACTCCAAGAAAGCTTAAAGACGCAGGGGATGATCATCATATTTTATATAGTCGAATCTGCCAAAATAGTTCAATCGAGTCGAAAATCATTAAGATTTGGCCAATCTAAAACAGACAATTATGAGTCTGTGTTTGAATTAGTTTCGGAGGCTGGTAGGGTTGGCAGGCAAACTCAATGCCCTTTTTATCATGAAGACAATGCAGTAATTTACAGATGCTTTTGAAGCGTAAGGAAAGTAGGTGAAAAGTTACATAGCATTATAGTCAACCATGCTATTCTTCTTGCATTCTGTGTTTAATAATGCTAGTCCATCGAAATATTTGTTAGGTCAACCTCTTTTCTTTTTTAGGCTTTGACAATGTCTAGGGACCATAAATTTATTATGTTACAATGAACATTTCACTCTTCGGTTGGTTTCCTGACCTACGCTTCGCTTTGGTGGAAGCCAGCCTACGTTCAGGTGGCTCACGCTGCCGCGGACCTTTGGCGGCTAATATCGCAAAATTAATAGTAACTTGATTGTGGATTGATAATGATTTAACATAAAATCTCTAATCATATATGAGCCATGTCTGACAAATTCCTGACAACTCAGCTTTCATATGAGGGCTGTAAAAGTGTATAGAGACTGAAAATTTATTATACTATGATGATTATATATATATATATATATATAAATCTAATCTTTAAAAGTTCGTTTACCAGTATCCGACAATATACACTGGGAATTTACTGCTATAGCCCAAACGGTGCATGTTAACATACGATATCAAATTAACCTTTTAGTAGAGAAGGGTTTTGCACGATCTGGCTTTTGATCCCAAAGCCCCTCTTTGGATCCACAGCTATGGTCGTGTTGGATATAACGTTTACGGATGATAATTGTGATAATTTATCCTGTTTATTGAGACGCTAATACCTCGACATGTTACAAAAAAAAAGTCCTTAAACGAATTCTTTGGTCACCTTCATTGTGGAATTTCAAGCAGTTGATTCTAATGCAGAGTTACATAGCTCAAGTTTTGTAGCAGCATGTCTTGTGCTTGATCGATGAGCAGTCATTCAAAAAATGCACAACTATTTCAAGCGCCATTCTTCTGCTTTTTACATCTCCCAACTTCACAACATCAACAATGAGCAGCTCAAAATTTACACAGGTAAATAAACCAAAGAAGAGAATGACGAAAAAGAAAACGTTCAAAATTCTTGATTTTACCATGCTTTTATTACACTCAAAAACGGATTGAAAAAGGCAGCAGATCACGACTATTTGCTTGAAGAAAAGCAACCTTCCATCGGCTACAGTGATTATGAGACAACGATACAAGTGTCAATGGAAACACACATCCCAGAGAACAACATTGGATACAGACTATTGCAAAAGATGGGCTGGCAAGCAGGAAGAGGACTTGGTTCTCAAGGACAAGGCAGAATCGATCCAATTCGCATCGAGCTCAAAGACGATTCTCTCGGTGTGGGTAAAGCAGAGGAATATACCACAACACACGTATCAACAACAGCCAAAAGAAAGGCACTAGACAGCGAGAAACAGCTAGAAGAAACAGAAATACAAAAGATTGAGAGAGAATATCAAGTAGAAAAGAAACAAGCGATAGCACGAGAATTGAAGGAGGTCAAGAAGGCCTTTTATTGTGAATTATGCGATAAGCAATACAAGAATATCGGTGAATACGAACAGCATTTGCAGAGTTACGATCACCACCATAAGAAGGTTCGAAAACTATTGCTATATACCGAGCTCGAGACTCAAATTCTTGTTTGATGCATGTAGAGATTCAAAGACATGAAGGAAAACACTCGGAATTCTACAATCAATCAGTCAGAAAGGGAAAAGAAATTGGCTAGGGAGAGAAAACGAGAAGAAAGAGAGCTGAAGCGGATGCAAGATGCTATACAAAAGAAGCTAGGCAACAGCAACATCAACACAAATACATCGCCAAAACCAACTGCATTGCCTACCATTCCAGTAGCCAATACAGCGAGCGGTGGAGAAGGAGGATGGACAAATGCAGAGACTAGATCAGGCTCTAGCAGTGGAGGATGGACAACTAGCACCATTCCCATCGCAAGACCTACTATTCCATTTGCTAAACCCATTGACACTGCCAATTCTATTCCATCAACTACTTCAGCAGACGCTCCCATCTCAACTGCATCCACACCACAGCCCAAGAAACTATCATTTGGCCTAAAGAAGAGCACAGGATTTCAATTTGGGTTAAAGAAGAAATAAGAAAGTGGCTTATTATACGAGCATTGTGTGCGAACAAATGAATGCACTACAGTGTGAAGCAGTTTAGTTCGCTTCCAATAGTGGCGCCCCTGGCACTAAAGATGAATAAACATCCCCGCTTTTTTTTTACCATCAGAATTCGTTTTTTTTCCTTTCAAAACAACCCCCCCCCCTCTCTCTTTTAACCACATCACCATGTTCCGTCCTACTGTTCTTTTCAATGCTGCTGCCAAGGCTGCTGCCATGAGACCTGCCATGTCTGTCTCCCGTATTGCTTCACCTATCGCATGTCGTTTCTATTCCAGCGGTGGATTGTCTCAATCTGATATCGAGGTTCGTGTTTTGGACATTTTGAGAGGTTTCGATAAGGTGGATGCCAACAAGGTAAGAAATGAAGTTTAATTTAATTTAAACAAAAGACGGGGACACTTCAATTAATGAAAATGAATTAGATTGCTCTTGAATCTCACTTTGTCAAGGATCTTGGCCTCGATAGTTTGGATACTGTTGAAGTTGTTATGGCCATTGAAGAGGAATTCTCGGTTGAAATTCCTGACAAGGAAGCTGATGATATCAAGACCGCCAAGCAAGCTGTCGAATACATTAGCCACCGTGCTGATGCTCATTAAGTTATTTAAATTGTAGAAGAAGATGGTATACACAAAGCACAACCACAAAGACACACAAATCACATACTTTTATACACGCACTCACACTAAAAGAAAAAAAAAAAAGATGCAACACTTTGTTTATATACACTTCAAATAATAAACCAAACGGAAAGTATCGAGCCTCGTTTTTACATCAAATGTATGTGTTTGTTGAGTGCATATGGCATCTATAGGATGGACTTGGTTAGAAATGGATGTCCTTTCACTGTAATACCAGTTGAGATACGAAATGCCCTATTGTACAGCATGTGACCTGCTCTCTGCTGCTTCCCTTTGTAAAACAAATGGTATTAAGAAAGGAGCCTAGTTTTTTTTTTCTTTTTTCCCTTTTTTTCTTTTCTTCAACTATACAAAATTATACTATAAAATGGCTGGTCTTATACAGTGGTTGCTGGATTGGTTAAGAAGCTTGTTTTTCAAGGTAAAAGGAAAGAGAGACATGTTGATATCAAATATTTCCTTACACATCCAACATGTATCATAGACTGAGATGGAGTTGACCTTGGTTGGTCTTCAGAACAGTGGTAAAACCACTCTTGTTAATGTCATCGCTGTAAATACAAGATAAATCTGAGCAAACAAACGGAGATCCCATTTCTAACACCCCATTACAGTCAGGGCAATTCATAGAAGATGCTATTCCAACTGTTGGTTTTAATATGCGAAAGGTTACAAAGGGTAATGTTACCATGAAATTATGGGATATTGGAGGTCAACCACGTTTCAGAAGCATGTGGGAACGGTACTGCCGAGGAGTAAATGCTATAGTGTAAGTGATATGGATAGCATATTGGCTTGCTTCGTCTCACGCTTCTCTACTAGTTTTGTTGTGGATGCTGCAGATCGTGACAAATTAGAAGCAGCAAACACAGAACTGAAAAACCTTTTGGAAAAACCTCAACTTGTGAATATCCCAGTGCTTGTTCTTGGCAATAAGAACGATTTACCCGAAGCGCTGACTGCTGAACAACTTATTGAAGCATTGTAAGTGTACTTGTGGTTCGATTGAGTGGAAAAACTAATGCAAACAATGATTTATGTACAGACACCTTAAATCAATTACGAATCGGGAAGTATCATGCTATTCAATTTCAGCAAAGAATCAAGTGAATATTGATATCACTTTACAATGGCTCATCAAGAAAGGAAAAGGTCAGAAATAGTCGACTCGTTCACTTACTATACTCTTCTGTCTTGTTTTTATCGTTATATATAAAATATATATACCTCTTTTTTTTTTTGCTACACCCCTTTAATACAATTGTCCCTACTCATATATCGATGAAATAAAAAAAAGAAAGACAGCAAAGGGTGAATTACATCATAACAAACTCTACTGCCATGCCCAATTTCGGCGAAATACATATGCTACATGACAACAAGCATCAGAGAAGGCACACATCTCGTAGCCCACAACAATAACAACAACAGCAGATGTTTTCATCAAGAAGCCGCTTGAAAATTCCGAGATGTTGCATCTCATACAACATGCGTGCTAACTGATTTTGTCAGTGCAAGTGTTTCAAACAGTATGGATTTAGTACCTTGGCACAAGCTTATCATGTATGCTGTCATTAGTTGTTCTGTTTGTCAACGAATCATAAGAAATAAGCTAACAGTGAAGGCACGTTTGCCAGGATTTCTTTGATCCCCCTTTTTTGTTTCCAGAATATACATTTCCCGTTTGTACGACTTGTAACCAAGGGTTGCACTTGCTGATTTGCACACACGCAAAAACTTATGATCGTACTAGCTGAGATGCTACAAACTACATTATAATACCCTGCGAGGTAACATAAAATTTTCAGAATGATTCAGGCTCAAAACAATATAAAACTACTTAAATCAAATTAACGCAATAAAATACAACAATTTATTTTCATTAAATGAATCTATGGCTTGAAAACGTTCTTGGTATATTCACCATAGTAGTTTCCAGGAGGGCTGTAATCACAGACATAGTAGGTAGCTCTCAAATTTGAGCAGTAAGTGGCAGCACAGCCAACCTCAGTGGTTCCCTTCCAAACGACTTGAGTGAAATGGCCAGTAACTTTGCCGCCCAAAGATTGACCACTGGCATAGTCGTAATCAGAGACTTCGTTGTACCAAGCATCGACAACAGCCTTCATGGAGGGGTAACCATAGGCAATGTTTTGGCCAGTGCCTCTCATCTAGTAATATGGATGTTGATGGTTAATGTATGGTAAAAAAAAAAACGCATTGAATGACATGGCACTTACGACATTGTGGCCCCAAACACAAGAGGTAGTAACAGTTCTAGCATGTTCAGCGAGCTTGACGCTCCACTTGAGCTGGGGAACATGATGCTTGGCTCTGTATTTGTTATGAGCAGCCAAAGCTTGAGACTTAACGGTGCTTGCACTAGGAGCAGAGGCAGATGGAGCAGCCAAGACAGCTTGAACAGCAATAAGAGCAATAAGAGCAATGAATTTAAAGAGAGATGAAGATGAGACCATGATGAAGATGCTTGTAATGGATGTGATGTGTTAATTTACAGAAAAATGAAAATGAAGGCCCTTTTTATATAAATTGACAGTTACCAGAGTTGCAATTTACCATGAATTATTGATCTGCAAATGCTAAGGTCTAGTGCTTTCCTTTATGTTGTGTTACATTGCTTTCAATATTGATCTGCTATATTTTATATATTTCATACTTTCAAAATTTCTCCAAGATTGGAACTGCCACCATCCACGAGTTTGTGTCAAGTGGATAGAAACTGAGAAACACACATGAAAGTCTGAAATGTCGCTTTTTTTTTTTAAAGAGTAGTATCGTTCATTTATCAATAGAACACAATACATGGTATGATAGTTGCTCGGCTAGTTGATATTTATTATTCACTTGGAAACATCTTGTAAATAAGACGATTGGCATTGGTTACCAACCAGTGGTCAACATGTCTAATCGTCGTTCATTAATTTAACGTAAATGTAATATATGCAGGTCCAGGCTGTTACCAGTCCATGAGCTGTTTACTACTACTACAAGCAATGGATGATGTTGAAATGTCAACAATTGATCCTTAGTGTAACATTATTCGCAAATTGACTCCAACATCATGGTAACGAAACAAACAGCTCATATATATATACATTTGACATGCTTACCAGTGCCGCTTTCCAAATTGCTTGGCCTTCTCATGGACGACAAGATGTATGTCTATAGCAGACGACATGGCATCTATAGCGATGGTATCCATAGCAACCGCATAGATGTTGTATTGATTTTCCACGTGATCAAAGCTTGCATACTCTGTTCATTTTGATGAACCGCATTAAATTTACCTTTTTCTCTCTTTTGTCTTATTTTTTCTCAATACCACATCTATACGCAGAGATCTACAGAGAAGAAACGGACGCACTTGCATCTTCTACATATAACTAGCGTACATGTTTCTGGATTGGATAGCTCAGCTTCGTTTGCTGCAGCATGACTCACGTAAGAGCAAGAGAGAAAGCATTTGGAGGGGAAATTTAGGGTTTTATTAAACAAGTGTAACTCATCTAAATTACACCAATTTTTTTTTGTGTCGTATAGAAACAAATATTCTTGGTTCTCTTCCTTTGTCTATCAGAAGAGTGCTGATATCTGAAATTACAGGCTACCTTAATCCATCCTCGTCAGGCAAACAACCACCTGACCCAAGCATCTTTGCTTCACCTGCTCATGTAAAATGGTTCATGGAAGTGATTGGACAAGGCTTTAACCTACCGTTAGAAGATATGGCCATTACGAATGACGATGTGGATATCTATGCTCGATGGCTGTTTGAATACAACATGAGACCTTTGGCTGTGGTGGAAGAAGGGTTGGAGCAGGAGTTTTATCAGATTATATTTCATCAGTTTTCATTGTTATTTCAACCTCGCATTACTCGAACAAACAATGGTGCTTCCAACACTACTTCAGCAGCAGCAGCGACATCCACACCTCCTATTTCTATGCAACAAACAGCACAAGGAGGAGGAGGATCAACGAATAAGATGAATTCCTTTCATATCACCATGATGCCTGTAAACGCTCACAGCAATTTAGGCATGCCGTTCACGCCTAATCCGTTGCCACCAACAAACCCAAGTAGCTCATCTAATGCTCAGAGCGCTCTCAAGGAAACACTCTCTCAACTCGTGCAAAGACATGTCGAATTATGTAAAAAGACGCTCAAAGTATTCGCCATGGCTGGAAGGACCTTGAAACTGTCTACCGAGACGTGGTCTGTCTTGTTGAAGGTGATGTTGGGTATCACGGATTATCTATTGAAGGAACCGTCAGGAGGAGATACACTCAATCTGGGTGTGGTGAACATGGCGGATGAATTATGCGACAGCCTGTTGCAGGTCTTGTTTGAACTATGGCTTCGATCAAACACCATGGACGTGGAGATGTGGGACATCTTGAAGAGCTGCTTTATTCGATGGACACACAGATCAAAGGCGATACAGCAGTGGAGTTCGACATCTTTAGCACTGACAAAGCGAATTCAAAACTTGATCTATGGAGACAAGGAAGGCACAGATGGCGTCTATGTGAATGGACCTAACATCAAGCTCGACCTCCCAGCAGAATTTGTATACTACGCATGGCATCGAGTAATTTACCTGATACCTCACCCACTTCAACTTCCACCCAATAACTTTACACTTGCGATGCTCGGTATTGGCAATCTGGTAGATACACTGAATTCATCCATCAGTGGCGTCGACATTGTCAACCATGAATCATCGCCTGCCACCAACCCAGACGGCAACACACTGCTGCACATGCTAGGCACCTATCTCTTTGATGCTGCTTCCAAAGCCATTAACACGGACGCTGAATCACAACGAGGATGTGCGGAATCATTTGCTACACTGTGCAAGATATTCTGTAAACCGCAAAAGAGAGAACCGTTTCTCCGCACCTACATTGAGCGATTTTATGCAGCATTGCAAGTGGGACTCAAATCTGAAGCTTGCTTACCGACCATTCTACTGTCATGCACAGAGTTGTTTGCTACTGATCTGGAGGGTGTGAGGATGCTGGTTCCTGATTTTATTTCAGCGATCAAGATGGTATTACCCAAGCTGCGATTCGAGTGTAGAACCAATGTGTCGATTGATAACCTGAGATTGGCCGCCATCAAAGTGCTGAGTACCATCATGTGTATGCCAAATCACTTTGACAAGGTGGAACTGCATTTGGGCTGGGATTGTGAGATGAATAACCCGTCGTCAGAGAATGTTGCTTTGGTAGGAGAGCAGGAGCAGTTGATTACACAGTTGGTAAGCCATGATTAAAAGCGATCCTAAACGCAGACTGACCGAGAAGTTGTAGATTCGCGTCTTGTATGCATCGCCCACAGAAGGAAACACGGAGCGTCCGTTTTTATCAGTAGGTATCCATTGGTGATGGCCATTCTGAATACACTAACACATGTCGCACCTTTATAGCTCAAATTCTATATCTTGGAAGTCTTGCTCATGTCTCTTCGAACAGAGACATCCTCTTACAACATGCGATATATCCTTCATCTGATCAATGTCTATGTGATTGAGGATGTGCCATTCTGTCCAGGATTGGTGGGGACCGTCGTCAAGCTGATCCAAGACAAGATTCTGACAATGCAGCTACCCGCAGATGTGACATTGGTGGCGTTCGATGTGCTCATGGATTTTGTTGATTTATACGATTTTGTGAAACGAGATAGTAAGGTAAAAGAGCGTCATTTAGGGGTTATCCATCCGGTTTACTGAGACTTGTACTAGAATGTGGCGAGAGAACTCGTATTGGCATTGAGTCGCTATGTGGATACACTGATCAGCGGAGGAAAATTGGCACAGACATACCCCTTGATCGTTCAGGCATATGATTGTATGATTAAATGGATCCTGGTCAGCCAGTGGATTATCGATGATAGAGATTGCTACAAGGCGGTAATTGCTACACTCAGCAAAGGAATCACCCTATTTGACAGAGAGAATATGGCACCCTCAGCGCCTGCAGAACCTGTAAACGTGGAGAAAAAGAAAAGACGAGAAACAGCATTTCCACCTACCAAACAGCTATTCCAGCTTCCTCCGCGTGTCAACAAAGGCGTCCATCATAACAGCAGTAGCCACCATCCTCAAGACCAACATGCCACATCATCCAACACGAGTGCAAGGCCAAGCTCCACACTACGTAAAAAGGAGCAGGTGGCCGTCAGAATGGCAGCAGAGTATTGTATGTCCCAGTTTGTCAACCAACTAGGCAGGTTTGCCTTGCCTTATGAACATGCCTTGGGCGGCTCCAGGTCAGCAAAGGCAGACGACGTGGCTCAACTAAAGCACATCAGGGCCGCCGACAAGGAAAACTGGACAGAACATGCTACATCCATACGCTACTTTTTGATTGACAAGCGCACGTTATTGACCATCATTGATGTCACAGATCCACAGCCCAAGAATGATGAACCTGGCAACGTGCCATCCATTGTCGTTGTGATCCGTGATACCACTGGCAAGTATATGTGGTCTATGGAAACGCGCTACAATGACCACCACAAGCCAAGCACGAAAAGCAGCCATTCCGATTACTTGCAACCCCCTTCTATCCACGATAAGCGATCCTCCCTCTACAAATCAACGCCCCCTCTTCCTCATTCACAGCCACAGCCGCAGGTCACTGTGCCCACAGCAACTGCAGTCAATGAAAAGGAGATGCCCAGCATGGATGAAGTATTTGTACCTAATTCAGAAGAGTGGCATCAATGGGAGATGGCCAAGATACTGATGCAACGACAAGAGACTTCAGAGGAGACGTACGTCAAGCAAGACAAAGATGCCCTCGTCAAGTGTCAAATAGCACCCTCTGCTTCCAACATTGATCTCGACAGTCCAAGAGGATTCAGGCTCTTGCTCTCTCAAATTGGATTTCTACTGCCCAAGAACAGACATCATATTACGCCGTTGCCAATGTCTGATTCTGTGATTTCAGAGATGGAGACGTTAGACATGTTGAACGAGTAAAGTATGATACGAGATGCGCTGACACTCACAACTGAACATGTTGAATAGGCGCGATTGCATTTCTATATCAGCGTATTATGCTAAATCAGGCAGTGTATCGTGGTCAGAGCTGATAGAGACACCACCTGCCCTGAGTGAGCAGTTTATCCAATTCATCAACTGTCTTGGATGGCCCGTAAGTTGATTGTGCAGTGTTAACGTATATCTACTGACATACGCGTCGATACACAAGGTCAATACCCACCAGCATAGAGGATACAAGGGCAAGTTGGATGCATCCATTTGCGAGACCGTTCCCTACTATTCAGATCGCACGGTAGAGTTTGTCGTCAATGTGCCCTATTTTTTGAAAAAACCTGCTGCTGATGCCATGGAATGGGGCAACATGAACACAATAGCTAAGATCCATCAGCAAATCTCTTCTAACGATCATGTGTGTGTGATTTGGATTGAAGATTTAGCTCACTATAAATCCTTGGCGAACTTGATCAAGGCATCCAGCTCAGCCAACTCAAAGGCCATGGTCTACATCTTTATCAACCCGCTCAAACACAGTGCCAATGGATTGTATTGGGTTCGTATTCTTGTGCCTCATCAGGGCAATTCACCAGCGAGTGTGTTGGCGAGTCAGAGGTTGGATGAAAATGCACTGGTATGTCTATGTCTATTGGAATGAGCAAAAGATGGTAACAGCCAGCTATTAGATTTTTGGCCCATTAGTGGATGGCATTGTTGTGAGTCGTCATGCTTTGGGCTCCATGGTGAGAAGCACTGCGATATCTGCACATCAAGCATGCAGAGTAGTGACAGACACGTACACGCGCCCTTATGTCATTCGAAAGGAGTATATAGAAGAGATGGCTCATCGACACCGAGTCAAGTTACCCTTATCAGAGTAAGTCATATAGACAGCGAGCCATGTTTAAATAAGCGACTCAACATGTTGCTTATAGGTTCTACTCTGATGTGTTTGCAGAGAGAGATCATTAGACCTTACACATATTACATATACGACACTCTTAATACTCTAATTTCCCTCCACTTTTTTTTTTTTTTTTTTTTTTTTTTTTTTTTTTTTTTTACTACGTACACTTTTATTTGCATCTGTCAAGAAGAAAGGCATGCTTAATTTGTTACTATAGATAGATTCTTACATAATATGAAGGCCAGTTAAATAGAGTGATTCAATACTTTTGCACACGACAGATACATAGACGCTTTGATCCAAACTGCTGTAACATACATCTGAATCCTGAATCTTTTTCACCTTGCGAGCTCTCATCTTGTCCATGGACGTCATTTGAGTATCTTGAATGATATTGCTAGTAATAGACCGACTGGTACAGCATTCATAGCCGATCAAATCATACCAAATAACTTTGGAATCTTGAACGATCTTGAATCGAGACGTGCCTAGTCGTACACTGCACTTTCTAGAGACCCGAATGCGATCCAAGACTAGTGTTCTTAGCTGATGCCGAGGTAGATATATGTTAAAGTTGCGGGTATTGTGATAGACAGGGCTAGAGATGGTGGAAATCAGGAACAGATCAACGAGATGCGGACACTGAACAGCAATGATGCAAAAGACATCACTGCTGCTATCAATCAAGACATTTTCCAGTCGAAGTGATGTCAATGTGTAATGATGCGATGTATGGGCAGGTAACATGGTGTTGTTGGTACAAGTCAGCTTAGCGTCTGATATCGTGAGATGTGTCAATTTAGGGCATTGAGCCAATACAAAATCGAGGTACATGGTCGCATTGCCAACGATGGTGGTAGAAGGCGATGTCAGCATCGTATCGTTTTGGTAAAAGTGTCTTCCAAGTGACAAATTCAGTGTTGTGATATTTGTGCATTGTCCCAGGGAAGACATTAGAGTGTGTAACCCTCTGATATCAATTGCCAATGGCCAAGCGAGCACTATGAGAGTTTTTATGTAATGCCGTTGTTGTGATTTCAGTAGTCCTTTTAACTCCAAAGCCAAATTGTTTGTAAGACCATCGCCCAAGGCGAGTTCGTTCAAAAAGATGGCATGCTGATCCAGGAGCTGGAAGAATGGATCTAGTAGACAAAAGGATTGCATCTTGAATGCGTGCAGTTTGTTGCACACCTTCGCTATTTGCAATAGCTGTGGCTCGTAGGTAGTGCTGTTCAGCCGAGGATCGCATTCACTCTCTTTTTGCTCTTGGGCTCCAGCAAAGAAAGAGCAAGAACCCACCTCCAAACGTCTGGCGTGCCTGTATTTCTTGGAAATGTAATTGAGCCATTGAGGTACATCGTCGCAAAAGCTGCCATTGACGAATCGAAACCGCCTCATGTCCATAGCCGGTTGAATATAAGCTTGGCCTTGCACTGCTGTTGATGACATGGGTAGGAGTACTGTATCTGATAAATGCAACGACGCCAGCCCAGGGCAACTGTCGTGTATCAACTCCAGTTCTTCCACTGTAAGATAGATGCCTTCAATGCCAAGTGATTGTAGATGAGGCGCATGATGCAGCGATTGAATCAAGGATAATTTCGAGTTGGTTCTATCACTTTGATTAATGAATTGCACTGACAAGGATGTCAATTGAGTAGCGGGTTGTTGTAGCAAGGCATGAGCCACTGCAATGCCGTTCAACTCGACCAATTCACGTATCTGCTTCCATAGCGCAAAATGATGCCGTATCTTGTCCAGTTCTTCTCGGTTTCTACGTTGCTGGTAGTGCTGGAACGATTCACGACGTGCTAGTTGGCTCAATGTAACGCCATCAAACATGAATACCTCCAAGTTAGGACACAAGGGAGGTAACTGACCCAGCACAGAGGGTTCAATATGACCATTTTCAACCACCAGCTTACGGATGTGATAACCCGTGGAATACGGGGCAGCCATTAACGAAGCTTGTAGTGTATTATAAAAGAAGGATTGGAATTGTGCCTTGCCTCGAATGTGAACCGTGTCGTAGCTGAATTGGATCCATTTCTTGTACCAGCTGCGACACACGCATTGGCATTGAACCAAGTCTTGTCGGTTGAGATAGTGGACAATGCGTAGGAATACCTCAATAGGGAATGTTGCCGTAAGTTGCTTCATTATGTGTAGAGTAAGCAAGGGAAAGAAATGCGGGTGGGAATCCTATACTAAGCAAGTTCAAGCTTAAATGCAAAATAAAAACCCACGATCATCACTCATGATGTATCAAGAGAATTTGGAAATCATGACCTAACAAAAAAAAAACTGAGCGAGAGGGGTGGGAGGGAATCGTTTCTCTCTCGCTGCTTTATGCGTTGTATCTATGGGAAGTTTAATTTATGGCAATGCCTTTGGTTTGCATGATTCAATGTCCATGTGGTCAAGTTCCAGCTTACTCAAGCGAGGTCAGCCAATGGGAAGATCTGCATGCTAGATGTGTTTTGCATTGATTCAGGTCCGGGTTGACTCAAACACATTTGAGAAATCCTTCTTGTTGAATGATTGATAAAGTATTGCGAGACTTGAAGTCAAAGACATTCAAATCAAGCGGCTCAGAATTTAAGTTATCATTTTTCTTTGACAAACCGCGTTTCAGGGACCCAATACAAATCACAAAATCGATATTTGGTTGCCCCTATCCTCTGTTGGTGCCACAGTTCTTTCCCCTTTTACGAAATAATCATGACAGGAGAACTATCAACACTTAATAATAATAAAAAAAAAGACAGCGCAATCTCAAGTATATAATCTAATTGAATCCAGCGTTGCTCGTCTGACGCTAATCATCCATCATCTAGCCCAACTCTTGGAATAAACACCTGCTTCAAATAGAGTTGCGTGCATCACAGGAAAAGACTCAAGTGGTATTCTAGCTGCCTTTCATATATTCATCTGATGCTAATCGCTACTCATATAGTACCGAGAACAATGTGGAGCACCAATGCAAGGTGTTTAACGGGGAAAGGAGACTAAAGTCAAGCTAGAAGGCCTTGTTCAGCAACAGCAAGAGGAGATGGCGAAACCAAAGGCCAGACATGAGTATCTTTCATAGACTCCAAGGTTATCAGAAAGCTAGATCCATTAATGGCCAACATATCGAGTCTAAATGGGAGTATAAAAGTAAGCATCCTTTTTACAGATCAGTGATATGAAGAGAAAAGCTAAACTGTCGTACAGTGTGTCAACTCGAGCATGGTTGGGAGGAAAAGTATCAAGAGGTAGACGACGATATTGAAAATGTGCGGCAGAAGCAAAGGATAGCAGCAGGCCCCTCCTTATCAGCCCCAGGGTGATGAAGCTGCTGCACTTGGAGCTTCAGAGCATAGCAATCTGTACATACAATGTCGTACCAATGTTCAATTAACATGTACTACTACTGATGGGCAATGTTTAACGTGTATGGCTTCATCACACAAATAGTAGATATGCACTCTGAGAGTAATACCTTGGCTGATCTTGCTGCCATTCATCAGGTTAGTGGATAGAGTGTGTTCAATGCCAAAGATGTGGCATTAAGCGGAACCCGATGATGGTTTGGATGATACCAAATGTTGAAAGCTCTTCCAAGCTATTGGATCCCAATTCAATCCGTGTGTGACGTCAAGTACAGCCTCTCTATCTCTTCCTTTTCTCTTGAGAGGTCTTACATTTGTAGTGCAAACCAAACAGAAAATCAAATCACGCTTTTTTTTTCTCCACATCCATCTTTTTCCATCGCAAAACATGAATCAAATTCCCATTGCTATCAAAGAAGAAGCTCAGGATGAGACACCCAAGGTGTATAAATCAATTGCTCCATCCACTGTTGTAACCACAACAAAGCCTGCCGCATCTCCATCCTCCCATGCACCACCATTGCAAAAGAATGTACCCGCATTTCTCAACAAACTCTACAGGTAAGACCATTGGGGCTCGTGAGCGTGTATACATAAAGATGGACTCTGACTAACCGAATATGTAACTAGCATGGTCAATGACCCCGAGTCTGACGATCTTATATGCTGGTCTGACGATGGCGCCTCCTTCTTTGTCAACCGTCAAGAAGACTTTGCTCGTAAAGTTCTCCCGCGATTCTTCAAGCATAACAAATTCTCGTCCTTTGTCAGACAGCTCAACATGTACGGGTTCCATAAAGTGCCTCATCTACAGCAAGGTGTACTGGAAACAGACAGCGAATCAGAGCGATGGGAGTTCAGCAATCCTCATTTTCAACGCAATCAGCCAGATCTTTTACTGTTGGTTACTCGCAAAAAGGGGCCCAATACGGACGAAAAAGAGATCTCCAACATTGATCTACAACACATTTTGGAGGAAATTCAATCGATTAAAAAGCACCAAATGAACATCTCGACACAGTTGCAAAGCATTCAACGAGATAATCAAGTCTTGTGGCAAGAAACGGTATCCGCAAGAGAGAGACATTTACGCCATCAAGAAACAATTGACAAGATTTTGAGGTTTTTGGCTTCTGTGTTTTCAAATGGTGAAAAGAGAGCTGCTATACCAAGAAAGAGACGATTTTTACTGGGTCCTGCTGACGGTGATGATCATGAAGCTGAATTGGATCACTATGAACAACAACAACAACAACAACAACAGCAGCAGCAGCAGCACCAGCACCAGGATAGTCCGAGACCAAAGAAAATGCCCCGCCAGAATCAGTCATCTCAACAAGCACAGCCCTCTACACCGTTTAATCTGGATGATTATGTCAATGGCAAAAATGACATGGCTGGTTTAAGCGCATCGTTGCCTGCTCATGTCAAGAATTCCGCTGCAAGTACACCATCCTCCGATTTAGCAGAAGCGATTGCTCTGAACGATCACTCGAAAAATGGTAAGAATCTGAGCCAGTAAAGCACGCTGCAATGCTTAAACACTAACACTTTTGTAATCTAGTCGAAAGCAATGCTTCATTATCATCCATGAACGACTTTTCCAACATTGCGAATATACCACAACTTCAGAATCTGCAAGGTTTGATTAGTTTAGCGCAATCCAACCCTCATTTATTGAGTCAACTGACAAGCGAGGCATTTTATGGCATGCCCCATATGCCACCTACCACGACGAGTCCTCAGCAACTATCATCGTCACCAGCAATCACCGCAGCCGCTGCACCACAGTACTCTTCCTCTTCTACGGCTTCATCCATCGTTTCAACTCCCTTGGACCTCAACTTGAATCTAACCTCTTCCTCTACAACGACACCAGGGCAACTGCAACAACAACAGCAGCAGCAACCGCCAGCACAAAACGCACGTTCCTTAAGTCAAGTGACAAATAGCATTTCCAACATTGCTGGATCTGCAGATGCTCTGAACCAGGATATTGATGATTTGGGTATCAGTTTACAAGCATTAGCACAACACTTAGGTTTTGACCCCTCTAAAATGAGCTCTACAACGAACGAGATGGATGCAGAGCATCAGAATGTTGGAGCAGAAGGAGATTTACTAGATATGGATGAGTTTTTGAATACATATGGTATGTATGCACCGTTTATCAAAGATATTATCTACTGTACTTAATTGATTTTTCTTGCCCAGGTCCAGATCTGCATGATAGCAATGAAGCTGCCCATCCAGACTTTTCAAGTGCCACGATTACAGATATACCCTCTACATCAAACACACGATCGCCGAGTCCAGCTGTGACAGTAGCAACCGCATCTTCAGCAACACAAAAATAAGCATCATAACCAGTCGTGGTATCATTGTATCATTTTCTGTTTAGAGTTATCTTTAATAATAATAATAAAAAAAAAACCAGCATCAGCGGATCCAAATTGTCATTAAATATAAAAAAAAGGAACGTTCTAACAAGCTTCAATATCTCATATATACCACAACAGCATGACAGATACAATGCTCTCAGTGCATGTTAATGTGCACCAAACGCAAGCGATGCTTGTGCGGTGTACACATGCAGAAGGTCAACGGAGCTTCAATCTCTATTGCTCTGAATGATGGTCCATGGGATTCCGAGATCTATCAACCTTAAAATTACGCGTTTCTTGATAGTAAACATCCCTTCAAACTTATATGAAACTTGTAGAGAATCCAAAGGAGAATACAATGGTATCTTTATTAAGTGTTTGCTGTACATTATTCAACTGATATTTGATAAGTTAAATTATGCAATTTTTTCACTGTTTTCTAAAGATTAATCAGTGTCTGTCATCAAAACATTCTGTTAAGCATTACTAAACATTGTAGACCAAAAAAATCCCTATCGAATGAGCTATTGCTTGAAGCTCTGGCATAAATCTATCATGAGATATTGACAATACTGTCCTGACCAAGAAATCGTCACCCAATTTTTTGCTTGCTATCACACGTAGATTTTGAACAAAAATCCATGATTTTGCATGATACCCTTTTTTTTTACCATATCTCGACAAATACTCACTGGATTCGCACAAAACAAAGACCATTCGATAGCTCTACGTTATATCCATTATAATATAAGGGTTTCAAGTACCAGATGTACGTTCCCTTCATAAATTTGCTCAAAATCATATATTTCATGAGCTACAAGCAGGGGATAATCAAAACTTTTTTTATTTATCTATAATAACCATATTATCGTATAGAGAATTGAAAAAACAGAAGCTATTAAGCTTTAAGCTCTCGTTCATTTAGTAAAATCCAGCGGTATGGCCCTTTGAAAATCGGTCATTTTGAACATTTTCCGTCATTACTCATTGACATCGCCTGAAGTAAAAAGGGATTAAAAAATCAGATATAATGCTGTTAATGAGGTTTATTTATGTTACAGCACATTGCAGCACCCTTGACATTTACTTTAGTATCAACCATCTCTTATTTTTAGAGTATTTACCATCATGACTATTATCATACTAATAGTATTATTATGTATGCTTATCTGTTGATGATAGCATGGTTCGATTGTGATGGCATTTATTTATGGTATTTATATGATGGGAATGTAGTCTAGTTCACTTCAGTAACTGTCTTTAAGGGTACTAATGGATGCCCATTTTAGTTCGTCACAAAACCACAGTGAATAAACCCAATAGTTACTATTGAAAAGAGCTGCTAGATTTCACTTTTTTGAGCTTTTTTCGTATTTCCTCGCAGCAGATGGCTTTATAAAGAAGTAAATTGTTGTTACACACAAAGAGGCTTTTTGCTAGTGGTCATTTCATCTTTCTGTTATAAAACAAAGGTCTGATGTTCGATTTTGGGCAATTAAAGCTTATTTTTTTTGCAAAAAATAAGGAATGAGATGTTATGATGTTCTGTCCTGCGTACAGATAAAGGATTTAGATATATGTTTATGCAGAAATATAAATGAAATAAACGTTGTTCTTTACTGTTTTACCAAATGATTTGATATCTACACTAATTAAAAGGTTACACGCAAAGTCTGTGTGTACCTGACAATGGAGAGATGCAATATCGAAAGTCAATGATAGATGGGTATGTACGATCCAAGAGATAGCAGCTCTTGATTTTTGCAGTGATTTCAGGTACACTGGCAATTTTTTTATGATTGGAAATACTAAACCAATCTTTAATACTATATATTAAGAATGATCTTACAAAAGTGTGTAAAAGACCTGACATTTGAAAGATGACACCAGAAGTGGTAAACAGCAGGTTCTTCCTTATTATATTTCAAACAATAAACAGAGTATCAAAAGGAACAAAAGAAATTAAGACACTATGGCTGTGATGACGAACTGATTCGCAACATTAGCGTTCGCTTTTTATGGATTTTTATCAATCGTGAACCTGAAATGGGCGGCAGTGTATCGAAAAGATATACTGCACTGTTCCCCCAAATACATGCCTAACAGCAAGGCTTCAAATAAGCATTCAATAGGCGGGTAGTAAGGCACAGTAAGCGTAACGTTACTTGCCCCGCATGATAAACGCGTAAAGTTTCCTTTTTTTTTTTTTTTTTTTTCTCTCTCTCTTCACACTTTGGATTCATTGCGTAGTAGAAATCTCTTTCAGGTTCCCTGGGGCCAATAGATCAATGCCACTATACTTGACGAGGAGCAATCCTCTAATGGTTTAAATGAAGGTAGGCTTGTAAGCCTTGCTTTAGGTTTCAGCACAAACTAGCCATTATATGCGTAGTTCTGTTGCCATTTGCTTTGCAAATAATCAGAGCTTGTAAGCCATGTAATAGGTTGTCGGCGGGCAACTGCTAGAGCTTCCTGATTGTGTGTTCTATCTGGGTATCATAGGTGGCCGCCTACTCGATTGAACAACGCTTGAAGCTGCCAATTCAAGCTGTGTGTTGACAGGCTGTTTTGTAGCCTGGTGAGCCTGGTGAACTAGTTTGTTAGATGTTGTTTGTCTTTTGATAGTTGTTTCCCCAACGACACAAAGGCCATATCTCACAACATCCCATGGGGCTTTCAGTTATCACTGGAGCCTACTAAGTTCACGCCGGATGGTCGTATTGGTTTATGAAAGAGTGGGATGTTGGGTTTGCATGGTACCGTGTAAATCCTCATTCTTGGGATCAGTTGTACTTTGACCTTCACGCTGGTTGATCCTGTTACATCATGGTAGACCATCTACTGTGGTAACCAACAAAAGTACGCCTTTTTATATATAAATGTAATGAAAAATAGTTAATAAAGCTTGAATATTGAATATGCATGATCACTTGGCTTGTGTTGTTTTGTACCCTTGTCAGACTATTTGGTTTGATGATTTGCAATGGTTTATGGTAAAGTTTTTTGGCATAAAATGTCCTAGTTTTTTTTTTTCGAGTTGATATGGAATAAGCATTAATAAAAAAAATAGTGTCATTCAAGACTCTATCATGTTGATCTTCATTTGGAAACACGCCTTAGACATTGATACACTATTCTGATCTCTTAGGTTTTCCCCTGACTCGAGATTGCATGGCTCAAGCGCCCCCACATCTCGCTGTGCTTTGCGTACATTTGAATGAAAAGAGGCAAGTAAGGTGTACTATTTATCCGTATATGAGCTGTTTCAATTGATCCAGACATTGAATACCCTGAAAGAGTCAGACATACAATTGAAATTTGCTTAGAAAGGGCTATCATGTGGTAAGGGTTAGTGAAAAAGTGAAGTTTTAGTATATATATATATATATATATATAAATGTGTGTGAGTGTGTTGGACGTTTGATGCAATTGTATATAGTAATGTATGGTGTTCAATAGATATTAAATATTAATCATATTCTGCTTGGATGTATGTGCTTGCTCAACAAATTTTCCAACTAATTGGAATTCTGCCTTCTGCGATGTCGCCAATATTGCTGAATACCGCTGGTGTCAAATCTACAGATCCTCGTCCACATCCAGTAGCAGGACACTAGCAAAAAAAAACAATTAGGTTGTGATACTCTTTTTCATTTCTATCGTCTTACAATGTCTTGGACTTGTGCTTTCTGACTTCCAGTGGGGCCTGTCACTATAATACAAGCACCACACACAGGGCTTTGATTTGGATTATCTGATTCACCGAAATCATAAGCATTCTATATATATATGTCAATGATCTGATCTCTTTCATATATGTGATCCTTATTACCATGGCGACAATGTAATCTGAAGCAGTAAAAGAAGTGCCGCAGGCCGTTAATCCAACACCTGGATCGTAATAGGTACCATCACCTTCACCACTGATATCATTGTTCGCCCAAGAGCCTCTACTATCGCCCTTGTATTTAGATTTACCAATGGATATGCCTACTTCGTTTCTATATCGCTTATTCTTGAATACACCTAATGTCCCTAATACAACCAGCATGACAGTGAATATCCCCAATGCACCTGCCCCAAGCAAGATGAATTTGCCAAATCTGAATTTAGCGTTGAACCTTGTCCAGATGGTCGGTGGTGGAGTGATCAGTGGATCTCTTTCTGTAAACTGAGAGACATCACTGCGGCTGTCTTGCATCGCACCAAATGGGTGAATGGTTGTGTTGGGGAGTTGGCTCCCATCTACTGTGGTGGATGAGGCAGTTGTCGTGGGTATTGACATGATGTATGTACAATCAAGCTTAAATGATAAAGAAAAAGAAAAGAAGGGCAATTGTGACAACAACAGTGGAATAATGCTCCTTGAATCTTTAGATTCCCCTAATTCGAATGGATTCTTTCCCTTTATACAATTTGTGAGACCCAGGTACAAATTTATAGCAAATGTTACACTCAAATGTTTAAGCTAATCCCACTACCTGCAAGACCCAGCCAATGATGGATCCAGAAAGAGCACATCATTCAGGACTTTATACAGTGGACACAAGGCAAACGATCTCGACCACCAGTGATGATCAACTGTCAAGTCAAAACCAACATATTCAAGTGATTTAAATCTAAAATTAATAGGTATTTTATTATACATACAAAAGGGGAGAAAAAGAGGCGAAATAAATATGAATAGTGTGATTAATTTTTCTTTCAAGTTTAGAGCTCATGGAAATCAGTACCAGTGATGGTCTCTTTGACGTATCCAGCACGAATAACAAAATCACCAAATGGCTCACTCGAGAGACGCTCAGTAGCATAGCGCTTGATGATGGGGTTGATTTCTTGCAGGATTTCTTCTTCACGTAAGGATTCCTTGTACAGCTTGTTGAGACGCTGACCTTGATGACCACCACCCAGATAGACATTGTATGTGTTGGGAGCCTTACCAACAAAGGCGATCTCAGCAAGATAGGGACGAGCACAGCCGTTGGGACAACCCGTCATACGAATGGTAATAGCATCATCCTTGAGACCAGCAGCTTCGATAGCATGTTCAAGATGTCCAACCAAGGTAGGCAAGTAACGCTCAGATTCAGCCATAGCAAGACCACAAGTAGGCAAAGCAACACAAGCCATAGCGTTCAAACGAAGACCGGTGAAAGACAAGTTGTCCATCTTGTATTTAGCCAACAAAGCCTTGGTCTTTTCCAAATCAGCCTCTGGGACGTTAGCAATGACCAAATGTTGGTTAGGAGAGAGACGGAATTCACCCTTGTGCCATTTAGCGAGCTCCCTGAGACCAGTCTTGGGTTGGAAGTCGGGCCAATCCTTGATCTTGCCATTCTCGATAAACATACAGAAATGCCACTTGTCATCAACACCCTTGGTCCAGCCATAACGATCCGCATTGTCATTGAATACATAGGGCTTGGCTTCTTCAAACTTGACACCCATACGCGTCTCAATCTCATTCTTGATAAAGTCCAGACCATGTGTATCAATAGTGTACTTGAAACGAGCGTGCTTACGGTTGGTACGGTCACCATAGTCTCTTTGAGTAGTCATGACAGCCTCACCACAAGCAACAGCCAATTCAGCAGGGATGTAACCAACCACATTAGCAGGGCGAGGATAGGTCTTCTTGTTACCGTGAGTCATACCCATACCACCACCGATAGTAACGTTGTAACCAATGACCTTCTTGTTGTCATCCACGATAGCAATGTAACCCAAGTCATGAGCAAAGATATCCACATCGTTGTTGGGGGGAACAGCAATAACAATCTTGAACTTACGAGGCAAGTAAGTGGGACCATAGATGGGCTCAAAGTCTTGAACAGCGTTACCAGCGACTTGCTCATCAGCCAACCAAATTTCGTGATAGGCAGTGGTCTTGGGAGCCAAGTGTTCCATGAGCTCCATACCGAATTGTTGGACTTGAGCGTGCACTTCAGGAATCTCAGTGACAGGGGTAATCATGATGTTACGGTTAACATCACCACAAGCAGCGAGTGTAGAGAGAAGAGAGTGGTTGATGCCGCGGATAGTAGAACGCAGGTTCTTTTTCAAGATACCGTGCAATTGGAAAGCTTGACGGGTAGTCAACTTGATAGCACCGTTTGCATAAGTATCAGCCAATTCATCCATGACAAGCCATTGCTCGGGAGTAGAGACACCACCAGGCATACGCACACGAATCATGAAACTGAAAGCCTTCTCGAGACCCATCTTCTTGCGCTCCTCTCTAATATCACGATCATCTTGACCATAAGAACCATGGAACTTGAGCAACTTGCCGTTGATTTCACTAATAGCACCCGTGGATTCATCCAAGAGATCTTGAGCAATGGTACCACGCAAGTAGTTGGAGTTGATCTTCATTTGGTCATCCGTCAACTTGGGCTCATCATCCTCAGCACCAACATCCTTGACACCAAGCGACTTCCAGAACTCGGGTTGCCAAACGCCTAAAGCAGTTTCAAAACCATCGGCATCTTGATCATCACCCAAACCAATCTCCACAAGACGGTTGGCACCCAAAGTCTCCAATTTGGCATCAATGAGTTTACCAGGACGGTTGTAGAACATGGCATCTTCTTCACGAGGCCAGTAGTGGCTATCACCCATACCAAAGACAGCGTAGTTCAACTGACTGAAATCAGCATCACCGACAATCATACCGTTCAAGGCCTTCCACAGTTCACGCGCATTGGAGGGCAATTCACCCTGACCAGCAGTAGAGACGATAAAGACGACATTGGTTTCATTGGCCAGCTCTTGTACATCCTCATAGTCGTCCATAGCCATCAGTTTGACTTGAAGACCTCTGCTCTTGGCACGGTTGGCAATCTTCTTGGCAACACCTTCAGCATTACCGTTATCAGAACCAAAGAGAACAAGGAGAGGAGGACCGTTAGCAGCACCCATACCAGACAGCAACTTAGCAAAGTCTTCACGAGCCTTGCGCTTCAATTCACTGTGTCTCTTTTCAACGTCCTAAAAATATGGCATACGGAATGAGTTCAACTGCTGACACACGTGAATACAAGACATTATACTTACATTCTCCAAGGAGCTCACGAGCAATTGAGAAATGTCAGGATGTTGAGCCACAATTTGAGAGAAATGGTTTTCACGTTCCAAGAACTTTTCAAGATCCTTCTTGATACGTTGAGAATCCAAAGAGAAAGCTTCTTTGCCCTCCGCATCCAAGGCAGGGTTCCAACGATACAAGGGCCAGGCGCCGTTATCCACAGAGACCTTGGTCTCCTTCATGGTGAAGACAGGGTTGGTAGCAGTCGTAGTAGCAGGTTCTTGAGGCAAGTAGGCCAAGACAATAGAAGGACCTTGGTAAGCATCAGCTTCCATCAAGGCGTGCAAGACACCAGTATAACTAGAGTAGACAGCAACAGAAGCCACATAAGCAGAGCCAAAGTTCATGGCATAGAGGCCAATATCCTTCTTGCGTTGTTCACGAGCTACCTCGCTGGAATAAGGCAATGTGTCTACAATCAACATGTTGACATTTTCACCTTGAGCAATGACATGATGCACACCAGATTGACCGAGATCATAAGCCCAAGAATCAGAGCCAATCAACCAGTTGGACTTTTGGAACAAGAGATCCTTGTTTTGAGAGACATAGTCAACAGCAGAGACATTGGCAATAGCAGAGACAACAGCTTCAGCGGCCTTGTTGATAGCCTTGACGTCAGACTTGGAGGACTTGACAACCAACAGCCATTGAGACAACGTCTTGTAGGCTTCTTCAGACACCTTGTTCTCCTTGATTAAGGTTTCAACTGCATCGATGAAACGAGCACGTTGTTGGATCTTGTTGACAATCTTACCATAGCCGAATTCAGGGGCAGAGGCAGCGGCATTGTGTTCGTCACGAGACCAAACAGAAGCACTGTTGACAGCATTGGCAATCTCAAGACGGTCTTGGAAGACTTGGTCCAGCATTTTGAGGTAGGGAGTCTCGACAGCAAGTGTCTTGGCAGCAGTCTTGGTAGAGGAAGTGGCAACAGCAGCAGCAGGAGTACCAGTCAATTGATCCCAACCAGAGGGAGTGACCATGGCTTCGGCTTTGGACAAGACGCTAGAGAGACCAGCAGAGACAAGATCTTGGACATTGGTCAAATGAACCACCTTGGCACCAGCAACACCAATAGCACGCTTAGTAGCTTCAGTCAAAGCAGCATCCAAGCTCTCGGAAACAGCAGCACCATGGACAGCAACAACGCCACCCTTGGCAAGTGCCTTGATGGCTTGATCAGCATCCACAGATGTATCTTGAAGCACAACAGCCTTGGCCTCAGAGACAAGGGAAGGCAAGAGAGGACCAGCCACGGCAGAGACACGCACATGAGACACTTGGTTAACAGTATAGACTTGAGCATATTTGCCAGCAGAGACAGCAGCTTGAGCATAGTTCAAAGCCAAAGTTTCATCACCAACAATCAAGAATTGCTCTGTATCTTGAGCTACAACATTGACATGTTGAGGGATGTTCAAGGAAGCCACCTCGAATTTACGTTGGAAATCAGCCTTGCTCAATTCAGCAAAGACAGCTTGGACTTGGGCAGGAGAGAAATCTTGATCCTTGACACCATATTGACCACTGACGAGCTCCACATCATTGTCTTCAGCAGTTTGATAGGCAGCAGCGATATCCAAAAAGAGAGGATTCCAGGTACAAGTGAAATCATGAGAGGGCTCCAACACAGCAATGCGCTTGATGGTAGCGCTTGGTAGAGTAGCCAATAAATCAGTGTCTGACCAAGGTCTGTATAATCTCACCTTCAAGAGACCCAATTTAGCTTCTTTACCCAGAGCTTGAACCGTCTTTTCAACCACGGTAGCACCAGCGCCCATAGCAATAATCACATTTTCAGCTTCAGGATGACCAATGAACTCCAAAGGAGCGTATTGACGGCCTGTCAAAGTAGCAAAATGCACCATGGCCTCTTGAACAGCAGCATATACGTCCACATCCTTTCCATCCTCCTTTTGTTGTTGCTGTTGCTTGTATTGAAGGTAGGCTGATTGCTGTTCTTGTTGCTCTGCCTGTTGATAGTGTTCCAAATCGTCTGAGGTGATCAGTTGCTTCAACGTGTCGATATCCACCAAATCAATGGATGTGAACTCGTCTGCAATACGCTTAGAATCAAAGAAATGCAACACAGGTGTGTTGGTCTTGATAGCCACCACGTGGGCAATGACAGCCAAATCATGAGCTTCTTGTACAGTGGAGGAACTGAGGAATGTCAAGCCACTTTGACGTACAGCCATGACATTAGAGAAATCAGCAAAACTAGAAGAATCACCGTGCTTTGCTGAGACATGAAGCACCACACCCGACCTTTCAGAAGCCAGTTTGTATAATTGAGGAATAGCAGAGATCAATGAATCAGACGAGACGAGTGCTGCAGAGTGTGTACCGTGTTGCAAACGGCTGGTGATGTCTTGTTGCGTGTAGACAGTGTGGCCTGTGGATTTGCCCCAAATGTTGTTGCTGCTGCTGGCGGTGGCATCGATGTTTTTGTAAGTGTAAATGTGTTGACTCAATAACTGAGATGCCTTGATGGAGGCTGACTCTCCGTTTAAGAATTGATTTTTATGTTGCATTTAAAAATAAGAGAGTTGGGGGGGAGAGAAGATTATGTACAATATAATAACAATCTACACACAAAAATGAAAGAAAAAAGATGGACAAACCAGTTGTTTATTGACTTAAATACTAATGTACCCCCGGTTGAATGTTCTATAATATCGATATCAGAATTGATGGATTTTGTATGGATTTTGCCTTCTTTGCGAACATTGCGTCTTCTAGCACACAATTTCTCCATCTTGTTATTGGCTGGACATATCTCCGTTTTTTGTATTTTTATAGAAACTAGGAAAATCTCATCATTGTGGGGGAGAGCTTATTATTGGATGAAGAAGGGGTATATTCACTGGTGATCTTTTATTGATATACGACGATGCTACTACTGCCACTACTACTGCTGGTTGTCATGTAGCTCTTGCGGTTTTTGACCAGATCCTCGACCTTTTCACTCGAGATCCTTCGTTGTGCCATGTAGCCAACGCCTCCTTGGCTGTTGCCGCTGAGATCCAGCAGATCCAGCAATGTATGATACAGAAATTTAAAGGCCCAGATGTTGCCTCGAGTGCGTTTGATGTCGACCACGTACAGGCCAGGTAAGTTTTCAATCTTGGACAGCTCGACATTGAATTGCACCTGTTCGCCATTGTCAATGCCTTGTTCGCCGTAAATGATGTGGGTGGTGGATGTGGTGGCTGTTGTTTTCGAGCCGATGTTGTTGCTATTGTTGCTGCTATTGAAGAACAGCTTGAATGGAATCGTCGTTGTGTTCTTTCTGGTGCGCGTGCTCCCTTTTGTTGACGTGTTTGCATTGGCGTTGACCTTGTCTGGCACTACCGGATGACGGCGACGTGCAGGCCTGACACATTTGATTTTGAAATCATGACATTTCTTCATATCAATCCCCATGAGACTGAGACACTCCTTGATTTCATGTAGCACTTCATTGGGTGCTTTGGATGTGAGTGCATCTTGATCTACTGCTCCTCGGTGTAACCTCAGCTTTGAGTCATTAAAATCTGCTGCATAGGATCCCAAAGGCTTACCAATCGGCATGGCTCTGATCGGATTGGGTAAAGCACTGATAGGTCGTTGTGGTTGCTGCTGTTGCTTTTCAGGTACCTTGTTGTGATTGGCTGCTGGCCGAGAAGGAAATTTTGTGCCTAAATGATGTGATTTTATAGATGAATGATTTGATTTGAAATGCACCAAGGATTATAAAATACGTTACTTTGTGATTTACTGCGCTTGATAAACCATTCCATTAGTTTTTGGCCCTTTAATTTAGCTCTGTCACTGAACGAAATGTCATCGTGGATGGTGGTTTCAGAAACAGAGGGAAGAATTTGCAGCGATTGATGCTTTTGTTGCTGTTGATTCTTGTTGTATTCACTTGTTGTTCGTTCCCTTTTAGTGTTGTATTTGCTTTTATGTTGAGGTTGAACACTGGCGGATCGATTGGGTATCTTGTTGGTTGTGGAATTGGGCTGCTGATACGATGTTTGTGATGGTTGTTGTTGAGATTGAGGTTGTAATGTAGAAATAAATTTAGCTTCAAGAAACGAAGTTGCTGTAGTAGTGGCAGGTAGTGCTGATTGTGCTACGTAATCATCAGTAGTATCAGCAACAGCAGCAACAGCAGCAACAGTAGTAGTAATAGTAGTAGTAGTAGGAGTAGTAGTAGTAGTAGTAGTAGTAGGAGTAGTAGTAGTAGCAGGGTTCTTGGCAGTGGTATGAATGACAGATGCTGGCGATGATGAGGAGGATGAAGATGAGGATGCAGTTGTGGTGGATGAGTTGGATGCTTTCGGTGTGGGTGGTAATGATTCTCGAGCTGTTACATTTTCTTCCCGAGATTCCGGTTCATGTAAAGGTAGCATAGTAGTGCTATTATCGTCTTGAGCAGCAGCAGCGGGTGATGATAACCGAGAATCCGAGGATACTGTTGCACTGCTCATGTGATTGTGCTTTTCTTCTTCAACCACAAACAAGTGCTGGTGTTCACTTAACCACGGGTGTCGCTTGATTTCTTCCATAGTACATCGCTTTGCTGGATCTGGCACCAACATGCGTCGCAGCAAATGAGTGGCATCTATGCTCATGGATTTCGGTATTTCAAGTCGAGTGCTGACAATATATTTGTACAACACGTTGATATTGGCCCCCTGAGGATTAGTTGGATCATCGTCAAAAGGCAGGTAACCACACAGCATGGCAAACAAAATGACACCGCATGACCAAATATCCACGGCTGTACCAACGTACTGATTTTCATCGTTGATCACTAATTCCGGTGCTGCATAACAGGGCGATCCACATGAAGTGGCCATCAAATCTTCTTGAGCTACCTGAAATCGATTTGCAAATCCAAAATCTGTAATGATAATGTCTCGATCTTTGCTCAACAGTAGATTTTCCAATTTGAGGTCTCTGTGCACAATGTGCTTTTGGTGCATGTAGTCTACGCCGCTGATCAACTGTGCAAAGAGTCGTTTGGCTTCAGGTTCTTGCAGATAATGATGCTTCAAAATGTAATCGAATAATTCACCACCTGTACAAAAACAATGTGTAAGCTAAAAGCCCATGACATGCTTTTTTTTTAATTTTTTTTGCTGTTGTTTGTATTACCTGCTGCACGTTGTAATACAATTCCAATGTAATTTTTAATTGTTAATACTTCAAACAATTTGACGATATAGGGATGATCCACGCTCTAGGAGTCAGTTGTCAGCCACTCGCAACACACTCTCTACCATGCTCTCTACTGGAAGCTACCTTGAGCACGGATATCTCTCGCTCCAATTTTGTCTCTAATGAAGCCAATTTGATGTGGTCTTTTCTCATTAATTTAATGGCTACCTAAACAAGTCCAAGGAGTTTAACTACTTTTGTGTAATCTACAAGTTGTCTTTGTGTAATATGGGCTTTCTTTACCTCTTGATTTGTTTGAACGTGAACTCCGGCCTTGACTTTAGCAAATTCACCTTCTCCAAGTGTTTGCAACAACAAATAAGGTCCAAAATACGACGGATTTTTGAGCTTAGGCTCATAGCCGTACTTTTTGTACACCTCCTGGTACCATATCAGATGGTTACTGTTGCTGTTGGCATTGTAATGCTTGTACTTGTTATGTCGATGTTGCTCTAATTCACTGGGCACTGCCATGACTGAGTAGGCGCGCTGATGTGGATTGGCAGTGGTGGTAGTGTCGGATGGTATCATAGGGCAGTTGTGAGAAGAAGATATAAAAAAAAAGTGTATGATATGCGAAAGAAAGAGATGAAAATAATTTTTATAAAATCGTCTCATCATTTACATATAAATATATACAAAAATCTAAACGTGACATTAAAAACTAAGGGGTAAAAATAAGTTTTCCACATCGTAACACATAAACAACAACAACAACAGCTATAAGAACAACAACTGGCTATATGAGGCCACAGCCATTCTCTGCATGAATACTAACCAGAGTAGGCTGACATGAGCACGGTACATTTGCTGAACAGTGCACTGCTGCCTGCCACATTTTTGCATCCCTCGAGTTGCATGACATGTATATCATCATTTGAAACAGTTTACTCTTTGGCAGTGTTTATGTAATGTGTGTGTATGTACATGCAACAAACAACAACAACACCAACAGCAGCAGCCATGTCAAGTAGACACTATTTATATACGTGATGATACATGTATCTCTACTGGCCCTTCATCTAGATACTACATACCGTGATGTCTGGCGTTTGCTTTGCTTGATTAATGGTGTATTAATAGATCAAATTAATGCATGAAATCATATGAGACACTATATAGCCTTTTCCTAAAGCACGATGGCAACAAACACCATCTGGGAAGCAAGCCTCAAACAGGAATATCCAAGCATCCCAAATGTTGACCTGTATGACATGCACGCCCGGATAAATTTCTCTCCAAGCAAAGTATGTCCCCCATGTCGACTCTAGTGGGATCACACCCCACGTGAGCGAAAATAGCAATCAACATGGCAATGCTTGATATGCAAGTTGGCCGAAAATGTCCAATAGACTTGCAGCAACCGTCTTGTTCAGTACAAGTCTTTAAGATGGAGTATTGGTTTTCAGCCATCACATGCAGGATTGCTTTGTTTAAGTGAGGAGACAGATAAAGGAACACACATGTTATTTCGCCCTGAATGTTCTCCACTTGAAACTCAAATGAAATATCAAGATTCAGGTACCACACACACCTTGTGTGCCAACCACATGCCATTGCAACGTGCGACGAAATGGTAATTGTTTCACCAAACGATGGTTTGCATAAATCAGATATTCTTTGAAAGTACGCACAGCTCGACCTGTGTGAGTTGACAGCTTGATTCCATCGGTTTTCTTTTCGCGTTTATATAGTCAACTATTAGATGGTATAATTACAGCTTGACTAATTAGCTGTAAGCTTATTCCAAGCAAAAACACTGATTATCTTGGTTTCTCATATTTTCTGTCGTAGCATCATTCGCATCAATCATGAATAAAGATGAGGCCATTGTGGTCAATAACACAAAGTGAGCATTGCAATAGAGCCACAGACATGTAAATTGCACCAATGTTGGGGATATCTACAAAGCAAGGTGCTGTTCTTGCAATCCTGTAGCCAGATTGTGTCAGACTAGCTTTGATTGCGATAATTATGATTGATTTTAAGGTGACAGCTCTCGTGCCAATGCTTTGGGAGCTTGGTAGCTTCTAAAATGCTTACTCAACCCGCTCTCTACATATACGCCTTTAGAATGATTCCATCTAAACGTTTCATATACTCGCGATTGACATCGGATGCTAGTGATATTAGGTATTAAGTACTGTTCAGCAGCACTCTTTCTTGTTACTGCAATATATAATACATGGTCAACGTAGGTTTTGCTTTATTCAAATAAATATATAAAAACGAGCTCTAAAGAGTTTGTTTATAACGTTGTATGTATATGTTATATGGAAACATTGTAGTCAAGTTCTTCAGGGTATCCATGTACAATGCCTGCCTCGACAGCTTTCTTGAATGTGTATGTTGGCAAAAGTACTGGGAATCGAGGGTCATGATGAAAGCAAATCTTAACATTGGCCCTCTCGATTGCCTCCTTGCACACTCTGATGTTGGAGGGAGTGAAGTCGAGCATGTAAATGAAGCACAAGGCTTCGTTGCGAGTAAATATGTTGCTTGTATTCATGATTAACAAATATAGTGGAGAGAAAGAGCAAAAAAAAAAAAAAAAAGAGAGAGAGAATAATCCTTTTGGCAATACACAACTGATAAAATTGGATGTTGAATGCATGACTTTTGATTCATGCTTGATAAACTTGCTTTATCAAACTCTCATCACAGCCATTCTATCTCTTGAAAGCAAACAGAGGACAAAAATCTATCTAATTGAATTGCAGTATTTATTATAGTATAAAAAAAACATGTCTATATAGTATTAATGATGCCAATATTGGAAGAAATCAATGTATCGAGTAGCAGGTGGCTACTTCTCCTCCTCTTCCTTTTCTTTGTCAACCATTAGAGAGTCGCCTTGTGAAGCATGTGAAGGTGCAACCGTGGGAGGGAGAGGCATAGATGACGATGAGCTGCGAGAGCTTTTAGGGAGTTGCTTGTTGTTTCTACCAGAGCCAGAAGATCCTGCACGGCGCAATAAGCCTTGGAGTCTAAGAGTAGTAGAAGCTCTTGGCTGATGTGCACGACGTTGAGAGTTTGACGATGAGGCAGATGAAGCACTCTGTCTACCAGTAGCAGTTGAGACTGTAGCATCTTCCGTATTTGCAGCGGTCGTAGCTCTAGCTCTGCTTAGAGAATTCATGTTTGCGCGATGAAAAGAGTCAGACGAAGAAGATTTGATCCATGTAAATTCAGTTGATTTGCTCGGTTTCTTTGGCTTCAAGTTTGTGTAGTCTGGCCCATCTGCTAAGCTTGACATGGTTTCAGTTGATTTCTTTGCGCTTGCTTCAGAGTCGAGGTCATAGAAACCTTTACGCTCATGTAGATCTTGCTTTTCCAAGTCAATGTCTGCCTTTTGCTTGTCCTTGGTATTGGAGCTGCCACTGCTATAACTTTTGTAGTCTTCTTCCAACGCCTTCGTTTTAGTATTCCCCTTTGCCTTTTTCTTGTCTTGTTTTTGCTTCTGGTGTTGCTGTTGTGATTGACCTCCAGATGATCTGTTGGTTTCTTTTCTTAGCCTCTTTGTCTTCTTCTTTTGCTCCTTGGCTTCAATTCTTCGTTGTCTCTTTGCTTCTCGTCCAGCCTCTACCTCGAGTCGAAAGAGTCTCTCTTTTTCCTCTTTCTCTGCTTGCTGCTTCCTTCTTTTGTCCTCTGCGCTTTCTTCTTGTTGCTGCTCTACACATGCTGAACTTTTTTGTCCTTGACTTTCGTCATTGCTGCTCTCTTTATAACAGCTCTCGTCGCTACCAGATCTACTGTTCTCTTCAGCGTTGCCATGCCCTTCACCAAGTGTTCCAGAATTTGCAGGATTTTGCACACTTGGCCCAGGCTGCTTTTGCTTAAGTTGGCCATGATCACCGATAGTAGGGGTTCCAGGGCCAAGAGGAGCATCATCTCGAGGTTCATCACTAGGACTCCAAGCACCTTCTGATGGCTGGCTAGGGCTTGCGTGACCTTGCACAGTTGGTCCAACGTACTGTTGTAAAAACTGCCCCTGATTACATATAATGGGAGCTCCTGGAAGAAAAGGACTAGAAGAGCTATTATTAATAGGACTTGAGCCACTGTCTGTTGGTTGAACAGGACTTGCAGGAGTATAAGGGTTGAAGGGATTAGGTCGATTAGGTGAACCAGACTGTCCAGGTGGACTAGAAGAACTAGATAAATTAGGTGGACCTGAGTGCTGTATAGTTCCAGATTGAGCAGATGGAGCAGGCTGACCAGTCAAGCTAGAATAACCATGTTGTCCAGGTGAACTTGATGGGGTAGGCTGAGAATATCGAGCATCTGGGCTAGATAAACCATGTTGAGCAGATTGGCTCAATGGAGCAGGTTGAGTAGATGGACCGGTTTGATTTGGTGAACCAGGTTGATTAGGGGAACTAGATTCAACAGTTTACTCAGAAGCTCCAGGCTGACCAGATGAACCAGAAGAGCCATGCTGAGTAGACGGGCTTGAGGGAGCAGGACGATCAGGTTGAACAGATGAACTAGGTTGTGGAAGGAAACCGGAATGACCAGGTGGACTAGGTTGACTGGATAGTGTATTTTGATCTTCATCACCTTCTTGGGTATCATCGCCAGACATGTTGTTATTACCACGTTGATTAGTGTCATCACTACGAGTAGTATCATTAATCCCACTTTTATGCTGATCTCCTCGATTGTCTGTCTGTGTGCTAGTAGCAGTACTAGTGGTGTCACTGCTGCCACTAGTTACATCAGCACTACCACTTTGATCGCCATTTTGTGTATCGGTGCCTGCACTTGCTACAGAATTGACATCAGTTCCAGGGGTAGCTGTAGCAGGAGTATCTGTAGTAGTACCAGCAGCTGTCTCAGTTGACTCGGGTCCACGAGATGTACCTTCAATAGACGTGTTTGCAGTAGTTTCAGTGCTACGAGTGGTAGGTTTTGCCTCAGTGGTGGGTTTAGTCTCTTGGAACGCGCTAGCAGTAACGGGTTTAGGTCCTGAAGATGAGCCAGTTCCAGTAGATGCGGCACCAGTAGTAGGCTTGGCTCCAGAAATTGCGCCTTCAGTCGATGAGGTTTCAGTAGTGTTAGCAGTTCCAGTAGCAGTTGTGGTAGTGGGAATAGGTGCAGTGCCTCTGGTTTCAGTGCTCGCGCTTATCCCTTGGCCAGAGCTTCCTTGACTATCAGTATTGCGATCAGTTTTTATCTTGCCTGATCCAGTACCATGATTTTCGCAGCCATGATCTCCATCACCTTGATTCCCATTATCAGAACCATCAGAGCCATCGTCATCAACAGGAACTAGTTCGTCAGGTATTACAGGAGGGTCCCAATTTCCTTTGACCAAAGCAATAATGAAAGCAATAGCTGCAAACACGAGATGTCCGTCATATAAATCCAAGTAAGGTACAAACATAAAACTAAGTACATGACATATGAGCAAGCCGGCGCAAAGCCTCCACAGGTTTATAAGAAATTTCAACTTGTAGAGACCCTCATATTCAGATAGATTTATGTAGACGCTTTCCTCGCCTAGCAAGTTGATGACACGGTAGTTTGGAGTAAACTTGTCATAGTCGTCATACACGAAGAGATGTTCAAGTTCATTGATAGGCTGGGGCTTACTCTCAAACTTGTGGGTGCAATAGTCTACTAAAAAAACAGAAAAAGCAAGTATCACATTAGACGCTATTATCATACGTTTGTGTGCTCATTCAAACTTACAATTTATGGTATGAAGGCTGTAAAAGTAGGCCTGAGTTTCTGTTTTGGTAGCTTGATAGATATACAAGGTTTTATCAGCAGAATGGATGACATGATTTGAATGTGAGCAGTTGTCAGCAACTAGAGGATGATTAGTATTAGCTTCAATGGCCCCTCTCACAGGAACAAATCGCAAGCATTACTTACACAAGACGTTAGGGATAATAAAATCGTTGACTCTCTCAGTGAGAGGAGAGTAGTAGTCAGCAGGCCTGACAAGATACACTGTCAAGGCGTATAAAGGGATGTAAAAGGAATAAAGTATGATGCTGATAAGTCGCCTCATAGGTAAACCTAAAGGTAAAGAGTAAAGAACAGGAGAGGAAGCTTCATTGTAGCCTTATATACATGCTTTAACTGTATTACTGGGGATCATTGTAAATTGACACAATGAAAAGAACAAGGCACCGTATTGTTTCGTTTGCCAATTTCCTAGCTAATATCATCAAGCGTCAAGGGCTCATCAAGTTTCTATGTAAAAGTCATGAACACTGTACAGTATACCGAGTCAATTGTAGCCATTCGCTACAGTAAAGATGAGAGCCTGCATTGGTTTGCACGTACAATGCTTTCAACACTCGATGCCTAGTCTTTGGCTTGCTATAAGTCAGTGAATGAAATGAAATGAAATGTCGAGCTTTATTTAATTTTTTTACAGAATTCAGAGTGAGGTTGTTAAATGTATTGTGTTTTATAAGGCATCTTGTTGATCTTGACCCTTGTTGTTTTGTCTGTAGCCACTGTTGTTGTTGTTGTTATTATAATTATTGTTACGGTTGTTATTACGATAATAGTTGTTACCACCACGGCCACCACGATAGCCACCACGTCCTCTAAAATTATTACGGTATCTTGATTGATCTACAGTGGCTTGACCAAAGGTTTCCAAGTTCAACTTGCGTTCCTCATGGAAATGACTACGACGAGGTTCACTAGGAAAAAAAAACAGTGTTAGTTTTAGCTACGACGTAACTTTTGAACACGACTCACTTTTGCTGGCGTTGTTCATTGCGTTCCTTGGACTCACAAGAGATGTTGTCAAAGAAACTGGATGTCTTGTCGTAGAATTCATCAGGTTGAGGAATCTCAATCTCCTCTGCCTCCTCATCGTTCACTTCCTCGCCGTCCTTCTTGACAACTTCGCTTTTGTCAAACTTGGCGTTGGAGGCTTCAAAATCGAATTCAGAATTGGGAATGCTAAATTCAGTCTTGTTCTTGTTGTTGTTGTAGTGGCGATCACCGAAATTGTTGTTGTTGCTGCTGTTGTTGTTATAGCGACTATTTCTGTTACGGTAATTGTTATTGCTGTTACTATTGTCATAACGACGGCGAGGTTGTTGCTCATCAGAGGAAGGTTTGCTGCCAATAACAGCATCATCACCTGTGTTTAATTCGCTCACTTTTTTTGCCAATTGTTCGATGGCAGCCTCATTGATGGTGGGTTGCAACGCGTCAGTTTCCTCCAATTCAGCCTTCAATTCATCCAAAGTATTCTTTTCTAGTTGTGCTTGATCTACTTTGGGTTCGGCAGGATAAGAGGGCTGCCAGTAAGATGAATCGTTGTTAGAGCGTTGCTGTTGTTGTTGTTGTTGCTGAGGCTGCTGTTGAGGTTGCTTGGGAGGTTGCTGAGGTGGTGCTTGCTGGGGTGGTTGCATGTACATGTTGTTGTTCATGTAAGGGTTCATGGGAGGATAACCGCTCATGCTCTATACACTGTAATTAACATCACATAATCCATCCTAATCACTAGCATTTCTTACCATGATAGCAGGATCTTGAGGCATCGTAGGTGGTGGTGGTGGTGGTGTAGGCTTGGGTGGTGCCTCGAATACTTGTAAATCCTTGATATCAGATCCACGGAATACGACATAATCAAACACATTATCAGAAGCAAGGATCTCTTCTTCAGGCTTGCCACGACGACCTTCAGTACCAAATGAACGCACTACCAATCACGGTCAGTACGCAAATCTTGTCTGTACTATTATATGCAGCCTACCTTGCTTTAAACCCACAGTTGAGTCCTGAGCATTGATGCTATGGAGGATACCCACATAACGGATATCACTCAAACTGATCAACTATCCATATTTTGCGAGTTAGCTTTTCGATTCAGTACGGAAGAAAGAAATTTTTTTTTTTTCCTCCATTGAACATGTTGCACATCATCCTTACCGAGATTTTTGAACCAATGTAGTTTTCTCCTGCCATGCTCGTTGCTTATTACTTTCTCAAGAATGAAAAATAGACAAAGGGTGGGAACGAGTTGAAAGAAACAGAGAGAAACAGAGCCACGTAGTGCGGGTGTGCCAACGTTCTCCTGTTGATTGAACCAACGTCATGAAGACCATTCAAATTGTTTCTCTGCCGCATCAAGTGACATCACGTTGTGTGACGGTACGGATAGATCATCTGTTGGAATCTGTCAATGCAGATCAGAAACAGCATCAATTCACTGGCAGGCATAATAGCTATAACAATGCATACATCAAGTAGTTTGTGTCGTTGGGAATCTCAAGGCAAGGTCGAGAGTGAAATGCTGTTTAAATTCAATACTCAATCAGTGACCCAATGCCACTTGCCTCGAGAGGTACAAAATGTGTTTTCGTACATTCTGATATTTACAGTGCAATCTCGCATTTCAACATTTCAGTATCATAAAATTAAAAGAAACTTCTCCGTAAGCAATCTATAACTATGAATCCGACTCTTTTACGACTGTCCACATCTATACCCATGGAAACAATTCACATACGGGTGTATAGCATACTTGCAATACCACTTACTGCTCAAACGTATGTAAATTACAGCCAACATTGGGTAAATTTGAGCTGCAATTTCTCGAGCTACAAGTCGTTTTAGACCGCCAGAATAGCGCCAAAAAGTTTCTTTCATCCAGCATGTAGTAACTGACACCTTTGCTCAGCTTTTTTGAAATTGTCAAAAATCGACAAAAAACCATGAGGTATCCCTCATGGTTTTCATCGAAAATCAAACGATCGCGTTTTTTACCTTGATAACGAAGACTTTTACTATGGTATATCTTGAATCAAAGTGTTTCTATCGATCTAACGTAACCCCTAAAATCATCTCTGTGGGACTTTGATATGTCAAATTTCGACTTTTTGGCCAAAAACCTCTTTTCATATTTTCATAAATTGCTCAATAAGTTTATTCAAAACATCTATATTACTTGGTATCATTGGATACATTTTGAAAAGTACTCCAAGAAAGCTTAAAGAAGCAGGGGATGATCATCATATTGTACTTAGTCGAATCTGCTAAAATAGATCAATCGAGTTGAAAACCATCAAGTTTTGGCCAATCTGGAACAGACAATAATGAGTCTGTGTTTGAATTAATTCTGGCTGGAGGAGCTGGCTGGCAAACTCAATGCCCTTTTCATCGTGAAGGCAATATTAATTCCACGTTCTTTAGTGAACGTTGACAACATTGAGCAGGGGAAAGAGGGTAAAAACAAAAGTGGTCTTCGTGGATTGATTGTGAAATCATTAGTCATATATGAGCCAGGCCTGACAGATGTCTGGAAGCTCAGTCTCCAAAATATTAGTGTTGTAACAGTGTCTAGGGACTGAACATTTATTATAATATGATGAAGTTAGACATGCAGCTATGCTTGTTGAGTATCAGTATCAAGAGTATCAGCAGTGCTTGTGAGAGGCGTCACTGCAGGTGATGATGTGTTTATATTTGTGTTGGCTGTTGTCGATATGGGTGTTTCAAGTCTATGCTCGTCGCCTACTACCTCTAGCTGTGGTGAATTGGGACCATCCAACACTTGTTTCGCTGCCATCAATCTCTGTTCTGTTGGGAGCTCTACCAACGATAAATTGGATGTTGTCAAGGAAGATGAAGACGAAGAAGATGGCGACATGGTAACGCTGTCATGTTTTTGTTGTGCTTCCACCTTTTGCAGCATGTTTGTCGTACACACAGCAACAATGTCGTTTTGTAGGTTGGCCAGTTCCTCATCCAAAGGCTAAGTTTCCATCACATCATCAATACAATTTAAATGGCTCCGACTTGAATACACACTTACTGGAATATTAATGTCCAAAAAGGTCAGGGTATGATTCATTTTGATGGAGATGGCAAGCGCCAAGATACCGGCCATATCAATATGAGGATTCTTTGAGAGATCCAATCTACAGAGTGATGCGTTTTCGGGAAGTGCTTCAGCCAATGCAATGGCCGTGCTTGAATCCAGTTGTGTTTCGGATAGGTTTAAGCTTTGCAAACATGCGTTTCGAGCTAAAGCATTCTTCAAAGCCAAGATCTAAATGAAGTGGCATATAAGTATGGATGAAGGTTGATTGCAAAAAAAAAAATATATATATATATATATATCAAATAACGTACACCCTCATCCGTATCATGTCCCAACGGATTCATGGACAGATCCAGCTCCTCCAAGCAACGATTGTCTCCTAGTGCATTCGATAGCAAGGACAGACCTTCGTGATTGATTTGACAGTTGGATAAATTCAAATGCAATAAGCTGGTGTTATTTCTCAAAACTGCTGCCAACGGTGCCAACATTGAATTTAGCTGATTTCCAGATAGATCCAGATCCTTGATACCATGCAAACGAGGGGCGATGAGATTGGCGATCCATGTCCCCTGATTTGGTGCAAAATGGTTATTTCGCAAAGACAGTGTTTGCAACGATGTAGCATTAAAGACTCCTTCTGAAAACGACTGAAATGTCTCTGTCGGTGGCTTTATGTTGCATTTATCCATCACCAGCTTTGTCAATGTGGTTGCATATTGTAATCCTTGTGCTAAATACTGCATTCCCTTTTTCTCGAATGTACATCGTGACAAGTCAACAGATTGGATTGTTTTGGACTAGTAGACATCATTGGTTAGTTTCGTATTGTCTCCCCTTTTCATCCCACCACTGAACAGTACCTCTTTGATGAAAATGGCTATGTATTTGTATCCTTTTGATTTGAAATTGTTTTGTGATAGGTCCAAACGTTGAATGGTACCGCTTACCAATAAGCTACACAAAATAATACGAATAGCCTATTTTTACATTTTCTTTTTAGCTGGTATAGAGTCTTTCATATGAAATTAGCTTACCTCGTCTTCCAATTTGCAGTTTGATAAATTCAGGCATTCAAGACCAAATTTCAGAATGAAAATATCAGACAATGGTCCAGCTTGATGAGCAGCAATAGGTTGCCTGGATAAATTGATGGTCTGTAATTGCGATGTCCTATGACACGCTCTCTATAAGTAGGATATCATTTAAAAAAAAAAAAGATATGGGTTGATTACTTACCGGCTCTTTCTTAGAAGGTTTCTGAAGCGGTCTACACAGCCTTCCTCTCTTTGAATACAAGCATGATCGTAATGGTTGGCCAAGTCTGTAACTTGTGGAGTTTGTTGTTTGGTAGCAGCTGCATCACTCTTTTGCTTTTCATACAATTCATCTCTGGGTATATCGTTTGCGCAGAATGAATGCTCCGTTGTGAGATTGCCAACAGAAAATGTAACTCGCTTCAAATCTTGCTTTGCTAATAGTAAGGGATTGTCTGCATCGTTTTCATCTTGTGCAATGTCTGTTTGTGAATATATTTTAGAGTGCAAACGAGACAGCCATGACGTTCTGGGCGGTGGGTTGATGGCTGTGATAGACGTATCCTTATAGTTGATGTTGCTCTCTGGTCTGTATTTGAGGATACTCTTGGGCTTGTTCATTTTATAATAGGAAAAAGAGAAGAAACAAGAAAAAGAGAATCCCGATGTATTTCAACGAGCGGTTTTATTTGCCTGGCCATGCTGAATGCTACCACCGCTCTGCTGCTGCTATTAGAAAAAGGGGAACAAGAACGTGAGTTTGTTAGCAGGAGGAAATCGCTCACACACAAAACAGATACACAGACATGTCCTGTGATCAATCTGATGCTCATATTATTAAATGCCTCTGCTTTTTTTTTAATTTCTTTCTTTCATTTCATCTTTTCATTACGCTCTTTTCTTTATTATCCTATTGAAAGATGAAATTTAAGGGGATATAGGTAGGGAGAAACATGCCAAATAGCAGAAAAAAGGGTTTTTTTCTAGTTTGAATACCAACAATGCACTGCAATTATACACTAATAAATGAAGAAAGCTAGATCCCCAGGTACCTTATGTAATGAAGAGGGTCCTTGCATTGATTCAGCATTTAGGAACCGCCTAAACAAGAATAGTTTCTGTTTATAGCACCCTCATGTTCATTCATTAACAGTCTCGTCAATGCGGCAGAGCTTTAAGCTTGTCTGTTTAATTGGCCATAATGGTGAATCTGGCCTCCATGGTTACAATGATACTGCATATGTACCTGTCATTTGTGTCATTATGTTGCTATTCAATCGTATTTACTCTCAGTTAATTGCATCGTCGATATCCAATACACATTTGATATACCAGCGACCACTGTTAGGGCTTTGGATTATCATAGATTGACAACTGTAGAGATGTGCATGTCGTTTCAATGCATTTTACGACTAATAAATGAGCAAAAGCGTATGGTCTTGAGCAGAGATAATGGCACATTGAATTACTAATGAACGCTCAAGGGCAGATTCATGGCAAGGAGAGCCTCTGGCATCTACATACACCTGTGCCCTGAACTGAAACGAAGTGTATTTCATGAGCAGATCCTGACAACGGCAAGACCGACTCATTCATTAAGATCCGAGGATGTCTGTTCTAATCAGATTATAGATCTTAGATATAAAATGTTCATTACGGTAGTGACACAAATCATACAAAACGCAGCCCACTACAAAATAAAGCTTTCAGGGGACCCTTTCTTTTCCATGATAGATTATTTTCAGGCCATTCTTCTTAATCAGATCAAGTAAAGCAAGCATTTCTGAATAGTGATCAGTTTTGCAACGCACAAAGTTTAATGACACGCAAGCGAATTTCTGTCAACTTGAAGCTATCGACATCAATTTGCCTTTACCAGGCTCACTGAATCCCTCCAAAACGTACAATGGTTACATTGCATATCATTTCATACCAAAGGCCAGAGACTGCACTGTCTAATGGTGATACTTTTCCGTCTGCAAAGCATTAGGTTTGCATTTGTTGCTTAGCCTCATGTGTTTGTCTAGCCGTAAAGCCGCGATATATCAATTGCGATTCAAATAGAGTTTATGTTCTTTAACAGGTAATGTTACTATGTGCTGAGATCCAGCTTTTGTGATACTCTCCACATTATGCTACATACTCTTTTTGGAGCGACGCACACACAAGCATGCATTGTGCTATTCACATCATGATTGGAGGCACTATTTCCCGATTGAAAGCGACTGAAATCCAATATGGCATTGAGTTCAATGAATGAAAATGATCGAAAACACGTTGCTCGATATCGCAAAGTGCATGACACTTTTATGATGAAATCAATCGACTAAAAATAAAGCAAGCCTTTTTGGTAAGATTAGTGAATTTATTGCAATGATGATGATGGTAATTTAAATGACATTAGAGTTATGAACGCGGAATACGTCTGGTAACAAATTATTGATGAAAGATGCTGGTGTTTGGCCGTTGGATTGGGGGAAGAAATAAAAGAAGATAAACATGATCCAGAAAGCAGCACGCAACCAGACCCAAACAGAGAATCCTGACACAACCTCTTGCTCCTCCAAAGGTGCTTGCTTGTTTTCTATTTCAATCTTTCTTGGTTTGGGAGTCTTTCCAAAACTCTTGACAACCTGATCAGAGGTTAATTTGCTTCCTGCAAGTACAATGGGGACACCTGTTCCGGGATGCGTGCTAAACATGTTGCATAAACATATGTAAGTCAAGATTATTTTAGAGCCCCCTGTTTTGATCTACATTACCTTGCACCCACAAAGAATAGGTTATCATAACGACCGGTAGAATCCTTAGTGCTCGGACGGAACCAGAGCACTTGAAGCACATCATGAGAAAGACCCAGAATAGAACCTCGCCAAAGATTGAACTTGCTTTGCCATACAGCGGGGTCATTGACTTGCTCATGCTCAATCAAATCTGCAAAATTAGACATACCCAAACGACGCTCAATCACAGCCAACACCATCTTACGTGCCTTGTTCACCATAGCTGGGTAATTCTCGGTCGTAGCATCGCCTGTCTTGCTCTTCATGTGGCCAATAGGCACCAAGACAATGATAGAGTCCTTTCCATCGGGGGCAGCAGAAGGATCAATACGGGAAGGCACATTGACGTAAAAAGAAGCTTCAGAAGGCAAGCCAAAATCCTTGAAGATTTCATCGAAACTCTCCTGATAAGCCTCGGCTAAGAAAATGTTGTGCACGTCCAATTGAGGCACCTTGGTAGACATGGACCAGTAGAAGGAAATAGAAGAAGAGGTCAATTTCTTGGAAGCCAATGTGTTTTGCGTCCATCGGCAAGGAGGCAAGAGATTGTGATAAGCATACACCAGATCTGCGTTACAAACAACCGCATCGGCATCGATGATGTGGCCATTTTCCAAGGTTACACCTGTCACTTGTTTGGTGGCATCATTGGTGTTAATCTTGGCCACAGGCGCATTGTAGATAAACTCGGCATCGTACTTGGCCTTTGCAATCATCTCTAGCTTTTGGACCACCATGTTGAAACCACCGCGAGGATACCATATACCTTCAGCAAATTCCGTGTACTGCAACAAACTGTAGACAGCGGGAGCATCGTAGGGAGACATGCTAAAGAGAGCATGTAAATAGGACGAATCCATCGGCAGCCAATGATACCACACACACTTACCCCATATACATGGTCTGAAACGTGAATGCCATGCGCATCTTCTTGGTCTTGAAATATTTGGAGGCACGATCGTAAATCTTGCCAAACAGGTGCAAGCGAAAGATCTCTGGAGCATACTTGATGCGAATCAGGTCCCAGATGGATTCGAAATTCTTCTTGAGCGCAATCAATGTGCCGCTTTCGTAGTGGATGTGCGTCTCTTTCATGAAATCCAGGAAACGGCCAAACCCAAGGGGGCCCTCCACACGGTCCAATTCAGCCTTCATGCGTGTCAAATCAGACGACAATTGGATAGACTCACCATCATCAAAATGCACCTTGTAGTTGTTGTCGCATCGCAGAAGCTCCAAATGGTCTTGAATGCGTTCATCCAAATCAGCAAAGGCATCCTCAAAATACTTGGGCATCAGATAGAGAGAAGGGCCTTGGTCAAAACGATGGCCTCCATGATGGATCAAGGAACAGCGACCACCACCAAAGTCGTTCTTTTCAACCACAGTGACCTTGAAGCCTTCGCGAGCTAAACGAGCAGCAGTAGCCGTGCCACCAACACCAGCACCGATAATAACGATATGTTTCTTGGACATGTGCAAAAGTAAGAGAGAGAGAGATAAGGGTGAAAAGCAAGAGGAAAAAGCAAAAGAAAGGCGAAAATAGAAAAAGGTCTTTATATACATTGCATATGTCAAAACCCGGATGCGATGTGCAAGCGTGTGTTTAGGAGGAGATTTGGAGCAAAAAGGAGATGGAGATGGAGGCATTTGATGCGTTGAAATGAAGCTTATGCAGTTTTCATTGTCTTGACGCTTCAAGGAGTCAAATCGAAGCTTTTTTTTTTTTTGCAGGGTGGCTCAATATAGCAACGCATCCTGCGTAACAAGCCTCCTTGGCGGTGAAGCGTTTAGAAGAAAAACAACGAAATTCAATCAGAAGAGTAAAAGAAGAGGCATCGATTCAGATGCTGCCTGTTTGCCTATCACTCCCTCTTTTTTCTGGCCTAATATAAATACCATCTATACCTGGTGTTTTCGGCTCTTTTTTTTTCTTCTCTTCTTTATCCCCAATTCAACTTTATACATTACTCGCCATGCTCCTCACTTACATGGAAGTCCACCTCTATTACACTTTACCCATGCTGGGTGTTTTGTCCTGGCTATCGAAACCCTACTACACATCTACCGATTCGCTCAAATTCAAATTTCTGTCACTGGTTGCCTTCACTACTGCTTCTGTCTGGGACAATTACATTGTTTATCACAAAGCCTGGTCCTACTGCCCTACCTGTGTCACGGCTGTCATTGGCTACGTGCCTTTGGAGGAATACATGTTCTTCATCATCATGACTCTATTGACCGTGTCATTTACCAATTTGGTGATGCGTTGGCATTTGCACAGTTTCTTTATCAAACCTGAAACGCCCGTCCTTCAATCCATGCTGGTCCGTTTTGTTCCTATAACAGCTTTATTAATCACTGCATACAAAGCTTGGGTAAGCCAGCAAACAAACAAATGATGTGCCGCATATCATTTTAATATTAACTATTTGCTTCATATATATATATATATATATATATATATATAGCATTTGGCGGTCCCTGGAAAGCCATTATTCTATGGATCATGCATTTTGTGGTACGCCTGTCCGGTGCTGGCCTTGCTGTGGTTTGGTGCTGGTGAATACATGTTGCGTCGTCCTCTGGCTGTCCTCATCTCCATTGCTCTGCCTACTCTCTTTCTCTGCTGGGTAGATGTGGTCGCCATCGGTGCTGGCACTTGGGACATTTCGTTGGCTACAAGCACTGGTAAATTCGTGGTGCCTCACCTGCCCGTGGAGGAATTCATGTTCTTTGCGCTAATTAATACCGTTTTGGTATTTGGTACTTGTGCGATCGATCGTACGATGGCGATCCTCCACCTGTTCACGAAGAAGAGTCCTTATCAGCGCCAATACCAGCATGACAAGTCGTTCCTTCACCAAATTCTCGAGATGACATGGGCGTTCTGTTTGCCCGACCAAGTGCTCAATACAGAGACATTCCACGACTTGTCTGTCAGCTGGGATATCCTTCGCAAAGCCTCCAAGTCCTTTTACACCGCCTCTGCTGTTTTTCCTGGTGATGTGCGGCAGGAACTCGGTGTGCTGTACGCCTTTTGCAGAGCTACGGACGATCTCTGTGACAATGAACAGGTCCCTGTGCAAAAGAGAAAGGATCAATTGACGCTGACACATCGATTTGTGAGCGACTTGTTTAGCCAAAAGAGCAGCGCGCCTTCTGCCATTGACTGGGAATTCTACAACGATCAATTGCCTGCTTCCTGCATTTCTGCCTTCAAGTCGTTCACTCGTTTGCGCCATGTGCTGGAAGCTGAAGCCATCAAAGAATTACTCGACGGATACAAGTGGGATTTGGAGCATCGTTCCATCATGAATCAGGAGGATCTCAGTTATTACTCAGCTTGTGTTGCCAGCAGTGTTGGTGAGATGTGTACTCGCATCATATTGGCTCATGCTGATAAGCCCACCTCTCGCAAGGAAACTCAATGGATCATTCAGCGTGCTCGTGAAATGGGTCTGGTACTCCAATACACAAACATTGCTAGAGACATTGTTACCGACAGCAAGGAGCTGGGCAGATGTTACTTACCGCAGGCGTGGCTTACGGACAAGGAAGTGGGTTTGATACAAGACGGCCGTGCCCGAGACATTGGAGAGGAGACATTACTATTACTATCACATCGATTGATCAACCAAGCAGATGAGCTCATGGTGTCTGCCAACAAGGGTATTGACAAGCTACCTAGCCACTGTCAAGGGGGTGTGCGTGCTGCTTGCAATGTCTATGCGTCTATCGGAGCCCGGCTCAAGTCTTACAGACATCATTATCCCAGCAGAGCACATGTTGGTCATTGGAAGCGAGTGCAAATTGCTCTTCTTAGCGTATACAACCTTTACACCGCGCCAATCGAAACAAAACAGGGCAGGCAGGGAAAAATGAGAAATCTAAATACCATTTAAGCTCTTTTTTTTTTTTTCATTTTCTGTATAATCACTTTTTCTATAATAAAGAAAAGGGATTCGGCAAGCACAAGAAAAGAAGGATTTCTACTATTCTCTGCATTCCATTTGTCTTTTTTTGGCTAATAAAATATAAATGAGGGCAATTTATATTAGCATCTTTACCTTCTTTCTCTATATTTATACAAAATAAATGAGACATTGTGATGATGGTGGTGGCAGAAGACATCCCAATGTGCCTTCACTGTCCACATTATTGATATCAGATCCGCCTGTGATTGTCATTGAAGACGACGACCCAGATGTTGCTGAATCAACACAGGCACAACACGCTAAATTATCGCCATTACTGTCACCGGTTGACTCGCATTATGCTTCTTCCATTTCATCCAGCTGCTGTTCATCTCCTCATTTGCTGTCAGTCAGTCAGTCTTTGCCTCCTTTGCAAGGCGATGACCCGCCAAAAAGATTGAAAAGACATCCCTCCATCTCATCCATGTCAAGTATCACATCCAACTGCTCTTCTTCATCTTTGATGACTAAGCCCACACTATGGCATATTACATCGCCTTCCATCTCTCCCATACTGTCGCCTAGCTCCATCTCTTTTCCTTTTCCTTCTCCCTCAACACAGCAGCAGCAGCAGCAGCCATCTATCTTGATATCGCCTTCCTCTCCCTCTGCTCCATCCACACTGACTCTACAGCCTTGTCGATCTCCCTCTCCTGTCGCTGCTACTCCAGAGCGAGATCAAAGGCCGCTGTTGCCGCCTTCTACCCAAATCATTGTGAACGAAGAAGGAGAGACCATCCTCAAGCGCAGACGAGGTAGGCCACCTAATGCAAAAGAGTCTCCAGAAGAGGGAGGATGGACATTTCTGACACCCACTGTTTGGGATGTCAAAAACCAGCAGTCGTCTCAAGATGCAGCGACAAAAGGTGTTGTCTCAAATCAACAACAGCCACCACAGACACTTGCAGCGTCCATCACAAACGGAGGCGTCGCCGTGTTCTCGAGCTCCATTGTGAAGGATCCACTTTTACAAATGCCTAGAAAGAAGCGAGGAAGAAAACCCAAGACGCAAATAGCCGGTAACTCGTGCTTTGTGTGGAAAGACATCACTGCTACTAGAAGATCTACAAAAGCGATGAAGCTAGCACAGCAGCAGCATAAAAAAAGAGATCATCTAGTAGACCAAGACGGTACATCTAGTACCACAGCCACTCGGTTGAGAAGGATTGAGCAAGCTCGTCCAGTTGATACCAACACCAGCTAAACAAAGCCTTATTTATTACGTAATTTTCATTACCACAACGCCTTATTTATTGCAATGCCAATGCACCCTTACCTTATATTGTACATTTCCCTCTTATTTTATGCCATAAACTATCATTTCAAGTTTGTTAGATCTCCTGTGTGTGTGTGTGACCGTACTAGATTGACGCTCTACTTCTCAGCAGAAACCCCGGATGCCACCCTTTTGTTTGTTTATCCCACACACTTGTATACTAAAAATGAACGTTACTGCACTCAAGCGATATATTCCGGCCTATACGAAGTCCATTAGAACCTACTCTTCAAAAGCCGTCAATGTGTCGTTTGATAAATATGCCTTAAAGCCATCTCAGGAACCGCCTGTCTTGATTTGTCATGGACTGTTTGGCTCCAAGCAAAATTGGACCTCTCTCGCAAAAGCCATGAGCAACAGATTATCAAGAGATGTCTACACCATTGTAAGTCTATTGATCAGATCTGTTTCCATCATTGATAGTGCATGTGATATTAAGTTTGAGTCATGCGTAGGATCTTCGCAACCATGGTGACAGCCCACATACCGCTGAACACACCTACGATGCCATGACTAAGGATTTAATGGCATTCATAGATCAACAAAATTTAAAGAACCCCATCTTGTTGGGCCACTCCATGGGCGGAAAGGCAGTAATGAATACAGCACTAGCATGTCCTGATCTCGTATCCAAACTGATTGTGGTGGATATGCCTCCCGTCGCCATGAAGCTCGCTCGCAATTTCAGCAATTATATCACTGCCATGAAGGCCATTGAAGAAGCCAATCCCTCCAAACAAAGCGAAGCTGATCAAATTCTGTCTCAATACGAATCCAATGTGGGCGTGCGCATGTTCTTATTGACAAACCTGAAACGCATGTCAGATGGTGCCTTGCGTTTCCGTATCCCCTATGATGTTTTAGGAAAATCACTGGAAAACATTGGCGGGTTTCATGTACCTGAAAATGCATTTTATAAGGGTGAAACTCTGTTCATTGCTGGTGGAGCGAGCCCTTACTTGCGTCCCTTCCATGAACAAGAGAGGCAAATCAAGCAGTTGTTTCCCAATTCAAAGTTAGAGGTGGTGGAGGATGCTGGGCATTGGGGTAAGTTGGCCAGCGATGGTATCGGGATGTCTATTCTGTGTACTCACATCTGTTTTTTTTTACCAGTTCATGCGGAGAAACCGGATGCTGTATTGAATTTGATCACATCTTTTGTTCTGGATCAATAAAATTATGTGTAGATGATTCTATCGATTCTAGCCTGTTTATGTGTAGTTTTGTCAACTATATGTGTACGTCTTGGACTAGGGTCACACTCAGCGTATGCCATTTCGAGTAAGATATCTCGTATTTGAATGGGCAGTTTGCAACGTTAAAGTTCGTTACTGTATGCAGCACGTGTAATAGAAGCAAGGAAAGAGTCAGGCTAAGCTGTAGTATCTTACAGTTCGTATCCCCCCCTTCCTATAAGATTCACAACTATCGATTGCTTTATACGAATGGCATCATCCAACCTGCCAGCCAAAGATGATTTCACCTCCGCTCAGTATCTGCTCCAGATTGGACAAATTTGATCGAATTTCGACTTGATCCAACTATTTTGCTAAATTAGACCATGTAAGCTGCGATGATCATCCCATACTTCCTAATGCATTCTTGATGCACTTTTCAATGCGCATCCAATGATGCTGCTTATGAGATATACTTTGACTGAAATTATTGAGCAATATATGAAAATACGAAATGGGGTTTTCGGCGAAAAGGTCGAGATTTTGTATCTCAAAACCTCACAAATGTTATTTCAAGAGTTGCGCTGGTTCGATAGAAACATTTTGATTCAAGATATACCATAGTAAAAGTCTTCGTTTTCAAGATGAAAAACGCGATCGTTTGATTTTTGATGAAAACCATGAGGGGTACCTCATGCTTTTTGGTCGAATTTTGGCCATGTTTTTTTGGTCCCCAAAAAGTTGAGCAAAGGAGTTAGTAAGTTCGTGCTAGTCGAGAGGGAATGTTTGGTGCTATTTTGGAGGTCTAAAACGGCCTCTATCTCGAGAAAGTGCAGCCCAAAATACTTGGGTTTTGCTGTAATTTACATACTTTTGAGTAGCAGAAGGTAATAAAGGTATACTGTCAGCTTTGGATAAGCTATAAAAAAGGCATGGCTTTTTAAAGACAATGTAACGTTGCACAGTGTCAGGGTCCAACATACTCTTATTGGATTCTGCAGACCTTTGAGGGTGAAAATGGGGCCACCACAGAGTAAAGCATTTAGCCTGCATCAAAATCACCATCACGCTGTTTTTTTTCGATAGGGTGGCGGTTTTGATCATGTCATGGATTTCTCAAAGATATACAAATGCTATTCTACTTGTCACCAATGTGGTACTCATATGCTAGACATGTCTAAATAAGGGTTTCTGTTCATTGTTGACAGATAAGGTTATAAAGGTTTCATTGATCGACAGCTGCTGCAAGCAGTGGGTTGAACCCCGCACGATTCAGGTACACTTCACAGCCGAAACACCTACAGCTCTCACAAATCCGTCTGTGAAATGGTGAATTAGGACGTGCAACCTCTACAGTCAATTGAAATCAAGTATTTTACTCACCATAAAATGCCACATCAATGATTGCACACATGTTTCATTGTAGAAATGCATCGACATTGCGCTTGTCTAGTCCCCTCTGCTTGAATAATGAATCCATCAATTGCCATTCTCTGTGGATTATTGCATAAATTGCAAGACAAATGTCAATGATACATCAGTTGGACCTCTCTCTCTTTTATTCCTCAATTTTTAAATATTAAATCATGGTGCAGTTTCTGCATGGTTTTATAATCGTTCAACTTATAATCGCCATTTCTGCTGTATACTATGCCCTGCAGCACCTAGATATAAACCATGCACAGCTCATATTGGAGCTAGAGAGAGAAATGAAGACATTTCATGTACACCCATCGCTTTGTAAGTTGGATATCCTATTTGGCGATTATTGTCACTAAAAGAACCTATTATGTAGTCAGACGAGGATGTACGATAGAAAGTGTACAAAGCAAAGCAGTGCATAGCACATTACTGATGGATGCTGTTACAACCAAAGGATCCAGACTGATATACTTTGATCAATGCAATCTATCTGGTATGCACTGTCTCACTGGGCCTAACGTGTGATCAGTTAGCTTCTAACCCATCATACTCTATATTTAGTCAGTGGCTGCCAAATCAACAACTTGAACTTCGATATCGCAAGAAGAGTGCCTACCTTTGAGGACCATTGGCTGCTTCCCAAGAAAGCACTAGGGCCAAAGCTGCGAATAGAAGCTGATATTGTCAAGGAGAATTTACTTTCAATCCAGCTGAACAGGCTCTACAGGAGGTTCTGGAGATTTTACATGCTGCTCGGTTTCATTCTCACAGCAGCCATATATCGACTGCTAATCGAAAATCTGAGGGCAGCTGTCATTGTCAAGGTGAATGCTGTGGACTACATACTGAGTGCCATACAAAACCAAGCTGATAGTATTGTCGCTTGTATTTATTACTACAAGGCGCTAAAAGACATCATTCGTATTCTAAAAGGTGGGAGACAATCAGACAAAAACAACGACAATAGCAGCGATAATGATAGTCGCCCACATGGTAGCAATCGCCCAGACAATGGCAATCATCTAGGCAATGGCAATGACAGCGACGATGGCGACAGCAACAACAATAAAACCGGCAGCAGCAATGATGGAGTCCTCCAACAACGGCCCACTCAAGGCACCTCATGTGTTCCTACCAGAGCCGAATCAGTAGCAAATGCTGGTCCTATTACAACTCATCCGCCACAAGCAGGACAAGAGCAAAATAAACCTACTGAAGCTGGTGATGGCACACGGTTCACTAGGCCAGCGTCAACGCCATCGCCTTCTTCAAGTCCATCAAGGAGAGGCTACGGGGATCCTGCCACAATTAATCTCGTCGCTACCTTTAATGCACAAACAAGATTAATTACTGATACTCCAAGTCGTTCTGTTTCAACTATCGCACCAACACTGAACACTGCCGCTGGTCCTCCAACAGCATCAACTTCAGCAAGTAATCCAGCACCAGATATTGCCAGCGAAACTACGTTTGTCGATCAGCCCACAACCACATCCTCGTCTGATGCTGCCCTAGCGAATCAATCAGCAACCACTTATTCAGTCGACAATGCAAGCACAAGCTTTGATAAAATGTCTGGCTCTCAATGCTCTGAGCCTCTGTCAGAGGTCCCACAAGAAGCGACAAGCGCCCCACAAGTGTCTACTGCTGCTCTTACTGTCCCTACTGTTTCTGATTCTCCAGTGGCTTCTTCAACGCATGCTGGGAGAGGAAGCTCTGGCGAGGAGATAGCGAAAGGCTCAAAACCACCGAGAAGTCCAAAAGGTAAAGGGCGAGAGGTTCAAGTCTCAAAAACTCAAACTACAAATCCCAAAAGCTCAAAGGCGTCTTCCTCAAAACCTACTACTGCTATACCTGGACGTATCACCAAGCCATTTCCACCTCGCTCCCGTAGACCTCAAGAAGCCAAGGTAGTTTTCACAGGAACAAGCTCAACTCAACAAGGCGTTATTCTTCCTCAACATTCTGCTGCTCCTGTGGCTCGTCTCGCAACCGCTGTATTTTTTTCATGCCCTTTGGAAGATAGAGAGTCTACACCAGATTTTGTTGTGAGAAAAAAACGCACAAAATCAGCTCCTGTATCTCTTGCCAGTTCCACTCCAACTGCTCCAAATGTTCAAGAATTTGTTGAAGCTTCTACATTGTGCGCACTCTCTCAACATGCAGTAGATGCCTCTCGCGGCGTACCATCGTTAGGACATCCCACGTTAAGCCTTAACATTGATACGCCAGTTGTAATTAACTTTTATCAGCGTATTGTCCCAGAAATGGCAGGTAGTATCAGTGTGATTCCACAAGAAGTAGCAGACGCTACAAATGCTCAACGGCTACAAAAAGGCACCTCAGCACTCGGTGGTCAGCATCCAGAACCTCAACATCAAGTATTGGCAGCTAGCAATCAATACATTCAGCCAGATGTACTAACTCCAGCCCCTCATCGTCATCAACAACAATACATGGCATCGTCTAATACTCAACACTCTCAGCACAATCCTACTCAATATACTCACACTGCTTCTCCCGCATTCCATCACTACAACCAAGTGCAACAACAGTATCCACTTGCCGCTAGTCAATATATGCAACATGCTACTGCACCACCAAAACAAACACCTGTTTTTGAACCTGATGGTTTGGCGGAAAAGCTCACAACTGGTATGAATGACATGCTTGGAAATTTTAGAGATGGTGGTGTCAGAAATACACACGCATCGGATCCTTCTTATTCCACATTACCTCAGCAACGGCTTCTTGGGCAGCACCTTAACCAACAGCAGCTTCCTGACCGACATCCTCAGCAGCTTGTAAATGAAGATATTGCTATGTGGAGTGAATCACAAGAGAACTCCAATCAAAGCATGACGGAGGCCACTAGGCATGACACAATGGCTTATTCCATGGCTCCTTCGGCAGCAAGCACTGTGGCTCATAACATGAACGCTACTATGAACGATCCGATGCCTGAAGATGACGGTCATCATACGGCTACTGTGAAGGACGACATCACAGTTGATACCTATCTCTATCATGCAACAAATGAAATGTTTCCACCCTTTTATCGTTCATACAAAACCGCAAAAGTTATAGAATACAGAAAATATCGCAATCGCCTTAGACGAGCATGGTTGCTTAGACCTAGGACTTGGAGACTACGAGTTCGCAGAAACAAGAGAAAACATAGAAAGCGAAGAAGATTGGCGTGCCTTGCTCGGCTTGCATCTGCTTTGATTCAAGAGGAACGAGCTGGTGACACTTTTGCTGTTACAGTGTTAGATTCAGACATGATGCCGGAGGTTCCTTCAAATGCCGAAACGTCTACTTATGCTGAAGCATCTGCTCATAGTGAGACATACATTTATGGAGAAGCGCCAAATCATCCTGAGAATCCTATTCAGGTCGAGGCACCCACTTTTGTTGAAACACCCACTCTAGCTGAAGCACTCATTCATTTGGAGGCGCCTCCTCGTTTCCAGGGACCTGCTCATGATGAACCACCATTCTATCTCCAGGAACCTGCTCATTCGCAGACACGCACTCACGATAAGCTATCCGCTTCTGCTGTAACATTTACCCCTGAGGCCCCTCCCAATGTCCACTCTGATCCTATCCCAGTTGAAGATTCTTTACTTCCTGGTGCCGATGATGACCTTGACCCGGCTGATCTCTTTGATACACTGACAATGGCCATACCACGGCCACCAACACCGCCACGACCACGACAGACCGAAGCGTCTTTTACTGCAACAAATGAGCCGTCTGCTTCTCTAACACTTTTTGATTCTGGCTCTGATGATGATGTGTCTCCACTTCCTGCCATTTTTATGAGGCCCTTAGATTCTTCCATCGAAAATTCAGAATCAACCCTTGACCAGTTGCTTAATGGTCTCCAACTTCAGCCAACGGCTCCAAATCCAGCTATGGCTCGCGCAGCTGCAACCTACAACTTTGATGCGGACCCTCTTTTACCTGAATCTCGTTCTGGTTCTGATGATTCTTTAGAGCAGCAGCCATATAACAATCCGCTGGACGGCCATGGAAGTAGGTGCAATAGCATGAGAGATCTTAAGGTTAAACGGACTAACCTCGAGCAATTTCATAGGTGATTTCAGTGAGAACTCTCAAAGTAACAAGTATTCCAATGAATCGGTAGCATCTGGTTTAACTGATCAGCATCATACTGACAATAACGTCAACGCTCCCTTGTTACTCCTCGCCAGTCGCTTTTCTCCTCCATTTCAGTCTCCCTCTCCTTCACGAGATCCCAGGCTACAAGATCTCTCTGGAGAAAACAACAACATTGTGAATCCTGCACACGCTGTATCCGATGAGATAGATGACCTGGTCGCTTTCCCTCAACAAGTCTTTGCTGATGATGAAACTGTCAGTACACCACCGTTCTTTCCTTCTCCTTCCAGACCGTTGTCTCCAGACATTGGCCACTCTAAACCTGTTCCTCCAGCCAATATAGAGACACAACTGCCAAATTTCCTCATTAAAGATCTTTATTCATCTGTCAGTCCTCCTACGGGTGAATCCTCCACTCAAAGCAGCTCATATTATACTCCCAGTGTTCCTATCAGAGGGGTGTTTGATCTTCGTCTGCATCTTCCTGAGGATGCTTACATTAGGAAGAGACGGTATGTCGAGGAGGACGTTATGGGAGACGCGAAAGACAAGAAAAATGAAAATGCTGAAAGACAAGTGGAATTGGGCAATTCCGAACAAAAGTTAAAGACAGTCGAAAGCGAAGATAATAGAAGCAAGAGGCAAAAAAAGAAAGACGTGCAGGAATAGATATATTGAGCTTGCTATGTAGATAATCATAAATTTGAATAAATCCCTTATGATTACATGATTGAAAAGACGCCTTTATTTTTATAGTAAATCATATATACCAAAGACCAACCTTTTTGAGGGCTGATTTCTTCTTGTCACCAATTAGAAAGTTGGCATGCACGATCAATGGCTGTATACCTAATTTCTTGGGCAAACCCATCTTGAAATAGTAGTTACCATTAGGAAACAACAGCAAGTCTAACAATCGATAGGGGCTCTTGGTCAAGTCCCGGGGAAACATATGTCGCAGTACGCTGTTCATAACCCTCTGCTGTGTCAACGTTTCGGTTGCATCCTGCTCTTGTATGATTTGGTCCATAAACTGCTTTGTGATCCTCGAGGGTTTCATCATATAAAAACCAGAGTTGATGCTGCGTTGGTCTACTTCTTGGCTGAATATCATATGGGTGTTGGGTCTTTGGGCCATTTGAGTCAATAACGTTTGACGGATGAATGGACTGAGGAAGACAATATCGACATCCGTGAACCACACAGTGATACCAAGGTACAACAATCTCTCCACAACCAAACTTTTTGCGTGTGTAATAGGGCGGTAGTCGTTGCTCTTCCAAAGCGCCATGTCAGATGCAAGAGGCACATGGAACCAATCATTAGGTATCAATGTAACCTGTTTGCCGTAACCCCTTGATGCAACTTCATCCACCACGCCTTGGTCAATAGCAAAGACGAGAAATTTATCGTCTTGTCCTGTGAGCCTGAGCGATTCAATCCAATTCAATGTGTAATCTATCATGCCACTGTTCACGACAGCCATCAGAAGTATCTTCTTTTCCTGAGCTTTTGAATATAAGTTTAGCTTTGATGGCTTTTCTTTTTCAGTGACGACGTTGTTCATGATAGCCATCATCGTCTCTGGTGGTGGAGGGTCATACTTTTTTGGCTGCCAGTGGGGACTAAATGTATCATCTGTTGGTTTCCGTGTAGAATTTGGTGCTGTGTTGCATTCAATTTCTTTTGGGGATGCCACCAACTTGGGTCTTGTGGAGTGAAATGTACCGCCCATCAGCAACAAACATACAATCAGTGTCAACACATAGTAAATGTATCGTTTTGACTTGAATTCAAGCATCTCCAGATAGAAAAAAAGTTGGATAGAAAAAGAGACGATAAAAGATGAGTGATCTCCAGGTTTTATACAAGCTATTTTTAAGTGATCTGCGCATTTGTTTCTCCTAGAGTAAGCTTAACCCAGCACAACACAACATGTCTCCGTTTTAAGCTAGCCGAGGCTGAACATCCCTGGTTGCTTGCGCTGCTTTTCGTGTCTGATGGAATCGATGCAAACGCCAATTTGGTGTCGGTAGGCTTAGCAGCGATATGCAATGAGAGAAGCAGCTCTTAATTACTGTTTTACTAAAGCGATGATCGCTATATACTCTTATCATGTAAGAGCCCCTTTGCAGTGCCTACTTTATTGTAGTAACGGCAAATATAGCTCTTGTACGACAGAGAAAGCTTGTATGCTGCATGATTTGCAAACGCCTAGTGGAGGGCGGAAACCCCGTCATTTCTTGGATCAAGGAACGGTTATCCAAACGAAAAAAGACCATCGTACAGCATTGATTCTTCTTGAGAGCATTCACATGCCAACATTTAAAAAGTAAATATTTGGTTTTCTCCCCAAAAAAGTATCTACCTTGATACAAACAACCACTGAAACTGGAAACCCAAGAGTCTCTTGCTCTGCTTTTAGAGTATTACATACTAAAATGTTACAATCATGTGATATCAAAGCTATTATAGCAATGCTCTCGTTTTTTTTTTTCTTCATCTTTTTTTTCTTTTTTCCCTCTCTCTCTTTTTCCTCCAAATCATCCAACAATGATTATGGCATCAACAAGTACGTTATCAGAATCTCTGTACATAACGCAGGTTCGATTTTGCAGAGCATTAGCAGTGGTTCGCTCGCTGCCAACAGAAAGTGGAGGTGCATTTCAACCGTCCATTGCAGACAAATTGGATTTCTACGGACTATATAAACAGGCACTGAATGGAGACTGTATGTTGCTGAAACCATCATCCAGAAAGGTTGTTGCATACGCTAAATGGTACGTTGTTTGCATAGTGTAAAACTGCCTCAGGATGAATGATGAACATTGTGTTCTTACAGGAAAGCGTGGGATAAAATGAGGGGAGTCAGCCCAATTGACGCTCAAATCATGTATATCAATGCACTTGTTGAGCTCTTGAAAGAGGTACAATACACAATGCAAGAAGCCTTTTCGGCAAACATTCAACCGTATTCCTAGTTTTTGAATCGATTTCCCAATTCAGAATTGACAGAAAGCTTAAATGAATCAGTTCACTATTTGCTCGAAGTCAACGAGGATATAAACACGGACACCGCAGAAGAAGGTATATATTACACATGCACTACAGCAATCTCCCCACAAAAGGGCCTTTTTTAATCCCTATTTGTGTCACACACACCTTCCCAGAGAATCTTATTCAATGGGATACAAATGACCAAGAAAAAGAGGAATACCATTTAGGACAAATCGAGCAGGAGCAGATTCTATCAGAACAGCCTTATTCACACTATTCTAGTCCAATCATTAGCGAATTCCCATTGACACCTGAACTATCCCCAAAATCAAGGAATTTGTACAACACACAGCCGTTTGATGAGGAGGATGAATTCGATAATGAAGTAGCTACTGCGACATCTTCATTGTACTTGTCAACGCCCACGCAACATCCCTACGCCAACTTTAGACGACAAAAGAAGAGAAAGCCGTCGGATGTAGCTATTCAAACGTTAAAAACAGAGGTAGCTGCCTTGTGTGAAGAGATAGATTCGTTGCGGAGAAGGGACATACTCAAGAGAAAATCATCGCACCGATGGCGTTGGTTATGGCTCTTCAGATCAGTAGCAAAGCATGCATTTTTCAATTTCGTGATATTGATGATCTTGTTTCTGGTACTATGGAGGCGAAAATCACCGATTGCATATGCTGTGATAACCTACGCTGGTCCACGGTTACGAGACCTAATGCAATACATGTTTAATCGTATTGTGTTTTGGAAGGTCACCGTCTAAATCGTCAACATTGTATCATTTATCTGTATTATATCTCATACCAAAATATTTCATTCAAAATAAAGCCATTCCGTCAATCAATCCAGTCCTTTGCTTTGATGACTACACCAGTGTCAAGAAATATAGCATAACATCTACACTAGTCATATTATTAGTCCCTAGACACCTTTACAACCCTAACATGGACACTGAGCTTCAAAGCATCTGTCAGGCCTGGCTCATATATGATTAACCAGCCCCACCAGCCAAAAATAATTTAAAGCCAGGCTCATAAACTGTTACCTGATTGGACAAACCTAATGATTTTCGACTAGATCGATCTATTTCGTCAGATTCGACTATATAGAATATGATGATCATCCCCTGCTTCTTTAAGCGGCCCGTGGTGGTAGGGCGAAGTGGTTAAGCATCCAACATGCCATCTGGATGATCCCGGTTCAAATCTTAGTGAATGCATTTTTGGTGATTATTTTGACGTAGTACTGATGTCCTCGTTTGGTGTTTTGTGCTCTTATCCAGTATCTATGTTTTGACGATTCGCATAATTGTATTGGCTCTAGGTGTCGCACCTGATTAGTAGTAGATTTCTTTCCCAACTTAGTTCAAAAAATATCTTATTCCCCTTCATTGCAGACATTGGGTCCACCAACAGTCCTTTTCTTTCCCCTCAGTCTGACATTTTAAGGACTTTAAATAAAACCTGGAGCTCGACTCCCCCCACAAAAAAAAAAGCTTCTTTAAGCTTTCTTGGAGTGCTTTTCAAGGCGCATTCAATGGTGTCAAGTAAGATAGATGTTTTGAATAAACTTATTGAGCAATTTACAAAAATATGAAAAGAGGTTTCTGGCCAAAAAGTAGAAATTTTACATATCAATGTCTCACAACGATGATTTCAGGGAATACGTTAGATCCATAGAAGCATTTTGATTTAATATGTACCTTAGTAAAAGTCTTCATTTTTCAAGGTCAAAAACGCGATCGTTTGATTTTTGATGAAAACCATGAGGTACCCCTCATGCTTTTTGTCCGAATTTCATCCTTGTTTTTTTGGTCCTCAAAAAGTTGAGCAAAGATGTCAGAAAGTAACTACCAAGATGAGAGCAATTGTTTGGTGCTATTCTGACCATCTAAAACGGCCTTGAACGCAAGAAAACGAAGCTCAAATATACTCATATTTTGCTGTATCAGGGACCATAAGGACTAGAAAGAGAAAATACCAGTATGCTGCTTGCCGTATATAAAGTAGCTTACGTGTATATGGATGTAGAGCATCACATAAGAATCAGGTCCACAGATAACACGAAGAGTTCTCATGTGTAAGTAGAGGGTCAAAATGATCGTAGTAGTATTATGATAAGATACGCAAGGGCAATCGGTAGCTCGAGCTGCCGCTGCGCAGGTTGGTTTCCACCAAAGCGAAACGTAGGTCAGGAAACCACCCAAAGTGTCGAAAGGCGCGTACCTTGTAATCTTCTCGCCACTTCTTAGTCAATGAGAACATGAGAGCAGTAACTATCATGGTAATGATGACAACCTAAACCCAAATGCTGGTACAGCTCTAAAGCAAAATCAATTTAGAATTTGTCTGCCTTGATGTATTTGCTAATTTAATGGCATGTATAGAGAAGACAGTGTTGGCCACAATAGACTTCAGTTGATCAATCACAGTGAATCAATGGTTTTTAAGCTATTCAGTAAATATAGTGGCTATTCACCACTATACAAAGGCATGTACATATTGCTATTTTAATCTTTTTTCACCAAATTGTAAACAGCTATCACGACACATCTAGATCAGTTGAATAATAATGACATGATAATCTTAATTTTATTGCAAGATGTGCAAATTAGAAGACGTGGTGCACAGACTACCACTCATTTCTGTAAAAGCACATTACTGCATTCTGCAATAAACTTGATAACACAGTTATCAATAGATTCTTGCTTATCACCTAACAAATGACGCGATATCTTATTTGATGCTCATCATTCCCTCTTTTGTCAAATAACCCTAGCTTTGGGAAAAAGAAGAAGAGACGGTCATATGTAACGGACAGATCTTCTCATACTAAAGTATAGATTTCACCATAGACATTGCAAATTTTCTCATCATTGACCTTATTGACACCATATACAAAATTGAAGCTTTTTATGAATTGTATAAATAGGCAGCAAAACTGTTGGATATCTGATTCAGTTCAAAATACTAATTGAAAATGTCACCGCCTGAACAAAAAGAAACCACCGTCTTGGATAATACCGTCGAAGAGCAAATTGATATCAAACAATTGGCACTTCAGGGCTACTACTTTGAATTTCCTGAAAAGAAGGTATACACAAGACATGAATTTTGTGAATTTGTTTATCAACCCGTTTCTCTGTAGTATCCCAAGCTTCCCGTCTTCGAGCACAAGGATGTTGGTCACCTTGCAGATCCCAAAAAGGCCTCTTTGCTCGATAATGCCACCAAGGTGTTTGATTTGACTCCCAACATTGGAACTGAAATTCATGGTATTCAGCTGAATCAATTGACTAATCAGCAAAAGAACGATCTTGGCCTGCTCATTGCTGAACGCGGTGTTGTATTCTTCAGAGATCAAAAGATTAACCCCTATGAAGGCAAAGAGCTAGGCTCTTACTATGGTCCATTGTATGTTAAATGTGTATTTTCGGTGTGCGTTCTGTATTGACATTGTTTCATAGACACATCCATAATGTTGGCGGCTTATTTGAACCGATCCCTGAAGTGCTGCCCATTTACTATGGTAAAGAGTAAGTATTTAATGTGTCAATTGTTTGTAGCTATTTTCCTAATAAATGATACGGTAGCATTCCAGCAAACCAATACACCAAAGAATTCATTAGCAGAAGAACCTCGGATGGTAGGCTGTAGTAGCACATAGATGTTGTAGGCAGAACTGAAAGTATATACATTTAGGCTGGCACAGTGATGTTAGTTACGAGCTTCAACCTCCTGGATTTACGTTCCTCAAGGTAATTTGCTTGCAGTCATCTTTACCAACAGCCACATACTCACCTACCCAAACACATTAGATTGACATTCTTCCTGGAGAAAGCGGAGGTGATACTATCTGGTCTTCGGGCTATGCTGCTTATGATCGTCTCTCACCAGAGCTTCAAAAGAGAATTGAAGGACTTGAAGCTGTTCATTCTGGTAAAGAACAAGCTGCAGGTGCTGCTTCTGTTGGCCACACCGTACGCCGTGAAGATGTCGAGCATATTCACCCTCTTGTTCGCACCCATCCAGTTACAAAACTCAAGGCTTTGTATGTCCAACCTGGCTTCACTCGCCGTATTGTTGGTCTCAACAAGCACGAGTCAGATTCCCTCTTGCAACTGCTGTATGATCATATTGCTGGCGGGTATGACTTCCATGTTCGATTCAAATGGACTGAAGATGCTGTTGCTGTTTGGGACAACCGCGTTACAAGCCATGTCGCTATTTTTGACTATCTGGATGGCGATCAACGTCGACATGGTTGGAGAATTACTACACAGGTAAGCAGAGATACATGTCAAGACAAATGTGCGATACACTAATGCAATGCTAGGCTGAAAGACCTTATTTCGATCCAGAAAGCAAATCTCAAAAGCAAGTTCGTGAGGAGAAGAGAAAACAAGCAGCAGAGCAGAAAAACTAGCTTAGGAATACATTTGCTTATGAATAAAATGTCTGTATCATTTATCATCAATTTAAAATAGCCTGCTCAAAGTATAAGGCAGAAATTAGGGCATAATTAGTGAACTGATTGCCAAACCTGATGGTGCAAGATTTCCTACATTTAGGAGTTTCTAGAGATAACAGAAAGCTGATCAAATACAGTCAATATTATAGAGATATGGCGATGTTCGCTTGAGATTGAGGTTTCACCATTCATCATGTTAATTCAGAGGGTGGGGGCATGGCTTCTCGTACATGTTGACTAATTATTAACATGGCCTATTATGTTGCTTGCTGAACATGTTTATTTGGTGAATACTGTATGGCTATTTTAGGCTGAGCGTTGAGCATGTGTTTGTTCAAGGAGCTTTTGTGCTCGTAGATTTGGAGCCAGATTGGCTTGACTGCAATCAACCTAGAATTTGTTTTGAGTACACTGATGTCTTTATCAGCCAGCTATCGGATAAGTGAAATATATTAGTCATGCATTCCTTTAACTAGTATACATAGTTCATACAGCCTACCTCTCATGCTTCTGAATCCTTTTCTACGATATTTTTTTTTTCAAATTTCGTTCTTCAAAATAGGACTTGATGCAAGCTGATTCACGTTTTCATTGTAGTCCTGGAAGGTTTTGTAATGTCTACGTGTGTTTTCCTCTCTATTAAACCTTTCGTCGCACTCGACATGTTTGCATTCAAGTTACTTAAAAGGCATTTGTTATCACTGTTCTGGAATTCAGCAAAAAATAGAATGTCGTTGACCTCATCTAATGGCAGATAACGAAAGTCTCTGCAATACAAAAAGGTTACATATCGAGTAGAAACTTTCATGAGTGCGCTAACTTATTGAGCTATGATAGACAGTAATCTGCTAACGTTATTGCCTCCAAATTCGAAATATGACAGCTCATTCTGCTTGGAATGCAGGAGCTCGTTCTACAGCGTGTTCATGGTTTCGGGGATAGCTCCATTCATGTCCTTTGTCTTGTAGAGCAAGGAACTTGAGAAATCATTCCTGACAATTTGTATTTCCCTTGATACGGAACTGACTGTCGCCGGTGAATTCTTGAATCAATCGCTTATTCAGATTAACATCACTACTCAAGTGCTCATCACTGGTTGAAGTATTAACCACTACTCAAATTGCCTTCGAGTTTGAGAAACAAAATCACATTCAAAGAAGCCATCAGACGCGCAAAATACCAAAACCCAATACAAGACGGTATCAGCCTTTACGGCATTACTATCGTAGCAGAAGTAGATTTAAACTTTGGCGGTCTAGCTTTCGCTTCCAAGCCTGACATAGGATCTTACAAATCATTGAGACAAATATTGATAAAAGAGAAAGCAGACTTGTCTACGGATTTCTGTGCCTTTCTTGAGATGAGGTGAGTGTTGCCGTAGGTATGTTCCCCCCTTTATAGACGTTACAGTCAAATATTAAGGATTTAAAAGTGGAGAAAGAAAGAAGGAAACAAGCAATACCGGGTTTTCAGCCAGCTTCTACCAGCCATTTTCCATTTTGATCAGAAAATAAAATGCCACAATACCATAGGAATATGGCGATATTTACTTGTAATTCAGGTAACACTAATCATGCTATTCGAAAGAGAATGGTAATCTCGATAAGAATATTGCCATGCTTCAGCATTAATTGCGGCCAGTGGCTCTTTGATAGGCCAATGTGGATCTGATGAGGCATATAAACTGATTGTGGGTACGAACAAGTGCTTTGTTTCGTATATATAACGGCAATGGTGTGTGATAAAACCATAAGCAACCAATTCGTCAGTGAGAAAATACACCCATTATACCGGCTAAACTTCATCCATTTACTGAAACTAGATAAAATGGTGCAATAGCTTGATTGCTCATTGCGAACGGAATAATTGATCTGACGTGCTTTAGCTACTACATTTCAACAGTTTGCGTCTTTTGGATCATCATTGGCTATCCGAAGATTCACAGGAAGCTTTACATTGTTGCACAAACAGTAAGTGGCATTAAATATAAATATCAAATGGCTTTATAGCGAAAAGTGTAAAGTATCTCTAACAAAAAAATGCCCCCTAACACTAACGACAGCTCTATTGAATCCGTCTCTGAACAGTTCCAAAAGCTTGATTTAAAGGCATTGGCAAGAGAAAAGGGTGCATATCAGGTCTATCCCAAAATCGCTGTAAGTACATATAGGCACATGTATCTACATTTAAGCAGTATCAAGTTGACATTTAAAAGTATCCTCCTCTTGAACCATTTGAACACCATGACCCCGGAAAGCTTGCTGATCCCAAGAAGGCCTCCCTCTATGACAACGCTGAAAAGATCTTTGATTTGACTCCCTCCATTGGCACTGAAGTCCATGGCCTTCAGTTGTCGCAACTCACTGATCAACAAAAGAATGATTTAGCATTGCTAGCTGCTGAAAGGGGTGTCGTCTTCTTCCGCAATCAAGATCTTGATCCCTATCAAGGCGTTGAGCTTGGTAAATACTTTGGAAAGCTGTAAGTTTTCACTGTTTTGAAAATATTGCTGATATTGACCACAAGTTAGCCACATTCACAATCTTGCAGGACAACCTGAAGGTCTTCCAGAAGTAATAAGTGTTTTTTATGACGAGCAAGAGTAAGATGACTGCCTACAATATACTGACAATCCGTACCAACTCATTGCTCCAGTTCTCAAACCACCAAGCTACTAGAGTCTAGATCTGCCGACGAGGCCTGGCACAGCGATATCACCTATGAAAACCAACCTGCTGGCTTGACATTCCTCAAAGTGAGTAGTGTAAGATTCTGAGAGCAGAACATCTACTGACCTTTGTTTTAGATTGATACTGTACCTGGGTCTGGAAATAGTGTTGGTGGAGACACCATCTGGGCCTCTGCCTATGACGCTTATGACAAGCTATCAAAGCCCATGCAACAGTTCCTTGAAGGCTTAGAAGCTGTGCATACAGGTCAAGTCCATAAAGACAATGCCCAGCGTACAGGCCATTTTATTCGCCGTGATTTCGTGGATTCCGTTCATCCTGTTGTTCGTACTAACCCTCTCACTGGCTGGAAAGGTATGCCGACCACAAGTTGTTGCTATCGCTTTTCTCATACTCTATAATTGCAGGTTTGTTTGTCCAACCCGGATTTACAAAGAGCATTGTTGGTTTAAATCGCAAAGAATCTGATGTGTTGCTCAAATTCTTGTTTAATCATATCGCCGGTGGCCATGATTTCCAAGTAAGATTCAATTGGACTGAAGATACCATTGCTGTATGGGATAATAGATCTACGTTCCACTGTGCCATTTTTGACTATTTTAAATCTGGAAGACGCCATGGCTGGAGAATCACGCCTACAGTAAGTTGCTTTGAAAGGAAATGAAAAATACAATCGTACTCATAAGCATTGATAGGCTGAGAGACCTTACTACGATCCCAACAGCAAATCAAGAAGAGAAGATTTAGCAGAAAGAGCAGCCAATGCTCAATAAGTGAAACATTAAATCCATGATAGCAATAAAGTCCTTATTTTGTAGCGAGTGTGTCTACGGCTTCGTATGGCTGTCTACTTTTACTTTGCTTCGGTGAGAACCAACCTGCGCAAATGAAGCTTGCATTACCGATTGCCATTGCTCATCTTATCAAAATACTGCTACTTTTATTTTATCCCTTCATATTATCTGTGGACCTGATTCTTATGTGATGCTCTACATCCATATACACGTAAGCTACTTTATATACGGCAAGCAGCATACTGGTATTTTCTCTTTCTAGTCCTTAGTGTCCCTGATACAGCAAAATATGAGTACATTTGAGCTTCGTTTTCTTGCGTTCAAGGCCGTTTTAGATGGTCAGAATAGCACCAAACAATTGCTCTCATCTTGGTAGTTACTTTCTGACATCTTTGCTCAACTTTTTGAGGACCAAAAAAACAAGGATGAAATTCGGACAAAAAGCATGAGGGGTACCTCATGGTTTTCATCAAAAATCAAACGATCGCGTTTTTGACCTTGAAAAATGAAGACTTTTACTAAGGTACATATTAAATCAAAATGCTTCTATGGATCTAACGTATTCCCTGAAATCATCGTTGTGAGACATTGATATGTAAAATTTCTACTTTTTGGCCAGAAACCTCTTTTCATATTTTTGTAAATTGCTCAATAAGTTTATTCAAAACACCCATCTTACTTGGCACCATTGGGTGCACCTTGAAAAGCACTCCAAGAAAGCTTAAAGACGCATAGGATGATCAGTAGGTTTTACATAGTCGAATCAGACAAAATAATTCAATCAAGTCGAAAATCAACAGAATTTGACCAATCTAGAACAGACTAAAATTCTGAGTTTAAATTTATTCTGGCGACTGGTAGGGCAGGTTGGCAAACTCAATGCAATACCAGATGCTTTTGAAGCCAATGGAAAATAGGCGGCGAATTACATGGTACTATCGTCAGCCGTGCTATTTTCTTTTAAGTCTTGCATCTAATAATGCCAGTCCACGAAATACTTGTAAGATCAACATCTTTCCTTATGAGGTTTTGAAATTGTATAGGGACAATGTGTTATGATGATTATATGTCATTGCTAGATTTATGGCCCTCACGGATAAACGTATGAAGCATTAAGCTTGTGTTTGCAAGAAATGGCACATGATATACCAGTTGTGTCACCAAACAATACAACAAGTATGTCTTTATCTGAGCTAAAGCAAGCCCTTGATTACTGAGCCACCTCCGTGATCTCGGAATCTCTCTCCCTGCTTTCAAAAAGCTTAAATCAGCAAAAGTGTAGTATGCCTCATGTATACGTGTAGAGGACAGATTTATGGTGTAATTAAAAGTTATAGAGATAGACAGATCTCGACCGACATTCGGTCCTGTGGTGGGTATCAAATGTTTAGCAATCAAAGCTGTTGATCTAGTCGCCCGCTATCCTTAGAAGCTACTGACAGCGCTTATAAATCAGATCAAGACAAGGCAATATTAGCAGTATAAGACTCTTTCCGAATTTGTTTTCTTGATCCGTGGATGAACATTGAAGAAGCGGACGGTGGGAATCAGATCTGATACACCTAGTGACGGGTCGCACAAGTACTGTTGGATGACTAAACATCCAGGTGCGTATAAAAATGAGCAGAGTTTGATTCGCATTTTCAGTCTGAATCAGCATTACAGCATTATGGAATCACAAAGCATTGATAGATCACCATCGCACTCACTTAACCAGAGGCTACTGAATTCACCTCTAATGGCATGCATAGCAGGTGCAGCCATTCTATGGGTCTCATTCGGCATACGACAGACAGTAGGCGTGTTCTTGATACCAATTACAGCAGATACAGGCTGGGACAGATCCACCTTCTCCATCGCAGCTGCATTATTGCAATTACTGTGGGGTTTTTCGCAGCCATTCTTGGTTTATCTAGCAGAACGCAAAATAGGCTTTGGCAAAGGCATATTTGTCGCATGTGTGTTTTACGCAGTTGGATGCTTTATACTGTACGCTTCCAATCGTTCATCGGGTCTATTTATTTTTGCGCTGGGTGTTCTGATAGGCGTGTCGTGTGGAGGTAATAGTTTTCCAGTCGTCCTGGCTTCCATCGGTAGACGGTTTCCACAAAACTCAAAGTATCAGAGTATTGCGTTTGGTGTCGTAAGCAGCTTTGGCAGTTTTGGTCAGTGTTGCTTCTTGCCCATTGCTAGAGCGATGTTGACATCGATTGGCTGGAGAATGTCGTTCATTGTAATGGGTATAATTATGCTGGCCTTGTCACCACTAGCTTACTTCTTACAAACTGTGCCACCTAAACCTGCTGAACCAGTGACAGCAACTGCAGTGTCAGATCAAAACAAGAACAACACCATTGATGAAGAAAAGAATCCCGCTGAAATCATTGAGCATGATGCCGAAGAAGCCAAAGATCGCCCTATGGAGGACATTTCAGCCCCTGACATTCAAACTGCACTCAAGGAAGCATTCACAAATCCCACATTTATCTTTATCACATTGGGATTCAGTGTCTGTGGATTCCATATTGCATTCTTATCCACACATTTCCCTGCATATTTGGTAAAAAAAAAACGTTCTAGTTGTACAGTAGACGCACTCGGTACTAATGTCCATCTGTAGCAAGACAATGGTATTGACCCATCATTAGCAGGTATGTAACATACTGTAATCCAGGCAATGTGCTCTAATCAAATATCAATAGCATGGACCATTTCTATCATTGGTTTATGCTCCATGCTTGGCACCATTCTCACAGGCTACTTGGCATCCATTATCAGTCCCCGTCTGGTGCTCATGGGCATCTACGGTCTTCGCGCCGTCTTTCTAATCATTGTCATCTTTGTTCCAATTTCAGTAACCACAGTGGTTGTTTTCGCCGTCTTTTTTGGAGTATGTATTTTTGTTCTGATATGTCAGCATACAGCACTCATCCGACATTGCGTTAGTTCTTGTGGCTGTCAACTGTTCCTCCTACCACTCGATTTGTGAACCAGGTGTTTGGGCAAAAGTACCTGGGTACATTGACGTCCATTACATTTGTGGGGCATCAGTGTGGAAGTTTTCTCGAAAGTATCTTATGAAAGAAAATGCACTTTCTTGCTTCATTAAACTAACACCTTATCATTTATTTAGGGTGCTTACGTTGCTGGTATTCTTTATGACAAGTACCATCGCTACGATAGAATGTGGTACGGTAGCATTGCAGTTGCCATCTTTGCTGTGATTGCCAATTTCATGGCTGGCGTTGAACCGATGAACGAGAGACGCATAAGGAAGAGCAATGCTGCCATTCTGAACAACAAGTAAAATTGAGGGCCAAAAGTTGGGTTGATCTTTATGCGGCTTTTTAAGGGCTTAAAAAAAAATGAAACATTCAACATTGTAGATTAGTTTTCTCTTTCTTTCTTTCTTTCTTTCAATTTATAAAATAAATCATAATGCCTTTTGGATTTGCAGCCAAATTTTGTAAGGAATGGGCTCGTATTTCAATTTGGTCCTTTTTCTCAGATGTCAGGATCGAAGGCTATCAAGAAGCGACAACGGAAGATCAACCTTATATTTTGTAAGTGTTACACTGTTGCTGTCATGAAGAATGCTGCTGCTAATATGCGTCTGTCATATAGTGCTGCCACGCACCATAATATGCTGCTGGATCCAGCAGTGCTCTGCAACGCATGCTCAAAAGAATATCTTCATTACTGGGCCAAGAGCTCCATTTTTGTGAATAGATACGCTGCACGATTTCTGAATAGCGTCGGATGTGTTCCCGTTGACCGAGAGTCCAAAGATCATCTGGGCTTATATCAATCCACGTTTGATGTAATGGAGTTGAATGAATCCATTGTTGTATTTCCAGAGGGAACGAGCCATACTCTACCGGGCATCAGTAAGCTAAAGGATGGTGCCAGCTTTGTAAGCGCAATGCATGAATCAATTCACTGACCTCTGAACTAATGTAACCTTGTGTAGGTGGCATTGGAATACGCTAAATCAGTAAAGGATAAGCCAAGATACAACAGATATGGGCAGCTAGTAAACCCTGCCGCTATCGTGCCTGTGGGTATCGTTTACAGTGAGAAATCTAGATATCGCAGTGTGATTATCGTCAGGTAAATATGGATGAATAGCCTTGGATGAAGACCACTGAAACATCACGAAACAGATTCGGTAAGCCAATCCAAATGGATAAGTATCTAGACGATTTTAGCAAGACACCTAAAGCGACTGCAAAGCTGGTCACCAAAGCTTTGGAAGAGGCACTATTGTCTCTCACGGTGAATTCGCCAGATTGGCCCAACAGAAAGAACGCTGTCATGGCTAGGGAGATGCTGTTTCCTGGCGAATATGGCAACATGCCTGATTTCGTTCAAGTATCGCAAAGGTAGGAGCAATGCTACTCGATTGAAACATTCACACTCACTCTGCCTATATAGTCTGATCGATATATTCGTAAAGCAAAAAAATTTGAGGCATTTAGCAGATAATCTACATGTTTATCGCTGTGAATTGAAGGATCTCGAGCTGCGAGACACTGATCTTGCTTGCTACGATGCTAACAGAAAGCAAAGGCTCATACCCACAACCATCATCAAAAACTTCATCAAGAAATCGTTTGCATTATTTATGGATCTGCCTGTAGCATTGCCTATCGTGCTGGCACATCTACCCCTCTATCTCATCAGTCGACATTATTCCAAGCATGAAGTGTATGAAGAGGTCAAAGCACAAGGCAAGATTTTGCATGCGACATGGATGGTCCCAATCGTGTACTTGCCTCTGCTCATCTGGCAATGGTATTATCTCTATCGATTTACATTTTGCGGATTCTTCTTTGCTGTGCTGACTGCCATCATTTTCTATTGGCTGCATGTTGTATCCATTGATCGCAAATATGAGCAATTCAAGCAATGGAGAGGATCATTTCAGCTGTTTGATGCGTTTGTATTGAAGCGAGGTTTAGGCAATCGCGAAAAACGACTTGTGGAGATCATGAAGCTGCGAGATGCTATACAGAATGACCTCCAGCGGGTATTTTTCAGTAGCAATGACGATGATACTTTGGATGTGAGAATAGTAAAGCGAGCTATCCAATCTCGAGCAAAGTAACTGCGGTAGCCATAACATCCATCATTCCCAATAAAGACCACATGCCCTTTTCTGATTCGATCCTGCTTGGTTGCTGCGACATTCCCATTGTTCAGATACTAAAAGAGAACCTACTCTCTCACATTTGCTTTAATTTAGATCCATCAACTGTGCAAGGTCGACTGTGCCACTATAGCTACCTGTCCGATTGGTCAATTGTAGAACAAATCCGTAGTTTCCGGGCTTTCAATGCCTATGAGGACAAGGAAGGCTCGAGAAAAAAGGCTTACATTCGTGACTCGGGTGTGCTGGAACAATATCTTTGAAGCGTAACCTGGCAAACATATAAACCTTCCCTTTTTACCAAGCCTTCGACACAGTAATATGACTGTAAGTTATCATGGACCATCGTAACATGTACACTATCAAAGCAGAACATGCAGCACACACATATCATTCATGAAATGAATACCACGCGCAATGTAGATGGATGGATGGATGGATGGATAGATGGAAACGGTGGATGTAAAATGATTTGACACTGCACGCCCAAAAATATCTGAACAGAATCAATACTCGACATTTGTGTCAACCTGCCGATGAACACACCCTACAGAGCTTCTTCTGCGAGTTGAATGATTGAAAAGTGAAACACATTTGATAGCACTATACAACACGCAGTCAATGTCTGTCGTTGAGAGCCATTGCCAACCTTGGAATCACCTTGTTACATTTGCATAGACATAATATGTGTGTGTGTGTGTGTCTGAATTGCGATTGCGTGTGCTGCGTGTGCTTACATGTTCTTGCTGCGGTAGTTTGCAAGTTGATTGCAAAAAGGCGTACATACTAAATGTGATATATCGTTTGATAGTTGGCCGTCGATCTTCTTAACCCTTCCGTTGAACACGAGAAGCGCTCTCACAAGCTCAAGAGACTTGTGCAGTCTCCCAACTCCTACTTCATGGATGTCAAGTGTCCTGGTAAGTTTGTCATGTATGGTATTTGGAAAGCAGTGTTATTGATATACATCATGAACAGGTTGTTTGAACATTAGCACCGTTTTCAGTCACGCTCAAACCGTTGTTTTGTGTTCTTCTTGCGGTACCGTCTTGTGCCAACCCACTGGTGGTCGTGCCCGTTTGACTGAAGGTTGTTCTTTCCGTAGAAAGGCCAACTAAAGTGTTTCATTATAACTCTTTGTTATCGCTTTTTTTTTTCTACTAAAAAAAAATCAATAAAAATGAACGAAACTTCTTTCTTTTTCCCTTCTGCAAACGAAGGCCAAGCCCAAAATTCGAGTCTTTTATATTGCTTTTGGATACTGTTTTGGACATGGAGTTGAGCTTATAGTTGTATCGAGCTCGTACTGTATGAGAATGAGCAATCAAATCGTTCTGTATTCGGTAGTCTAATCTTGCGTAACTGAATGCAGAAATGTACCTTTATTCTATGAAATTAGACGCTGAAGTAGACTCATGCCTGGATGCTTTCTTTGGTTTGTTGGTTACTGTTTATTTCCAACATCCGGAGAACCTTGGTACTCCTTGTCTTATCATTGATGGTGGTAAGTACTACTTGCCCAGTAGTCTTTGGTCTCAAAAAAAAAAAAAAAAAAAAGTATGAGCAAGACAGATTTTCTTAAAAAAAAGTTCAAATATTAGCACTGACTTGAGCTTCCTGAACAGCATCACCTATTTTGCTAGATCATATTGCAACATTTGCAAGTGGTTTTGTGCCAAAAAGTGCCATCAAATGTTCAAAGCTAAGCGTGTCGGATGTTTAAATGTGTATTTTCAATCCATCTTCTGGATCAGCAGGAAATCAGTTTGGGACGAAAAAAAAAAACGCTTGAGCGAGGATATCTCTGCTGCTGTCGTTCCAAGTGTAGGCTTCTATTAGTTAAATTACCCTTAATTTTTACAGAGCTATCCAAAGATGTAAGTTTCACGTCCACTTTCCCCTGAAAGTAATGGGTAATCGTGAAATTTCATAAAATCAGTTTTTTACGCAAAACTCAAGAAACATAATCGATAACCGACTATTGAGTAATCTGAGATGATAGAGGGGCTTATTTTGTATCTAATTGATACTATAAGTCATATTGAAAAATCCCATTTTTCGGTTGAAATCTCCCTTTATGTCGAAATCTCCAATTTTTTCCTTATGGTACCTCATGAACATCATCGAATCCTGAGCAAATTAAAAAATTTCCAATGAGATATCAGCAAGTATCCATATGCTCAGGGAAATCAAATGGTACATGTCTCTTTTTCAGGGAACGGTTTCTGCCCAAGATATAACGCTTTTTAAATATTAGTTTGTGATGTAAATCGTTGGTGAAACATGGTGAATAAGGGCGATTGTAGTGTAGATTCTTTTGTTTTTTATGGATGCGTAGAGGTTTTGTCTGAAAGCTAATACTTCAGTAGGTGCTCTGTTGAATAAAGCGTTAGGGAAATTCTTGCAATATCACAATATTGATGCAATGCGTAAAAGATTTCGCGGCCACCCAGATTAATTTGGGTCACTTCTCCGTATGCTTTCAAAATTTCCAATGCTTTTGATATCTAAGAGGCCCTTTTACAATTGTTGTCGCTATTTGTCTCATCATAGACAATTAAAATCTCAGAAAAAAAAAAGGTAATATTATGCTAGAAAAGTTGTTGTAATCTATAAAATTGCTTCTCAATTTATTGGGTAGTAGTAAAATCATAGTAAAACATAAGAGCATCAACAAGCTTATCAGGGCTATTCTTTAATCTGCCAGCATTAGGAACTCTGCCCACTTCTTGGAATCCGAGTTTGCGCCAAATTGCAATTGAAGCAGGATTGTTTTCAAATACCAGATTAAACATGGAGGCCTTATAACCGATAGCAGGTACCAATACCTTGAATGCTTCGCCCATAACAACACCAGCACCTTTACCACGGTGGCTATTCATTACAAAGAAACCACCATTACAGATGTGAGAGCATCTACCTGGGTAATTTGGCTTGATGTAGAACATGCCTACAATCTTGTCCTCCCAGTTGTATACTGTATTGGGTTCAATGGCACCATCCTTGGACATGACGAAAGCATCAGATCTACATGTGCAACCAAGTCAGTTTCAAATCATATTAGAGGATGGTCCAATTTTACATACCCGAGAAAATAATCTCTAAATTGTTGCTCATCGAGTAGATTTTCTTGGGGGTATGTGGAACTGTGTATGTGTACAAAAGTAGTTTAGTGTGTGCCTGTCAATTGCATAGTTATGTAAACAACATACCCATCCTCGATCTCTGCATTGAATCTGGCATGTAAGAAATCGACTAATGACTTGTTATTGGAATCCACCTTTTGAATGAGGCCCTCAGAACCATCACGCAATGTTTTGTGAATAGGTAAAATGGTATCCAAGTCTACGGCTGTAGTTGGTTTGGGGATTTTACCGTAAGCAGTTGACATTTTATACTAAAGAAAACAAGTTGAACAGAAGAAAATGTCTGGTTTATATACACCATGAATGGGTAAAACTTTTTCAAGACGGATTTACAGGAAACGAACTGATACCAATTAGACATCAGATCGAGAAAGCGAATGAGAACCAAAAGTGGATCGCTGCTGAACTGATAAAATTAAGCTCAACCAGAGTGTAACTCGTAATTAATATCCAGGGGGTAGGTTATCTTTTCATCATTTGATGCCCAATCGAAATTTCCAGTGGTACAGAATACAGATCAATTTTATAACTATCAAGTAGGAGAGAAATATATATATGTAGAAATCAAGAAACATATCAAAGAAACAGAGCAGTGTGTGTGTGTGTGTGTGATGGGAGGTATTAGTCATAATAGAATATGGCGATATGTTATTAGAGAAATGTTGGCATGGTGTATGTATAATGTGTTGTGAAAAATGAGTTGTATGTATAGTAACAGTTCGTTTGTTGATTTCTTCCCAAATGCTTGATCCGATCCATATACTAATCCAAGTCCCATACATTGTCTCGCACAAATTCAGCAATTGACTCAAAGAAACCACTCTATGAACAAAAAAACAAAAAAAAAACGCAATGTTGGTTCACACAGTCCTATGACATCCTCCCTTCCAGGTATCCTTACCTGCATACAAGTATCGTTGTGTGTTCCATTCTCGAAATCCCTCCATACTTTGACTCCACTTGTTTGCGATATGTTGTATAATTTCGCCATATGTCCAGGTGGAACTAATTCGTCTTTTAGGCTGGACAGGAATAGTATAGGTACATGATGTACATATTTGATCGTCTTGTATGATCTCCATGTCTGATGTACCAGATAGACCAAATGTCTTAATGCTGGGAATATATGTGGCACTAGCAAAGGCTATAGGCGAGACAGTGTGTGTGTGTGTGAGCTTCCTACTACATGCCTTGCTTGGTTATCCCTTCCCAAAGCACTTACCACACTCAGAAATGTGTTTTCAATGATCAATGCATCAAACTTATCCTCATTTCTCGATACAAGACTGATGGCCACAGAACCCCCTAATGATTGGCCGTATGCAATTAACTTGGTATGTTTGAGGATGGGATGTTGTTTGATGTATTCAAGCATAGTCTAAATATTTATGTGTTACCAAAATAATGAACCCCATTGATTTTTTCTTTTTCTGTGATTTCTTACCTGCGCGTCAATTTTAAGTCCTTTTTCAGTAGGTCTGCCCTCGCTGAGACCATAACTAATTGCAGATGGTGAGTTCATGTTCAATGGTGCATCTGCAAAGCGTACCCTCTATACGACAGCATGACTACATTGTAGCCTAATTTCTTGTAGAATACCTGAGCTATTGGCAATCGATGACCCTGTGAATATTTTTTTTTTGTCGTAATTAATAATTGTCACTCATTGCAATTTCTCTCTCCAATGTTTGATTGTGGTAGCCTAAATACACACATCCCCCCCTTTTTTTTTATAGAAAACCCCATTCATTTACCATATTGCCAGTATGTGCCTAGAATCCATTACATGAGCTGGTATATTCCAAATCAACGAGATATCCACTTACATGAAAACAAACCACAGTGGGTGATTGTATCGCTACTTCCTCGCCACGTTGAATCATGACATAGGATCGAATCTTGTAGCCATCCTTGGTCACCAATATAACCTCTTTGTCTGGCAGCCCAAATTGCGATGGCCTTGCCACCTTTGATATCGAAATGTATATCAATATACCACCTCTCCCTGTAGTTCTATCTTACTTACCACCGTCCTCGACCCAGTCGGGAACCCTGCTGCATACAGCAATTCGCACTGGTAGGTATATAGTAGTAATGACAGTGCTACGGTCACCGCTATCGCAAAATATAATAAATATAACAAATAAATCATCATTGAATCTTCTGTTTGTCGAAATATAAAGAATAGAAAGAGACGCTGCTGATCTCAAGAGCACTTTTCTGCACCAGAAATAGAGAAGAAGATGAAAGATCAAAAGAGGGTTAAACTTTTTCTGTGTGATGAACGGTTATATTTTCTTTCTCAACAACGTACAAAACGGAAACCCCATTCTTCACGTGATGTCCCCATCAAATTGTAGTCATTTCAATTTACTGAATCTATTGACGCTGGCATTGATATGCAATGATAACGAAATTCATGGATTTTATTTCTGAGTCATCTTCAACCTGACTCAAGTCGTTCTAATCTCGACCAATTCATGTTTTCAAAGCATGAAATATTACTCAAACTAGGAAACTGAGTCTTCCCAAAAAAAGGTTTGGGGGTAAAATGAACTTATCCCGACACTGGCATTTGGCCTGTGAAAATGAACATTTGGTCCTTCAAATGTATCCTTCTCCTCATGGTCTTTGAAAAGCCGAAAAAGGTGGTTCATGGTGTATCCATACCTTGGCGAATGCCAGTGAGCAAGATGCCCAGCCAAATGTTGGATGTTTTCCGATGCATTGCTACGGATCATCGTTTGCCATAGACATTGGGGCCAAGAAAACCCTGTGTATGTCAATGCGAATATGATTGGAAGACAGAACAGTCGTAATTTTCAATGAAACCAGCAATGCGCCCTTTCATTGCTTAGCTTAGTCTTTCCTTTTCATTATCAACATGTCGTATCCTCCATCACCTAGAGGCAAAGCGCCTCCTGCACCCCCCATGAGACAAAACACAGAGAGAAGAGCCATGCCAGCACCACCTCCACCTGTAAACAACCATGTGAGACAAAATCACCTTCAAGAAAATAACAATATGCAATCCCCATTGAATCGTTTATCAACTATTCCTGTTCAATCTGCTTATCATAGCGTAGACATTAGTATTCCAGAACCACCACAGACTGAAGCTGGTAAATGGACATTTCACTCTCAAAAGGAGTTTCCACCACCACCACCCTTTGAGAAAAAGTTGAAAAGATATCCCACTGGCGCAGAAACTGGTTGCTGTATGTACAATTAACTCTCCCATCTTTCAAATGTATGAGATACTAATGATGTATTGTGAATTATAGCTATTCCTATCGATCTCTCTCATCTCCAAGTGTATCAATAAGCATGTGTCGCTCCGTAGCGCCGACAGCTTCGTCCATAGTGTCAATAAATAACCCTCTAGTTCAATATCGCAAGCATTTCCAAATGATCAGCTAATGACTGAGCACAGATAGTCTATTTTCAAGCCTCAGGGCAATCATCTTTATGATGAGTATGATCGGATCGGTTATGAATGCTCGGAGATTACATGTCAAAGAATGCATTGTAGAAAGAAACCTCCCAAAGCATCATCTAAGGAATAGTGAACATCCATCAGATGTGTATTGAGCATGGCGCTCAGTTTCAGCGGATTTGAGGCCCCGATATTTTATCTTACCGCCGACATGAGGCAACCCATGTATATATAAACAAGGTAAACGCATTGAGAGAAAAGCCATTGTATTGAGTGATGTAGTTGAGTGTTTAGAGTAAAGGCTGAAGATCATTTTGCCGTCCTTGTTGTAGAATATCACCTAAAATTGAATGTGCAAAAGAATGTGATCGAGATGTGAAAGATTCAAATGCAGAGCATCATTCTCTTTCTCAACTTGGTCTCAGGAAGAGCATGAACTATTCGGATCACACAAAACCTGTTGAAATTGTGTTTTCTCTGGTTCTCACAAACAAATTGAGAACAACGAGTTATACAAGCACAATGGGAGGAGGCGGCAGCGGAACTGCAAGTCAGTCAAACCCACACATCATGCTTTCTAAAAAAAAAAAAAAAAAAAAAACGACTCATTGCACCATAGGCTATTCAAGCCTTGCTTGTTCTACATGATCCCCAACTGCACCAACATTGCTTTGCTACATCCATGAAATCAAAATGAAATCGAGTATAGCCCGCGACAGTATGTCTTTTATCAATCAACCATAATACCATCATAACCAAAGGGTTACACACTTCTGGACAGTCACCAGTTTTCTGCCTCGCTGTTGCCTGCCTCACTAGGCTTTGCTCGTTTTATTTTCAATATTTTCATCTCTTTTTCTTCCACATCATATAACCTACAGCAAGCCCTTGCGTATCGATAGCTCGTCTCGCAAACAAACAATAAAGATGGAGCATGTATTAATGTGGGATGAAAATAAAGTGGCAAAATGGCTGTCCAGCATTGGGCATGCATCGTTTGAGAAACAGTTTAGAGGTAATATCAAGATGGACAGGTGTATGTGTGTGTGTATATGGAAACAGCCAGTACTCATTTTGTATAAGCAGAACAAGGTATTACTGGAGATGTCCTCGTTAATCTCGATCATGAATCACTGCGAGATTTGTCAATACTTACCGTTGGTCAGAGGATGGATTTGCTCAAGAACATTTACCAGCTAAAGATCCACTATCGAGTGCCTGTAAATGAATGGGATTATATACCGCCAAGTAAGTCGCATTCTGATATGTGTGTTCATTGGTACTAATGGGTCGATCAGGTGTATTATACGAAACTGTAATATATGGATCTGGAGTGCGCATTTGACGATAGATACTAATGAGTAAGCAGGATTGGTTAGGACAAAATGGTATGGCAGATTACAGAAAGATTGAAGCAGCATTTCAGGAACGAGGTACTTATGCAAACATGGCTGTGATTTGGGACGTTGAAATGTTAATCACATGGAAAGCAGATGCCCGTATAAAGCGATTGACAGAGGATCTACAACGAGTGAATCATGACATGTCTATACTAAGAGAGGAGATTGGGCAGATCATCAAGCTTAAAGACAAGAAGGTAAACAGCCAAGCAAATTTGCAAATGAATTTCTGATCTGATTTCGTCTCTAGTCACTACAAAACGACAACAACAGTATCAAATCCGCAACATCTACAAAAGTATCTTATTCACATCACGCCGCTAATAGTAAACATGCCAACTCGCCCACAAAGATCAACAATAACCTGGATTACCACCACAACAACATGTCAACAGACGACAAACTGACGCCCAATGTTATGATCAATGACGGTGGAGCCATCAAGGTATACGGCGATAAGATTTCCAAGGTTGAGCATGAACCCGAATCTTCCAAAAATGTGCGCCTGTTGCTGGATGATCCCACATCCAAGGTAATTACATCTGCCCTTAAAAAATACAATGTGGTGAGCGATTGGCAGCAGTATGCTCTATGGATTCAGTATGGGCCACACGATAACATGCAAGGTAGAAAGGATCCAACAAATATAAACAAATCATTTGTACTAATTAAGCAAGCTATTAGAACGCGCTCTAGGTTACGATGAGAGGCCTTTGAGGATTTCACAAAAACTAAAAGAAGCTAAACAGAATCCAGTTTTTGTGCTAAAGCACGTAAAAGATAATAAACCGTTCATACCACCCAACTACAGCCATCCCAGGCCAGCACCACCCAAACCTCATGACAACAGCAACAGCAATAATAAATCATACAACAAATCCAACATATCGCCGCTTAATAATAACAATACCAGCACGAATACCAGCACCACATCCACAGCAAATAATACGACCAGCACAACTGCAACAACGCCTCCCATCACCTCTGGCAGAGTTGGATTTGAAGTTGTTATTCCCGTCATGTCGTCCTCCATGTCGTCTCCCACCACCACAACCACGACATCTACTTCCTCCTCGTCTTCCAAACGCTCGCCACCTCCTCCACCGCCTTCAGCGCAGCAGCAGTACAGCAATGAGCTTGGCCTGGACAACGCCATTGTAAATGCCATCTTTTCCATCAACAATAGCAACCCCCAAAATCCATAAGAAATAAACCCGGGTGAAACCATAGAAAAAAATTTGCATGAAACCATCCTAATGGAGTTCTAATCAAAGGCATTTTATCTGACCAGATTGGAAGCGAATCATTTAAAACGATCAGAGTTCCCAGTGTTGTCGTTGTGTGTGTGTGTGTGTGTGCGTGTGTTGCGTGTGTTGCGTGTGTGTGTGATATGGTGATGCGTATATACAGATTTCCTTTTTTCTATTAGAGAAAAAAACTTTATTCAAAAATGTCTCCTCTTTTTTTTTTTTAAGGCTTCTTTTCTTTTTTTTTTTTTTTTTTTCTTTCTTTCCTCCTCTTTGAGTCATTGAAAATTTATTAACTATGGATTACATGCCTGATACCAGTACTGCTGCTGGCGCCGCAAAGGCTGCTGATCGTAGCAAGCGTCGCTCATTAACTGCTCTTCAAAAGCCTAAGCGTGTTCGTATTGGTGAGAAGGAATCTGAAGAGGCTAAGCAAACTTTGAACAAATTACTGGCAGCCACTGACGAGGCTGAAAGAAAGGAATTGGCTGAACAATGTGCTGCCTTTGCCAACCACTATGGTGTTCGCGCCCTCAAGGCCTGCCATCTCTGGGCTGCTATTTCTACTGAGCTCTTTGCAAAGAAGATCCGTACTCCTCAAGCTCTGGGTGCTCTTGAATTGACTCAAGCTTTGATCACCTCCAATGCTCTTTTGCGTGGTCAACTTGAGCCTCATTTAGTAACCTTGTTGACACCTCTTTTGGATCTCCAAGGCGGTAAGGACAAGAACATTGCAGACATCTCTGGCAATCTTGCCCGCAATTTGGTCAAGGCTTTCAACCCCATCGCTACTCGCCACGTCGTGTCTTACTGTTTGGAGGGTCTTGAGAACTCTAAAAAATGGCCTACCAAGATGCTCTCTCTTGAGATTATTGAAATTTTGGCTGCTGTCAACCCCATGCAAATCTTGGTCTGCTTGCCCATCATCATTCCCGTTGTTTCTGATTGTATGTGGGATACCAAGCCCGATGTCAAGGCCGCTGCTACCAAATGTATGACTACAATCACTGCTCTTTTGGACAACAAGGATATTGAGCGCTTTATTCCTGCTGTTATTGAGTGTATCAACAAGCCTGAAAGCGTCCCAGAGACTATTCATCAATTGGGTGCTACCACTTTTGTTCAAGAAGTCGATGCTGGTACCCTTGCCTTGATGGTCCCTCTTTTGAGTCGTGGTCTCAAGGAACGTCAAACTGCCATCAAGCGTAAATCTGCCTTGATCATTGATAACATGTCCAAGCTTGTCGATGATCCTGAAGTCGCTGCTCCCTTTTTGCCCATCTTGTTGCCTGGTCTCGAGCATGTCCACGAAACTGTTGCTGACCCCGAGTGTCGTGGTGTTGTCAAGAAGGCTATCGATACTCTGAAGCGTATTGGCGGTGGCGCTGATACTAGCACCATCTTGAGTAATGACGAGAAGCGTGAAAAGGTCTATAGCACTTTGGACAAGCTCATGCCCACCAAGCTCGAAGGTTTCTTTGCTCCTGTTCGCAAGTACATGGCTAAGCTTGCTTTGGCTCTCGTTTTGGCTCGTGATTTTGACCGTAATGCTTGGGTTGCTTCCATGTCTCCTCATGCTGCTACTTGGCTTTTGGTCACTGGCCGTGAACACGAAGATGGAAGCGAAGAACTCGACGCTTCTGCTGAAAAGCTTGCTTTGGCTGCTCTTTCTTCTTGTGAAGAAGCAATTGCTCCCAAGAACACTGAAGAGGATGAACTTGAGGAAGGTGAGGAACTCTGTAACTGCGAGTTCTCTCTTGCTTATGGTGCCAAGATTTTGTTGAACCGTACTCACTTGCGTTTGATGCGTGGTCGTCGTTATGGTCTCTGTGGTGCCAATGGCTGTGGTAAGTCCACTTTGATGCGCGCTATTGCCAACGAGCAAGTCGAAGGTTTCCCTCCTCGTTCCGTCTTGAAGACTGTCTATGTTGAACACGATATCGATGGTTCTGAAGCTGATACTGGTCTTGTTGATTTCATTGATGCCTCTGAGGGTGTTGAATGTCACGATAAGGCTGAAATTGCTCGTATTCTCAAGAACTATGGCTTCACTGACGAAATGGTCAACCATCAAGCTATTGGCTCTCTCTCTGGTGGTTGGAAGATGAAGCTTGCTCTTGCCCGTGCCATGTTGATGAACGCTGATATTCTCTTGTTGGATGAACCTACCAATCACTTGGATGTGGTTAACGTTGCTTGGTTAGAAAACTACCTCTTGGGTCTCAAGACTGTCACTTCCATTATTGTCTCCCACGACTCTGGTTTCTTGGATCACGTCTGTACTGACATTATCCATTATGAGGGTAATTACAAGTTGAAGCGTTACAAGGGTAACTTGTCAGAGTTTGTCAAGAAGGTGCCTCGTGCTGCTGCTTACTACTCTTTGGGTGCTGCTCAAACCGTCTTCAGATTCCCTGAACCTGGATATCTCGAAGGTATCAAGACTAAGGAGCGTGCTATCTTGAAGATGAAGAATGTTGATTTCCAATATCCCGGCTCTTCCAAGAAGCAATTGGTGAACATTTCCATGCAATGTTCTCTTGCCTCTCGTGTTGCTGTCATTGGTCCCAATGGTGCTGGTAAGTCCACTTTGATCAAGTTGCTGACTGGTGAACTTGAGTCTGAAATCGGTACCGTCTGGAAGCATCCCAACTTGCGTATTGCTTATGTCGCTCAACACGCTTTCCACCATATTGAAAAGCATTTGGACTCTACTCCCAATCAATACATTCAATGGCGTTATGCTACTGGTGAAGATCGCGAAGAGCTTGACAAGAACGATCGTATGCACGGTGAAGCCAACAAGAAGGTCATGCAACAAGTCTTTGTTATTGATGGTGAAAAGCGTACTGTTGAGGAACTCGTTGGCCGTAGAAAGCTCAAGCAATCTTATGAATACGAAGTCTCTTGGGTTGGTCGTTCTTCTGTTGATAACACTTGGATCTCCCGTCAAAAGCTCGAAGATATGGGTTTCGGTAAGAAGATTGCTGAAGTCGATTCCGCTGAAGCTGCCAAGATGGGTCTCAACCGTCCTTTAACTGCCAAGGAAATTGAGAAGCATTTGGATGAAGTCGGTCTTGAGCCTGAGTTCGCCTCTCACTCTCACATCCGTGGTCTCTCTGGTGGCCAAAAGGTCAAGCTTGTCATTGGTGCTGCCATGTGGAACAAGCCTCACATGTTGGTTCTTGACGAACCTACCAATTATTTGGATCGTGAATCTCTTGGTGCTCTTGCCACTGCTATTCGTGAATACGGTGGTGGTGTTGTCATTGTTACTCACAACCGTGAATTCTCTGAGGCTCTTTGTAACGAAGTTTGGAAGGTGGATGACGGTCATTTGACTCCTTCAGGCCATAACTGGGTTTCCGGCAATGGTTCAACTGCAGTGAAGGAAGAGGAAGAAGGCGACCAAGTTGATGCACAGGCACGTACTAAATATCTCTTGGAAGTATAGTTGGTTTATATATTAACACGATTTTGTATTATAGGGTAACATCATCAAGGCCACTCAAAAGAAGAAGAAGTTGACTTCCAAGGAGCTCCGTAAGAAGAAAAAGGATCGTATGGAGCGTCGCAAGCGTGGTGAGGAAGTGTGGACCACCGATGAAGAATTGTAAAAAGTTCCTATTAGACTATTTATTTCATTCTCGCAAGTATACACTTTTTTCGTTCTATTTCTTTTTCTCTTTAAATTTGGTCCTTTTTTACACATCTGCCCATGTATATAAATGGTTTTCTCTCTATACTACCTCTCTTTTACTCTATGAAATAAATAAAAATTTATTTGTATGAATCAAATACCTCCCCTTTTTTATTAGCATTGATTACTATCACCAAGAAGCATGGCATTGCGTCTGCCAGCCGCCACCACCACCACCACCACCACCACCACCACCACCAAAATTGATTAAAACTCCGCTTTGGATTTTTTTTTTTACTCGAAAAGGCAAAATTTTGCTCCAAATGCGACTTGATCCATCTATTTTGCTAGTTTTGACTATGTAAGTCGCAACAATCATCCCATACTTTCTAATGCATCCTTGGAGTACTTTTCAAGGCGCACCTAATGGTACCACCTATAACAGGTGTTTTGAACAAATCTATCGAGCAAAGTCTGAGAATATGAAATGACGTTTTTGGCTAAAATGTCGAGATTTTGCACATCACAAACAGAGTTTCAGGGGTTGCTTTGGATCAAGAGACACATTTTGATTCAATATCATAACATAATAAATGTTCAGTACTTTTGCACTTTACAATCCTAATATGGAACCTGAGTTTCAAGGCATCTATCTGTCCTGGCTCATATCATAACATAATAAATGTTCAGTACTTTTGCACTTTACAATCCTAATATGGAACCTGAGTTTCAAGGCATCTATCTGTCCTGGCTCATATGAGAATAATGATTTTACAATCAATCAACAAAAACCACTGTTGTTTCTACCCTCTTTCCTCTGCTCAATGCTGTCAATGTTTTATTTGAGCGACGTCTCAGAGCCTCAGAGATTTCATTACTTACTGCAGACATTTTATGCAACCCATGCATTGTCAATGTCCAGACTAACGTTATTAAATATAGAATGCAATAAAATATCATTATGAACGATATAGAAGGCAATAAAATATCATTATAAACGATAGTGCTATGACCTTCCACCTACTTTCTATACGCTTCAAGGGCATTTACTACTGTATTGCCTTATGAAAAGGGCATGAGTTTTCCAGCTGGCCCTACCAGCCAAAATTAATTCAAACCCAGAATCATAGTCTGTTCCAGATTGGACATATTTTGATAATTTTGGACTCGATCGAGCTATTTTTGCAGATTCGACTAAGTGAAGTATGATAATCACCCCATGCTTCCTTAAGCTTTCCTGGAGTACTTTTCAAGGCGCTTCCAATGGTACTAAGTAAAATAGATGTTTTGAATTCACTTATTAAATGATTTGTAAACATATGAAAAGAGGTTTATGGCCAAAATGTCGAAATTTTACATATCAAAGTCCCACAAAGATAATTTCAGAGGTTGCTTTGGATTGATAGAAACATTTTGATTCAAGATATACCATAGTAAAAGTCTCCATTATCAAGATGAAAAATGCGATCGTTTGATTTTCGATGAAAACCATGAGGGATACCTCATGCTTTTTGGTCGATTTTTGACCATGTTTTTTTGGTCCCCAAAAAGTCGAGCAAAAGTGTCAGAAAGTAACTGCCAGATGAAAGCAACCATTTGGGGCTATTCTGACGATCTAAAACGGCCTTGAACGCAAGAAAATTCAGCTCAAATGCACTCATATTTTGCTGTATTAGGGACACTAAGGACTAAAAAGTGGGAATACCAGTATGCTGCTTGCCCGTATATGAAGTAGCTACGTGTATATGGATGTAGAACATCACATAAGAATCAGATCCACAGATAATATGAAGGGTTGCTATGTGTAAGTGGAGGGTCAAAATGAAAGTAGCAGTATTTTGATAAAATACGCAAGAGAAATCAGTAGCACGAGCTGCCGCTGCGCAGGTTGGTTCTCTACCTTCGCTACGCTTCGGTGAGAACCATCCGAAGCATAAACACTCATATGATTAGTGATTATATATCAATCAACAATCAGGGTTCCTCTTCTAACATTTTAGCTATATTAATTTTGGGATATTAGCCAAAGGCCCGCGGCAGCGCGAGCCGTTTGAACGTAGGTTGGTTTCCACCGAAGCGAAGCGTAGGTCAGGAAACCACCCGAAGTGCTGAAAGGCTCGTATGCCATAGTAAAAGTCTTCAATCTCAAGGTGAAAAACGCGATCGTTTGATGTTTGATGAAAACCATGAGGGGTACCTCATGCTTTTTGGCCGAATTTTGTCCATTTTTTTTTAGGTCCCCAAAAAGTTGAGCAAAGGCGACAGACAGTTACCGCTAGATGAAAGCAATGGTTTGGTGCAATTCTGGTGGTCTAACACGGCTTCTAACGCGAGAAAACGCGGCTCAAGTGCAGCCAAATTATGCTGTGTTTCGCACACTTTTGAGTGTTAAGGGGGGTAATACAAGTAAGCTGTTAGCCTGGAAATAAGCGAATTCTTTTGATACGGACGTGAAGCATCGTAAAAATGTCTGATTCACCGCCACAGGTGATTTTCACATTGTAGTAAGCAGTCGAATAGTGGAATTCCAGTAGTCAATAGTAGGGTAAACGTTCATGAGCACTCTCCAGTTAGTTTCTCTTAAATCTACCATGCAGTTGCATGCTTGCAATCATATAACATTAGCTTAATATTCTTCAAATGAAGTGAAATCCCCATTTTTCGATATTTGGCATGGGTAAGAGTATACGAGGTACTTCATCATGAATATCCCTGTACATCAAGATGATGACAATCGGTGTTGTTGGCTTTTCTGGGCTTGAGCAGTGGTATTATGGGGTTAAAATGCGTCTTTTGATTTCATGAATTATACCATGACTAGCCATCGTTCTCTGGCATGGCATCAATTTCACCCGCTTCTTGTAACAGTTATGTTCAACTTCTTGGTACTCGTCAACAAACCATGCACACACACACACACCATTTGAAAACTGTCATTTCAGCACAATTGATGTTTTGATTACATACTAAATCGATTGCATCTTTGTGACACCTTGGACTACGTGGCATTTTTGCATCAAATCATTGTCCTAGATCTTTCACATGCATTAACCAGCTTCCAGGGCCTACCAAGGGCGGAAAATGATGAAATGGCAATTGAATCCCAGTGTTGCAGGATTTCTTTTTAGTCTTTTGGGGTTCTGAAATCTAGCACAATCACCTCTTTGTTCCGTTTACATCTTTCTATTTTGTATATCAAAAATGCCTGCTCTTATTGACTTTTCAAAGGCCTCATTATACCTTGCCATTGCACATATCCTCTTTAATCCTATCTTTTGGAATACAGTTGCTAGAGCAGGTAAGCACGAGATGTAGTTGTGTGTGTGTGTATGCGGGTGGGTGGGTGGGTGAGCACACATGTCATTCAAGCAAATTTCTAAATTTGAATTATCCATGTAGAGTATAGAAGCAAGGTGTTGACAAAATTGGCTGGTGGTAATGCTTATAGAGGCACATATGGATTGGCTGTAACCATCTTCACATTGGGCCTTACCAGAGATTACTTGTAAGTGTTGTTTGGTGTATATCCAAGCGAGAAAGAGAGAGAGAGAGAGAGATATTCATTCATCCCCGGGAAACAGATATCATCAAGCATTGGCTGATCAACCTACACACCCCTTTTTCGATCAATATACTATCCAAATCTCTGCTGTTCTTTTGTTCTTGACTGGTAATGTTCTCGTTTTATCATCCATGTGGGCTCTTGGTGTTACTGGCACCTATCTCGGTAAGGCATTATTGATAGTTTTTCCTTGCGTGTTCATTCTATTGATACAATTACTTGTAGGCGACTATTTCGGGATCTTGATGAAGGAGCGTGTTACTGGATTCCCTTTCAATGTTTGCGATAATCCCATGTACATTGGATCAACCTGTACCTTTATGGCAACTGCCTTATGGTAAGCATTGGTGTTTTATACCTTTTTAAAACAAAAGCTAAAGTGAATGTCATTAGGTATCAAAGCCCTGCTGGTGTCTTCTTGACAGCACTCGTCTACGTTGTTTACAAGATTGCATTGACCTTTGAAGAGCCCTTCACTGGCATGATCTATGCCAACAAGGACAAAAAGAACTAGACATTTGCCTTGATATTGGGTAAAGAAACTGAAAAAAGTATCTTTTGATTTTGTATTCATTAGTAAATAAACAAATCGTATGTATCTACAAGGATATATTTTGCAAGGATAGAGCAAATAGCATGGGGCTAGTCATGTAGTAGGCAATGGCGTAGGTGATGCAGCCAAATAAGATGGATATGGGTAGAGCAGGCAGTGCCCTTCTATTCAGCGTCAATATGAGAATGGTCAGTGACAGCCCCTAGTAATAGCCATCATATGTGGTTAATGTCTTTACTCTTCAATGCAATTGAATCAACTCACTGTTAATATGGCAATGATACATAGACACAATGTGACAGAATCAGTTTTCGCTGCTTTCCCCACGAGGACGCTATAAAAAATAAAATCACCCAACCCCAATTTGATTGCATTCATCTCATCCTCCTCTTCTTCCTCGTCTTCAACTTCTCCTGCTTCAGTGATGCTTTGTCGCTCAACGTCTCTTGATTGCCCAAATGTCGATAAGGCAATACTGGATGTGGGGGTTTCATCTGATTCATCGTTGTGTAGTGGGCGGTAGCCCTTGTTTGCGTTGGTGAATGGCAGCCATTTACTTTGGCTTTTGCTAGCATGATTGGATTCCTGTGTCCTATAACCTCCAATAAAGTCATTCTCAGTATCCAAACTAGCCATGCCAGCAGAGTATACTAATGCTGGTATATTCTCTTGACGTTCTTCGGCCATGGTGATTAATAATCTCAAAGGGCCCGCAGGACAGAGAACTGCGAACAGGTCTACATGATATCGCACATGAGTGTGTGATTTCGCTACTATGGAGTCTCTTTTCATTACCGTAAATTGCCACTGCTATCAACACTGTCCATGTGGTCCAAGGCGGCATTTTTAGCATACTGATTGACTGCAAGGAGCAAATAGTGAGTGAGTGATTACTGTACAAAACTAATGACATAATATACTCACTGTGGCCGCACTGACCAGCACCAAATAGATTTGCTGTACCCATAAAGGGCTTTTCCAGAATATAGCTACGACGCCTACAACTGCCACATTCCAGGTACAAAAGAGCATGGTGGGGTAATCCATTGGCTTGTTATACGCATTCAGCATTTCACTAAATTCGACTGTTAGCTCACACCCTTGATCAATGCGTGTATACATTACATCCACAATGCAGACGCTGTTACACCAAGAATGGACAACACAGATAAGCCCAACCAAAAGAACAAAAACTATATGCATTTCAGATGAGATGAGCAAATCCTTCTCTTCCCAGCCAATAACCTACTTTGTATAATCGATATTTGAAGCATAGAACAAACATGAATGTCATGAGAGTGATCCCGCAAACAACGGTAATGGCATTGAGCACACTACCACCTAGTCGAGTGCTTACACTGTCTGATGGTAGTTCATCATACACCATCAACGGATTACTGTGCGTGTATCCTTTGATTTAGAATCAACCAAAAAAGCAATATTTCCCGTCGTATATGCTACCTTATTTGCGAACTATCGATGTCCAACGTCATTTCAATCCAACAGGTCAATGCAAACGTTACAATCAACGGATAAAACAGCAGTGTAAGCTGCTCGACGTAGAACTGTATCGTTTCCTTTCGCCTTTGTTCTTCTTTGATTTGCGCTGGAGACTAAACATGTTATTGGAAAAGGTCTCTTTTTTGATATACTGCTGTTTGGCTCACACTGAATTACCCTGTTTCTCTCTGTCTCTGTTGGATTCAGCAACGGTTGGTTCGACTGAATTGGCCCCTCTTCTTCTTCTTCCTCGTCCAGGCAGCTGTTTGTAGACATGTGGTAGTTGAAATGTATTTTAAAGAAAACGTCTTTTTTTTTATTATTATTATTGAATAGGATAAGAAGAGACTTTATTTTAAGGTGCTTGAAGGAGCAGTGTGTTTCTCTTCGTCTTCGTTGTCCGAGACGCATTTGACTCCAAAACCGGTGAAGTTTTCAAAGCCATCGCGCACTTTCAACACACGATCCTCATCAGTGTCATTACCTGATTTGGATCCACCTGTCATCAATTTGGAGGTCATATGGTCATAGACGCTCTTGATGGCATCTGCGGCAGAGCGATCCTGGAAGGATGTGGATTGCAAGCTGGCGGAAGATCTGTGAGTCTTGGAAGGCGAGGGAAGCTGGTCATCCTCGTGAGCAGGCACTTGAGGCGCTTGACCAACAGATACAAACATGTCATCCAATTGCTTCTTGACATCAGATTCCAAACTATCCATCTTGTCCAAAGTAACAGTAGGTACACCAACCGCAGCGCTACTAGGATGATTCGTGGGTGCCGTGTTGGGGATAACTGGGCTGGCAAGAGGTGTGGAGTATTCAGTAACTTCGGCCTGTTGCTCATCCAGTTCCTTGAAGCGAGAATCAGAGACAAATGAGCGAGGTCTGTCGCTATTGAGAGAAGCATGGGGCTCAGAGACACATGCACTAACGCTAGAAGAAGGAGCATCCTATACAATAATGGTTAATGTTGGGATATTCCATGGCTTATGCACACTGTACAGAACTTACCATATTTCTTGATTTACCAGATACAGACTCCTTCTTGTTTGCCTTTTCGTTTGTTTTAGTAGAATTGATATCGGATTCAGATGGAGTATCGCTGAATCGTCTCTTGACGATATCATCCAGCATGGCAGACAAGTCTTCAGGGCTATCCGTTCTTGATCTGGTTCTAAGGTGAGCATAACCAGTGGCTGGCTTATTATTGTTGTTGCGAGCCTCATCATCATCATCTTGACTCATTTTAGCATCGCCGTCTCCTATAAAACTGTTGATAACCCCACTCTTCTTTTCCATAGGCTTACTGAAGGAAGAGCTTGAGCCCTCATCGTTTGTCTTGTCAGCAGAAATATCACCACGATCTGAAGCAGTGCGATGCAATCCAGTAGAGAGATCACTTTCAAGTGCAGGTTTGCCATTGACATGAACATTGAAATTAGGATCCTTGAATCCAGAACTTGTGTCAGTAGGAGCACCGACATCCATGTTGCCAGGCTCGGTAGAGTCATCAAGATGAGCACCAGAAGACTGCTTGTTGAGGGACAAACGAGGTGAACGGGGAGGAGCAACAGGAACATCAGTGTGTGCGTCTACTTGAGGTACATCCACGTCAGTCTTGGGGGTAGTCAAACCAGCACCGATATTTTCAAGTGAGTCTGATAATCCAATCTTGCGAGGAGGAGCAACAAGTACAGTAGAAGTATTGCCATCAGTGAAGGCATCGACGTGGGGAGAGTGTAAGTCAGGAACATCGACGTCTGCCTTGGGAGCTGTCATGTCTGTATCAAGCTGAGGTAGCTTTGCATCCACATCAGGCGTGTTGATAGAAGCACTCAAGTCAGTATTATCACCAGGAATTTTGAAGTGTGGCGCATTCAGCTCAGCATCCTTGGAATGGAGATCACCAGAAGTCTCGGGAGTGTTAACAGAACCATCAAGACCTAAATCAGTATTAGGTAAGCCAAACTTGGGACTATTGTAATCTGTGTTGACAGAAGATAGTTTGTCATTACCATCAGGAGTGTCAGCAGAACCACCAAATACACCAGTAATATCATCCTTCAATTCCTTGAAGCCTGAGGACAATATACCAAGAGCACCAGACAGACTAGAGTGTCCAGCATTCACATTAGCATCGGTGTCCACCCTGGGAGACTCTAATTCATCATCAATAGAAGGAAGCTTAGCATCTGTTTCAGGAGTATCAATTGATTTGTCAAGCTTGCCGCTGACATTGGGATGATCGACCTTGGAGCTTGTAAAATCTGCATTCAAAGAGCCATCATACCTGCTATCAATATTTGGCATATCAGTATGAGGAGCCTTGAACTCACTATCCAATGTAGGAAGCTTGTCGTCATGATCAGAGGTTTTGATGGAGTTATCCAGTTTACGATCAACATCTGGGAGACTCGCAGAGGAATCATTCCAGTCGGCATCCAGTATGGGTCGTTTGCCCTCAGCATGAGGAGACTCAGTAGAACCATAAAGTTTACCAGAGATATCTTCTTTGAGACCCTTGAGTCCAGCAGTTAACTTGCCAAGAGAGCCCGACAAGCCAGAAGTATCCATACCACTATTGGCATTGGGCTCAGAGGGCGTTGTATCACTGTCAATCTCAGGAGCATCGATTGACCTGTCGAGTTTACCATGGACAGTGGGTAGATCAACATTAGGACTATGGATATCAGCATCCAAAGCTGGGAGCTTGGCATCAGCAGTAGGAGGATCGATATAGTTGGTCAGCTTGCCATCAATAGAAGGCATACCAAACTTGACACCGATCATATCGACATCCAAGGTAGGAAGCTTGCCATTGGGATCAGGAAAGTCGGCATCCGAAGATGGCAGTTCACCATTGTCATGAGGAGTATCAGCAGAGCCATTGAATTTACCAGAGATACCATCCTTGAGACCCTCGAAACTGGAAGAAAGCTTACCGAGACCTGGGCGGCTAGCGTCTACATCTGCATCCACATTGACGTTGGGAGTACTCAAATCGCTTTCAATAGAGTAAAGCTTGGCATTAATGTCAGGGAGATCCGCTGAACTGTCAAATATATCACTAACATTAGGCAAGCCAAACTTAGGACCCCTGCTGTCAGTATTCAGGGAAGGAAGTTTGCGATCTAGATCAGGAGCGTTCAAAGAGCCACTTAATTTGCCATCGAGAGAGGGGGTTTCTTGCTTGGGCGTCTCCACATTATCATCCAAAGAAGGAAGCTCTTTGTTGACATTAGGTAAATCAGCATTAGGGGTCTTATTATCAGCACTCAAAGGAGGGAGCTCTTTGTTAATATCAGGTAGCTCATCGCCAATGTCAGGAGAACTCAGAGAAGCATCCATTTTACCACCAAGGGAAGTTTTGTCAAAATTGGGAGTACTTGAGTCAGTATTGAGAGGAGGGAGTTCCTTATTGACATCAGGTAATTCTGGGTTATTCAAATTTGCATTAAGCGAAGGTACTTCACCACCGGCACTAGGAGTCTCGCCACTGAGGTTAGCAGAAATGTCGTTCTTGAGATCGTTGAAACTGGGAGAAAGCTTTCCGAGAGAGCCGGCTAGATCAGGGCGATCAGCATTGAGGCTGGTATCAAAGGCTGGAGACTTTGCACCATTGACAGAGGGAAGCTTACCATCAAAATCAGGTGCATTGACTGAGTCATCAAGCTTGTCATCAATATTAGACAGTTCAGCAGAAGGAGCCTTACTGTCAAAGCTCAGAGAAGGTCGTTTTCCATCGATACCTGGTACCTCGAGTGGGCTATCAAATATATCACTGACATTCGGAAGCTTGGTGGAAGGGCCCATGAAATTTGCGTCAAGACTAGGTGTTTCACCATTGACATTTGGAGACTCGAGAGAATCATCTAGCTCACCAGAAGTATCATTCTTGAGACCCTTCAGTCCAGCAGATAACTTGCCGAGAGAACCTGATAAACCGGAAGCATCAGCTTTTAGATCAGCGTTAAAACCAGGAGATTTCACATCGTCATTGATGTCACGGGCACTGATGTCACGGGCACTGATGTCTCTGTCCAGTTTATTACTGACATTAGGAAGGTCAATATCGGGACTCTCAATTCCAGCATCCAAGGATGGAAGCTTGCCATCAGGAGTAGGAGTGTCTACGGAACTAGTCAACTTGCCATCAATAGAAGGGCTATCAAGTTTTGGAGTTTCCAGGTCAGACATCTTGCGATCAGTGTGAGGTAAATTAGCGTCAGTACTCGTTTTTGCATCAACATTGGGCAGTTCATCATCCGTATCAGGTGTATCAGCAGATCCTTCGAATTTAGCAGAGATATTATCTTTGAGATTTTTGAGACCAGCAGAGAGCATTCCGAGAGCCCCAGTCAAACTAGGACCAACCGTATTTACATTAGCATCGGAGTCATCACCGTCGACGCCAGGCGCACTGTCGGCTCTATCGAGCTTGCCACTGACATTAGCTGAGTCAACATCTGAAGCATTGACATCAGTCTCCATCGAGGGGCCATCAGCATTGAAGCTTGGAGACTTGGAATCGCTATCAGCAGAAGGCATCTCAGCAGGAGCATCAGATGTCTTGAATGGAGTATCGACATTTGGTATGTCAGCAAAAGGAGTCTTCATATCAGAGCTGAAAAAGGGTGATTTACCATCGATGCCAGGTGTTTTCATGGAACCATCTAGTTGAGCATCAGCATTTGTAAGATCCGCTGAAGGGCTCTTCAAGTTAGCGTCAAGAGAAGGTAAGCTACTAGAAACCTTGGAAGAACCAGCAGAGCCATCGAACTTGCCAGAGAATTCATTCTTGAGATCCTTCAGACCAGCAGACAATTTATCAAGGGAACCTGACAATCCATAGTCACCAAGGTCTACATTAGCGTTAAGCCCACGAGAGCCCACATCACTATCAATTTCATGTGTGCTGATTGATTTATTATGTTCGCCGCCAAAGCTGGGGAGCTCAGTGTTGGTAAAGTCAGAATCAGGGCCTTCAAAACCAGCACTCGAGGAAGGAAGATTGCCTTCAGGAATTTCCGCAGAGCCAGTAGACTTGCTACCAAGAGATGGCTTTTCAAAATTGGTAGACTTCATGTCAGTGTCCAATGATGAAAGTATAGTATTGACACCAGGGGATTTAACGGAGCTATCGAGCTTAGCATCGACATCTGGCATATCAGCATTAGGACCACTCAAGTCAGCATGAAGAGAAGGTAATCTAGCATCAACACCACGAGAACTGACAGAGCGATCAAATTCATCAGAAGCATTATTTGAGAGATTCTTGATATCAGCAGACAACTTTTCAAGAGAGGGCGATAGACCAGAGGTACCCACGTTAGTATTAGCATTGAAACCAGGAGAATTTATGTCATTGTCAATCCTGAAAGCATCAGATGATTCCATATTCTTATCATCAAGCGGTAGATCGGCTCTAATAGACTCATTCGTAGAGGGAAAGACAGCAGAAGAACCATTGGCATTGATTTCTGGTAAAGAAGCATCAGCACCGTAAACATTTGGTGACATGTCTCCAACAGTATTGCTATTCAGTTTTGATGAATCACCAGTAGCATTCACGGCAGATTGAGGTACATTCGCATTGAAAGTATTGGCTTTGTCAACAGTAGGAGCACCACCAGCGGTGAAAGAGCCTTTGCTATCTGCAGGTGAGGTAGTAGAATCCTTGGAAGCAGCTTCATCTGAAGTAGCAGGAACAGATCTGGAAGCAGGCTCAGGCGTAATTTCGAAAAGTCTTTTAAAGAAACCAGGCTTATCATCTTTGCTGTCAGAATCGTCTTTTGGAGACTCTTTGAGGGAATCATCCTTGGTTATATCATTGGAATTTAAGGAGCGTGATGTCGGAGAGGTATGTGGAATATTGACAGCATCCAAAACTGGATTACGAGATCCAGTAATGTTTGTAATAGAAGCAGTGCGATCATCGCTAACGGGCATAGTCGATGAGCTACCAGTGTAGTTATTATTCAAGCCCGGATAGGCGGTTGCGCTATCATTGCTACCAGACACTGCAGTAGGAGGAGCCGCCTTATCAGTCAAAGGTGATCTGTAGTTGTCATTGTTTGTAGTTTCAATGTCGACATCATTACCAATATTGAGAGGAAGCGAAGTATCTTGCTCAACTATAACATGAACGTCTTCATGAGGAGATACATTTGTAAAAGTAGAAGCAGGCGCAGCATTGCCTTCCATGGCAGCATCCACATTATCAGCAATCTTGTCGAGAGCGTCGGAAGAAATGACACCGTCCTTATCAGTGGTAGTAGAATTATCGTGAAGATAATTGTGTTTAATATCTGCATCCACCTTGTCAGCAATGTTATCAAGAGCTTCGTTGGAGATTATATCAGAAGGGCTGGCATCCTCCAAATTGTAACCAGAAGTCAAAGAGGATGAGTATGTGTTGCGAGGAGACGTCAAATGATCGCCAGAGGCATCGTCGGGAGAACCAGAGGTAATGCTTCTACCCTTGCTCTTGTCACTAGCATCACGATGCTCAGAAAGACCCAAGGCAGTAGCACCTGCAATACCAGCAGCTCCAGCGCCCATCCTGGAAAGAGTTGATCCGAGAGAAGAAGAAGATTCGATGCCTTCATTAGCATGCTTGAGGACATTCGTGCTTTCATTCTCATTATCACGTTCACTCAATCTTCTAAGCTTTTCTTGTTCAGCACCGAAAGAAGGTTGATCTTCAGGTCTTAAGAGTGTATCTTTCTCGTTCTTGATGTAGGGTTCCGTACCGTTGCCTCCAAGGCCTCCTTGGAAAAACTCACGCTCAAAAGGCTTACTTTCGTTACCAAATTGATTAGATTCAACAGACTTGGGTAATGCAGAGTAAGCGCCAGCAGTATCACTATCCATGTAAACAACAGGTTCATCGTCAGTGCTATTCTGCATGCTCAATCTTGCTTGCTCGGCTCCAAAAGAAGGTTGATCTTCCGGCTTCAATTCCGTGTCTTTGGCATTTTTGATGAAGGGTTCAGAACTATCACCACCCAAACCACCCTGAAAGGTCTCTGGGACGTAACTCTTTGATAATGCTGTACCGGTTGGATTAACAGGATGGAAGTCGTTCTTGTTGTTATCAGATAAAGCAGTGGCAGCGGCAGTGGCAGCGGCGGCTGTAGCAGTAAAAGCAGTGGCAACAGAAGCAGCGAGTGGAGCCAGTGCATCTTCCGTGTTCATACCACGAGGCTTTGATTTGAAATCAACATTGTTGAATGAACTGGGAGTAGTGGCACTTGGTTTGAAGCTGTTTACACCGACATCTTCCATGGCATTGCTTGTCATACCCCTAGCAGAAGGAATAGAAGGAACAGCGCGCTCATGAGGCTCTTCCTCGGAAAAAATCTCTCTCTCTTTGCTGTCATCTTCATCGATTTCAGTATCATTCATAGCAGCATTCCTCAACGAATCCAACACATTTGAACGCAATGCGTCATTTTCATGAGCATTGTTGGGTTTGGCATCATCTCCGTTTAAATTTCTGTTGGAAACAGGCTTTAAACCACCAGACATGAAAGCAGCAGCATCATTCGTTTGAGGCAATGGTGATGGGGAGCCCAAGGCAGGCTCCTTTTCGTTTTGACGAGCATGGGGACTTCCAGGGATGTCATTAAAGGATGGATCTTTCAAAAAGACAGGAGCAGTGGCAGGCGTTGTTTGCATTGACGGTGTCATGTTGTGAGAAGGAGCATGGTCAAAGTCAAAGCTACCCGGCATTTTCTCAGATGTGGAGGGAGAAATGCTTCTGTTCAAGCTACAATTATCACCTATCAAAGCCATGGATGAAATTAGCTTTGAAGTCGTATTATGGATGTGCTTTGCTCTTGTCTTACCTTGAGGCTTATCTTCAAGAGATTGAATAAACTGTTTCATGAAACCTTCCAGTGCCTTGAAGGCTTTGATTAGCGCATCCTTATTATCACTGGATGGGATGTTCGCTCTTTGATCCTTTTCAACAAGCTCCATGGCTTCTTCACAGTGACGTAAAAGAGATCTAAATTTAGACGAGTGGTAGCCAACATCTAATTAGCCAGAACCCAACAAAACTCGTCAGTGTTGTGTATAGTATTCCTATCATAAAAACTTACCGCCGTGCCTTTTCATTTCTGACAGATTCATGACAGATACAAACTGTTCGGGCGTCAAATGACCTTGATTTGAATGAGCGGCAAGTTCAATCAAGTCATCTTGAGGTAATTGCTGTGATTCAAAGTAGTCTTTGACTTGAGCAACTGCATTGAATACGTGTTAGACGGTGAAATGCAAGACGTTTTGCAAGAAACTATTACCACTCAAGTATCCCAAATGATTTTTGTCCAAAGTTCTGAATGTACTGAAATAACCTTGGGTGTTATTCAATGCATTTAATGTGGGTTGACTCATCTTATTTAGTAAATGATCAACGATTCTCGGTTTTATGCAAGTAATGTATGTTTTTATATATGTGTTGAATGCTTGGTTATGGAGAGACGTATAATTTGTAAGAAGAAATGTGAAAAAAGGTGTTTCTTCCGAAATCAAAGTGCATTAAGCTTTATATATCATAATATTGGCTTGCATTGGATACAATTGAGTCAGAAACATGAAACAAAAACGCCTAAACGTCTATATGATTTTGAGGATCCCAACTAAACGGGCAGTGATTCAACCTTTTGTAAGGGAACAAGTGCAGATGCCCCGCGTCTCCGCTATAAAGAACTATGCGCAATGTTCTTTTTTGAGTTTTCTGGCAAATACAATGCTATTTTGCAGGCAGCTAGGGTTTAATTTGTTGGGTGTGTGATGCATCAACTACGGTACTCTGACAGAATCGCAGCGTATGTGATTAGATGTACGGAAAAACGTCAGTCGCAATTGAACCTTAAACCAGAAAGCATGTTGGTAGCCAATTGAAATTATGCATAATGCAAATCAACTCGGAATGATGGAAGCGCTAGAGCTCTGGTGTATATATCTTGCTTGGTATACTTGAGAATACTGATGGGTGAACACTAAAATCCATTTTTTTTTGTATCTATGCACTAGCCGATCTATCTCGCTACGCTCGATGTCGGCATCGCCCTGTGGGCTCTCTTCAAAGACATTTTAAATCAGATATTATGACATTTTGGTATATCAAATAGATTTTAAACAACCAATTATTAGTTAGTAAAAGAAAGGTTCCATCAGAACCAGGAGGAGAGGAGGTATCTCCCTCAGCATCCTTTTTGCTTACACTGATATCAAACGAAGCCTATTATTGGGACAATGCGAAAGAAAATACAAATCTTATGCAGCGTTTGTACATCACAATCGCCATTTTCTGATAATAGAACTGTCATATCATTCACTGCTGCTGATGCTCTTAACAAGATGGCGACATAAAGCTGGTCATGAGCAAATACAGGACTTGTGTAAGATCTATAGCGACTTTTTTGAGATATTGCCATTGCAAAAGATATCTTCATGAGGCAAAGCTCCCCAAAAAATTATTTGCGCTGAGCAATTGTCGTTTCAATTCTATGATCCCTATTTGATCAATATCGCAGCCATCACCGCTATCATCATTGTCATCATCAGAAAGGCATTTGGGTCAGCCAGCAGCAGCGAAGCCTGCCGCCAAATTAATTAAACTCAAATTGTTTTTTCTGTTCAAGATTGGACAGATTTTGGCTTTTTTCGACTTCTTTCACCTATTTACGACATTCGACTATATAATTTGTAATGATTATCCTACGCTTCCTAATAGTTGTCCCTGGTGGTAGGGCGAAGTGGTAGAAACTCCCTTATGCCAACGGAAGGATCCCGGTTCAAATCCTGGTGAACGCAAGTTGTTTGATTTTTTTGACGTAGTACTGATGTCCTCGTTTGGTGTTTTGTACTCTATCCATTATCTATATTTTGACGATTTCCGCAAGACTGTATTGGCTCTAGGTGTCGCACCTTATTAGTAGTAGATTTCTTTCCCAACTTAATTCAAAAATATCCTATTCCCCTTCATTGTAGACATTGGGTCCACCAACAATCGTTTCTATCCCTCAGTATGACATTTAAAGGACTTTAAATAAAGCCTGGAGCTCGTCTCCCCTACAAAAAAAAAAACGCTTCCTAATAGATTCTTAAAGTACTTTTCAAGGCGCTTCCAATGGTACTAATTGTAATAAGTGTTTTGACTGAAATTATTGATTAATCCGAGTGTCAGAAACAAAATGTGCTTCAGAATCAGGCAAAAGTAGAGAGAATAAGCTACTATAATACTTTTTTTCAAATTGCAATCCTCTTTATATTAGCTTCAAGATCGTAGATTACATTGATATCAGAAGCACTCAAAATCAATTGAATTCTCGCTTAACGTCTATTCCAGATTGGACAGATTTTGATCTAAAAACGACTCGGTTGATCTATTTTGCAGAATTGGACTATATTAGATGCGATGATCATCTTATACTTTCTAATGCATTTCTGGAGTGCTTTTCAAGGCGCATCGAATGATGGTGCTTATGGCAGATGTTTATAATAAACGCATCGAGCAATATCAAAAAATATGAAATGAGGTTTCTAGCAAAAATGTCAAAAACTTACATATAAAAGATACACAAACGACGTTTCAAGGGTTGCTTTGGATTGATAGCAACATTTTGATGTAATACATACCATAGTAAAAGTCATCATCTTCAAGGTAAAAAAAAAAAAAAAAAAAAATGCGATTGTTTGATTTTCGATGAAAACCATGAGGGATACCTCATGCTTTTTGGTCCCCAAAAAGTTGAGCAAGGGTGGCAGGAAGTTAGTGCTAGATGAAAGCAATGGTTTGATACTATTCTGACGGCCTAAAACGGCCTTTAACACAAGAAATCACGGCTCAAATGCATCTAAAATACGCTGTGTTTTGCGCACAATCGAGTAATAAAGGGTAATGCGTGTATCAGATCGTTGAAGGCCACTTCCATCCAAAGTAAAATGGAGTCAAGCGAGCCATGTAATCATTGTCTGACATATCAATATGCTCGCCGTCTCCATCCGTCCATGGTAACCGGGATTTTGTTGAAATGAAATATATGACAACGAAATATACAAAGATACAGCCATTTAGCCAGGTCATCCTTGGCTGTAGCATCATTCAGCGTACCAGAACAAGCCCAGCCAACATAGACGCAAAGACTCATGTTTGACATGAGGCAAAACTACAGCGTGCATAGTCCCCAACACCTACATATGCGAGCTTAGGCTTTGATGTACTTATATCTGCATGGCAAGATAAGCTGCCTCCTTCGGATCCAAAGAGCTTATCAAAAGCAGCTAATACATCCAATCCGAATTATTGATTTCCATAGCAGTAAACTTATACCCTTTGCATCTCATATCGACATTTATAATTTCCTGGGCAAATACAAGATTTTATTGATATAAAATAAGCAATGTTTAATGTGTACTCATATCAGGCACACGCATTTAATGTGTATTGTATAGTTTTTCATTTTATTTATTGTAAAAAATAATGGTCTCTCTTGGTTGCTTTTACAAAAAGCTTACAGGTTGAACCACGAGAAGGTGGAGACCAATCTCAACCCAAAAAGTGAAAGTAGGCATGGGGGAAGGGAAACACATGACAACACAGAAGACTTATTACAGAAGACTTATTACAGAAGACTTACTACAGAAGACTTATTACAGAAGACTTACTACAGAAAACTTATTACAGAAGACTTACTACAGAAGACTTATTCCAGAAGACTTACTAGAGAAACCCTCACACCAAAGACACGAAACTCTCAAAAGACAAAGTACCAAAGACTTGAAAACCTCAGAGTGTGCCCTTAAAAATCCCCCATGCGAAAGAATACGACCAAATAAATATAAATATCTATATACTAGGACCAGAGAGAGCCAGAGAGAGCCAGAGAGAGCCAGAGAGAGCCAGAGAGAGCCAGAGAGAGCCAGAGAGAGCCAGAGAGAGCCAGAGAGAACCAAAAGTATCCAAAGAGAACCAAAAGTATCCAAAGAGAACCAGAGAGAACCAAAAGTATCCAAAGTGAACCAGAGAGAACCAAAAGTATCCAAAGAAAGCCGTCAAGTAGAATAGAACCAGTCTTGAAATACCATAAGCCTTGTATTGTGAACCACCCTGATTCAGAGCATGTTACCATCCGTTATGTGCAGACAAGACAAATATACTTACATGATCACCAGTCTTCTAGTAGCGTCTATTGTTTTTGAGAGAAAAAAAAAAAAAAAAAAAAAGATGAAGAAAAAGATAAAGAAAGGACGTGAGATAAAGAGAGAAATCTTCTACCTTTTATACCTTGATTACAGTAGCAACAATTTAAGGAGACACGCAAAAAACACTTCAAACGCAATTCTGAACGCTACTGGCATCCAGAGACAATGCAACTAATACCATTGGAATCGCCTTCAACTGCCCTACAATATGATATGCATTATTACTACTGTATACACACAAGATATGATATAAACTCATATGGTTTATTTCGTTTATTGATTAAACACAGTCAGCTTGTTTACATTTACATCTTGTATTCGGTTGATAACGGAAAGTGAACAATTTGATTCGCTTTGGATTTGAAAAGTTCGAGCAAAATGTAAACAATAACGGGTTCTTTATCAGTATAGTTTTGCAGTGATTGCAGTATATAAATTACATGTATTCACTATTTTATATGTACAAGCAGAGCTGTCAAAGTTCTGGTGCTACTGTCACCAACAGGATATGCTCTTACTTCTTTGAAAAGAATGTAGGCAAGTTGCACGGAAAACAAACAAACAAAAAGTCATCGTTCAATTAGAGTGAGCATATTGGTAGTAGTGCAAGCAAACCCATTTGAAGCTATATTTTACAATGTGTATCCAAGTAAAAGGCAATCTTGATCCGCTGCTTTTGGGCCTGTAGAACACTTGGGTGACATGACGCCGCCTCAAAATACAGTATTTGCATGATTTTTAAAAAAGTGTGTATGTATAAACCAGTTGTCTGTCTTCGTTAGTGCTCAGTAGAAACCTCACATGTATTTCATAATTAGTATTGCCATCTATTTGCTAAAAATTCCTAGTAACAGGAGATGTGATGGCCCTTACACTTTAATAAAATGGACATTTGGCATTAGGTTCCCAAGCGTATATGGTATTATAGCATTGCCTTAGTGGCTGCTATAGTATAGCCTAGTAGTGGTATCTCAATGTACAGTACATCAAACCTCAAGTGCCATTTGCAATTTTGAATAGCAAGAAAGTTTGCGTTTCATATTAGGCCATTTATTTGAATATGTAATAAACAATGATTAATCCGAGTGTCAGAAACAAAATGTGCTTCAGAATCAGGCAAAAGTAGAGAGAATAAGCTACTATAATACTTTTTTCAAATTGCAATCCTCTTTATATTAGCTTCAAGATCGTGGATTACATTGATATCAGAAGCACTCAAAATCAATTGAATTCTCGCTTAACGTCTATTCCAGATTGGACAGATTTTGATCTAAAAACGACTCGGTTGATCTATTTTGCAGAATTGGACTATATTAGATGCGATGATCATCTTATACTTTCTAATGCATTTCTGGAGTGCTTTTCAAGGCGCATCGAATGATGGTGCTTATGGCAGATGTTTATAATAAACGCATCGAGCAATATCAAAAAATATGAAATGAGGTTTCTAGCAAAAATGTCAAAAACTTACATATAAAAGATACACAAACGACGTTTCAAGGGTTGCTTTGGATTGATAGCAACATTTTGATGTAATACATACCATAGTAAAAGTCATCATCTTCAAGGTAAAAAAAAAAAAAAAAAAAAATGCGATTGTTTGATTTTCGATGAAAACCATGAGGGATACCTCATGCTTTTTGGTCCCCAAAAAGTTGAGCAAGGGTGGCAGGAAGTTAGCTCTCGATGAGAGCAACGGTTTGGTGCTATTCTGGCAGTCTAAAACGGCCTGAAACACGAAAAAACACGGTTCAAATTCACTTGGTTTATGCGGTGCTTTGCATAGTTTTGAGTAGTAAGAGGCAATATAAGTATGCTGTCTGTACGCATACTAGTTATTTCCATTGATACAAATGTGAGGCATTGTAAAAGAGCCAGATCCATAATTACAGACCGTTTCTGGAAGGTCTTTAGGTGATACTGGGAAGTTACAACATTGCCCTATGAGGCAGTTTTACTATAGCAAAGCGAAGGTGAAAAGCCATGGCAAGTAAGCATCTAACCCAACATTTGGGAATATTAATCTGATTGAGGAGTTTACCGTAGCGAAGCGAAGAAGGTGCAAAACTATAGTATTCAAGCAGCAAAATCGGGGTTTCATTTTCATTATTAATAAACTTTCCAACAACATAACGCATCAAACTATGCATGAATTAGCTTTACCAGAGTCAACATACCTCCTATTCGAATTATAAATTGCTCAAGCTACAGAACTGCCTTTCCAGTAAATTGTAGCCACCAAAGATGTGATTTATGCCGTGTAAATAAACTCTACAAAGCAATACCTAATCAAATTTGACAGCTTTCAAGCCTTCATATCTTGACATGTAGGCCTTTCTGAGCCACTGGAATGACGCCAAACAATTGCGCTTGAATAATAGTAACATCCTGACATCTTTGCCCAACTTTTTGGCCCAAAAAAAACATGACCAAAAATCGACCAAAAAGCAAGAGGTATCCCTCATGGTTTTCATCAAAAATCAAACGATCGCGTTTTTCACCTTGAAAACGAAGAACTTTACTATGGTATATATTAATTCAAAATGTTTCTATAGTCCCAAAGCAGCCCCTAAAACCACTTTTATCAGGTCTTCATATGCAAAATTTCGACATTTTGGTCAAAAACCTCATTTCATATTTTTTCAAATTGCTCAATAAGTTTATTCAAAACGTCTATTGTACTTGGCATCATTGGAAGCGCCTTGAAAAGCACTACAAAAGTGTATTAGGAGGCGTAAGGTGGTCATCACAATTTGTATAGTCGAATATTACAAAATAGATGAAAGAAGTGGAAAAAAGACACTATCTGTCCAATCTTGAACGGAAAAAATAAACTGAGTTTGAATTGATTTTGGCGACGGCATGGCTGCTTGCTGACCTAAATGCCTTACTGTTGATAACAATGATGATGGCAATATTGATTGCGATACTGATTAAATGTAGATCATAGAATTGAAAGGACAATTGCTTAACTCAAATATTTCTTCTTGGGAGTTTTAACTCGTAAAGATATCTTTTGCAATGGCAATATCTTAAAAACGTCGCTGTAGATCTTACACAAGTCCTATATTTACTTATGACCATCTTTATGTCGACCACCTCAAGAGCAACATCAACGGTTGGATACCTCCCCCTCCTGGCTCTGATGATATAGCCTATTAATTGATTGTTTAAAACCTACTTGATATACCAGATTTTTATTGTCTCTGATTTAAAATGTCTTCAGCGAGAGCCGCAGGGCAACGCCGTCATCGAGCGTAGCGAGATTGATCGGCTAGGAAGAACAGTATCTACAAAAAATCCTGTGATGCAACTTTGTTTTTCTGTATAGTGTCAGGTAAGTTGAACGAGATTCATAACACTGAGCCATCATACAATGCCTTTTTAATTATCCAAGTAAGGAACGTTTGAAACTATCTTAAACTCTGGATGCCTCGGCAGCCTTCTTAGACTTTTTGGAAGCCTTTTTGGCCTTTTTAGGGGCCTTCTCGGCCTTTTCACTTGACTTTTTAGCATCCTTCTTGGACTTCTTGCTAGCTTTCTTGGCGACCTTCTTTCCCTGCTTACCGGTAGGAATGGGCTGTTGAACTGAACTGGTGATCTCAGAGACGTTAGCAGAAGCCGTGCCGCTAAAAGAAGCAGCAGCAGAGGCAGAGGACAACATGACAGATGCAGATGCAGTGGCAGTAGCCGAGGCCATGCCAGTAGTAGGAACAAAGATGGCGGTAGCAGTGCTCAAGGGAATACCGCCGGAAGTAGAGAGATTGATACAAGTGAAGCCACTAGCACTGACATTTGCGCTGTGCGTGGTATTCAAAGCCTCAGCAGGGTCAAAGTTTTTGGTATTGTCTACATTGGCGGTAGCGATGGGTTCAGGGACAACAGCAGATACGGAGGAGATGACGGTGGCAGCCACAGCAAGCGAGATGAAGAGCAAGGAGCGCGCCATGATTTAAATGAATGTATAGAGTTGGGAGGTTTTTGGCATCCTGCCTATTCAATCCCATATTTATAGTAAATATCGGGCGTCTGTTGGTAGCTAGATGCTCGATTTAAACTTTTTTATAGGCTTCCATTTAAATTGATACAATAACATGGACACTGAGCCGATAGACAGCATGTTTCAAGTTTACTTTATCATTTTGGTGAAACGTAATGACTGATGAATGTATACACGGATAGCCATCTGTGTTGAAATGTAGATATTCGAGGAAAGAGTCAAGTAAATGACATGTGTATCCATGGAGAATTAGATGCCAATATTTGCAATGTCGATCATCAGTGTCAAAACGACGCACAATTTAATAAATATTGGGGAAAGCACAAATTTAGAGTCTGAATAAAGGTTCAACAGGCGTCATTTTTATCCAAAGAATACCTGAAACAAGCTGTATTTTCAATAGGATCTTTCGAAAGCCCTAATTTTGTCATGCTTTTATGGATTTGACCTGATGATTTGCTATGAGATACGCTTAAAAATTAACGCGTCTGGTTGATACATCACATTCGAAAGATTTGTGCGTCAGTAAGATGTCAAAACGCAAGTATGCTCATAATAGCAAATGTATCATTGGCTCATTAGTAGCATATGAATCCACGGCGAGCAATAAACAACATTTGGAAAAAAAAGCATTCATTCAAAATTCACATTAAACCAAGAAGCGGTGTACTTGCTCATTAAATACTAATGGTAGCTGAAAAACTGTACAGTGATCAGTAGATCTTGCACATAAAAGCTGCTGGTATCCTGGTGTACGTACTAATTGAGGCAATGTAACCTTTAAAGGAGGCCTGAAGTGACCTGCTAGATGATTTAAACCCAGTGTACACAATACAATAGCCCATTTGGCGGGAGGCTGTGTGTGTGTGTGTGTGTGTGTCTGTGTCTGTGTCTGTGTGTGTCTGTCTTTTGCTTCTTTTTTTTTATTTTTCATCATTCTTCGGTTCATCACAAGACGATACTTTTCAACAGCCATGGGCTCCGAGACTTACTATGCAGTGATGGTTGGAAAACAGCCTGGTGTGTACAAGACTTGGTCCGAATGTCAAGTACAGGTGAAGGGATTTAGAAATGCTCAATACAAAAAGTTTCCCACCATGGAAGAAGCGCAAGCATTTGTCGATTTGGGCGCACCTACAGTCAATTTCAAACCGCCACAACAGGAACCCAAATTCCAGGCAACACGAGTGAGCATCTTTGATCAAAACAAACGTGAATCATTATTTACGGCAGACGATCCTGCACCAACCACCAAAATCCTACCCAAGCGAAGCCGTCAAAGCAGCAGCAACTCGGATAATGAGAGACCTAGTAAATTGCAAAATACAGGGCTGGATCGCAAACCTACTTATGCAAAGAAAGAACCCTATGCAGTAGTGTACACGGATGGCGCTTCATCGAATAACGGCAAACATCACGCTCGTGCTGGCTACGGTGTGTATTGGGGAGACAACGACCCTCGCAATGTGAGTGCACGATTAAAGGGAGAGCGACAAACCAACCAACGAGCAGAAGCAATGGCTGTGTTGCATGTGCTAGAGGACACAAAGGAGAGCGATAAACCATTAGAGATCAGAACGGATTCTCAGTACGTGATTAATGCTGTAACTGTTTGGTATAAAAGCTGGGTTAAGAGGAACTGGATCGCTACAAATGGAAAAGAAGTTCAGAATAGAGATTTGTTTGAGCCCATTGTCAATCTCATGAAAAGTAGAAAGACAGATGTTAAGTTCACATACGTCCCTGGTCATAGTGGTTTTGAGGGCAATGAGAAGGCAGATCAACTCGCTGTAGCAGGCGCGCAATTGGAATATTGATGCTTCAATTGAGATGTCCGTTATTTAAATAAACTTGATTTGATGCCATATGATACAGTAGCATGATAGTGAGACCTTTGTATCCACTGTTGTAACTTACACTGGGCTTCAATGTGACATCGAAACAATTACGCGTCTACCGCTCTGTTACGCATGCAGTTCATCCTGAGCTGTAGACAAGTATACATTTATTGTTTCTTTCTGTGATATTACAAATATTGAACATTTAAACATTAAACGATGGCTACCAAGACAACTTTAGGAAAAGGCGGTTTTAGTTTCGAGAATTACACAAGGTATATTGGAAGACACAGTACATGGCATATGCAGCATCTCACGGTATTCATGTTAGAAATAAGGCACTCGAGTCCAACGGTGCTAAACCTCCCAAGGCTACCAGTACGGGTACCACTATTGTTGGTGTCGTTTTCAAGGTAAAGCACTGTACAGAGGGTATTTGGCAGAGCAGTAAATGCTGAACATGTTGCATTAGGATGGTATTTGTTTAGGCGCTGATACCAGAGCTACTGAAGGCCCTATTGTAGCCGACAAAAACTGTGAAAAGATCCATTACATTGCTCCCAACATGTAAGCTAATACAAGACAGCAGAGATTAGCAAGTATACTGAATCGATAGGATAGTTACTGTTGTGGTGCAGGTACTGCCGCCGATACTGAATTCACCACCAACCTCATCAGCTCTCAAATCGAATTGCATAGTTTATCAACTGGTAGAAAGCCTCGTGTTGTTACAGCCATGACACTATTGAAGCAGATGCTTTACAAGTAAATGATATATACTTATATATATATATATATATTGGAACTACCACAGAGACGACAGGCGACTAAACAACTCTTTTCTAGATATCAAGGTCATATTGGTGCCGCCCTTGTTTTGGGTGGTTTTGATGCTACTGGACCTCAGTTATATACCGTGTACCCTCACGGCAGCACTGACAAATTACCCTACGTTACTATGGGTTCAGGTTCATTGGCAGCAATGAGTGTATTTGAAAGTAAATGGAAGCCCAACATGGACCGCCAAGAAGCTATTGATATTGTTCGAGAGGCTATTGAAGCTGGTGTCTTTAACGATCTTGGATCAGGTTCAAATGTCGATGTTTGTGTCATTACAAAGGATGACACTGATTACCTCCGTAATTATGCTCGTCCTAATGAACGTGGTGTCAAGGAGCAAAGTTACCGCTTCCCCAGAGGTACAACAGCTGTATTGAAGTCTTCAATCGAGAAGTTTGCTACTGTAGTTGAGGGTGATTCAATGGATATCTCGTTATAAATTCGTTAAATAAATGCGTGTAAATCTTTTATTTTCTTGTTCATCTTGCAATGAAATTTATTGTACATCCTTTGGAACGCTCAACCAGAAATCAGGCTCTAGCTTGTCTATGGTTTCTTTTGGAAAGGTTTGGATTGAGAGATCACTAAAGATCTGGTTATTGTCAAATTCCTTGGGAAACAATACAACATCTAGAATATCAACAGCAGGGATGAGGTAGGGACATTCCCTCTTGAGATCCTTTTCCAGTTGACTAATGCAACTCGTTAGCACCACAATCTATTAACAAATTGAGGAGATGACCCACCTTCCGACATACATGTCAAATCGGTTACCAATGATGGTAACGTTTGGCAAATGCTTCTCATTCCAATTCGCGCTTAGTGTGTTGCTGTACAATCCTCTTCCACAGTGAGGCATATAAAACAGTGTTGGCTTGTCAGCAAGCCGCTTTCCATCCTCGTTCTCGGCAATAATTTCTATTTTATGCAGTTTGCACAGCTCCATGTCTAATGCTGTCATGACTGGATCAAAGATATACATGGTGCCAGGGATCTTTTTTCGAGTTTGATTAATGCATACACTACAGAGAGACAAGCAAACTTACCTTTAGTAGTTCTCGGAGTAGCAGTGCCAACACAAACTGATACTGTGCGTTCTTTGACTTCTGCATTGATCCAATGCCATAACACACAATATCGTGTGGCTTTGTAGCTACTAAATGGTCATCAAAGATCACTGTATACTACTGTTAGTGCGTTGTCGATTCACTGTTCCAATGCGACTGTACCTAGCAGATCTTTGTAGAATCGACTGTTGACCAATGCCTCCCTAGGACATACATTAGTACGAGAGAGAGAGAGAGAGAGAGAGACCACTGATGCGTTTGCGTTGATGACATACCTGCGTTGCTTTAGGTTGATTGAAATGTCATCAATATTCCAGTCATCTGGATCTTGAAAGGTATATCTGCTGTTCTTTTTATTCTTCTTTTTACTGCTTATCACTGGCTTGTACTTGAAGCGCTCTACTTTGACAAATCCATCCTCATCAAGTTGGTCTGTCATTTTGGTATTTGAGTAAGAAGGGATTGAAAAATTTATTGACAACAGCCAATTTATCCAATCACACCATGTTCAATGGCATTTCTGATAGAAATCACTTTAAAAAATTGAGAAATCTCTAGGCTCAAATGAAGAATTGAAAGAGGCCAGCACGTATTGTACGTACTTGTGCTTGAGAAAAATGAAAGACGAAGCGTCTCAGAGGAATTGGCCATGCTACTCGTTGGTGTATTGATTACATACAGTCTGTGTGATTTGGATTTCCAAAAAGACATGCCAATAGATCAAAAGCTACAAATTTGAAGTTTCATCCATGTATAGTAGCTGATGCAAGCCCAATGTCGCATCAGTATTGCTCGCTTGCTCATTTGGAATACACTGGGCAAATGCTTCTATACATCTCCATGAGAGCATCTAACTGCACCGGAAAGGTAGTCAAAACAAGGCGGAGAATTTGGTCAGGACTACATTTGATGAGTCTTGTATTTTTTGGTGATCCTATTCTTTTTTTCTTTCTTTCTTTCTTTCTTTCCTACTCCATTATACACCCAAAGACATGCCTACGACAAGGTTTGCTTCCTCTACAGGCAACACAGATTCCACAGCCTTGAATGGGAATATAACTGCTGAATCCATCCAAGAACAGCGTCAGAAATCCTTCAATGGTAGAAAGAAGCGTGAAGTGCCTAGTGACCTCTCCCCTAAACAAAAAATCATGATCCAGTTCATAAATCATATCACAGAGTAACGTATCAAATGTCACTGCCACATGTACTAGAGTACTCATATACTCGTCATGCTACATAGTGTCGATAAAAAGCACCTCTTATGGAGCAAAGCTGCAGACGAATCTATTGGTATTGATACAGTGATAGAGCGCGTGTACAAGCTAAAGTACAAGGATTTCGCTTCATTAAAGGTACTTGTCCTCCTGACATGACATGGAAAATGGCTCTCACCAATAGGCAAAACACTAGGCTGATTTAGATAAGGTCTTTTCTGCGTGCATTCACATTATCAAGAAATCAATCCCTGAACTGGACGCGTTCAAGAAGCTGTACACATACACCAACCATAGCCTCGCATTAGAAGCATCTCGACTTGAGGAAGAATTAGAGGAAAACGAGCATGTTGTTGAATTCATCTCCTTGTTCAGACCAACCAATGATGGATATGCGTTTACAGACATGATTGCTAGAGATCCAGCTGCTACACCCATTACTAATTATCGTAAGTGGATGAAGAGAGATCAGCAAAGTGTAAACATGGTTTAATCAATGGGTGCTTTTTTTTTTCTTTCTCTCTAGCACACAATATCCATGAATTGATTGTTCATAAAGCGCAAGCAGCAGCACTAGATGAAGTGCCTTTATTGAAAGACGTTGTCGCACCACCACCTACCTATTACTCGAAAATCGTTCGACATGAAGACAAGCCCATCGTACCCAGTAAGTGGTCCCTCCGTTGATGAATGATGAGCTCTATAGACTAACCCATGCACCAGTCAATTGGCTTGATTTTGGCGCCTTTTCCAGTTTTGCACCCGCTTCCGATTCAAATAATGCAAATGCGACATACGAAAATACATACATGGGACGTTCCGCAAAACGATTCAAAAAGTGGGAGCAAAAGCAATTGGAGAAGGAAGACGAGACAGAGGAACCAGCAGCAGAGGAGATGGACACAAACGATGAGGAACTAAACGCATTATGGCTCGAAAAGGAGGGATTCGACGTCAAAGCCATAGAAGAAGCCGTCAACAACAACAACAACAACAACACACCTGATAACATTGCACAAGAATTAGAGCGAAATTGCCAATTACTAGAGCAGCTTGTTCAATATCAACACTCTCGCTTCAGCGCAGGAAAAACAAAGTGGGATGCCGTTGAGGAGAAAGAAGTCGAGATTGGTAAGTGTCTGTTGTACGGTATCTATATGGCACCCTCCATCTCATACGTCTATTTCAGCTAAAACATTGGAAAAACACATGATGGCCATGCTATCAAAACTACCACCCAATGCGACAACAGATACAGACATCATAGAAAGCACCATGACTCGTCTACCTTTGCTGGATTCATCTTATAGAGGCACATTACCACCGCACAAAATATTCTCATTCCCTACAACAGAGAGAGCCGAGAATTTACCTCCCTATGCAAACATCACACCCACTTACTCCAAAGATAACTGGAGATTGGTTCGAGTAGCTCCCGTGCCACCTAAGGATATGACAGGCAATCTTCCTGTTTTTCCTCTGGTAAGCATGATGGAGCAACAGCAACTCAACTTTTACCAAAGAGCGCCATTCCCTGGTCAACCACAGCAGCAGCCATTACCACTACAGCAGCAACCACAAACACAGCAAAGAGTGCCAGTAGCTGCTGCTGGATCATCGTTTGCATATCAGCAACAACCACAACGCAGATAGCTTCATCTCATACTATGGTCCCATATATAATAACATTAATGTAATAAATCAAGATTGGCTTCCGTTTCTCTAATAATGATAGCTCCAGTGTGTACAATACAACTATCAAGCTAAAAAGACACTTTGATGATGATGATGACTATATTTACTACGAATGTCTTGATAACTTTGGAAACATGATTTATTATAATAAAAGAACTCTTGTAAATCGAATATCGAGCAATGAATGTCAAAATGAATCAGATGTACTGTATATATTTTGTCTGTATGTACTATAGGGGAAGGGGGAAATATACAATCAAATCCATTTTACGAAAGACTTGGTTTTTTTTTTTTTTTTTTTTTTTTTTGGACGGTATAGAGATATGAATAGTATTTGAGCAGATTCGATGGTATGTTGATCTAGTGATGATGGTAGTTGATGATCAATCAGTTATTTTCACATTTTTTGTTGCTCGAGGTAATCCACCAAAGCTTGATTACGACGGTAGCCAGCTTTCAATGCTTCTTGGCTCTATAAAAGATATTTAGTCGTTGCAAAATCAATCAATCTAAATGTAACTACCTCGATCGTTTTCAGCCATTTATGTTCCTGTATCCATTAGCAGATTAATGCTTGAGCGTATACAAAGACACATTGTACTTACAATAACTTGTTGGATGCTGAATCTCTTTGTCTTGTCCACCATAATCATATTGTTAATGAGATCCTTTGCTGGTAAAAGGCAGAGTGTGAGTAATGCAATGCCATAACAGGTGACAAGCAGATTTTCATACCATCATCACTGATCTCCTCCCACACAGGTAAACTGTAATCCAATTTTCCACTCTTGATCTGCTCTCTTAATCGTTGTCGATCTTCCTCCTTGCCTTCGTCACCTACTGTCGTTTTATTTGTATTTAGCATTTAACATATCTCGTTTACTGTTACACACCTTGTAGGAATGGCGTACTCGTCGCCAATGCAGTGAACAGAAGAACGCCCAAGCTCCAGACATCAATCTCCTTGCCGTATCCTTTTGACTCTAATAACTCGGGAGCAGCTGATTTGAAAAGAGAGAGAGAGAGAGAGAGAGACAGGAGTTAATAAGAAAACCTCATTTCATGCAGCCATATGCTCGTGTCACTTTACCATACATGATGGTGCCACAGCTCGTCTCAAGGGGCTTGTTGCCACGAATAAAGGTGGAAAGCCCAAAATCACATAGCTTGACAGTAAGAGATTTGCGATCGCACATGATGATGTTTTCCAGCTTGATATCACGATGAACAATGCCGCGACTGTGAAGAAACTGCCATTGTGTTAGTTATATTTGAGTAGGGCAGTTGTCTATGATGCTTACGGAAATGGCGTGTGCAATCTGGTCAAAGATGATCTTGACTTCGTATTCCTTCAGACCCATCTCATGAGATGTGACACTGTCAAACAAGTCCCCGTCAACGCCACTGATAATATACATGGGTTAGATCACTGCTGCTTGTATAGACACCTATACTTACTATTCCATAATAATGTATATCTTATTGTCAATGTCAAACAGTCGATTCACCTGGATAATGCAAGGCTATATACCACCTGTCAGCTTTCAAACTCTTCGCGATGGATAAGAAGGTGCAGCTTACATGAATAGGAAATGATAGACAAACGCCTATTTCGCGGAGCAGTGATTCTTTTGCCTTTGGTTTATTGATCAGTGCATTCTTGTAAATCACCTTCATAGCGACTATCTTGTTGGTTTTTTTGCATTGCGCCTTGAAGACTTGCCCGAAAGAACCAGACCCAATCTTTCCTCCGGTCAGGAAGAGATCGTGGATGGAATCACCAAAGGAAGTGTCCCAATCTGGATTTCGGATGAAAGTGAAAGACGGGTTCTCTATTGCTATATGAGCATCTGGGGTTGTTCGGTAGAAAAGAGTGGATGAATGAAACCTACCTGTGGTATCCTTGTATTTTTCCGGATCAAAGAAGCGAATCTCGTCTTCAGCAGACAGCGTTACGGTGGGGATGAGCATGCGTTTCGAGTTGATCCAGATCCCATTCGAGCTACATTACACAAAAAGGCAAAATTAAGATTTCCGCTTGTTTGTTGTTATTGCTACCATTATTTTCTTACCTTCGATTTGAGAGATAGACAGCCACTTGATGAATACCCTTTTCGTTTTGTGATTTCTATTATCAACATGGAATTGTTTGGTTAGAGTTTTTTTTTTTTTTTTTTTTTTTTTTTTTTTATGCAGCAGTATAAAAAATCAAATTGCGCTCTGCAGCAGCAGCAGCTACTACTTACCACACCATAAATGAAGGCGTGATCTTTCTCGGCGTCCTTGTGTGTGATTCTGGTGTCAAAAAGGCGTGTAAGCATCCTTGCCAGCCAAGTTGGGATGCAATACGTACCTTATCGCAGAGTCCGGATCACCTCCAATCGAATACCCGGCTGGTTCACTGGTCTTTCTATCTTCCACATGTCTAATTAAAAGGAACGGTTCCGTCTTGTTTCGAACCAGAAAACCCCAGGCTCTCTTGTTTTCTTGCGTAAACGTGTAGTTACCAGAAATGCCTTTTGTCATGACACAGGTTTTTGCATTTGTCAGTACAGGGTCAGCTACTTTATGCGACTTTGATTGTCTGGCATAAGCAACTCCACCACGAACACCTGCCAAAGGACAGTTTTGAATTGCAGAATTGGTTCTCTTGACACTTTCGCTCTTATTGATGTAGGAGAGAACCCTGCACGGCCCTTTCCAATTACGATTGGAATTGCTAGAATTACTTCGTAGTCTCCTGGCTGGTGGTATCTTCATGCCTGCTATTTGACAGTGGATATAAATTAAGGGGAATAAGAAAGAAAAAGAAAAAGAAAAAGAAAAAGAAAAAAAAAAAAAAAAAAAAAAAAAAAAAAAGGAGAGAAAGGCAAGATATAAAAAAAAAAAAAAAAAGAGCAAACCAGGAAAGAGGACCTGATACCAAAAGCCCTCTGTCAAAATGATTGTTGCACCGAAAAAAAGAGTGTCAAAATCTGAAATATTCTCACAGAGAACCTCTCTTCTTGTTCATCATCTCAAGGTACGTTGATTTAACAAAGTCCCGTGTTCCATCTGGGCTCTCATCGTCTACAATAACTCTCTCGCCAAAGGGACATTTTACCAATGATTGACTGTCCTGAAGCTCGATCCACCATCGAAAATTTTGCAAGCGCCGACCCACTTTTGTTTCTTGGTCCTACCGTAGTAGCAGCAGCATCCATTCTTTTTGTTTCGCTTATTACATACATACAGCACCATGTTGAAGTTACAATCTGCCTCTCTGCTATGGAAAGACCTTCACATCTCTCCGCACGAGCTTAGACTAAACACCCTTCGTTGTGGACAATCATTTCGATGGAAGCAGCTCAACGAAAACTGGTATGCACATGATGTAATTGTTTAGTGTTTAACGGCTGCTTAAACATCACTCTATTCAGGGTGTCTGTGTTGAACGGCAGATTGGTGGTCTTGAAAGAGACTCGTAAGTGTTGATTGACAAGCAGGACCTTGGACACATGCTGATATACAGAATACAGCCACCACCATCTTGTATGGCTATGATCAGGCGTTGAATGCAGGAGCAGTAACAGAAATCAGAGATTACTTTCAATTGGACAGAGTGTCGCTCCAAGATTGCTATCAACGGTGGTCCAAGATGGATCCCAACTTTGCAAAGAAATCGGTCCATTTCCAAGGCATCCGTATGCTGCGACAAGATCCCTGGGAGAATCTGATTTCGTTTATTTGCAGCAGCAACAACAACATCAGTCGCATCTCGCAGATGGTAAGATGAGGGAGAAAGAGAAAGCGAGCCGCATTGTGTCTGTGTACAAACCCGCTTTTGAATATACAAATTTAGGTAAACAAAATGTGCGTTCGATTCGGCAAGAAGGCAGCAATATTGGATGACACCGAGTTTTATGACTTTCCTACTTTGGACGAGATCACAACAGATGATAACAAGGTGGAGTCTATATTGAGAGAGTTGGGGTTTGGGTACAGGGCGAAATACATTGCCAACACATGTTCCAAGATCAAGGCGGATCATCCAGATCGCAAGGAGAAATGGCTCCATACATTGCGAGAGGTGTCTTATGAAGAAGCCAAGTCGTCACTGATGACATTGCAAGGTGTGGGGCCCAAGGTGGCTGACTGTGTGGTAAGGTGATCCATGTACAGGCTGGATATGTTTCATGTAACTTATCAGTGGGTGCATAGTGTCTCATGTCGTTGGATCAAACTGAATCAATACCAGTAGACACGCATGTCTGGCAAATCGCACTCAGGGATTATGGATTCAGCAGCAAGAAAAAAGGCAAAACACTGGACAGCAAGCTCTACCTTCAAGTGGGGGATCACTTTAGAACGCTATTTGGCGAATACAGTGGATGGGCTCATTCTGTACGTATTCAACGTGTTTAATGAACCCAGAAAGATGCTAATGGAACGATTTTAATTTACAGGTTTTATTTACGGCTGACTTGAAAGGCTTTGAAATGGTGGATAACAACAAGAAGCGAAAGATGGTCAAGGAGCAAGAGATTATTGTGGTGTCCAAAAAGACCAAAAGCAAGCGATGATAGTAATTTTAAGGTATTAGATTAGTAGAGGTAGTAGTAGTAGTAGTAGTAGTAGTAGTAGTAGTAGTAGTAATAAATAGTATTAGATGGTGATATGTATGCGTGTGATTTCTGCAATCAGATTAGGCTCGACGATAACCAGACTGAGAGCTATTGCTCAATTGCCTTGAAAGTTTGCTGGTGTAATGCTTCAGCAATTCCTTGACTGGATGGGTGGATAGGTTAGATTGGGTGAATGATGCAATCGCTCAATGAGAGCTGCTTACCATGTTCAGAGCTGCTATTTCTTCTATGGAGTGGTCTTTCGAGAACTTTTTGTTTATTTTCGTAACAGTACACAGCAGGAGGAGCGGTTGAAAAGGAAACAGTGTTGCTATTTGTTCTTTGCTTTACGCAAGGCACCACTTGATAAGGTTCAGTACCTTGATTTTTGCTATGGTACCAAGTATCAAGAGCAGGGATGTTGTCGTAGATGGAGGTCATGTTGTCAAAGATGTATAAGAGAAAGAGAGAGAGAGAGAGAGAGAGAAGAACATGTAAAAAAAAGAAAAGACTGGCCTTCTTTAAATAGCCAATTTCTTGATCCACTGGATGTACCACACACCACAAGGAAAAAGTTTTCTTGACCCCAATTTGGAATATTTCCCAACCAATCATTACCATCGAATGTCGTACCTAGATGCTATAGGACATATTTCTGTTGTCAATCATGGAAAGAAAGAAAGAAAACGAGGTATTATCATGCACAGACATTTGACACATTTCACACTGGAAAAATGGAAAAAGGAAGATCTACATTTCTTGCGCTTGCTTTCTCCCACTGTTCACAATGCGATGAGCAAGCAATGTATAGGAGATTATAAGAACAACAACAACAACAACAACATGGCATGCATAACTTGATCCTGCTCTCCCCCCCCCCCTTTGTTGTTCAATTTGCCTCCTTTAATATCAAACTGAACAGCCCATTTTTCTTTCTTAACGTTTCTTTCTTTCTCTTTCTCTACAGAACTTGTACAAAAAGATGAGTGGTAACTTTAAAGCTTAATACACGCCTGGCATCAGAGCATTGAATGTCTTTTTTTTTTTTTTTTTTTTTTTTTTTTTTTTTTTTTTGTGAATTTAGATCAAGTTTCCACGCCTTCTATGAGTGGAGTAAGTTTTACCTCTTTATCTCTTTCTCTCTCTTTATCTCTTTCTCTCTCTTTATCTCTCTCTTTCCCAGTTGGAAAATGTAGAAATTGTCTCATCTAACCCATCATTTAGATTACAGTAATTCGTAAAAAGTTGCAAGGTTACGTTGGTTTTGCAAATTTACCAAATCAGGTTCATAGAAAATCAGTGAAAACAGGTTTCCAGTTCACTTGCATGGTAGTCGGTAAGTTACACATCATGATGCGATCATCGTGTCCATGTATTCACTCAGCATGCAAGGTGAATCTGGCCTTGGAAAGTCGACCTTGGTCAATACACTCTTTAACACCCAGCTCTATCCTCCCAAGGACATTGCGGAATTAACAGCAGAGGTGCCCCAAACAGTTGAAATCAAATCTACCACGGCCGATATTGAGGAAAATGGCGTGAAGCTCAAGCTGACTGTAGTGGATACACCTGGTTTTGGTGATTTCGTCAACAATGAGGAGAGGTAAGGCTGCTAATATACTGTCCATCGTTTTGCCAAGTGTCTGATCTCACAAGTCTAGCTGGAAGCCCATCTTGGACGACATTGAATCTCGCTGTGATGCCTATCTTGAGCAAGAGAACAGAGTCAACCGTAGAAAGATGACTGATAACCGCATCCATGCCTGCCTCTACTTTATTGCTCCTACAGGTCATGCGTAAGTGTATAGCAATGAGCGGAATTGCTGATGGCACCCTCCCCTAAGCTCCCCTTTTGACTAACCATCCCACATCTTTTTAAGTTTGAAACCTCTAGATATTGAATTCATGCGTCGTCTTCATACCCGTGTTAATTTGATCCCCATTATTGCCAAAGCAGACACCATGACGGAAGAAGAAGTAGTCGCCTTCAAGGAACGTATCTTGGCTGATATCAACTACCACCGGATCCAAATTTACCAAGCGCCTGTCTATGAATACGACGATATGGAAACCATTGCTGAAAACAGTGAAATCATGTCCAAAATCCCATTTGCTGTGGTTGGTTCTGACAAGGAATTTGAGGCTGAGGGACGTCGTGTGCGTGGTAGAATGTATCCATGGGGTATCATTGAGGTTGATAACGAGGATCATTGTGATTTCGTAAAGCTCCGACAAATGTTGATCCGGTAAGGTCCCACCATTTAGGAGAATTCTCTCCTTACTGTATGTCCTGTGCACACTTGACTCACAAAACGGTTCACATGGTAGCACGCATATGGAAGAACTAAAGGAATACACAAACGATGTCTTGTATGAGAATTACCGCACTGAGAAACTGACAGCCATGGGTATCCAACAGGATCCATCTGTATTTAAGGAAGTCAAGTAAGTTGTTTATATTTCAGGGGCACACACACATTCCTGGTAACTCACATTTGCGGCTCATTAGCCCCATTCAAAAGATGGAGGAGAAGAGGCTTGCTCATGAACAGAAATTGGCCAAGATGGAATCTGAAATGAGGGCTGTATTCCAAGCAAAGGTAACTGAGAAGGAGGCAAAATTGAAGCATTCTGAGGCAGAGGTAAAAATTGAAAAATGAGCAACATGGTATACAGTTTATTTCATTCTAAAAAAACACGGCATCTTATTGACTAGTTGTATGCACGCCACAAAGAGATGAAGGATGCCCTTGATAAACAACGCTCTGAACTAGAGGAGAGAAAACGTCGTTTGGAATCAGGTAGACCCATTACACCCGAGAAGGCCAAAAAGAAGGGATTCTCTTTCAACAAGTAGAAAGATCCATAGAGTACACACATCCACATACCACCGTCTTTCTCCTCTCTCACTCTTTCTCTCTGTCTGTCTGTCTGTCTTTTTAAATGATAAATCTTGATGCATCAAGTCCTGAGGTTATGTCAATGTTGATGTGTTGGCATTTTGTGTGATGGTTGATTTGATGGATTTGTCCAGCTTTTTCAGTGAGCGATCCAGCTGCCTCACTTGAGCCATCAGATCATCATAGGCTCTGCATATTTCCTTGTCGATTTCGTCCCATTCCGCAGAAGGATATATTAAAAAGGCATTTTTCAGTGATGTGTATACAATTTCCATAGACGCACGATCCGTTTGCAAGTCATCTAGATGTTGCTGTATTTCTTCCAGTGCTTCGTACTGAGATTGGACACTGGACTTGTGAGATGTGGTGGCGTTGCGTTTCGGGCCCATTATGTAAGAAAAAAAAAGGGGGGGAGGTAAGAAAAGAAGTGTGTTTGCTGTATATAGGGAGAGAAGAAGAAAAAGAAGAGGAAAAAGACAGAAACTAGGCCCTTTATATATTCTTTGGACAATCAAGACAAGACATTCAACAAATTTCCATTGTAACCTCATATATTGTCAGATTTCAAACCACTGTACAAATGAGCGATTCTGTTTCCTTTCCTAAATAATACATTTAGCCGTGTATGATTTTGCAATGGCCATCGAGTTGCTCATGTAACACATGCAAGCATCTTTTATAGTCAAGTTCCGGACTCCATTTTTCTTTTTAATTCTCTAAAACGATTTCCTGTAGAACTGTAATGGAAGGATCAGGCGATGGCAACCACGATGGGAGCGCACTTGCGGTATAGGACCAATCAGACAGTGATTATACACAGTGATCAAGATATATAAGGTAGATGGCGTATGTACGGCGCGTCTTCCTTATTTATCAACATATTTTGGTGATTCAAACAATGGAAGCACCCGCGATCTTCTTTTTCGCTTAGCATTCAAATGTCAATAAATACAAACATGCTACTTGTCGATGAAGAAACACGCACAGATGTGCTCGACTACTTCCCGGCGATCACAAATAAGAGTACACTAAGAGAAGGGCTATAGAGACATATGACTAATAGATATTATCATTAGAAATATATTATCAACTCCTTACTCAACATATCCATTACCAAGACGCTCAAACGTTTCAAGATGACATTTCTTTCTTAAAGGAGTCTAGTTTGAAATGGCGTGTACCTCTTACAGTGCAGAAGCGGCTGGACATGATGGACACTGATTGGAACAAGCTGCCCTCTACGTTACATGAAATGCCCAATATATACTTGCAAGACTTGGCTTTATTTTTAGATGACTCAACAACGTTATCCAGACTGCTGTATAGTGCCAATATCGACTCGTCCACATGGCAGTGGCAAGAGAAATCAAAGTGCTTTCCGTTGATTGAAACAACAAAAGGTCATGTTGTTTTTAGTCATCCACAACATGAGCGCCAAGCAATGGCAGCAGACAAGTCAAGAAAAGCAACTTATTCGCACCGCAGTGTCCGAAAACTAGCTTTATTTGATACCATGTCCACCATCATCACTACCAGCAGCAGCAGCAGCAGCAGCGGTAAGGATGACAATGCCAACGCTCATAACCCTATTCCACCCGATTATGGAAGAGAGATATCCACCAGTACATCTACGCATGCTGCTGCCAATACAGCGACTACGACGCTTACTGCGGAAACAGCTACATTAGGTGATATCCAAAATAATGCAATACGCTATCGACCACCCGGATGCAAGTTTCTCCCACATCGAGAAATCGATGATTTCATAAAACAGAAAAAGCAAGTGAACAGTAATGTCAGACAGGAGTAGGATGCGTAGCTCATTATGAGTTCATTTTATTATCGATATTTGCTAATAAAGACCTTAACCCATTCTCGTTTACACAGTGTTCTAGATGGTGTGAGTGAGTAAAATGTACACCTATTTTTTTTTTTTTTTTTTTTTTTTTTTTACCTTGACAATCCCATAGCACTTTAGACCACAGCTCATTCATCCTAAACACATTTCGATTGCCCAAGATGATCAAATGGCGTTTGGCACGCGTCAAGGCGACATTCACACGAGGTTGATTGTCCATAAACTGACTCTCACTGGACCGCACTGTGGACAGTATAATGACATCCTTTTCTCCTCCCTGAAATGCATCTACTGTGGATATTTGGATGCTCTTCATGGCAGTGGCTGTATCTGAGGCTGTATTCATACCAAGATGTTGAGAGAGTTTATCCGCTTGCTCTTTATCTAATGGCCATAGTATGAGCAAAAAAAAAAAGGTCATTTGATTGCTTTGGTGGCTACTTACACAAGGAAATAACACCGAGGTCTTTGGATGAAATGTCAAATGAAATCATGGTTTGTAATATATGTGAAGCAATGGCAATCTCGGTATCGTTCCAATAGGAGTTGCTTCTCAGTGATTTTTGTTCCTAGCGGATATATGTATGTCAGTGTGTGTGTGTGTGTGTGTGTGTGCAATTCAACGGCTAAGCCCTGAAACTCACCATGCCTCCCACATCCACAAACAGCAAAGTCGGAAGCCCCTCAATCAGCGGCTTTCTATCTTGATCTGTAACTCCATTGATCAATCTCCTCTCGTAAAACAAGCTGTTGCTGATTCCAGAAATGCGAGGGTGACACTATACACATAAAAATGAGTTACAACATGCCTATATAAAGCTTAAACCCGATACGCGGGCGACATGACTTACTCTGTATTGCGTTCGCAACATGACAGACTAATATTGAATTAGCAAGTAGGCACATACACACACACACACACACACACACACATTTGACCTCATCACTCTACTGTACCTCATATCCTAATTCAATCAGACGGTTGAACAAGGTCTTGTCAAGCCCTTTTCCTACTTTTCCATCTTGGGCATGTGTGGCGAGTGTTGGTGGTAACTGCAAAGGATCTCCAATCAGAATCAGTCGATGACAAGAAAATCTTGCTAAAGGCACCAAAGTCAAAGGCTCCATCAATTGAGATGCTTCATCTACCAACACAAGAGGAAACTTCATGCCAGCAAAGACATCAAATGCGGAGGACATAAAGGTGGTGCCAATCACATTGACGGTTTGCAGCTGATTCACACTTTCGGCTTTACGGAACCGTTGGATGGCGGTGGAAATGTTGTCGGTGTCTTCTTCAGAGTTGAGTGGATCGTCCAGCATCTGCTCCAGCTCTTTCAGCTCTGTACAAAAAGGGGAACGTTGAGTATAGGCACTTGTACATGTACCATGGCATGTTACCTTCGTTACTAGACACTCTGGCTTTAGACGTATATGGCAGCAGATGCTTGGCAATCTTCTTCATGCTTCCGATACGAATAAACTGGTCAAATCCAAGCTTCAATAAAGTTTGCAAGATGCGATCCACAGCAACATTCTGTCGTTTTGGTGAGTCTTTCTTTCTCTCCATACACACAAGAAAATAAAGTTCACTTACAGTCATGGAAGTTACCAGTATCTTGAACTGAATCGCATCATCAGGCTCTCTGCGCGCATTTGCGGTATCGATAATGTCTTGTATAAACATGATAACCACAGCTGCGAGGAAACTTTTGCCTGATCCGTATACACCGTGAACCAGTACCACTGGGTTCTCTGGAGTGTCATTCCATCCAGGGCATTTAATCACAGACCTCGCTACTTGACGCAGGACACTGTCATACGCTTCATGAGAACAAGGCACTCCCCACACACACACACACACACACACACACCACCAAACGACAACATACCTCTCCTGGTCTGGATTCAATCGATACAATTCAATGTATTCCACCAGTTTTGCCTCTACATCGATAGTGTCTTGACGCGTCAACTGAATACAGTCCAATGTGGGCAATGGTGCCACCATTTTCTTTTTGCTCTTTTTACTGTCGCCCTGTGCCAATAGATACGGAAGCAAAGGCAGCTGCTCCAACTTGTCGTCCAAGGTATCCAGCATCATACACTCTTGACTTGCTGATATTGTTCGAATCGCATACACCGCATGTTGACTCTCCTGCAAGACTTTGGTGGCCACACGCACATCACGGGAAGACATGCACTCCACCTCCAAGGCCCCATCAGAAAAGGGGCCGAAATACGTGCTTCTGGCAAGAAACGTCTGGCTGGACTCAAAGGTAGAGACTTTAGAAATGGCCCATAAATCGTCCTTGTTGTACTTTGTGTAATGCTCTCGACTGCCACTCTTGATCATCAGCCGAAACCGTTTATCGCTGTACCGTAAGTCTCCCTTCAACTCACACTCCACATAGATGCCAATGCCTTTGGACCGAAGCACACGCTCCAGGTCTGCGCATTGTTTGTTTTTGCCAAATCTTTCATACATGGCGTAAAAGAACATGCCAAAATTGAGCAGTAAAACCTATGCATTGACATGTCGAATCAGTACCTGCATAGGCCATGATTCAACCCCCGTCTTGCGTATGGGCCAAAAATAAAAAATAAAAATAAAAATAAAAATAAACTTACATCCAGATGCTCGTGAATAATCTTTCGAAACGTCTCTTTGTACAAGGTTGGGTTGTTGAACTTGACAGGTACTACTTTGGAGCGCTTGGGATAGTTTTTGGACTTGATAATCGACAGAGCTTTTTTGCTGTTGGGAAACTGTAAAACGAGAGAGGTATAGCTATTCCACTTGTGAATAGTGATGAACAATGGTAAAGTGTGTTTACTTACTTTCCCTCGGTAAATGGGCTCTTGAAAGGCTTTGTGGTGCTGAGCTCTCCATGGCTACTGCTGCTGTCTCCCTGCTGGGGAGGTGTGAAGCTGAACGATGCTGAGGTTGCATTACTGCTCGTTGCCTCAGCATTCATAGTATTAATAGTCTCAATGTTGGATGCTTTTGTAAATGACGATGATGACGGTGTCGGCGTGGCTGTAGGTCTATGGGCGTTGGTAAGTGGGGTATAGGACGATGTGCCAGGCGCAGGTAGGCTCACTTGATGAAGGGGCGTAGATGTCTTTTTAGATAACCCCACTCGAACCCTCTTTTTAGCAGGCGGTGAACTAGAGGATGATGCAGTTGCTGTGGGTTGCTCTACCGGTTGTGGCGCTTCATTTTGTACAGGAGGAACAAAAGGGGGTATATTCAATGTGGAAGCCTGTCGTTCTTGCTGTATTGAAGGTGGTTGAGCCACAGGAGTCGGCAGTAATGGCTGAACTGGCTCAGGCTCAATAAGTGTAGTTAATTCCAGTTCCTGCTGAGTCGACGGCTCCACGTAGATCGCTGCTGGTTGTACTGATGGCTGCATTGATCTAGTAGATGGCTCTGACTCAGACATCTCCATGCTATGATCATCTTCCCCCATCTCTTCTGGATCTGGTTTAATCATTCTCTTTCGAGGGATGGTGGATGGAGGTTTGTACTGGGAGACTCGCATAGGCTGTGGGTTGTATCGAGAGGGAATGACCGTGGCTGATACAGCGGCTGATGCGGATGGTGAAGGTGTACGTTCTTGAGGCGGTGGATCAGGAAGGTGTCTCGCTGGCATAACATGGGGCGCCCTATGCACTGGGATGGTTTGTTGATGTGTATTGTTGGCCACCTCAATTGCTTCGAGTGACTCAATTGTTACGATATGGCTATCAAAGTCGATCTCATCGCCAACACTGGGTACGCCTCCCTTGTGGAACTTTCTATCAAAATGCAATCATTAGTGAGATGTGGGAGCAGTGATTTGATGCTGGATGTAAAGAAAGTACCTGTCAATGTTGTAACCTTTTTCATCTGTGAGTGTCAGCTATCAGATTGCATGTTAGTCAAGGACACATACAATGTTACAGCATGGATGGTCTATTTACCCTCTTGTTGAAGCTGTGGTATTTCATTGTTCCTACAAAACGCACATTGTTAATACCACATTGCAAATGGGCCAGCAGTCGACATCTATACCATCTTGCCATGTCTTGAACTTTTTTGTCTTTTGAGCAGTGAATAACACAACAAAGCTACTAATTGTGTTTTCTGACATGTTGGAATTAAGAAAAAAAAAAAAAAAAGAGAGAAATAGAGTTTCGCAGCAGCAGCAGCAGCAGCAGCAGCAGTAGCAGTAGCAGTAGCGTATTACTACCACATCTTATTGTTGTATTTTCAATGACTGGTTTTTCTGTTTAAAGCAGATTTTTAATTATTTCAAGAACGCGCGAGAATTAGCGCAAAAAAGTTGCTTGCCACTCTTTTCATCCTTCAAAACGCCCTTTCGAGTAGGAAAGAGAGAATGACAGTAAAACGTCTTCCAACACCCAGAACTAGGATGCTGTCGGTCCATCGCATCAAAGGTATGTTTGACACTTGCCTGATGGCTAGCATTGAGCTAATGACATTTGCTTTTTGATCGTGTATAGAGCTGATATCAAAAGGAGACATTCAGCTGGTAAAGTGGCATAGACACTCCCCTTCATTGCAGTTTTATTCACCGTTGATTATTAGGACGCACCCTATCAGAGAGAAATCATCTGGGAAAGCGGCAAGATGAGCGAATTGATCGATTCCATCATCAATAACTACTATATACCTCCATTGCTCTTTGCTGTGCGTCGAATCAGAGGTCAAGAGGTCCGCATTGTCATTGATGGTAAACAGAGACTGACTTCGGCAAGAAGGTAAGTGGATCGTTTTGAGTCGTAAGGTCTTTCTTTAAGTGAAGAGTCCATAGATTTCTCAAGAACCTTCTCCCGTACGTCGACAACTCATCGGGAAGTCCGGTTGAAAAGTACTACATTGAACGCTTGGATCAAGACGCTGACGATGAATATGAGCAGATCTTGAGGCGTAAGCAATTATAAAATGGCATATGGCATGTTGCACTAAGTACTGATTCATTTTTACAGAAAAACACAAGACTCCACAACATTTTATTACAAAAGAAGAGTTTGACATCTTCAACCGCTTCGAATTTGTGTGTGGTAAGTTTGACGGGAGTGTACCACACCCAAGTTCAGGCAGTCATTAACATAGTAATCTATAGTGGAGTACTTGGACATTACTGAAGACGATGAGGTAAGTAGGCAGATGTTATCGCTTTAAAAATAAGTAAAATAACTAACAATGTACCGTACCTTTAGTTTGAAATCTTCTCCCGTGTACAATTGGGTGTCGCCATCACATCAGCAGAAAAGTTGAAAGCTACAAATTCCAAAGTTGCAGAAAAGTGTCGACAATTGGCAGATGAATACCAAGCAATTTCGACGGTATTACAACGCAAAGGACACGCTGCACTATTCCAATTGATCGCTCATCTCATGCTCACCATCAAGAAAGGCACGGAAGTGTTTGCTAGTGGAAGAGCGCTTCAAGAATTTGTACACAGTGACGAAGTGCCGTCTGCTGATCTGCAGGAAAAAGTGGACATTGTACTCGATGTGATTAAGAGTATTGCAACTGACAAGGAACTGAAAGCTGTCATGGTCAATCCCAACATGACTGTGAGTAGCAAGAACTCGGTCAAGGCAATAGAGTTCATTCTGTTTGGTACTTTTATTTCCCTAGTAGAGAGACGCAGAAGCATTAAAAGCTACGCACGAGACTTTGAAGCATTAAGACAACATTTGCTAGAAACAAGAGAAGGCAAAGCTTATTTGGGCAAAGAGGCGTTTTTAGACGCCATGGTCTGGGTCAATGAAAGGCTGGAAAAGGAAAACTTGGTGTCAGCTCATGTCGCGGTGCACACGATTCCAGATGACGATAACGAAGATTTCGATGAGTTGAAGGAAGAAGATACTGCTATTATACCCAATTCACATATTATCGATTACAACCAAACGCCCACTCCGCAGGTGTTAAAACCTCCAACTAAGAGAAGAAGGGGTAATGGATTGGTGGCAGTCGCTAAACGTGGAGGAAAATTGCCCACAGGCATCACAAGGCAAAGAGCTTTATAAGCTGAAAGCAACCCTATAACGAACAAGACACGAGAATCACTCATTGCAACTATTATAACCATCAAAAGTATCGCGATCAACAAAAAAACAAAAAAAAAAAAAAAAAAAAAAAAAAAAAAAGAGCCCAAAAGACACATATAAATATTGTACATACACGCTAAACCACGCCACTAAATTAGTTCTTCTTCCCATTGCTGTAATAATCTTATAACTTAAGAGAGAAAAATAAAGCCCCTATCACTGTGATTTTCGGATTTATTGAGTTTCATTGTCCGTTTTAGTGTGTTGAGATGCATGCAAATGACAGGTATTTGCATCTATCAAATCTCCAAATGCAGACAACGACATGAGCTGCATGATAATCTGTTTGATAGCTCTCGCTTGAGACGCTCTCATCGTCGTCTGAAAGGGAGCTTACAAGCTCACAAATACTTTTATCAGCAACCCAAACGTATTGGTATGAGCAGGCGTAGAGCCGCATAAAACAGCAAAATGGGAATATTTAGGCCAAGCAATAGTGCAATTCCTTCTGGGACGCCTCAGACAGCATTGCTTGCTTTCATAATAATAATGAGGATGGCATTGATATTACCAGTAGCTCGCCGCCAAAATTGTTGGTGGTTGAAACATCTCTTAAATACTTTGCTTCAGATTGGTCCGATTTTGATCAAAAACGACTTAATTCGTCTATCTTACAGATTTCGACTATGTCAGATGCGTTTTGTTCATCTCGTACTTTCTAATACATCTTTAGAGCACTTTACACGGCAAATCCATTGGTATTAAGTATAAGACATATTGTAAACAAATCTACTGAGCAATATTGAAAATATGAAATGAGGTTGTTGACAAAAATGTCGAACTCTTACATAGCCAGGGACCTATGTGAAACAACATTGTAATGAAATAGCCACCCAAACGCAACTTGATTGAAAACCGAAATTCATCAAATAGCACTCATTCAAACTCATGCTATTTGGATCTATTAATAAAAGCGCTCAAATGTACATCAACAACCATTTAAAATTCTAAAGTAAAGATGCATGCTTATATCGCACATCGTGTGAATGAATCATCACTCCTGATCACAGTGTATTCAATCACACCCATGATGGTCGTAATAAGTGATGCTATCTTTATCCAAATAGAATCAAATTAATAACAAGCATATTCAAATATGACAACTATGCCCTGCTGCTATAGTTGCACAATATCCCAGACAAAGGGTTCCATACTTCAATAACAAACATCACACTTTAAACCATCAAAGTTATATTAAACCATGCTATGACGATAGCTCACTCAAGCCCATCAAGGTTACTCAAATCGACCCCTTATGGCCAGTGCTCTTGCATTGATTACCACTTTAAATCAAACATCAACAACATTTGCCAGATATCGCAATAGCAGCACCTATTGCTCTCTATCATCACTAATCCTACAAGCCAGTTGCAAGTGTATAAATACTCTTCTTTTTTTTTTTTTACTCAATTCCAGGATCTTGAGTTCATTTTTATACACAAATAAAATACAGTTGATTTCTATTGTATTTTATTATTGCTTTATTTTTTTTTGTGAAATCTATTCAAACCTGATTTCACTGCAATCATGACTATCATCATACTAATAGTATTACTATGTATGCTTATCTGTTGATGATAGCATGGTTCGATTGTGATGGCATTTATTTATGGTATTTATATGATGGGAATGTAGTCTAGTTCACTTCAGTAACTGTCTTTAAGGGTACTAATGGATGCCCATTTTAGTTCGTCACAAAACCACAGTGAATAAACCCAATAGTTGCTATTGAAAAGAGCTGCTAGATTTCACTTTTTTGAGCTTTTTTCGTATTTCCTCGCAGCAGATGGCTTTATAAAGAAGTAAATTGTTGTTACGCACAAAGAGGCTTTTTGCCAGTGGTCATTTCATCTTTCTGTTATAAAACAAAGGTCTGATGTTCGATTTTGGGCAATTAAAGCTTATTTTTTTTTTTTTGCAAAAAATAAGGAATGAGATGTTATGATGTTCTGTCCTGCGTACAGATAAAGGATTTAGATATACGTATATGCAGAAATATAAATGAAATAAACGTTGTTCTTTATTGTTTTACCATATGATTTGATATCTACACTAATTAAAAGGTTACACGCAAAGTCTGTGTGTACCTGACAATGGAGAGATGCAATATCGAAAGTCAATGATAGATGGGTATGTACGATCCAAGAGATAGCAGCTCTTAATTTTTGCAGTGATTTCAGGTACACTGGCAATTTTTTTATGATTGGAAATACTAAACCAATCTTTAATACTATATATTAAGAATGATCTTACAAAAGTGTGTAAAAGACCTGACATTTGAAAGATGACACCAGAAGTGGTAAACAGCAGGTTCTTCCTTATTATATTTCAAACAATAAACAGAGTATCAAAAGGAACAAAAGAAATTAAGACAATATGGCTGTGATGACGAACTGATTCGCAACATTAGCGTTCGCTTTTTATCAATCGTGAACCTGAAATGGGCGGCAGTGTATCGAAAAGATATACTGCACTGTTCCCCAAATACATGCCTAACAGCAAGGCTTCAAATAAGCATTCAGTAGGCGGGTAGTAAGGCACAGTAAGCGTGACGTTACTTGCCCCGCATGATAAACGCGTAAAGTTTCCTTTTTTTTTTTTTTTTTTTTTTTTTTCTCTCTTCACACTTTGGATTCATTGCGTTGTAGAAATCTCTTTCAGGTTCCCTGGGGCCAATAGATCAATGCCACTATACTTGACGAGGAGCAATCCTCTAATGGTTTAAATGAAGGTAGGATCGTAAGCCTTGCTTTAGGTTTCAGCACAAACTAGCCATTATATGCGTAGTTCTGTTGCCATTTGCTTTGCAAATAATCAGAGCTTGTAAGCCATGTAATAGGTTGTCGGCGGGCAACTGCTAGAGCTTCCTGATTGTGTGTTCTATCTGGGTATCATAGGTGGCCGCCTACTCGATTGAACAACGCTTGAAGCTGCCAATTTGGGCTGTGTGTTGACAGGCTGTTTTGTAGCCTGGTGAGCCTGGTGAACTAGTTTGTTAGATGTTGTTTGTCTTTTGATAGTTGTTTCCCCAACGACACAAAGGCCATATCTCACAACATCCCATGGGGCTTTCAGTTATCACTGGAGCCTACTAAGTTCACGCTGGATGGTCGTATTGGTTTATGAAAGAGTGGGATGTTGGGTTTGCATGGTACCGTGTAAATCCTCATTCTTGGGATCAGTTGTACTTTGACCTTCACGCTGGTTGATCCTGTTACATCATGGTAGACCATCTGCTGTGATAACCAACAAAAGTACGCCTTTTTATATATAAATGTAATGAAAAATAGTTAATAAAGCTTGAATATTGAATATGCATGATCACTTGGCTTGTGTTGTTTTGTACCCTTGTCAGACTATTTGGTTTGATGATTTGCAATGGTTTATGGTAAATTTTTTTGGCATATAGTCTATTATTTGCCCTGATATTCTTTTGAGTTGGTATGGAATAAGCAGCAATAAAAAAGTGTCTATCACGCAGGCCCTCACTCAATCACCCTCAAAATTTACATATACATCGGAGGATTGACATTGATATCTTGTTCTGGCCGCCAGAAACGGCCTCCAACACAAAAACACGGCTCAAATGCATACTGTGTTTCGCAGTACTAGTATGCTGTTTGCCCCTATATAACTTTTGCTTGCTGAAACAAGTGTAAAGTACCACAGAAGAGTCAGATCCATAGCGACGAAGGTTTCGAAAAGCGAAAGAAAAGAGCCACCCAAAGCGTAGACACACTCTTATGAAGCAGCGTATATTTTATCCAGTGATTCGGTGATTGCATTCTTAGATGCAGCCTATATACATATGATGTTGATCTTAGAAACTGACAAGAGTCAGGAACAGATCTAATCTAGGTATTCAAGCTTCTATCGTCGTATACCTAATGAGAAGGTTCTATTAGAGATGCTTACAACTCAAGAATGTTAACGAAAACTTGCATGCCTTAATTCAGAGTAGATGTTCAAATTAATTAAAAAAAAAAGAATCCAAATGGATAAGTATTTAGTGATATTTACGATCACGTCAATGTTTTCTCCCCGCGAATACATCATTATTGTGAGCCCCTGTAAGCAACTTATGAGATCAGCAGAGCCTCTATTAATAGCCATAGCTTATTAGCATGAAAATGCATTACGGGCATATCCCTTAAATATCATGATGCCCAAAATAAACCAAACTGTATATCTAGATTTACCAGAAGCACATAGTGTTGTCAAAAATAGATCATTTTAATATTAAAAAAAAGGGGTTGCATTTCCTTGATTATAGCTTGCATTTATGTATTTTTACATATTTATCACAAATATAGATTGCATATTTATAAATACATTGAGAACCCTGGATCAGCAGAATGAAAATCCCATATTTGACGTTTTGCTCCGTAATTTAGATGGCTGTGAGTTCAAGTGACATCAAATTCGCTATCAATATATGAATTTCACTAGAAAAACATGTGGAGGAAAATGGCATGCTTTTATTGTTTTGATAAAGCAATATCAGTATGGAAAACGTGCATTTCGATAAACTTAAATCCCGTACTGAAGAATTTGGTTTGTGCCTGAATTTTCTCACCAATTTTCATTTTCCATGGCAACAATTACTAAATGCAAATTACCAGCCCAAGAAGAAAGATGTGCACAATTGCTTCTTATTAGGACGCCTTTGGTACGATAGCCTAAAGCGGATTCGGCATGTCACAAACGAGTTGAATACACAAACTGGTGCTTCCATATACAAAGTATGCACAAAAGGCAATTCATCTTGGCCTGTGAGTAAATTTCTCCTAAACAAAATGATAGGCATTAAATCCATAAGAAATTAGTCATCGTGTGTAATTGAAATAATGCGTAGAAAGACTTTTAACGGGAGTGCCTAAAAAAGAAAAATGCGCATTTCATTACACATAAGCTCACATATCATTCAATGCTCATAAAAGTTGCGGATTTTTGTTTGTGGCTATAGAGAAATGTGGGTCTGTGTGTGGGTCTGTGTGTGTGTGTGTGTGTGTGTGTGTGTGTGTGTGTGTGTGTTGCATTTGATGATAGCTTAAAAGTTAAAGAGCGAGCGTCGTATTTCGACATAAAAGCCCAAGATCAAAAGCCTGTCAACTGAAATGATGCAATGGGAAAGTCTGTAGGCAAATAGAGATATTGAATGAGATGTGCAGGTTTAAAACAATGATGTCTAATGCAATGCGGATCTAAGTTGCTAACCAGGAGCGAATGACCATATACTGTATTACCGGGATCAATTATTTTAAACCATGTGCCTCGCTCCAATATAGAACGTTTGGGATCTGATTATTAGCCATTGTGTAAACCCAAGAGATTAAAATGCATGATTCTTGGCATCAGATCAAAGAACGGATCAACTCTGATTTGTCCATGTCTAGGATGTTCTTCCTTTGCATATGTATGTACAGGGAGACAGTACGCTTTATTTATAGATTTGTAGTACAACATGTCTTGGAGAGATCGGAAATGACGGTTTGTTGACTAATTTAGACGATTTGCTTCAAATGGATGGCGTTTCAAGCATCAGCTATATAGTGTTACTACACGTGTGTGCATATCGTAGTGGCTGGCCACTAAATTATACACCGTATATGTAACTAACCCATTTTGTACAAATCCAAAAATTTCTTGTGGCCACAATGACATTCCTCCTTGAGCCGTGCAATGGCCCGGTTCTTTTAGACTAGTTGGTAAAGTGATAGATGCTGCAGTCTAAATTCTCGGTATAAATCGCAAATGACGTTGACGTCCAATATGACCCTAGATCTTTTGTCAGGATCAATACAACTCAAAACGCAATGTAACGTGATGAACTATGATTGTACGACTAATGTATACATGCTCGCTCTAATACGCATTTACCAGTGGCGCATAAGTAATGTGATATAGATGTTCAGATCAAGACAAGAGAGATGGTGGCAAGAATAGCCCTGGGATTCTTAGATGCATGTCATGGTTGATATGCAAGCCATTTTGCCGAGAATTAAGAATTTCGTACAACACACAGAAGAGCGCAATTAACCAAATGCGGCATCATCCGGCTGCTAATCATTGGTTCCAAAAGTTTGTTTCAAATTAATAAAAAGTGCTACTGTATCATGTTGTACAATGACAAAACAAGCGTCATGATTCATTTCATACGCATGTTGTAATCAATATGCAGAGCTAGATAGGTATATACGCCTTCAATTTTGTCGGGAAAATGTTTAGTTTCATGATATCATTTATAGACATTTATGCATACAGTGGCGCCGAGAATGGCGTATCAACTAACCAGTTACGGGCGTGGCTTTTTAGATTGTTTGTATATACAAGCAATCTCTCTGGATTAGAAAATCGCTTGATAATTTTCATCTAAAGATTCCTGGAGCATTATAGCTTTGTGCATCGATGCCGGTTTTGATGCATCTTTATGTAAATGTGAACTGCACAATGACTAGCACGTTGGTTAGGGGTAATCGGTTTACTTGATAACGGATATGATCCCCTCCCTTACAGTTACACGTTTGGCATAATATGGTCATTTTCCGGAGCTCCGTTGTTCCATGTTGTATAACAGCGAGAATTTCTAATCCGAACAAAGTTATTTTGTACCATGTTACATGAGAGAATAGTAAGACAATAACGATTGATAAAAATAAATATTTATTTACAGGTGATATAGACGGATGAGAGTAGTATATCGAACGAAAAGTTAAGTGATGAAAATAAAATTGTGTGTTTCTAATGCAAATGCTGATATTTGGGTGGCATATAAAAAGGGTAAAAAGATATAAAAAGAGGTTTGGGCATATAATCGAGAAAGATAAAGGGTATAGCTGGTAGTAGGAAACATAATTGCTGGTACTCGTTATGCTGCATATTTGGCGTTTGGATCATAGAGTTGATAATTACAAATGAGTGAAAAATTTGATGTGCGAGCATCGTGAGAGTGTCAGACTACTGCATAATGAATGAGGGATATGCTAGTAACTCTTCACAGCCAAGGTAATCCATGCAATTGTTGTTGGCAGGCATGAACTGGAAGGTATTGTCAAACAAGATGGCTTGATCTTCAATGATCTGCGATAAAGCCCAATCATCACAATAAAACCCCGAGGTTTCCAATGGGCATTCAGAGATCGACGAATCTGTTGATGAGCAAGGGGATGAAATTAAGTTTAATTCATCGTAAATCAAAGGAGAGGCATACTGTAGTTGATGTTGTGGTTGTGATTGGTGTTGTTCTTGTTTAACAGGTGCTGGTGTAGCGGGAACGGGTGCTGTTGGCTTTTTGGTTGATTCTGCAATCTCCTTCAACTGGGCGAGTCTTTTCTCGAGCTTAGCAATCTTGCGTTCCAAATGAGTCACCTGAAGACCCAAATCATCGTATGCCGTCAAGAGCTCCTTTTCCATTTCACCAAGACGAGTAGCAGATTTTGACTTTTCCAGCTCTGGCTTGCTGCAAATGTAGGCATGATGAAGACTTTCGAAATGAACAGTGATGGTTGCAACATTGTCATAGGTGAAAGCAATTTCCTTTTGTAAGCGTTCAATTTCTTGATGTGGATTTTTTTCAGTTTCAGCTGTCAAGACTGCAGAAGCAGCAGTAGCGGCAGTGGTGGTGCTGTTGCCTGTACGTGTAGTGATGTTCAATGCTGTGCGCTTGTTGACACGGTATGTGGATTTGTTGGCATTGATACGTTGAGTAGCCCACTTCAAAGGCTTATTGTTATTCTTCATTGTTGAGGAAGTCATTTTATGATTGAATGTGATTTGATATGATGTGATGTAGAAAGAAAAAAAAAAAAAAGGAAAACTGGGGAAAAAGGTCCTTATATTTATATTTGTTTTAAAAAGGGTAAAGCTAGGAGCCAAATAATCATGTACAACTGCATGTTCCCAAATTAGATTTGCTGATTATGATTGGGCTCCTTGATTTGATATGTTGAACACAAGAAAAAACACTGCTTATGCCTCACCCCCGTCATCTCAACCAAGTATGGAATGGCCCTAAAATGTTCATGTCTTTTTTTAGTCATTTGTTTAATATTAAACTTTTAATAAAACGCATAATAATTGTGAGGGGGGAAAGAGGGTTGGAATTTCTAAAATAATCTTCTTTTCCAATGTTTGCTAGAAACGCGAACTTCTTTCGAAAGTGTGAACACAAAAATTGTGCCTCTGTGTCATGCCAAGATGGTGTGATGCCAAATATGTAACTCGGTTATTTAGGGCGAATTTTTTTTTTTTTTTTTTTTTTTTAATGTACCGTCTTTACAACACAAAAATGACCGTGCGTTGTCTCTTTTTTCTTCCAGTTGAATCCAATTTTGCTTTACCAAGTTTAATCTATCAATGAACTTGGCATTCAAATTCACCACTTTCTATTAATAACATTCTTTGAATTATTTTTAAACCATTTCTTATTTATAACTTGACGTAGTATTTTTAATCCCCACGTTATGATACCCAGTTTTTTTCAGGAACGCATTTCATCATCATTCATAGCTTAAATGCACATTGTATCCCTTTTTTTAGACTACTTGACGAATTTTCCAAAAGTAAAGTGTCTTTCTGATTGCTTCCACACGTGCTGCATTCTTCCCTTGATCCCTATTTACTTTCCAACAATTTTACTTTTTGTTGATTGCTTTCATTCATAATGGATGGCTGAGTTGAGTTTTTTTTTTTTTTTTTTTTTTTTTCCTGGATCATCAAATATAAAAAGCCAACTTTTTTTCACTCTTTTCTTTCTCTTTTTCTTTGCTGTTTCTCTCACTTTTTCCTCTTTTTCATTTCTACATTTCATCGTCTCATTTTTTTGCGCATTTTCTTTATCGCTGCGTTTTTTTCAAGTCTTTGGAACGTAAAGTGAAAGTTTCAATTTGTTATTCCTGATCTATGATTTCTGCTAGGCAATTGAACAGAACTACTAGCTGATACACAGCTTAAATAGTCGGCAGTCTCTAAATAGTGGGTAATTTATCGCTTAATGCCAAGCTTCTGATGCTATGGGGTTATACTAGCCATCTATTAGAGCTTACGTTTCCCAACTATTACAGAGATGCTTGGCAAAATATATCTGATGTCATGTTGAGGCCTATTAATAGAATTGCGATATGCACGATACTAGCTGCACCAATAGGGACTGAATCGCATTGATTAAATATGGACATTTGTGCTCGGTAATATGTTACATTTTTATTTATTTATTGATCTGTTTTAAGAAGGAAAGGGTGTGATATAATTGGTAGATGTCTAACTGATTTTGTACAACGAATTTATGCTTTTTGATTTACTTTTGACCATCAAACATCTTGTGGAAGACAGGGATCAATTGTTGAGCGACAGTGAAACTGAAGATCAACTTGGGGCCAACCTATTAATAAACAAATGTTAATATTAGTATCAAGAAATGCTCCCTCAATGGAATATTTTTAAACAATGTTAAAAATAAATACGAAAAATTCCATTGACATAACCAAATGCCCCCCTAAAAATGTATAAATAACTTACCACCAAGATCTTGGGAGTCAAACCCTTAAAGAAACCAGCGAAGCCTTCATTCTTGACAAGATCCTTGATAATTTTGAAACCAGATTCTGGGTTTTCAAAGTTACGGTTTTGGATACGGGTCTTGACGACATCCAAAGGTGCAGCAACAGTAATAGAGGCAACAGCACCACCGATAGAAGCACAGAAGTTTTGGAAGAAGGTAGCCTTGTTGTAATCATTCAATGAGAACAAGTATTCCTTGACGAAAGCAGAGCCACCAAAGAGTGCGAATGAACCAGGAGCATTACGAGCAGCGGTCCAACCAGCACCACGGTAAAGACCCATACCTTCATCTTTGACAATGGTCAAGAAACCACGGCCACGGAATGCCTCAGGGTTAGTTTGTCTCTTGATCTTCAAAACGTCCAAAGGAAGCAGAGCAATTTCACCAATACCGACCAAACTACCAGCAGTGGCATGCATCATGGTCTTTCCAGTCTTCTCACCGAATGTGCCAACAAACAAATCTCTATGGTGCTTGTTCAAGTAATCTCTAACAAAAGGTTGACCACCGAACTTGTAAACTCTTTGGGCGACCTTGTAACCGGCAGCGAAACCAAGACCAGGGAAGAGAGAAGCATACTTCTTCATAAATGTGGCATTGGCAGCATCCTATAACATTTCGTAATAGGAATCAATTAATCTGACATGCTAACTTTCTGACATGGCATCCAGGAAGCTTCCGCACACACAAAATCAAAGCATCCCCCCTTGTCAAAAAAAAACCATGATAATTTACCTTGAAAATGACCTGATTAACAGCAGCCTTATTTTCAGCAAATGCACGGCCTGAAATCCAAAGCTAAATGGAAGCAAGATGAATTAGTTTACTTGCCCCCTTAGTCTGCCCCTATATGTATTCTACCTTATTTTGGTTACTCATCAAACGCTTGGCAACAGTATCAACAGGGTGGAAGATGATCAATTCAAGAATGCCGGAACTGGCACTACCAGCGAAACGAGCCTTACCAGACTCGGATTGACCTGAAGCAATGGGAGGGGACATTTGTTAAAGAAGATGGTTGATGCAAAAGAGGAAAGAGAAAAAAAAAGGATAGTTGTGGAGAAAAAAAAATTGTGAATTTTAAACAAAAAATCTTTTGCCCCTGGGGGCTTTTAAAAAAGTATCGGCTCATCCATGATGAAGTTGGAAACGTAGACCATGCTCAAATAAAATGCTTCGTCAAATGTTTGTTTAGAGGTCAATGCTTGCTGCTAGATCAAAGTTTATTCACCTTTTTACAAAAACCATGGCCATAATCTGTGGTGAAAAAAAAAAGGATTTCATCTTGATTGACATGAGATGCTGTATAAATGAAAAATTTTCATGCTTCAATTCAGGGTTACAAACGATGAGTCATGTCAGGCACTCACGCTGAAGTAGAAATATCACATGACCGTACCCACCTTGTTCCTTATCTAATCTTGATGTCCAATACGATGATTTTGATCTAACCATTTTAAATGTTGATAATTTATACACCAAGCACACCAAGATTTGATGAATTCACGATATCAGTGAAATGCCATGGGCATGTTAATGCCAGCTGCTAAATTCATCCATGCCCTGAAAGCAAAACAATGATGAAGATCTACCAAAATGGGTAGTGGTGTTACTGACAAATTAGATTATCGGCTAAATCTCTTCATCTTGAAGGTATATACCATAGCCCCAAACAACAATTTTTTGAGACAGCATTAAACGAGTTTAAGATTGTACGGATATGTGCTTCTCTTTGCATACAAGGTTAAACACTGTTTCCAATGCTTGTACTTGGCCGGATGTATACATATACCGCTATAAGCACGCAAATCGCAGTAACTAGGCTCTTTTGCGTAATTAGCCCCCTTACTGTACAGTCAGGGTATGTCTTTTATGCAACAGGCAGGATACTACACAAAATTCCTTTTGATCAGAGTTCAGGATCAGTTGCGCTTATGATGCTGCATTTTAGTAACAAAGATCCCAATCAAAAAAGCCTCATAATTATATAGCGCATTGTATAAGCTCATAATACCTCACGTATTCTGTGGTCGCAACACAATCAAAATTAAATGTTGTCATGGATAAGCTATTACAGCTTCTTTGAATTGTAAGCTTATCGCATGATATTTTGATGTTTTGTACGTCCTCTGCTTCTTTCCATCTTGATTTGCCGCGGCATCATATATACATGGGCTGTAATATAGCAATACCAGTTGAAAGCCTTTTCTGTATTGATTTGCTCAAATCAATTCATTATACTGCATATGCCACTGAAGTAATATTATTATATAGTATGCTTTCAAAGCCTGTTAATCTAGGACTAATTCGACATTAATGGCCATTATTGAAATTATTATACATGTTGCTGCCGTAGATATTATGTGGTACAGGTTGCCATCAGGCTATATAAATCATTGAGCCAATCAAAGCCCAGTTTAGCTTTTGCGGTGATTGAAATTATTCTTCTCGTGTTCAAATTCGACTTGATTTTACATCCTTCAAACGATTTTGTAAGATTCGACTATATAAGTCGTGGTTGTCATGCTTTACTTTCTAATGCAATTATGGGTAGCTGATCAAGCTGCTTCTAATGGCACTAATTACATTCAAAATTTTGAACAAAAATATTGAGTAATTTACGAAAATATGAAAAGTGGTTTTCTGCCAAAATGTCGAGATTTTACATATAAAGATCTACCAGAAACAAGTTCAGGTGCTGCATTGACGCTTTAGAAACATTTTGATCTAATATATGCTATAGCAGAAATCGTTGTTTCTAGGGTGAAAAATGCAATCGTTTGATTTTCAAAAATTTTCCCTTGCTAATACTCATATAAATTTGACGATTTTCGTCGATCTGGTATGACCCAAAAAAATTTGAGTTAAGGTATCAGGAAGTTGGTAGTGACCAAGAGAAGCAGTTTGGTGCTACTCTGAATGCTCAAAATGACCTATAACACGAGATAGCAATGCTTGAAAATGGCCAAATTTACTTCTAATCCAGTCGATAGATGAGGAATGAGAGTCTGTATCGTCAAACTGCTACATGATACCAAGCTATCCGGATGCGCTGCATCGTATGAAATGGAAATATTGAATCCAAGACGATTTTTGCGATATTTTCAGGGCCTTGTTTTGCGTGAAAATGCGATGAAATGAGCTAAAGCATGCTGTTTCTTGAGGACGCGGAAATGGTCAGCGCAGATTTGCACAAAACAACACTGGCAAGTAGTTTCGGAGCCATCAGCGCTCTCCAGGTACATTTTTTAGTGTAATGAGCGCACAGCTGTGATTTTTCAAATGATTTGGCCTATTGCTGTCATCACCAAATGACAGTATATATATCAGCTTTGCTGCGGATAACCTTATAGTGCTGGTAGATTATATTCTATAGCATTGCCTCCACCCCTCCATTCAAAAACATTGTCAATTTCTCCAATGAGATAAGATGACAGCGTCAGCAAGTCTACACAGTAGTAGAACATTTGTCCGCTAGTCTTTTCCTTTCTTTATATACTAGAAAACTTTGAACACAAAAGCGTCGTCGTAAGCAAACAAAGATTAAACGCCCCTCTCCCAAGAACTTCACGCATCTAATACAAGTGATTTCTTGCCTTCTATTTGGCCGTAGATTGAGTAATTTGTGGTTTCTAGGCAACATTTAGTAGCGTTGACCTTAAAAGAGGTTCATCGTAACGAAGCGAAGGTGCAAAACCACAGTATTTAAGCAGCAAATATTAATAAGCTTACCAGCAAATAGCGCATCAAAGTTTGCATGAATTAGCTTTACCAAAATCAATGCGCCTCCTATTTAAATTAGAAATCGCACAGGCTGTAGAACTGCCCGTCCAGAAGATTTCAGCTATCAAGAATGTGATTCATGCTGTGTAAATAAACTCTATAAAGCACAATATAACCAAATTTGACAGCTTTCAAGCCTTCATATCTCGACATGTAAACTTTTCTGAGCCGCCGGAATGACACCAAACAAATGTACTTGAGTAGTAACATCCTGATACCTTTGCTCAACCAAAAAAAAACATGGTCAAAAATCGGTCAAAAAGCATGAGGGGTATACCTCATGCTTTTCATCGAAAATCAAACGATCGCATTTTTCGCCTTGAAAATGAAGACTTTTACTATGGTGTATATTAATTCAAAATGTTTCTATCGACCCAAAGCAACCTCTGAAACCACTTTTATGGAGTCTTCATACGCAAAATTTCGACATTTTGACCAAAAACCTTATTTCATATTTTTTGGAATTGCTCGATAAGTTCATTCAAAACATCTATTACAATTTGCACCATTGGAAGCGTCTTGAAAAGCACTCCAAGAATGTATTAGGAAGCATCGGATGATCATCACAGTTTATACAATCGAATATCAAAAAACAGATTTTTTTTTTTTTTTAAATTGTGTTTATTGATTGAGCCGCGTACACTAAGAGTAATAGGTCAGAGTGAAGAGGCGGGTGCAATTGAGAAATGAAAAAAATATAAATATAAATGGAAACTAAACTAAACTAACAAAAGGAACTATCTAACTATCTAAATTACAAGAGGGAATGGATTTGATCTTCATCCACTGTCTGTCGGACAGTGGAGTGGATATGTACCAGAATCGCCTCAGGGACAAAGATAGTGCCGTCAAAAACAAAGCGCATATGGGCTAGCCATATTTGAGACAGGGTGATGAGTAGGATTCTGTATGGATGGATGCCTTTGACTTGGGAGTACCAGATATCTGAAAAGTCCAGGGACAGAAGAGCCTCTTTGATGTCAGTGATGGACGTGGTGGGCCATAGGAACTCAAAAATGACGCCTTGCCATACCTTTTCTTTGGATGGACAGTCAAAGAGCAGGTGGCTGGCAGTTTCATTGGGAGACAAGCAGACAGGACAATTGTGGGACTCGAAAAATGCAGGCATCATGTAGTGTAATCTGCTTCTAGAAGGGATACAGCCTGCGATGAATCGGTATATCACATTACGTTGAATGTAGGTAAGAGACAGAGACCAAAAGAATTTCCAATTAGCAGCAGAGACATTTTGCAAGACCAAGGGCTGTTCCACCGACGACAGTACAGACAGACGAAATGTTTTGGCGGAAGCCTGAGCGTTTCTAAGAGATTGGCCATCGTGCAGACAAAATTGATCCACCAGCGGCGCAAAAGAGACTCCAGGATCTACTACAGGGGCTGGATTACACACTGGGAGGAAGTAGGGCTGGAATTTAAGAGTGCCAGATGCGAGGCCTCTGAACACTGTTGAAGGAGCTCTCTTCCACCTGAGGAGGGAAGGGTCACGAGTGTCTCTCCAATGTACAAAGTTAAGCCGGGCATCGTACTGAAATACATCAGAAACCATCATCTCTTTGACTTTAAGAGGAACAACCAGTGAGGAGGATGGAGGAACATAGAAAGCCGCCTGTAATGGAAGAGCCATGGCAGTTGCAGAATTGATCGGTGCCGCATCAAACAACTTAGGAAGATAGTCAACTGTACGATATAACATATCGACAGTTCCCGTGCGTTGCTTTTTCAACCCCTTAGTACGACGAGCAGAGGGAAATAGCAGCGGGATTTGATGGTGGGGGTAACCATTAACATTGCGAATGTGGTAGCTTAAGAGGTACGACACAGGATGGGAATCTATGACATCTTGATCTTGAACCAGTAATGGGTGGAGCCAACGAAAATACAAAGCTGAAGCTTGTATTTGGATGTCTACAACACCGAGACCACCTTTGTCCTTTGGTAGAGTCCACACCTTCCAAGGGATGACGGGGAAGATGTTTCTTCTCAAGAACTGAATAGCCAGAGAACGCAGCTGCTTGAAGTCAGCTTGAGTCAAAGGCGTAACACGCAGGATGTACCATAGCTTGGAGAGCAAAAGAGAGTTCAGCACTGTAGCCTTTCCAACGACCGACAGGGAGCGACCAGAATGAATCTGGATGGCAGTTTTGATCTTTGTTACCAAAGCACCCATAAAGTGAACTCGCTGAATCCTACTTTGGACGAGAGGAAATCCCAGATAGGTCAACGGTTCATCGTCCTCAACAGAATGGAGATGTGTGATACCCATTTGTGATAATGGACCATCCCACATATCCCATGTATCCCGACCAGACACTGAAAAGGCTTCCACCTTGGCATTATTGAACTTGGCGTTGGAGGCAGCACAGTAACGAGCCATATGGAGCTGTAACCGAGTCAAATCATTGGAGTCATGGATAAACACCAAAGCGTCATCAGCATAGCACAGGAGTTTTGTTCGTGCAGTACCCATCAAGTAGCCTTGAAATTGGCGATCATGCAGGATTGCAAGCAGAAAAGGTTCAAATGCCAAGTTGTACAGTACAGGAGAGAGAGGATCCCCCTGCTTCAAGCCTCGAAGTTTCGCCACTTCAGTTGACAGATGGCCATTGATGTTGATACGTATGAGGTTGTCACCCATCAACTTGGAGATACACTTGATAATAGGGCGAGGAAACCCAAATTTCCCCAATACCTTCCTCAAATATTCCAAGTTCACCCGATCGTATGCCTTTTCTTGATCCAGAAGAAGACCGATGTCATAATCCAAAGTGTTAAAGGAAGGATCATTTTCCTGTTGTTCAGCGATGGACCATTTCCGTTGAGCATCTTCCATTAGGAGCTGGCAGATCATTCCATTTTCAGCAATGAATCGACCAGGAATAAACCCAAGCTGATGTCGGCTGATCAAGTTGGAAGAGACTTCCATGATTCGACGGTTGATATTGCGAGTGAAGAGCTTGTAGTCTGAATTAGCCAGAGACAGAGGACGGTAGTTCTTCATTTCAGCTGGATCGCCTTTCTTGTAAAGCAGACACATGACGGATTCGTTCCAAGATGGCGGGAACTTACCCTTCTTTAAAGCTTCATTGTAGACTAATTGGATGAGATCATGGAACGGTGGAAATTTCATTACCAAGTACAGGATTTCATAAGGTAATCCATCAGGTCCAGGACTACTCAAACGACGAGTCTGCTTGCTATCGGTCAAGAGTTCCTCCACATCAATCGGCATCATCAATGATTCCTGCTGCTCGCTGTTGAGCTTCAAATGACCTGGGATGTTGCGAATTATAACACTGAGGGAGGTTGAATCCAGAGCCTCCGGTGTGAACAGTGAGGTGTAAAAGTTGGTAGCAATGTTGGAGATGCTAGGTTGATCTTGACATAGATCGCCAGTTGTAGGGTTCCTGAGTTCCACAATTGAACGACGATTTTCTCGAGACACCACAGAGCGCTTCAGGAAGCCTGGAGATTTCTCACCATGTTCCCGCCAAAATTTTCCTGCCTTCAAGATCTCTATTTCTGCAAGAGAGTGCTGGAGAGATTGAATCTGTTGATTAACCGTGTCCAAGCCTTGAAACACCAAGCCTCTTGTCTTCTTATGCCGCATCATCTTGTTTCTCTTTGATAGCAGTCGGTGTAGCTGTTGTTTCCGCCAGTTCAAATCCTCCATTTGATACTGTTTGATAAACATCTTTACTTCGGCTTTGATCCAATCCCATTGTTGTTGGGGGGTGGAGAAACGCTTGATTTCTGCCAGACGCGCCTCACTATCAATGAGGAATTCTGCCAATGCCTTCCTAAATGTTTTGTTGCAAGCCAAGAACGGATTTGCCTTCCAGTTACCAGGGCCACGGCCATTCGCATCTTGATATCGAAAAGAGAATCCCAAGAGTTCATGGTCGGTCCAGGCAGGAGACAGATACTGCTGGTTGGTGCTAGTGACTAGATGATGGGCGTTTGAACTACAAAAGATGTAATCCAGAATCCCTGAATTGCTTCCACTATGCCATGTGTTGTGTTTGTCTTCCCCAAAAACGTCAATAAAGTAATCATCGAGTAGATCGGTCCATTCTACTGGTGCACTGGTGAGGGTGCCATCGACTCGACGATCCTTGTACTGGTAGTTGAAGTCTCCCATGATAAAGACGGTGTTTGTTGTAGTAGTAATAGTTTCTTTGACAATTTGTGTGCCAATGAGTTCTGAATAGAACGCTGATCGGTCGGTGTGAGCGGACGCACGACCGTAAATATTAAGTATTGTTGCTATTGGTGGTGAATTGGGTGAATTTTCCAGGTCTCGAGTAAGATGAAGGGAAGCCAAGATAAATCGACCCCCATCAATGCCTTCTGAGATGTGTTTGAGTGAGTAATGAGTGTTGAGGGAAATGATGCCGCAATGTTGAGTCCAAAGACTCGACTTGCAAGTAAATTGAGTGTTGAGTATGTCTATAAATGTGTTGTCTGTTGCATGTGTTTCTTGAAGCACTAAGATGTCATATCCTAATGTTCGAAGATATCTAATAAATTGTTGTCTTTTTTTGGTGTTATCTGTTTTTTTTAGGCCACGGCAATTGAGGGTGGCTATTTTCGCTGTATTTTGCTGATTAATCATATTAATGTTGGGGAGGTGAAGGAGGGCCTGTCAAGCCGAGTTGATGTCCAGTCTCTACTTCATTAGATGCAGCTTGTTGTTTGGCAGAACTAACATCATCCGCGCCATTAAATTTACCGATCTTCTTCGCAGGGCGTTCAGGGCGCTCCTCTCGTTCATTAGCAGAATGGGTAGAAGAGTCGTACATGATAATATCATTGGAAGCCCCTTTCCCATCGACTTCTTTAACTTGGAGTTTTGGAAGATCATCCATTTGAACATCTCTATCAACTACCTGCTTTCTAGCACCTGTTTGACTATCAGCGTCACCTTGAGTGCTACCTTGCTGGGTAGCAGTAGTTCGATTATCGGAATCACCTTGGGAACCACCAGATGCAACATCCTGGCCTTTTCCTTGGGCATTACCTTTGTTTCCAACTGGAGCACCACCAGGAGTTACTTTGGAGCCACCCTGAGTACCCTTTTTACCCTCTTTGGCCACCTGAGAGCCCTTTCGGGGTTTGGCAGGAGTGTTTTCCACCGCACGGACCTTGTTTGGGCTGTCATTGCGACTGCAGTTCTTCACCACATGTCCAGTTTCATTGCAATGATGGCAGCGGACCCACTTCTTGTAGTCAGGACAATCAGCCCGACAGTGTTCAGAGCTCTGACAATTACGACAGAAAGCCGGCATTTGATCCCATTGGAGTAAAACTTTTCTTTGATCCGAAGCTGTCAAATCCCAGACAATGACACGACTGAGTTTCTCCAAATGGCGATGACCAGGGCAAGATTTCCCAACGGGATGTAACTCTTGACATTCATAACCAGGGCTGGAAGGAACCGTTAGATTAAGTGTAGCATAACCTTCTCCTTGATAGATCCCATCAGTTCTCGAGATGCCGTGATCCAAGACATCCCCGAACGCAGAAAGTCGGGCAGCCATTTCCTCCTTCAACTGAAGGGCCGGCAAGAAAGGAAGATTCTCCAGGGTCAGTTTCACAATCGTAGCATCAGCATGGTACGAGGCAAACCCTTTCACAAAGGTGCCATCCTCTAGAGTGATACCTTCTTCAATGAGAGTCTTACGACCTTCGCTGTTGGGCAGCCACATGGTTTCCAAGAAGGCATGGTTGAGGTAGTGTCGAGGTTGTTTCCGGTATCCAAGAAATTCTTCATACATGTCTTCAGCATTAGAGGCTTCGTTGAATTGAAGAAGAGCCTTGTTCAAGAGATTGCGATCCTTGATAGGTGTCAGATCGATGAAGACGGAATCCTGTTCCACGCCTTTGAGGAATGGACGGATAACCGCCTGAGGAGGTGGCGAAGTATCCCCATTGATGGCCTGTTGCGAGGCCTCTGCTTCCGTTACAGGTCGTTTGACGATAGTGGGATTGAAAGAGACGATGGATTGTTGTTGTCTGTTGTTCCCTTTGCGGCGTGAGTTAACCACATGAGTCCACAACAGTGGAGCCGCAGTGTCAGCTTGCGAGGAACGTTGATGTACTTGACTAGTGTCTGACATGCGAAAAGGGATGACAAAGTAAAATAGATTGACAAAATAGTTTCTACAAAAAACAGATTAAAGAAGTCGCAAAAGACAAGATTTGGCCAATCTTGAGCAGAAAAAGATTACTGAGTTTCAATAATTTTTGACGACGGCAGCGAATGCCTTTCTGATGGTGACAATGATGATTGCGATGCTGATCAAACGAGGATCAAGCAGTTAAAAGGACAATTGCTTAGCCCAGATCCTTTTTTCTTGGGAGTTTTTCCCCTATAAACGTGTCTTTTGCAATGACAATACCTGGAAAAAGTCGCTGTAGATCTTACCCAAGTCCTGTATTTACGCATGGCCAGCTTCATATCGCCATCTCAAGAGCAACATCAGCGAATGAATACCCCCCTCCTAACTCTGTTACAATCCTATTAATTGATTGTTCAAAATCTACTTGATATGCCTGAATAAAGAGACCGCAAGGCAAACTAGCATAGCATCACATAAAGCCTGCTGCAATTGTCGTTACCTTATTTGTCCTATATGCCATACATTGTATATAACTATTTATGCAAATTTTTATTGAACAACAATGCGATTAAATGAACAGCACAATTCATGATATAATTTCTAAGTTTAAGACCATTACGGCCTTATCCCCTTTCTTGTATAGACTCCCTATAACTTGCTGTTAGGAACATACATCTTGGCTAAACGTTCAGTGACGATGGCCTCAGCATCACGGACAATACGGGAAATCAAAACCTCACAAGTAGGAATGTCCTCAATGATACCAACGACTTGACCAGCAGTCCACACACCAAATTCTAAATGGGATGCAAATTAAAAATCATGCAAAACCTGTAATTCTGCAATACAGCCAACTTACCACTGTCACCAGTCGTGTATACTTGCTTACCACGTGCACCAGAAACAAGTTCACGCACATCCTCAAACTTGATATTGGGGTTCTGTTCACGCTTGTTCACTTCAACTGCAATTGAGTTTTTGAAAATACGAGATGTGTTGCGGAAAGGACGGAAAACGAGAGCAGTTGAACGTTCATCAGCCTTGACAATAGTCTCCTTGATGTTGTTGTGGATAGGAGATTCAACAGTACACATGAAACGGGTACCCATGTTGATACCTTCAGCACCTAAAGCCAAAGCAGCGGCCAAACCAGCACCATCACCGAAACCACCAGAAGCAATGTAAGGAATGCTTAATTTGGTTGCAGATTTGGCTAATAAAATCAATGCAGTGATGTCGTCTTCACCAGGGTGACCAGCACATTCATAACCATCCATAGAGATAATATCAACGCCCAAACGTTGTGCAGATAAAGCGTGGCGAATGGATGTACATTTGTGAAGAACAGTGATATTAGCAGCCTTGAACATCTTGATGTATTTACCAGCTATTATAAGGCTTGATTAAACTACCGGACCGTTGCGTGTTGGATGTAAACGTTACTTACGGTTGTTACCAGCAGTTTCGACTACCTTGATGCCTTCATCAATGATGACTTGGGCGTATTCTTCGTAAGGAGGAGGGACAATAGCAGGTAAAAAGGTTAAGTTGACGCCAAAAGGCTTATCAGTCATTGTGCGACAACGCTTGATTTCAGCGCGAAGAGCCTCAGGTGTAGGTTGAGTCAATGCAGTGATCAAACCAAGACCACCAGCGTTTGAGACAGCAGAAGCTAATTCAGCAACACCAACATATTGCATGCCACCTTGGACGATGGGGTGCTTGATGCCAAGCATTTCAGTGAGTTTAGTTTTGAAGACCATGTTGTTGATACAAGTTGTAGTGTCGAGAGTTGAGGAAAAGGAATAAAGAAAAAAGAAACGATGAAAAGCTCCATTTATTCATATTCGATGCACCTCTGAGTGTGGGGAAAAATCTTACTAAAGAACGGGAAAATAAAATCAATAATAGAGATGACTAAAAACATCAGATTGGCCCTGAATATTCATAACAGCATGTGAAAATCTATCTTCTCCAATATTGAGCCCACTTATGAACTGTCTCCATGATTTGAGGGAATAAAGCATTGACACTCTCAGATATCAAACCACGAAAGTAACTGATGGCTGCCTCCTCTGTTAAATCAAGTCTGAATTTTTCTTGTACCTGTGGCAGATGGTTTAGTGTTTAAAATGTGTAGCTTGTGTGTAACTCTACCTTCATCACTGCCTTGTCTGGCTCAATTTTAATATCTGGTATATTGGCATCTACCATCAGCGAGAACAAATTCAATATGAGATTTGCGTTTCTGCGCAGTGTTGTAAATGCTGTATAACAGTACTGCTGGAAGCTCAGATAGTGTGGTGAGTTGGCGCCTCCCATGGCTTCAATCATCTCTTTACACAATTTCATAGGTGGAGGGAATGGCTTTGGATCACGGCCGAGAATGAAGCCAAAGTCAACATGGAACAGATGGCCATCAGTGGAGAGTAGTAGATTATCCAAATGGCGATCACCTACACCTAATAGATAAGTAATAACGCAGTACCCAGCACAGCTGCGAATATAGGTTTCCATGACCTTTGGATCGATACCATAGACATTGCCGGGCTCCGTGCTAGGATGATGCGCTTTGAAAAAATTGAGGATGTTGTTTTGATGTTCGTTGAGCACAGCAGCCAGTGACATGGATGGGACAAACTGCATCATGCCTGTGTCGGCCGCAGTTGCTAAAACCTTGTAGGGTGTCAATTTCAGGTCAAGGTTCTCTTTCAATAGCAATCTGTTCATTAATGAGATGATTTGAATCACTAGCTGATCCTGTCTCAAATCATCGCCTGCTTTAAATATAATTGGGTATTCTGAACCATCTTCGCACTGAAATGTAATTCTTAACGGTTGGAGGTTGCTGTTAAACATGCTTGATTTGGCTATAAAGACGGTATGAGTATGGCCACTTCTCCATAAATGCTGTACTTACATGCTACGACACCCAATATCTGCTTGTCAGGCTCCAATGGCAATGTAATTGCTTTGAATTTGTGAAGCGTTCCCTTGGGATCTGCAATTTTTGCTCGCATGTGGTCGATCTACCGAGTGTTTTTGATAAGTATACGTATAGCTCTCAAGTGGATATGTGCGTACCTTCTTGAGTCGAGGTTCCTTCATATTGCGGACATCGCGTGCCAGGTTTGTAAGCTTAGACATCAATTTTCCCTGCTCTCGCATATCAATTCTTCTCTTGTAGCCTTCAGGGCTCTAACAATATTTGGTTGATGTGCAGCCCAGTGATGCCAATATAAACGTGCTACTTACTCGAATCAATGCTTCAATGTAGTGAAAAGCAACTTTGGCATAAAGCTTTCCACACACCAAATCCTCGCATTCTACAATGACATACCAGTAAAAGAACGTGCCTAAAATGGGGTCGTTCGTGGCACGATCAATCAAGAATTGGGCTAATGAGGAGCCATTTGGATCAAGAGTCTTGTCGGATGTGCATTCAAATTTCAAAGCTTGTACCAGCTGCAACAGATACAAGAACAAATCCTAGAATCGATCATGGATATTAAATTTCAAGGTACTTTAACCCGACTTGCACTGTATATACCTCATCGTCTGCCTTTCGAAGCTGGTTGACGGCATAGGCACGTACAGCTCTATTTTCAAACTCTTTTCCCAAGAGCTCCAAAGCGTCATCAACGTCAATGTCAACCCAAAGAGGCAGCAAATCAACAGCCTGTCTGACCTCAGTATGATCTGTCCACACCACGCATTTTAAGAACTTGGTTAGAGCCTATAGATTGAAGTTTGTCATTTCAGAATGTGTTGCGACCAAAGTAAAAAGATCATTATACTCTACCTTCTTCTCTCTCGTGAGGTAGAATCTGAATTTCCAAACTAAATCTTTCTCCTCAGGGGTGAGCTTTTGTGTTGGTGGGTAACCCATGATACTCTATTTAAACAAGATAAGCCGGGTTGAGAAGACTATTCCATTATTCTATCGCTCGTCAGTTTAAACCTACATTCAGTTCATCTCGGATCTTGGGATTGGGTTTGAGGTCACGGTCAAGAGGGCCATTACGATGGCTACGCACTAGTCGTCGATGCTTAGCTTCCACAGGGTTTTCTCGCTGAAAATCAGGATCAAGCACGATGGAGTAATGCATCAAGGTTTGCCGGTCTAAATCATTGCTATTGTTATGTTGGTCAGAATAGATCTGCTGACTCATGGCAGCCATCAGTGGATCACTGTCGTTGATATTGTGAGCTGCACTGTTTTGTATTACTGTAAATGGACCTGGCAAGTTGTACTCCATTTCTCCGTATACTACAGGGAAATCAAATTTAGGCAAGTCAACATACAAAGCCAATTCAGTGGATATGTTGGATATGTTCTGTTCACACAGAACCATAGACCAGAGTTAATTAGATGGAGCTCACCATGTGCAATATGATAATACCTTGTGAATGTTCTCGATCTGTCGAAATGCCATCACATCTAGCCATTCTTCAGGACGGATATCTCCACAATCGAATTTCTTCATCAGCTGCGTTTCATGGATATTTTAACGCAATGTAGCATTCATGCAAATCGATACCTACTTTTTCCAATTTGTTCATGTCGTTATCCTCATGGTTTGGCAATTTACTGGGAGTAGATGTATCGTGGTTTCCATCGGCTTCGCAACCTCTCCATATATGCAGCTTTTGCTTTCCTTTTCGAAGTGTGCTATCATGGCATTAATGCAATCATTAGTTTCATTTTATCAACCTTTTTTCTGCGACATACAATTGTTTTCCAAATAATCTAAGCGTAGTGCCTCCAACTGGTTTCACTTTGCGAGGACCAATCGTCTCCCATACTGTAATTGCAAATTGTGCAGAAGAAGGCAGATCGCAGTATTTGATAGGTAATGTAAGCCATTCATTCCAGCTATTGAGTTGATTTAGTTTTTCTGACTGCAAGTTCATCTATGATATCGATATTTACCTCCAGTGATTTCGAAAGGCTTTGTAACTAGTTTTTACAGGCACAGTGAGCGGTTTATTATCACCAAATAGTTGAACTGTTATATATAAATCAGGCAAATTGCTATTACGAATTTCATTAGTCTAGTTGGAAGCGGTAAAGGAGTATCATTTACTCTTGTTGCTGGAATGAATCGCGTTTTCCTTCTAATGTAGCACTATGTAATTTATTACCATAACGTTGCTTAGGTATATCTGACATTGAGTATCTTACATCCTTATGGATACTGGCAATTTAACATCTTTTGTTAGGCAATATGAGAAATCCATGTTGGTCAAGATACAAAACAGAGATGAAAACTCCCTGTGTGGTCAAAGGGTCTTTTTTTTTTTTTTTTTTTTTTTTTTTGCATAACATATAGACCCCGATATCTAACATAGAGGGAAACCCGGCCATTTTTTTTTTTTTTAGTGTCTAAAAAAGCTAATATACCACAGCACCACAAAACTGTGAGTAGCAATGAAACCATCCTATTACTAAATGACCAAGTCCGCTGTGAAACCTTCCAAAACGATTGTAAATCTTCAAGTGCAGACTAAAATTTTGTAACAAAATCGTGCTCCATCACAGATCAATTGGCCTATGCTCTCTAAAAATTACATATCGCATCTGATTTCAAACTGTAATACTAAAGAAGCGTAGTCTAGCTCCTTGAAAATCTAGCAGGTTTAGTCTAAAAGGCACGGAAAGGAGAAAGAAATGCTGAATCAGGGCGGCTCAGGCGGTTGAACCTCCGCTTTCAAAATCTGTTTTGTTAACTTTGTATTACATGATAAGCATTAGATCCTAAATGTTTTAATCATTCAATATTTGTTATATGATAAAGTTTGCCGTACTACTAACAGCATCTAGCTATCGCTAGCTCAATAATGCGCAATTTTTACTTTTTTTTGCTGCTGCATTGTGTTTGAATTCCCGACGTTGATGTTCTTGATCTCGCCTTCCAGATCTTATATGCAAACACAAAATGTCGATGCATTCTTGTAATTGAGCTTCTTTATAGCTAACGTGGGGTTTAACAGTAATTTAGGTTTCATTGATCGTAAATTGAAAAAATTGAAAAAATCGGTTATTTAAAACCAAAATTATAACGTTTGACAAATAAAAGAAAAAAAAAAAAAAAACAATACATAATAAGCATTTCAGGTTCTCTTTTGTTCTGGCTCTCTTTTTCTTCCCTCTTTGCTCTCCCTTCTCTCTCAATTTATAGCTCAATTGCACTACTTTTTATTTGTGGAAATTTTAAGCACAATTGCTTCCCTCTACATTCTACACTTTTCCATCTTGTACATCTACATCAGTCTTCCCCTTTCTCTTCTGTTTCTTTTATAAATTATCTTTTACTTTATACATGCCAGTCGCTGGTTCACCTATGCGCGACGTCAGGACTATCCCAGAAACAGTTCCCTCATCTTCTCACTCAAACGAAGCCTCTCAGGAACATGTTCATCTATCCAAGAAGCCTCGCAACTACAAATATTGGTCCGATGATGAAGTCAGAAAGATATTGAATTGGCTTACCTTGCCAGAAAACGACGGTAAATTGGCTAAAAACAAGGCACAGGCATGTCGTGAAGTAGCGAAAACGTTATTTGATGGTGATGAGTACATGGCGATCTCAGTTAGATCCAAACTGATGTCTCTTGAAAAGGGATTTCGAGAGGCTGAACAACTGAGATTACAGTTGAATGCATGTACAAACGATGAAGCATTGATTAATGGTAATGTATATTAGCTTCACACAGCACAAAGTCGCACTTCTTTAACATATTCTTGCTAGAAAAAATAAAAGAAGTTAGCAAATTCCACAAGCAATGTAAACAACTATTCGGTAACCAGAGAACGGACGGATGCGTCCCTCCTATTTCTACCTCGCCGATTGCGTCTAATAATACATCTATTCCCACACCTTCTTCTTCAACTATTCCTTATTCGCCCAACAGTAGACCTTTGCATCATGGATTTTCATCACTACCACCATTACCACAACCACAACACCAAAATGCCAATAGTAAAAGTTCAGTATTACCTCGTCCTGATTGTGATTCCCCTTCTTCATCTTCATCCCCTTCTACTGCCGCCTACAATGCAAGCTCAAGCTCAACAGTATTACCGCATCTGAACGAGAATCGCTTAAGAACTCTGTCTACCCCTCTACATCTCATGCGAGGAGCATGGTAAATATATAACATTGCTTTTGAATTCAATAATCGGGAAATGTAATTAACTCGGATTTACTCAAGGTCTCTTCCGCGCGTTCCAGCGGTAGATCTACCACCTGTGGAAGATGATCCACTTGACAGCATCAAGAAGAGAAAGTTAAGTCAAGGAAGCAGTGTCAGCAATAGTAATTCAACGACATCTAGCGTCAAAATTGCAAGATATGCTGCTAAAGAAGCGTCCTATAAAGCAAAACAAGCGGAACATGAAGCACTAAAAGCAGACTATGAACGAAGCAAAATGGAATACGCTATTCGACTAGCAGAAATAGAATTAAATCGTGATGCCCTGTCAATAAAAAGGCTGGAACTAGAGCTACAGCTCGCTCAAAGTAGAGACAAACCACCGCATCAACAACCAACACAATAACCCTTGACAAATTTAATACAAAAATATACATTTATCCATCTTGCACCTACATATGCCACCGTCGCCCTTCATCAGTATATGCCCCAGCACTATTTTATTGACACGATAATTGAACCATGCTCAAATTCGATACGATATGACTTTCTTGTTGATATATGATTAAAATTGCTTTCAACCTTTAATGATTCGGCGCAAACTGGTAATGCTAGTTATGGGGATGAAATTTTATTTTTGTTTTTATTTTCTCAAGCCTTGTTTGTTATTTGATTTGTGCACATTACTTAAACCAGCCCATTGGTAACAAATTTATTGAAAGTACAAAATGTGTGAATAAGAGGCTAGCACGTAAACACAGTAAGTTTTACAAAGTTGTCTTGGTGCCGCTCTATCACAATTGATGCTTTGAAGATATAAATATTGCCATTGAGAGATGCACTCACTCACATTGGATTGAAGGATGATCTATTTTGACATATTTTTACGATACTAACATGACCAATACCTGCCTTTCAACGAATAAAAAAAAAAGGTATAAACAAAAAATCTTGAAATGTATAGATTGATTTCTATTTAGTGTAGTTGATGTTTAGGTCAACTTTTCATTACAAAGATACATATAACTTTACTTGATGCACTTCAAATTACTATATTTGTATTCAAGCTTTTGGGCATGCAGCCTAGTTGTGTAACAAAGCGCGAGGGTCCCATTATTGTATTGATATGATTGGGTCCCAGAACTCGGTATTCTTATAGAATATGGCCAAGGGAGGGGTGAGTACCATTTTGCCTCGGCTCACGTTGACATGACTGAAACATGTTATTCAAAGTTAAAGAAAATAAGGTGAGTATATTATGGCCAATCAGAAATAAGCCGTGGCATCTAAGTAATGCTAATGATGGTGAATGCATGACACGTATGTACACCCATATAAGGGCATTAATTGAAAGCGTTTTCCAGTGGAACTAACTGGCGCTGTTACATGGCATTTAATGTATTTTACTCCCCATGCATGTGATTGAGGGCGGTGAATATAAAGGGTATAAGGTAAGTCGTTGCAAAGCCATTTCATCTGTTTCAGGTTGATGGCCTTGTTTCCAAGCACCTCGTTTCATGTGCAATGTAATGAATAAGCATTTACAATTCAAGATATAAAATCATCCTTAACTCATTATCATATTCAATCATCTGCAGATGAACCAACTTGTTTTGCATAGTTGATGTCGACAGAATAAGGGAAACATGTTTGCTTCATGTGCATGGGTTAGAGATTTATGTTGTATTACATTTCGTTTTTCTTAAATCCCATGAAACCATGGTATAATGTTAAGGATATAGCATGGGTTCAGTAGCGTGCTTTGGCCGTTTCTCTTTCTTGGTTTATTTATATAGACTTACATTTGCAATTTAAGGGAACCGAAGAGCGCTGATCCTTGTCTCTTGTTTGCCGATCAAGTAGTGTTTTAAAAAAATCACCTATCAGAAAATCAAGAGCAGATCAGTATTTAACCAGGCTGGTTTCAATGAGAGGAAACGATCAGAGAAAGGTCAGATTGGGGTAATGATATTGCTTTGGCTCTAAAATAAGTTTATAAAATGTAAAAGATTTAACTAGCATTGTCGTCAAGGGCATCAATACCATGGGAAGCATAGTGTTTGAGTCACGTAGACTAAAGTCTCTTGCATCTGTCTTGTGGGCAATCCGGGTACCTTTCGTAATGCGGCAGTGATATAAACAGAAGGAATCCGCTATGCATGTCATAAATCAAAACAATCAATGCTATGTTTACATATAACAAATAAGCTTTCTAAGAGAGAATGCATTACTCCTTAATATTAGGTCGATTGTTTTTGTTCATTTTTTTTTCATCAAATAATATGAAGCTCAATGAGCTATGTACTTAATTGTCGTCTGTTTTCAGCTATACAAAGGCACCTTATTGCGCTCCTTCTAGATCAGGTTCAATGCTATCAAAAGACATTGGCTAATCAAGTATATGCTTATTCTGTATACAATGTATTTAACCCTAATGCTCCCTTCCTTGCAATCATCGTCTAGTAAGCTAAATAAACACACATGTACAAATCAAACCTAAAACGAACGTCGAGATTCTGGCAAATTAGCAATCATTATCAGGTTGTACGGATTATCGGAGGCTTGCGAACACAACATGGGATGGCGAGCAATGTCAATGACAAAGCGGTTCTCGCCTTCAAGGGAATAAAATAGAACATGTACAGAAGATATCAAATTTTTATTAGAAACATTTTTTTCTATCAAAAACTCCCACACGTTTGAGATACAATTAAAAGGAGAGTATCAGCAGCAGTTCCCAAACAAAGACATGCAATGAGCATGCCCCTATATAGGTATATAGAGAATTTTGTTATAGGTATATGGCAATATCCTAGTCGTCTCTTAAGGTTAATATTGAAGCTTACAAGAGAGAAAAAAAAACACTAAATTTGTATCAAATGGACTCATGTGCTTCCACATAGAAACCTATGATATACAGTATTGCAAGAGAGTACACCAACAGCATTTGGGAGTTAGTTGAAGGGCCGATTGTACGGCTATATCTATGGATAACACAATCCATAGTATATCGCTCCTCTTTTCTCTAACTACCATCGTTCGGTGAAAAAACAATCATCATATTCAAGACATGAATCTGTAGTCGAAAACACACAATCATTATTAGCAGGATATATATGAATGTTTTTGTCATCTAAAGTTGATGAATCAAAAACGATTGCTTTCATCTTCAGGTAATCAAAGTAGCTCTTCAAGTCATAAATTCAATGGAGATTACATGCGCTTTTGAAGAAAACTGAGAACTACTTTCAGTAGACGAGCTCGGCAGAGAAGATGAGAATGATTCAGTTTGTAGTTTATAAGTATGTGTTGATGTTATTTTGGTTGACTTTGCACATGCTTATACTTACTGACCACTAAAACGAAACACCTTTATACTCTTACGTTTATTTAGAAGAGCTAAATATTTTGAAATGACTGAAGAGTGAACATTCACAGCCCTATTCTCAGTGTACGAATTGAATATATACACGGCCGGTGAGGACTATCCAGCACAGCTATATTTGATCCAGAACATATCTCATCCAAGAAGTTTTTATACGTTATTGAGACTCTACGAGTAAGTATTTCTCTGGTGTGTTTTGCTAACAATAGAGCGCGCTCAACAGCTAGGTATTAAACTGAGGAGCAGCAATTTTGAATACGTTATGACAAAGACAACACACAACACATCGAGTATGCTTGTCTGAATTTTCTGGGATCTAGAACCAATCTATCCGTAGTAACGACATGATACATTCGAGAGAGTTATTTGTATGCAGTTACAAAGATATTACGCGTTTTCCACAGCAGCTCCTGTACGTCGTTATGTACATTTAAGTACACATTACACCATCATCTTGAACGAAAACAAACACTAGCCATGGTCGATGGGAAAATCTTTGGAAAAAAAAAAGAGGAAAAAAAAACCTGTTCTAATGTAGTTATCCCATCTATTTCTCGTAAGATCATGTTTAACATTTGGGCTTGAACGTGTCGGTTCTAGGGTTTATTCATCAATTTAAGGGAAACGTGAAGTCAGATCTTTCTGCCATCATGGGAGAGAGTCGCGCTACGCTAGCTTGAGCTTGATCAACAAGCTATTATACTATTTAATTTCAAGATGTTGGATGTAATCGATCATTCTAATATTGAAAAGCGAAGCGATTGAGTTCGTCGTAGAATAGCTTTTCTTGCTTTATGGAATTTAGTAAACTTCTATCATTCAAATAATCTTCTCAAGAAACCAACTATATCAAATAATAATTAATGCCTCACGCCAAGCAGTGGTTTGAATGCATGTTGATTATTCAAAACACTTGCTTGAAACAAGAAGCTAGCTCCTAGTCTTAAAAGCTAAAGAAACGGAAGAAGAAGAACGGTCAAATAAACACAATGATAGTGATGATTTTTTTTCGAAATTTACGCGTTCCACATTGACTTTGGTTTCATTTTATAATCACAACAATTTATTCTCATATTGCAACCAAGTTGTATCCTTGCGTAGAAGCCAACAAACGTGCGTCGATACCAAATTTTCAAAATTTGTTAAGAGTGACAATGTCATATTGTGTGTCGTTGTACATATAATCAATGAGAGCTTAATTCCATACGCTTTAGTGTGATGCAGTGATAATGAAGATTTGCCGCAGTATAAGCCCCGTAAGACTCTTTTCTGATTCACCAATCCTAAAAGTTTCTTTGGTTGTGGTGAGGGTGCAATAAAGGAACTGTGCCTGTTCATCGTACCATTCGACATGTATCACAAAATTATCTCAAATCCTGAAGTTAAGATCCCCTGCAATGTTAAATACAAACTATTTATAAAAACATGATTTATCGCTTTTTAAACTGTATTAAGCGAGCTAATGTGGTAGGAATGCTTAAGGATTACATGCTATCAAGTTAATTGTATGAACTAATAATGGTATTTTATTTTCAGGTAGCATCTCACAAGCGCCATCTGATTTATGGGACCAGTTTTTAAGGCTTCTGTGATTTACTTGATTGAAAATAAAAACCAGCTATTTATTGTTATTAGAGTAATTGAAAGAAAATGTTACGACTCGGTTATTACCAAAGACAAAACGACGGATTGTTGGCTATATGTAAAACGCAAGTTATTGGGAAGAGGGAAGAGAAGTGAAATGTCAGTATAGTTGAGCTTATATATGAGCTTAATGGCGCCATTGCGCTACCAGATGTTTACAAAAACGCTGTGCTTCAAATCACATCTCAAATAATTCACCGTGTTCGAGTTCATTCTTTCAATGATATTGAACGAAGTTGTTACACCATCTCCTATTCTTTGGAATGCGCTGTGTAATGAGCAAATTCCATTCGTACAACATACTACCCGCGCAAGTAAGAGAGGGATAGTAAACTTTTTTTTTTTTTTTTTAAAGTTGTGTCATCCAAAGTAACCTCCACTTTGTAATACGGTTTAACGGCAAGGAGGGCATTTATGCGTTTACCCGAAAGGTTTAATTTTTTAATCAACTGGTATAGTTTGTTATGTTGCATAGCAAACTTTGAAAAATAGTTGTGTGTCTAACGCAATCCAAGTAATAAATTGGCTGCTTTTTCATTAAATTCGAACTTCATTCACTGATTTATGAGCAGATACCCGAGAGAATGCATGCTACAAGTGCGGGATACTTGCTGTGAAGCTTGCGATTAATGTAACTAGGCTTTACAGACGCTTAATTGCATTAAACTTACTAGAAGAAGCAGATTAAGTTATTTGGGATAAGCTACAGTACTTTTTTGATTCGCAATCCCCATCTTTTGAGCTTTCAGAAGTATCATTTACCGTCAAGGTGAGCATGGCATTGCTTCTACCACAGCAGCCAAAAATAGTTAAAACTCAGACAACCTCCTGTTCTAGGTTGGCCAAATTTGATCAAATTCGACTCTACGATTATTTATTTGCTAGATTCGACTATCTAAAGTGTGGTAATCACCCTATGCTTCCTAATGCGTTTCTAATGTACTTGTCATTGCGCATCCAGTGGTGTTAACTAAAATAGCTGTTTTGAACACGCTTATTGAGCAATTCATAAAAATACGAAATGATGTTTTTGCCGAAAATATCCAATTTTTATATATAAAAGTATCGCAAATACAGTTTCAGGGATTGCTTGGGATCGATAGAAACATTTTGGTTCAATATATACCATAGTAAAATTCTTCGTTATCAAGGTGAAAAACGCGATCGTTTGATTTTCGATGAAAACCATGAGGGGTACCTCATGGTTTTTGGTCGAATTTTGTCCATGTTTTTTGGTCCCCAAAAAGTTGAGCAAAGGTGTCAGAAAGTTAGCACTAGTTGAGAGCAGTCGTTTGGTGTTATTCTGACAGCCTAAAACGGCTTCTAAAACAAAAAGACACGGTCCAAGTGCACATAAATTTCGCTTTGTTTGGCATATTTTCAGGCAGTAAAAGAAATTGCATGTATGCTGTATGCCCATATATATGCATTGTTGTAACAGTTACAGATGCAGAGCATTGTAAAAGAGTCAAACCCAAAGCTATGGGTTGTTACAGAGCATTTTCCCGCAATGGGTGGACAGTTTGAACGTGATGTGTACTAGTGGTATGTTTAAAACGCGCTTCTTCAGAGGCATCCGTTTGATGTTGATTTTTAATGGTTAAAATGCAAATATATCATTTTACGACTTTATTTTCTCGCGCATCAGGTTATGCTGGAGACAGAAGAAATGCTCATGACACTAACTTGCATGATAGGTATGCAATTGTTAGACCACTTGAAAACAAAAACAATACAAATTGGCATCTATGATATCAGCATTGGGTACATGCTTCGTTTGTTTTATTCAATTTTTGCTTTTTTTTAGATGCTTTTCATCATCATCATCATCATCACGATCCAGCTTTCTTTTACTTGTGGCAACCTTGGGCGGATCTGACATTCTTGTTCTTGTTTGCGATGCTTCGACCTCTTTGAGAGAAAGAGATAATGATGCAGGCTGCTTTTTACGTACAAAATCCTCTGCATCTGAACGTACTGTAAATTTCTTGAAAATCGCATTGGGGTATCGTTTGACTTGTATTTGTACCTCTTTCCAAGTTTTGTATACTCCAGGCGTTTTTCCTGAAGCCACGGCATAGTAATAGGTCTTTTTTGCCATGATGTCTGGGGAATTGAGAAATCAGAACCTTTAAATATATCAGCCAAGAGAAAGTAAAAGAAGGACAAAGCGAAACACTATCCTAGCATCAGATCAGTGGTATGAGAGTTTTATGCGCACGTTTCAGATTGACGCATGAATCATGGTTGTATTTATCATGTCATTCAAAAAATGCTCCAGTGTGTTCATGCGTGCAACGAATTAGCATCTAAATATTGATTTGCTAGAGTGTTTGCATATAAAGGTTAACCAGAAACTATCAAGTGGTTTACGTTATTTGTTACATTATTGGCTTATAAGAAAAGCTGCCACTCGTTCAATGAGGTGCCGCTGTTTTAAATACTGCTTCATTCATTGTTTATTATTACTAAGTTTAGGTTTGAATATGGTTATATGTATATACGCCGAAGTTTACTCTTGTTCATGCTATTCCTCAATGGACTCAACCAACAATTAATTTCAAAGAGTTCTTTCGACCTTGTAAGACATGCCTTCTTCCTCTGCGAAGTAATCGGTTTCTTATTTGCTTCTTGTACAAATCATCATCAGACGACAAATTATCTATATCATCAAAACAAGCTTCTTCATCTCGGCTTAAGGAGTAGTTTTGATCATCTTGGTAGAAATAGGGCTCAATGTCGTTGCTGTCATCAAAAGCAACTATTTTATTCTCGTTAGATTCCTCCTCTTCGTCATTATCACTGCTGAAGTCCAGTTCATCATCAAGGCGATTGAGCACGCTGTTGTAATGCAATTCATCATAGTCATCGCATTCATCTTGATTAAAGACAGAGGCTTCATAATCCCATATCTCGTTTAATGTATTAGTATCTCGTTGGTTCTTGTCCTCGTCCTCTTCTTCATTACAATCCTCGTAAATAAAAGTGCCATCCCATGGTTCATTTGCTGCTTTCTCTTGAGCACTATGAATCACATTTTTCAACGTTTCTGCTACAGTCATTCCTAGGGATGTAATGTCATTTGAAGTTGTAGCTAGCCTAATCCTGTTTGAATAGTTTGGTGCATAAGGCTCTGGAAGGTAGCGAAGCGCCAGCGTAGTCAATTCAGGCGATTGCTTGGGCGAATAGTTTCCAGTAACAGGTCGATCTTCATCTTGATGATAGCCTCTTGAATTCAATTGACGTGCTTGGGGTATAATCTTCATGTACGTATCCACATCGTCAGTGTCGTTGTCGCTTTCGTTGCTCAGCATCATACACGATCTTCCTAACCTTGCGCACTTGCCACATATATCTTTGTTATGTCCTTGAAGTGTTTGTCTGTTCTCATTGCCAAACCTGGTGGGTTCCCGTATTCTAGAACCCACAGGGTAGCATTCAGCGTAAAAATTATTGCATTTTTGATAGTCTTCTAGGCTTCCATTTGCACAACTCCAACGTCTACCACAATTGAGGCAGTCAAATTCTACAACGCGAACACTGAAGGGGGCTTTGCTGTAAACAGTATCTTTGAAATGACTCATGTTTGGTTTTCTTTATTATATCATGTGTGAATGAGGAGAGGAAAGAAAGAAAAATGGAATCAGAAACAGGTATTTTGATACAAATATTCAGTGTTTGATCTATCTTTCATGCTATGAAAGGCAGTAATATACGCCAATCTAGACTACTGATTAGTTTAAGCTTTGTATAATGCAGCTGACACAACTCACCTAAACAGCCATGTATTATACTTATAGCAGAGGCAGTGAGGATTTATTACTCCAATGATCTACAACAGGTATTCTTGCATTATTATATATAGTACAAAGCCCAGTTTAATGCGCCTAACAGTATATTTCTTCAGTTTCTTGGTGGTTCAAGTCTCTTTGTGTGCTGCCAGTTGTGTGACATCCGCCATTGATAATCACAGTGATTCAAACATGATGGCACTTAACTTGATAACGAAAAACAGCTTTCATGCCTGTAACATCTCCTTAAATTCAATCAAAAAACTACATGGTGTATACATTAACAATTCAAACTGGATAATTATATAAATTTATTTAATTGTAAAGTACTAGAAAACAATGTTCTGCTTTTTCTTTTTTAGTTTTCAAAGTAACGGGGCTCGTTGAAAACATGATAACGATGTCCACGAACGCCAGCACCATAGAACATTGAAGGATATCTTAAAGCAGGAGGCACTTGGGATTCAGGGATGCGATCATATGAAGCCTTCCAATAGTCCTTGGGATTTTGCACCAACTGGAATTTACCTGATTGAATTTCTGTATCTGTGATACCGCCATGACTGATACGAGCATAGCCAACGCGACGAAGGCCACGGAAACCAACATATTCACACCAGCGATCCCAATCGGTAGGGTCGATATCATTCATATCACCACCGTCAAATAAGAGATGGTAAATTTCTTGTTGAGGTTTTGTCACAACATAACCCAAGAAGACAAATGGATTAGGGCTTGTGCGCATGATACGAGCTAATTCAGTGGTTTGTTGAATTCTGTCATTGTAGTTTTCATCTTGACCGTTATGACTAACGATGAAATCAACAGGTTGACCATAGACATCGAGCGTTGCATGAATAGCGCAGGCAAGTTCACCTACGGGAGAGGGTAGCAGGTGATGTTCTGATTTAAGAATAGGGAATTTGGAGAGCATCAAACAACCCCAGGTATGCTTCATACTGGCAGGACCAAAGTCAACATAGTAACCCAGCTCTTCAGCGATGGATTGAGCCCAATCACGGTTACCCATGATGATTCTCATAGTGTCAGATTCAAGCAAGCCTATAAGGTAAAGACATATGAGTGCTCATTTTCCATCAACAAGAATATGCAGATCTTACCAACAACATCTAATTCCAAATCGCGGATAGCATCGCGCATACGGTTCTCGCTAGCCCACATGTCGTTATCAAGAGCAAAGTGAATAGTCCAGATAGCAGCAGTGAAGGATTTCTCGGAGGTAGTATAAGGAACAGGTGTCTTTGCATTGGCGACACGACTGGAGGCTACAACAGCAGAAATAGCAATGAAACCAGCAACAAACATACGAGTCATGGCACGAGTATGTTTCAATACGTGGAATTGGGCCAACTTCTTTTGAACATCTAGACAAGCTTGTCTATTGGCATTCAAAACACCTAAACCAGTCAAGCCCATCAAGACGACCAAGATGGCATCGGTACGCTCACGAGCATACACGCCTCCAGGCACAAATTCATAGGCAACTACCCAGACATGAGCCAAACACAAAACATTATAGATCATGAAAGAGCCAAACAAAGTCTTGAAGGGAGACTGAGTAGAGATGCCGCGAATGAGAGCAGGTGTGATGGAGACAAAGTATGTTCCCAGAATAAGGCCGCCGTAATAAGCTGTCCAAGCAGAGTAGCAGTAGAACACAGCACAGGCACCACAACCCACCACATACCAAACAAAGCTAGTGGTCAAGCGACGATAAGGAGCAAGTAAGAGACCAAAGGCCAAGGCAGCAATAGTAGCAACGCCCCAAGGCACAGGTTCAGGACCATAATTAGGATAACCGTCCACAGTCCAGCGCATGATGGTAGAGGAATCGGTAAACATGGAATGAAGAGCAAACAAGAGGGAGCCAAAACCAGAGGCAGCCATGAAAGAACTACCAAACTGTCTAGTAGCATTGGTGCCAGACAAGGAGCTCAAGTCCTTTCCATTCTCGGTAGATTGACGGACAGCACTATCACGAAGCAACACCTCAGCGCAAGCAATAATGCCTAGCACAATGCCAGCATCGTTCCAACCACCATTGTTCTTATTCATAATGGGCCAGATGGGGTTTTCAGTGAACCAAGCCAATTTGACAACACAATGCATGACTAAACCAAGGCCCCAAATGAGAGCAGAGCGTTCCAAGTCACCGGTATGTTTGTTTGATTCAATCCAATGAGCACACCAAGTAGTCAAACTCAAGCCAAGACCAATAGCGGTCATGGATAAACGCCACACGGGGTCCGCTTTGAGGTAAGAAGCGATACCGATCAATGATAGAAAGTGAAAGAATCCACGGTATTTAGCAACCAAGCGTCTCAAGGGTGCAATACCAAGGAATATGGGCATCAGTGTAATAAACAAGAAGGCTTCAAAGCCAGAAATGCCCATATACCATAGAGGAAAATACCTAGATTTTGCATCAGTGATCCACTATTTTTTTTTTTCAAGAATTGGCTTACCAAATCAACAAGGTGAGAGATGTGAGCATTGACCAAAAGACAAAAGCTGTGAAACAGTAAGCATATGTATTTTATCAAATAAATGACGCTGAAAGCGCTTACCCAAATACGTCTCTGCGGCGAACCCTGTGAAGGCTGTCAATGTGCGCAATGTCGAGGGCGAAATACTTCCTTCAGGACTAGTGGGCGGTTTGATTCGGTCAGTACTCGACATGTTAACAAAAATATAATGCGGCAGAAGAAATACTTTACTTTGAGGCGAATGGCACGGAACTGTTTTAAAGTGTATTAGTCTCCCGAATAAGTCACGACAAAACAAGGTGAAAACTTACGATTCTGCAATTGGAGAATTGCCGGTTTTATCAACAATGGACAATTCAAAGTTTTGGAATTCAATAGCGGTTACTGCATCATAAGCGACATCGTATAGAATCAAGGACCATTCAAAGAAGGCGTAGGTCGTATAAGCTGCATGTCGGCATTGAGCATCTCTCATCTCTTCACAATTAGATGTGTGCACACGTACCTCCTGGAATTCGTTGAACCTTGTGTTGAATAAAGAAGTAGATCATGGGTGGTAATGTCGTAAAGAAAGCTGACGTCAAGAACTTTCTCCATCTCACGGCCACTTGGTTGTCGTTGGAGCTAGAGTAGAGCACGCCCAGTTGCCATGGCAACGTGCACAACAAGTAAATGACCATGGCGATATCGTGTGTGAGGTGATCATCTGTGGAAGTAATGTAGACCCAGCCACCACACGAAACTGTACGAATAATGCCCACTGCCAACAATCCCAATCCAAATCCTTTTGATACCGTCTTTGCTGAATGAGTAATGTAAAAGTACCACAAGAAGACGAGCGCAAATCTTGGGCCAGATGTTAAGGCAATTAAAATTTGGAAGATTGCACGAGCAGGGTATCTATCGCCTGTGGTAGCACTCACACTAGGAAACCATTCCTATGCAGCACGCATGTATCAGACACAATCCCCCATTATCCTATTATCTTGTATTCACTTACATCAGGATAACCGAAATATTCATTCTGCACAATCTTGTGATAATGAGTGTAGCATGCAACACCTAGCGCTGTGAAAAAGGCACCTATAGACACAGCATCCCACACATGAGAATTCCAGCAAGGTTATCTGACAAGACAAAACTTACTGTATGCAAATAGTGTATGAGAATAAGCAATGTATTTTGCTCCAATCTTTTGTGCGCAGAACGCGTTAGAGTCAATTGTCCCGGTTTGCGTGTTTGAAGTGTGGGTTTACCTTTTTGATAGTTACAGGCTCTGCACTACCTGGTGTATGAATTGAAGACTTTTCAGCCATAGGAGTAATTGATGTGTGGGGGTTTTGGTTCCTCTTGGCTACGGAAGAAAAAGACGCTGTTTCTTTTTCAGAGAAGATATAGTTTGAAAGAGAAGAAAGAAAGAGAGAGAGCATGTCTTTTTTTTTTTGATGTTCCTTATTCATCCATCACACTCAACTAGCGGCTCCCTAAATTCTAAAGATTGATGTTGAACAATAGAAAATCCATATTTTAGCATATAAATGCAGAAGATCGATGTTTACTGTTATGGTATGTTTAAGTGCCAAAACAGAGCAACTGCAATACAATAGCTGTTGGCTAACGATGCTTCGCTGTATATACTCTGTGTGAATGCGAGACAAAAAAAAAACTTCGATCACTGAAAAAAATGTGGTACGACATGGATGTTCTATTTTCATTGTAGAAATCATCTTTTGCATTCTACAGGAATTCATTTTAGATTGGCGCAAGCAAAGTGGGTTGTGTTCGTGCAAGATATAAGGTTAGAGTTGTGTCTTTCTATAATGATGCCAATGGACAGCAGTGTGTTATTGTGAATAGACAGCAATTCACTTGCAAATGATATGAAATAGCAATCCACGGTTAAACAATATCCTTCACATGCTGGACCTTGATTTTAATTGTATCACCTTGAGCATTTTCGGCTGAAATTTAGCCATATGCAATCCGTCAATGTCTAAATCATTTGTTTCATATCCTCAAGTATCAGCTAATGCCAAATCCGTTAACATTATGTAATGTTAAATTGTATAAATTGCATCAGGAAAGAAGCGGTTTCCCGCTGACAGGTGCCTGCTTACAAAAAGACTGATAGGTATGAATTGGCGTCAAAGACTCGTCGTGTTACACATGCTTTATTAATCTGTAAGCGTACTGCAGTTGGCGTCTTTCATAGCCACAATTGCTTAATTGAAATGAAACATTTGTCATTAGCCTTTAATGTACAAACAATAAGCTATAAGACTGCCCAGAGATATGCATGTCCAATTAACAGGACAACTCAATTATGTGTTCAAAATGTGGCAACCTCATCTGTTTCGCATGATAGAGTACATTACATATCTGTTTTTAATAGAGGTTACATGATAAAAGAAAAAGGGAAAGTGGGGATAATACTTGGTGAACAGAGAAAGAATATACAACAAAATGTCTATAAGGAAAAGTAATTATTACGGTGCTGTTTATCCGTACTTCTTTCTCAACTTGTCAAAAGCGATTTTGTCCTATGAAAGAAATTAGCATCTATTCTAGAGCACCCAAATACAAAAATGATCCTTACCTGAGGGAGAACAGAAGGCGACACCTTGGTAAATGCCATATCGAAATCTTTCTTCGTCACAAAGATATCTTGAGCGCTTAATGATTTCGCATCCAAAGCCATGACTCCCGATGTATAGAATCTAGCTCTCAAGGAAGCAACAGCACTCTCTCTCACCAAGGAGGCCAGATCTGCACCAGAGAGACCTTCACAACGAGCATCATTTGCAATTTCAACTAAATCCACATCAGGGCCTAGTGGTGTCTTTTTGCTCAATTTCGTCAAGATGTCTAATCTTTCAGAAGGCGTAGGTAGCTCAACGTAGAGCAGCTTATCCAAACGACCAGGACGCAACATGGCAGGATCAATCATATCAGGACGATTGGTAGCTGCAATGACATAGACTTGACTACGGTTCTCCACGCCATCTAATTCAGTCAGCAAGGTATTCACCACACGAGCAGAGGCGTCAGTTTGTTGATCATCACGACGAGAACAGAGAGCATCTAATTCATCAAAGAAAATGACACAAGGAGATGAAGCACGAGCACGAGCAAACACTTGACGAACACCACGCTCACTCTCACCCACATACTTGTTGAGTAATTCAGGGCCCTTGACAGAGATAAAGTTGGTGTTGCTTTCATTGGCAACTGCTTTGGCCAGCAACGTTTTACCACAACCAGGAGGACCCCAGAGCAAGACACCAGCAGGATTGGTGATGCCTACACGTTCAAAGAACTCGGGATGATTGATAGGCTCCACCACGGCCATACGCAGTTCATCACGTACATATTGAAGCGCACCAATATCGTCCCAAGACACATCAGGCACCGTGGCGAAACCTTCACGCTTGGAGGATGGCTGCACTTTTTTAAGCGAGTGCTTGAAATCTTCGTGTGTAATAGCAAGTGATTCGAGTTGTGCCTCCGTTAAGGGTTCTTTATGCTTGATGAATTCTGAAATGTTTCTAATTTGCTCGAGAGGTGTTTGTGCTTCGAATTCTTCGACTGTGGTGGTTTGGATAGGTTGGTCAGTTATGGTATCATCTTGTTCTAATGTTGATTGTGCGACTTCTGACATGGTGGCATCGTCAATATCCATCGAGTTTTCGTCAATTTGAATTTCGTTTACTTTTTCCAGCACGGTGCTGGATCTCTCTGCAAATGTAGTTGCTTGCAGGTGCTTGAAAATACGTTTTACGGCTGTAACGCCTGCTGTGGTAATGAGCGCTTGAAGATCGGCGCCGACATAACCTGGTGTTGCTTTGGCAAGCTCTGCAAAGTCGAAATCACCAGCAAGACGAAGCTTGGATGCCAACACAGTTAAAATCCTGTGTCCAATAAGCGTGAGTTAACTAGTCCATCATGAAATCCAAGACGAGCTTACTTTTCTCTGGCCTTTTCATCAGGCACACCCATACTGATTTCTCTGTCAAATCTGCCTGCACGACGAAGAGCAGCATCCAAAGAGTCGGGTCTGTTTGTAGCACCAATGATCATCACAGGCTTGTTGTCAGACTTTTCCCAGGACAAATCTAGCGTTTAGAGGGTTTATCAATACACACATTCATGAAGAGCGCATGTCCAGTCCATACCATCCATGCAGGTTAAAAGTTGAGCGACAATTCTACGTTCCATTTCTCTCTGTGCAGTCTCTCTTTTGGGTGTAATGGCATCAATTTCGTCAATGAACAACAAGCAGGGTGCATTTTCCTGTCAGCAAATCACATTTAGCACGCCAACATCAAGCATCCTCAAGAATTGCAACTTACTTTGACTTCCTCAAACACTTCACGGATCTTTTTCTCAGATTCACCAGACATACCAGATACAATCGAAGGAGCTGAAATGTTGAAGAATGGCACATTCAATTCCTGATTCAAATTCTTAGTTCCACATCATGACAATTAAAGCAGGATCACACTTACACCGGCAATAGCATGAGCTAATCTAGTTTTACCGCAACCTGGAGGACCGTGCAAAAGCACACCGCGAGGTGGCTGAACACCCGTATGAAGGTATACCTCAGGATGTGCTAATGGCATAGCAATCAATTCCATGATTTCCTCAATGCAATGGTCGATGCCACCTAAATCGGACAGCTTGGCTTTAGGGATGAAAGGTGCCTCTCTAGTTTCTGATGAAGCTGTGATAAAAAAAAAAGAAAAAGAAATCAGCACAGAAATTACATACGTTGGTACATGCACATACTCTTGGGTCTTTTGGGCGCTGATCCAGCGTCCTTGGTCATCTTTGATCTCTTTTTCGATTTGGATGTGGCAACAGCTGCAGCATTAGCAGTTGCATTATCGTCATTAACAGGTATAGTGGCTGGTAATTCTGCCTCGTTGGCAATAGGAATAATGGGCAATTCCTCGTTGATGGGCGTGGATACATTTACAGGTGTAGCAGCCCCTGATTTAATGACTGGAGAGGCAGCACCACTGCTTGCTGGACTTTTGTGCAGGTTCCACAAATTAGTGACAGATTTGTTCATGGCATTGTCGTCTTGAGCAGGCTTAATTGGAGTGGTGTTAGTTTTGGAGAATGTTCCCGGCGGTAGATATTCAGTCAACCATGATTCTGATCTTATCTCACTCACCAAAGCATACTCTGCTGCTGCTTCTTCATCACCAGATCCAGATCTATAAGTAAGGTTAGTCATTTCGATTTGGCACATAAAGTCTGTAGAAACACATTACGATTCAGCGGGCTGTGTACTAGCCGACTCGTTTTCCATGGCATCAAGTGCTTTCTCCAGGGCGAGCTCAATGGCTTGACTCTTGTGTCTGCGCAATGTAGGTTCGTTGCGATTAATGTAGGTCAGAAGAGTGACAGGCGACATGTCAGTGTAGCCAGCTGCCTTGTACTTGTTGAGACATGCTATCACTCGATTCTCGATTTGCTTTGTCAATGGGTTTCCGCTAGGTCTTTGTTTCCTTGGTCCCATAGTAATGTGAATGCAGAGAAAATGGTGGAGAGGTGTGATCATGTAGGTATTGAAAAAATTTGATTAAATGATAAGCGAAAGAAATTGTCCGGTCTGAAACATATCTGTCCGGTAACTAATGAAATTGGGGGGTTCGCTTGTAGTACTTGGGGGGAGAGGGGGTGGGGGCATATCGAAACAAAAGACAAATTCATATAAGCAAGCAGTTTGAATCCTTCTCTCTTTCTTTATAGGCACGATGGCTAGAGTAAGTTATCATTGCATCAACATTTAAATAGCAATTTGTACACAACTATCATTAAGATACAAAGACATCGACATGCGGATTCAACCAACAACCATATAAATTACGAGTTTGACATGATGGATTCATGCGATCCCATCCATCCGCCCATCCATCCAACATGAGGCATCTCAGCATCCATCCTACCGTATGCATCACATTATATACAGCGTATTGACAGCAAGTAATCATGAAATGTACCACCACATGCATACTGAAATCAGGGGCAGCTTGAGATTACTTATCAGATGAACCGTACCGCAATGTCCGTCAGCATGGATCTTTGATATCTCGATGGATAGTGTACAAATTGCTGTTTATAACAAGATGTCAGTTCCGTTTGCTAACCTAATCTCTGCTTTTTCATTGTTACCTGTCAATAGTTCCACGAATATCAGGTAACTTTTGCGTAGATAGAGCCTGAAATTAAATCATGTCGTGCTTAACATGTTGAATTGATATAGGTGGTTGGTCGTAAACTCCCTTCCGCCCAAGAAGTTGCTCCCAAGCTTTTCCGTATGCGCATCTTTGCTCCTAACGTTGTTGTTGCCAAGTCTCGTTTCTGGTACTTTTTGAAGAAGCTCCGTAAGGTCAAGAAGGCTGCTGGTGAGATTGTCTCTGTCAACCTTGTATGTATCTTTCAGAAATGGGGATAGGAATGCAACACTTACTAACGACTGTATTATAGATTGCCGAGAAGCGTCCTGAACAAATCAAGAACTTTGGTATCTGGATCCGTTACGATTCTCGTTCCGGTACCCACAACATGTACAAGGAATACCGTGCTATGCGCCGTACCGAAGCTGTTGAGACCTGTTACCAAGACATGGCTGCTCGTCACCGTGCTCGTTTCAGATCTGTTCAAATCATCCGTGTTGCTGAAGTCAAGGATGCCGATGTCCGTCGTCAATACATCAAGCAACTCTTGACCCCCAAGCTTGCTTTCCCCTTGCCTCACCGTCTTGCCAACGTCGAAAAGAAGCACCGTGCTCTCTTTGTCGCCAAGAGACCTACCACTTTCTATTAAATTGTTTTTTCTTAGCTTGTGTTATTTTTTCAATTAAAAAAGCATACGTCTCGTGTTGTTATAGATTGAACATTGATGATTAGCTTGGATTGAATGGTGTTTGATATTGTATGGCAGATTAGAGTGATAGAATTTGGAAAAGTAGTGTGCATTGTGCTTTAGAAAAGTAGCTTAAAGGATGAAGGGAATTGAATAGTGCAAGGGCTATGGCACTCTACGTTTTGATTATGCTAAAATTGAAGACATGCTACATCTAATGTTAGGAATAAGCTGCGCTTTGTTGGAAGTATTTTGTTGCAATGTTCCGCTCAAGTTATAAAGGGCCAACTTGAACTAGAAACGGCATGCTTCTGCAAGACATTATTTGATTGAGCTTCTGATCCAGCATGTCCAGTCAATCTCACACAAATTGTCTACCCTCCATGGCTGCCCGGATTTGGTTGATTTGGAACGGAGATGACTACAAAAGAGCGTACAAGCGAATTTTTTCTGGTATAAAAGAAATGTTGAACGTGGTGAATTACATCTGTTTCTTTCTTTAAACATCCATCCATCCATCTTGTTCTAATGGTAAGTTCAAAATTTCTTTTTATACGATGAAAACTTCACTTGTTGCTTCCTATTTGGATCAAAGGATGCGGTTCATCTATAAATCTGTGTTGGCTGTATTTTTATGTATACAAAATATCCATCCTATATTTTGAATCAAAGTATCCTTTGTGACAAATGGGTGTAAACAATTGTTCTGGCTGAGTTGTGTCTCTATTTCCTCACGGAAATATCCAACTTGTTAGAGTGTAGTTTTATCAGAGTTGTGAATTTGTAAAAGAATTTGAATCTGATCGAACCCTTATCACTCCATGACAGCCTCCATCCACCAAGAAGTCTACCGGTAAAAAGGTCGCTCCTTCCCCCTACGCCGTTAAGGGTAAGCAAACCACCAAGGCTGCTGCCAATCCTTTGATCGAAAAGACTCCCAAGAACTTTGGTGTTGGTCAAGATGTTCAACCCAAGCGTGATGTCTCTCGTTTCGTCAAGTGGCCTCAATATGTCAAACTTCAACGTCAAAAGAAGATCATCTACCAACGTCTCAAGGTCCCTCCTGCTCTTAACCAATTCACCCATGTTTTGGATAAGAACACTGCTACTCAAGTCTTCAAGTTGATGCACAAGTACAGACCCGAGTCCAAGAACGAGAAGCGTGATCGTCTTCGTGCTGCTGCTCTTGCCAAGTCTGAGAAGAAGGAGGTTGCCAAGACTGACAAGCCTGTTGTCATCAAGTACGGCATCAACCACATCACCGCTTTGGTTGAGGCCAAGAAGGCTCAATTGGTCGTCATTGCTGATGATGTTGACCCCATTGAGTTGGTTCTCTGGCTCCCTGCTCTCTGCCGTAAGATGGGTGTCCCTTACTGTATTGTCAAGGGTAAGGCTCGTCTCGGTACACTTGTCCACAAGAAGACTGCCACTGCTCTTGCTTTGACCGAAGTCTCTGAGGCTGATAAGGCTGAGTTAGCTACCATCGTCTCTGCTGTCAACACCAACTTTGCCCAGAAGTGGGAAGATGTTCGTCGTCACTGGGGTGGCGGTATTATGGGTCCCAAGTCCAACGCTAAGATGGCCAAGCGTGCTGCCATTGCTGCTAAGGAAATCGCTGCTCGTCAGTAAATACTTTAATAAATTAAAATTGGCTAATTTGTTACAAACTTCCTTTTTCTTTCTCTCTTAACTGTAAATAAACCTTGATACATAATATTTCTTTCATTCAAATTATAAAGTTGCAATTAACTGTTTGTCAAACGTTTGATTATTATAAATCATATCAGTGTCAGCTGTCGAACTGAAATGTCTGTTATTGGTTCAGATTGGGAAATTGATTTATTCAGGCACAAGATTGCCTAATTTGGGCTCTGGGTAATCTCATATAAATAAGCATTGTATTTATTGTTTTAAACTATTCCCCTCTCTTTCTTCATCCAACTTCGACATGTTGACATCCCCATCCTCCTCAACAATCAATTCCAAGCATAGCAACATCACGATAACTACTGCGACCAACACAGCCAACAACATTTACCTCAAAGGCCAACACCAGGAACATCATCCGTATCGACCATTGCCTTCCGTCTTAACAGGTATTACACGGACATGAAAATAACGCATTCTCCAGGCCCCCAATCTCATAACAAAATAAATATAAAATAGACTTTTTCGCATTCAAGTTGTGTGATCTCATTCCCACTCGACCATTACCAGCTGGATCAAAACGTACCGCACCTGAATTAGTTTATTTTATCTTGAAAATCACATCACAAGCTCGCATATCATGTCACATTGCTGTTGTTGCTCTGATTTATATAGAGAGATGTAAAGCTGCACTCCCAAAAAATGCAATTGGCGACCAAGGTACGTACATAGTGTACATGTATACATGATGTGATGATGGTAGATTATTAATAGCTTGAATGTAGATACCATTCACCGCATCTTTGTAGCTTCGTTACTTGTGGCATCAAAATATTTACATGGCACATGCTGGGGCTCCAGCCAAAATATTGTTCCAGAAGAACAAACGTCAACAGAGGAGACACCTGTTTGGTTGAATAATGCACGCATGGCCAACATTTGCAGTCGATTCTACACATTGCAAGAAATCAATCAACTGGAGCTATCCTTTCTGAACCTGATTAAATACAATTGCTTTGTGAATTCAATTGAGGTCCAGGAATACCTCGTTTTACATAGACAGGACTTACTATTGTAAGTTGTTTAGATACCATGCAGCATTTATATATCCATTATTACTATATATATATATTCTTTGTAGTAGTAATAATACCCCCATTTCATTATCAAATAAACATTACTTTAAACATTTCATCAAATGTGACACAAATGCAGGAGAATATAGCGTGCACCAGTGGTCATTTTTTCTGCCGTTTCATCAAATAAAACCCTTATCACACCTATTTTGATTTGATCTTCTGTCCTATCAGTTTCAAGAGATATCATATGCAATTGATTGTTTAGGCCTGCTCCTTCCCGATAATGCCACAATTGGAAATTCCTTGTTTGATATTCACATATTGTCATCATGAAGAAAAGTGATATCCACGTGTATTTAACACAATTCAGTTTTAAGTGGCATTTTCTGATTATTGCGTGGAGTGATCAAGTATCACTCTTTTATTTCTTAAACAAGAATAGATAAACTTATAGAGTAATTCTTTGCCGATGAAATGTACTCCTGTTGTGTGATCAGAAGCTCACTTGTTTAATTGCTCGAGTTCCTGCACATTCTTACAGAGCAAGTTGACCCATGTTGACCAGTTGGTGCATATATGTGATGGCGCATATATGCGATGGCTGTATTTATAAATAAATATACAACTATGGTTGAGCATTTTTCTTCTATAATGATTAGATCATTAGTTGTTGCGAAATTTGCTACGGCAGTTCCTTATTAGTGCCATTGCTAATAGAGAGGAGATCACCACATTTAATATAGTAACATTAGAAGGATGTTTATTTTATGTTGCTTTAGATTACCTAGATTGCAATTATTTTTATAGAAAGTATCAACCATGGAGTAAAGTAAGGCTCAAACCCAACGTACTACATGCATCTCTGAACAAAGTGATCATCTGTGTTTTACCTCAAGCTTCGCATTTGGACTAGCAATTTGCAGCAATTAAACCTATACAATATAGAAATGTGCGAAAAAAAAAGCAAAGCAATGTATTTAGGTTGAGCTATAGTACCTTTTAATCCGTAGAACTCTCTTTATTATGAGCTAGCAATAGCAATAATTACCTTCACTTTGAGTGTGGCATTGATGTTGACAACCAAAAAGTTATTTAAGAATCCGCTCAACTTCTGCTCCAGATTGGCAGATCTTGCTTATTTTCGACTCAATAAATCTATTTTTCAAAATTCGACTATATAAATCGTGATGGTCAGCTCTTCCTCCCTTAATCTTTCTTGGAGTACTTTTCAACGCGCATCCAACGGTACTAAATAAGGTGGATGTTTTGAATAAACTTACTGAGCAATTTACGAAAATATGAAAAGAGGTTTCTGGCCAAAAAGTCGAAATTTTACATATCAAAGTTCCACAAAGATGATTTCAGATGTTACGCTAGGTCGATAGAAACATTTTGATTCAAAATATACCATAGTAAAAGTCTTCATTATTAAGGTCAAAAACGCGATCGTTTGATTTTTGATGAAAGCCATGAGGGGTACCTCATGCTTTTTGGTCGATATTTGTCCATGTTTTTTTTGATCCCCAAAAAGTTGAGCAATGGTCTCAGAAAACAAGTGCTAGATAAGGACAATTGTTTGGAGCTATTCTGCTGATATAAAACAGCCTCTAACACGAGAAAACACGGCACAAATGAACTCAAACCTCGCTGTGTTTTGCTTGGTTTTGAGTAGTGAGAGCAGAATTATGTTACAACAGTAGCATGTAAAGGACTTTACACCATCACCAAGAATCATGAACATGCCAATGTAGTTTCCATCTTGGTCTGCAGCTGAATTTACGTCGCTTTAGGTGGATATGTATCACCTAGCAACTTGAATAATTTTCATGTCGCGTCCTGCTTTTTTTAGCGGTTCATTTTACCGCATCTTTTATTTCCATACTATCAACATGTCAAAACGATTATTCTCGCAAAATACAAGTATTGATGATGATCAAGGAGATGAAGAATTCACAAAATCAGCCATTCCTCTGAGTAAGAAGGAGCCAGATATGGTGAACGGCATACCTGTTTCTGGGGAAGATTATTTGCTGGTTGTTCGGTAAGGTTATTCTAGACACATCCTAATCCTATTGAAAAAGAAAAACGACTCAATCAAACATTCAGTCGACAAGCCAAGAAATGCGCTCAAACTGTAGTTGCTCCACCACCAACAAAAACCAAAAAAGTCAACTTACCGTCGCATTTTCAGTTTTTCCATAATGATGCCAGCAGGGTGGAGGATCAAGCTTCTTATGAATGGAGAAAGGGGTTCTCAAAGCCATTCAGATCTTACCAAGAGGTAATTTACATTTGTACTGTTATGTTTAGACACACTAAATCAAATTGATGATAGTACATGCAACACAACAAACTGCCATGCCATACTCACAAAGAAATTACATCCATCGACGAAGCTTACAAGATTCTCTACTCACAAAAGCAAGACATCATCACATTTATACCAACATTATCACAGGTAAGGCAAGATGCATAGTTGGCATATACGGCATACCGAATCAGCCTTTGAATTGTGTAGCATACGATATTGCGATTGCTGCAGTATCACATACAATGGTTAAGCACAACTACAGACATTGCATTACAGGTATATTATGGACAATCAAAAGACTATGAATGAACACATCTGATGCATGGGTTTGGATAGTGCCAATGGATATTTAGCTTACTGGTCTTCTTGGATCCTGTACTGACATCGAAAAACATAGCTGTGCTTCGAGATTTGTCAAGAGAATGCATGAAAATGAGAGCCAATGCACCACAGAATCTTGCTCCTTTAAACATTGTCATCACCATCATAGCAGATGTCTATGGACAGTCGGATCTGCTTTAAAGCTGCCAAACACATCTACAAGACGATACCCTTATAGGTGCAAATTGCCATTAGCAGAAAGATCAGCATGTGAACTACTCGCGCTCGGTCGTTTAGGGGGGGGGGGTGAAATAGAGTCCTTTCTAGTCAGGTACAGAGCTTGAGATATAGTTGCATAGCGCTTAGCTGCCTTGGTTGAAAATACGCACATGTGCTATACGGTACTTGAGGACATTTTGTACAATAAATGATAGCACTTTGTCATGGCAACAAGCAATTGGATTTAGCAGATATATATCCAGTGGCACGGTCCCTCGTATTTGGCAGAATGAAGACAGTGTTTCAGTTCAACTTTTTGTCATTGTTATTTTACAAAACGACGTGGCATGCGCATACCCTCCTTGGAAGAAGGATCTCCATTTGTTGCACTCAATCTGGTCGACATAACAAACTGAGGCTGTGCACAAGTATGTATGGCACTCTGATTGCTGCATTAAGACTCATCTTGATGGTCAACTGGATTATCCTTGGTAGTCAGATTTCTGACGAGATAAACTGCAGGCAACGCGCAAGATAAAATTGCTGCTAAAGAAGCCTCATGCCCCTGTTGAAACGATACTGAGCGCATTTCTTTGTCGAATGCATGCAGTCCTTGACCAGTTCTATGAAAAGTCAGGGTTTTTCCTGATTAGTCGAACAAAAGAGGACAGAGTATATAAAAATGGGTTTACATGCAAGTGTCACATTCAATTGTATTGAAAAACACACACCAGCTCATCTAAAAATGACTTTAGCCGAATCCTATATCAATGTGTTTATTCACCTTTTTCTATTCTATATATTCCAAACCATCATCATGGCTCATTCGACCTCAACACTCGCTGTGCCTGTTGCAGGAACTCTGTTTCTTGCCAGCGCCATCTACTTTTACTATGAAAACAAGAAAAAGCTAGATTCTCTCCCTCCAAGAGCACCTGGATATCTACCTGTACTTGGACACTTGTTGCAACTCGTGAAGCCTATTCCCATTCAGCAACTATTCTACAAGTGGAGCCTTGAAGCTGGTCCCATCTTTACCTGCTATTTCGGAACGCAGCGCTGGATTGTATTGAGCTCTGTTGAAACAATTCGCGATCTGATCGTTGATCGTGGCACTGTCTATTCCTCAAGAAACTTGCCAGATACACTTGTTCATGACTTTATGCAAGGAGGTACGTCTTTCATTAATTTATGTGCAACTGTGAACACTAATAGATTGGTACCTTGACATTCATAGACGAAGGTGGAGGTTTTGCTTTCTTTCCTTATGGTGCTAGCTGGCGTAGATTACGTCGTATTGGTAAGTGTGTGTCTCGGTATACAGGCTTTATATACTGATCTTGTGATTATATACGCAATCAGCACATGGTGGTTTAGTCAAAAATAAAATTAACGAGTATCAGCCGATTCTGGATGATCGCCGCACTGTATTGCTCTCTCATCTGTACAACTTGAGTTATGATAAAGCAAACCTCTCTGGCCAAGGTGTTCGATTGTCCAATCTAATTGAGCACTATACAATGACCAGCATTCTTGCCATCGCATTTGGAGACATGTGCAACTATCAGCCTGGTGATCCTGCCCTGCATAATGCGTTTACAATCACAGAAAGAGCTGCCAGCACCATAAGCCCTTCTGATCAGATCCGCGAGTTCTTTCCTATTTTGAAGACGATTTGGCCAGTAAAGAGAGCAAAGTATCTTGATATTCGCCATGAACAGATTGAGTTTTACGGTAATTTATTGGAGCAATTCAAGGCTAAAATGGAAAAGAACAGTGATGTTGTGCCTGATTGCTTTGTCAAGGAGATTATGAAGTTGAATGAACTTACGGATTTGCAGATTATGAACTTTGTGGGCATCTTTGTGGGCGCTGGCTCAGACACATCAACATCAACACTGGAGTGGATGCTGGCTTTCTTGGCAAACCATCCCGAGGTTCAAGATAAAGCATTCCAGGAGATCAAAGGCACGGTTGGCTTGGAAAGACTTCCTGAAGCCCAAGACGGTAGGTGTAGTTTTCAGAATTGTGATGCCAATAGATATTTATTGCGCAGTTCTATAGAGCCCATGCTTCCCTATTTGCAATGCATTATCATGGAAACCCTTCGTATGCGTCCTCCTGCTCCTATTGCTATTCCTCATGCTACCAGCAAGGATGACGTTTACAAGAACTGGTTCATTCCCAAAGACACAATCATTGTCATGAACCTGTTTGCCGTTCATCAAGATGAAGCACGGTATCCTGATGCACATGCTTTTAGGCCTGAACGTCATATGAGCTATGTGCTGTCGAGTCGAGAACGCAAAGTATTTACACAATCTGTAGAGGATCGTCCTCATCTCAGTTTCTCCACTGGTCGTCGTGTCTGTGTCGGCATTCATTTAGCTGAGCGCAACTTGTATATGGCTACCTCCATGTTGCTAGCTAGCTTTAAATTCGAGACGACGGGTGATCCTATCAATGTAGATGTCCCAAGAGATGTGCGTGCTGCCACTTGGTCTCCTTCTACGTATAATCTACGCTTAATCCCAAGACACGAAAACGTCAAACAGTTGACTTAATATATACCCCATTCTGCTTTATCAAGAACAGTTGAACGTAGTGACACCTTATACAAAGTAGAGCATTGGTTGCCGCATGTAACATTTGATAGTCCGTTGTCTGCTACTCTGTCTAGCAATGCTCTTTATACAGAATATCACCGGATGCTCGGGGGAAAATTACCAAATAACTTAAATAAAGGACTTTAGACCCGACAACTCAACTTTTCTTTCACAACTTGCTATCATTGCATACAACATGAACAACGATATCAAAGAATCCATCGCCAACACTATCAAGAGCCTCGACAGAGAGCTCCGAGAAATCAGTCTTAAGGTATGTATGTGACCGAAGCCAGTCAACGAGTATCGCTTGAAAAACTGACATGCGTTTCGACACACAGATTCACAATGACCCCGAACTCGGAAACAAAGAGTTCCATGCCTACAAACTGTTGACTGAATACATCGAATCAAAAGGATTCCAAGTTACCTATCAAGCTGCTGGATTGGAGACAGCTTTCATGGCCAAGTTCTCCAACAGTAAATCTGGCAGACGTGTGGGTTTTGTGTGCGAATATGACGCCTTGCCTGGGTAATAGCAGTAGACTTTGATCTATGACAAATGTATCTGATAACATTGCTAGTGTGGGACATGCTTGTGGTCACAATATTATCACTGTCCAAGGTCTTGCTTGCGCACTCGCTTTGAAGACATTGATGGAACAGAATTTGGTGCAAGGCACCGTGGTGCTCTTTGGTACTCCTGCTGAGGAAACAACCAGCGGTAAGATCAACTTTGTCAAGGAGGGCGTTCTTCAAGCCAACGTCGATTATGCTATGATGCTTGTATGTATTCACAAATCAAATGGTTGTAGAGAAAAGATCTTGATCTAACATGTGCTGTTACTAGCATCCTTTTGCTACAGATGGCATCTACGGTAGAATGTTGGCATTGGATTCCGCTGATATTGAGTTTTTTGGCAAGGCATCGCATGCTGGTATGGCACCCTGGAATGGTGTTAATGCTTTGGATGCTTTGATGCAAGGTCTTGATAATATTGGCTTGTTGAGACAGCAAATGATTGCTACTGACAGGTAAATATCACTCGTGCACAGACATTGGCAATGCAACAGCTGACAAGGCATGATTTATAGAGTGCATGGTATCATCACTAACGGTGGTACTGCTGCTAATGTCATCCCTGCTTATGCATCCGCACACTTTTACGCTCGCTCTATCACAAAGGATCAGTTGAAGGAATTGAAGCCTCGTGTTGATAACTGCTTTAAGGCAGCTGCTCTTGCCACTGGATGTGAGATCAAGATGCAATGGGGAAAGCTGGGACCTGTCGAGGATGTGTTCATGAATGACGCCATGGCATTGAATTACAAGCATTACATGGAGCAAGAGGGTATCACCTACAAACCTCGTTTCGATGAAGAGCAAACTAGCACAGGCAGCACTGACATGGGCAACTTTAGTTATGCTGTTCCTTCCATCCATCCTGCTTACGGTATCCATACTACTGCTGCCAATCACACAAAAGAATTCGCTGCTGCCGCCAAGACGGAAGTTGCTCATCAAGACACTTTGCGTGCTGCTAAATGTCTTTCCATGACAGCTGCTGAGGTCATGGTCGATGATGAGCTTTACAAACAAGTCGTTGACGATTTTAAAAAGGGTAAACCCCAATAAATTGTATGCGTATATTCCCCCTTGCTTCTTCACATATCAAAAGTTAGCGAAATAAAACGTCTAATTACAATCTAGTTGGCTTTATAATGAATGTGTGCACAGACAGAAGCTTGCATTGGATAAACAGCCGTAATGAGGTTTTCATTGAACCATACCCATACACAATTTTAAAATTCTATATATTTATTTCGTTTCAGGACAAATAGATAATTTGAATAGGTTGAGACCTAGTCGTAAAAGTCATCCTTATTGTAGATTTGAATACTCAAGCTTTTATAAGTATGACAAAAGTCAGTGTTCTTTCTCTCTGACTCCTCGGCAATTCCACTTTTTTCTCGTTCATTGATCGACGTGGGAGGAGTAAGGGCGCACTGTTGGTTTTGCTTTCTCTGATCTGATTGCAAAGGTGAGCTCGATAGCGATGAAAAGTAATATGGAATATGCTGTGGTAGGGTTGTTGTACTTGAAGATGTAATAAATGATGCAGTTGAAGCTGAGGGTGCCAAAATTTCTACTTTTTCATCATAAAAACATTGTCGGGTAAGTCTGCAAGCATCGCAGCTGTCAGCATTCAGAGGAGAAGCAAGCCATTCAGCAGCAGGAATGCCATTGCACTTCTTGGTATTTTTTGATGTCTTTTTGCCAAGATTGAAGGTAGCCCAGCGAAGCTTGTTAGATACAAGTGTTGTGCTTTGAACAGTGTGACAGTAATAGTCTGTTGTCGTAACTTTAGTTGGAAACCCCCAACTTTGATCTGATGATGAGAATGAGGATGAGAATGAGGTTGAGGATGAGGATGATGAAGAAGAGGAAAAGAAATAAGAGATACGATCCAAGAGTTGGCTTTTCATATTAGATAAAGAGTTGTTGAAAGGTTAGAGAAAGATGAGGGAGACTATTCATACAAATCCTTGCTTTATATATTCTCTCTTTTTACACACTCCATGACAATGTGTGGCAATGTTTTGCTCCTACAAGCGTATTGCTTTTCAGTATTATTTATATTCAAACGACATGTATATATCAAGTTTCCGGGCAATCACTGTACAAAAACTGGTGTGGAGCATATTCATTGTATTATCTAATCCTGGTTTCTAATATTCTTGCATAGTAGCAAGTTGATAGAGGGGACGGGTGATTTAAAGACGTTTTTCATTTTTCTGGTAAATTAAATAATGCATATTTACAAACTAAAGTATACAGCATCTGGTGAGTTACCATAGTCTAGATCACTGCATGTTGTATAATATGCGTAGATGCACGCAGAAGATTCTGTCGAGTAACACCTTTTCTCAAGGTACATTTTTGCAGGAGGATTTATTTGATTAGAAGTAAATTCAGTGCTTCGAAATCAAGCCAAAGCCGATACTGAAAATGTGTATATTGAATTAAGCCCGTATTTGATATCAGATATTATACAGATTATGCCACTGTATTGCATCAACTTGAATTTTGACTTTTACATCATTTATGTTGAATTTGTCAGAATAACTACACCACACGTCTGCCGACATGTGCAGAAAATGGCCTTCTAACAAAGCGGCCCTCTTAACACCACATTCTTTGGCATGTCAAGCGACTTTCAACTAACAATCTCGTTGGTATCATATCGAATCATCCATACGGGATACTGATCATTCAGATGAGACATGTAGAGAGCTGTTTAAAGAGTAATCGTGGGGTAATACTTATGAGATTGATCGTCAAATGATAGTAACTTGCTTGCAAAAAGCACTTGTATATCTTTACAAAATATTATTGACGACCTGTCTTATAATAAGCAATGTAGTATATCTTTGTTTTTTTTTCAATGCACTGCCGCCCATTTCAGGTTCACGATTGATACAAATCCATAAGAAGCGAGCGCTACTGTTGCGAACCGGTTCGTCATCACAGCCATGTTGTCTTAATTTCCTTTGTCCCTTTTCATACTTTGTTTGCTTGAAATATAATAATAAGGAAGAATCTGTTGTTTATCACATCTGGTGTCATCTTTCAAATGTCAGATCTTTTGCACACTTTTGTAAGATAATTTTTAATATATAGTATTACAAATTGGTGTCATATTTCAAATCGTAAAAAAAAAGCCTGTGTACCTGAAATCACTGCAAAAAAAAAAAAAAAAAAATAGGAGCTATCTCTTGGATCTTACACACCCATCTATCATTGACATCCGATATTGCATCTCTCCACTGTCAGGTACACACAGACTTTGCGTATAACCTTTTAATTAGTATAAATATCAAATCATTTGGCAAAACAACAAAGATCAGCGTTTATCTCATTTATATTTCTGCATATACACATATCAAAATCCATTATCTATACGCACGACAGAACATCATAACATCTCACGCATTATTTTTTCCAAAAAAATGCCCAAAATCGAGCATCTGACCTTCGTTACAACAGAAAGATGAAATGACCACTAGCAAAAAGCCTCTTTTTTGTGTGTGTGTGTCGTCTTGTAAGATGGATTTAATAGGTAGAGTTAACAAAGAAATAGAGTGTAACTAATACTTGTTGATTATGTTGAAAGATGCTGTTTATTGAATGCATTTACAACTTATATTTATACTATTTCTACGATCGATAATGTTAAGCACAAAGAATAAAAGGATTATTACTTGTAGTTTATAAAAAATGTTTGATATTATAAAAATAAGAAAAGACTTATTTGAATAAGATCAGACACAAAAACTAAAGATTTATTGATGGAGACAAGAGTTATTCTATTTATACTAAGTTCTGAATGCCAAAGTAGCAATTTATCTTGTACAACGCTTATCACATCTGGTGAACCTCAGTATTTAGATAGCTGAGATGCACTTCAATTATCATAGCTTGTCCATGTTGTTGCACAACACAGACATATCTACTCATCAAGAATACCTTAATCTTTATAGACAGTTGTAGCCCTTCTGGCACAACACCACTATAACAAAAGTTTGCCTTGAGCGATCGTTTTTGTTGGTAATTTGGCGGGGGATGACCTTTCCGGCAGTATAGTTCCAGGAAACTATTTCAGCTTGATTTTACGATAATTTGTTGATGTTGATTCTTGTATCGCAGGATTTGCAGTTATCATGAATCTCTTTTGGCTCGATTTTGACACAAGATTTTGTTGTTTTATCTTCCTGATTGTGCTGACCTCAAATCAGCTTGTCTCGTATCAGCCATTTTTCTCTTTAGTTAATTATAATTGCCCAACATTGTGAATAATAGACTTTAAGGCTAACTTTACGACCAGATATACAGTCGTATCTCTAGTGTGTAGGGTCATCAAAAGTGCCCTGTTCGCCTAACAAGCATCTTGGTCAATCCGAGTAAGTTGAGAGATTCAAATTTGCAAAATAGCATTGACGCTCAAGTCTTAAAATTACTGTGGCCGCGGATTTCAAAATTAAAAGGAAGACCTGATGAGCTTTAGGACTAGAATATAAAAGCATTCATGATAAAACGCATTCAACAAAGCGTTGGATAACTCATATCACATAAATGATATGTATGGTGGTCCTTTTTGTATCTTTCTGAATGTCAGATCCTGAGATGTAAATTCAAGTGTGACGATAGAGTAGATTGTGTTAAATGATATGTGTAGAAAATCTAGAAATAGATGTAGTTGTAGTCTCTTCTTGTCATTGAAGTAAATGGTTTTGTTTCAGTAATAGTAGTAGTCCAACTAGTTGACTGTTTGATATGTCCTGTTGTGCGTGTAAACTATAGTTTGTTGTATGCTTTGTAATGCATGTAGAAACCGATGAGATGTTGGCCTTGTGTCGTATCAGGTGTAATATGATGGGTTGTGGTGTGAAATGCATCAGACTATCACTTAGAAATTGAGTTTCGTACAATGCAGAAAATCCCAGTCGCTATAAAGCACTGTAATTTACGTACTTGTTCGGCAACACAAACCACTACGCCGTCGTTTTAGGTTGAATTCTGTGTTATATCAAATGTCATAGCAAGGTCTCACACTAAAGGTTTTAGGCTATTCTTAGGTCCTTTGGGTAAATCATGCTAATCATGATTTACAAATCAATTGTTGGGTAGATAGTAAACCTATTTGTATTATAGTTCATCATCATGCTGTAAACCCTAGCATAATGAAAAGCATATAAATGCATCCTTGGGATGCATTCTCAATAAAAGTGTAATTCTTTGGCAGATTCAATTTTACATTGTATTTTGACATAACACTTTTTTGAATCCCATAAATTTTTTACACTTACTACTATGAATAACGCAAACCCTACTACTGTTTCTGTTGGAGCTGGTGTTGGTCATCGCTCTGCATCGGGAGATGCAAGTTTTGGTTCTGGTTCATCTTTGTCGTCTCTACAAAATGAACATAGCAATGCATTGAGCAATGATGCTCTGCATAATGGTATTGATGCTTGTAGCGAAGACGCTCGCATTGATCAGGCATTGAGCGATGACGCTCTGTCAACTCTTGATAATGATACTATCATGAATGATAGTGGTGAGCTATTGGAATTTGATTTCGATAGTGAGATCCAACCCTTGGGAATGGATCATCAGGCTAGCATGGCCAGGGACATCAAGATGTTGAGGAGAAGGCTTTTTGAGGCTACAAGGCTGTCTATCACTATGCCTGAGGATGGCACGCTTGCATCCAATGCTGGGGCCCTGAAACGCCAATTGATCATGGCTAAGGAAAACTACGATTTGTTGTTTGATGATACTCCAATGCTCTCCCCATCTATGGCCTATTCCAATGCTGCTAATAGCATAGTACCTCCAGATACGCCATATATTCAATGGAAAGGACACAAGTTTAACAACAAGAAGTTTGTCTATCCTACCATGGATGCATGCCTTCAACAATTCCAGGATGTACTGGAGTCTCGTGGTGTGTCGATCGAAGCAAACTGGAAGAGAATTATTAAGCCGAAAATGTCCACGGGTATGTCTGCCTGGACAAGAGAAATCATACAAAAGTATCCCGAAATTACTTGGGGCCAGTTCAAGAGCAAGCTCAAGGTGAAATATAGCCCTTCGGAAGCAGAAGAAAGAAAAGCTGCACTCAATAAGCTAAAGACGCTTAAATTGGACAACTGTGACAATCTAGAAGACTTCATTGACAGGTTTAACTCCTTGAAGGACTTAGCGGGAGTCAAGGAAAATACGTCTCTTGTAGACTATCTGCTTCGTGGTCTGGATATCGACTTGTATGGACCGGTGTCTATGGGCATTTCACAAGCCCGTTCCAGGGGAAGCGACACTTTGGATTTTGCTATCTCACAGTTGCGCAGTGCCTACGATTTGTTGAGAAGAGATGATTATTATAGGCAGGAAAAGCAGAGAAAGGATGCTGAACTGAACAATAAGATCAAGGATGCGATCAAGGCACATCAGCGTGCTGAGGGCTCTGCTTCGTTGAGCAACAAGAAAACTCGTCGTGCTGGTCGCCGCCATGACAAGCAATCAAGAAAGAGGAATGATAGTCCTGGTGAAGTTCTTAAATGTTATGATTGTGGTTTCACACCATTTACGTATGCGCATAAGGCATTATGCAAGAAGAACCCCAAAAATATCAAAAAGATAACAAAGAAGAAGAGCAAGTTGATTGTGCCAAGACCTGCTTCCAATGATGATACTGATTCATCATCCTCTGATGAGGAAAGTGATCAAACTTTTGCTGTTGCCACAATTTCTACAAAGGACAAGCAAAAGGAGGAAGTCGTATCCATGGATACTGATAGTGAATGTAAGCATTTGAATAATGAATATTTCAAAAAGATGCCTAGTAATAACATGGACACTAATGGACTTCTTTATCTACCTGTGATATTAGAATCAAAGAGTGGTGTTAAGGTTAACACATGGT